GCTGTCCAGATAAGGATCAAGCGCGATCTTGGCGCCCATTTTGTCAGCACGGAAGTACGGATGATTGGTAAGGTACCCAATTTGGCAGTCCCGGAAGCGCCACAATGCGATATGACTCGAATCTTGGGGAACGTGACTCAGTATCGCAGAGTTGGGATGGATTTGGTGACATTGGGGCTGGTAAAGTACAGCATTTCGGTCGGAAATGTAATTTTTGGACGCTGGATAAGCGCTTGAATAGATGGAAAGCGCACCGGAATAGCATCGGAAGGGACCGAGTGTATGTGTCAGCGGAGTTTGAAATTGAAGCTGTGGACGGATTGCCTTTATAATCCGGGTCGAGTCACATTTTCCGACGTTGCCCACTTTTCCCCCAACTCTCACCTCGACGCTTTAGCAGATTTTACTCTGCTCGGGGCGTCTGACTTGCTCAGTAGGAGTCACTCGTGAGTCAATTTCCGCTCAGATCTGTTCTGTTGCTTTGGCCTACGCTGGGGCAATTAGCGCAGCAATATCACATTATTTGTTCGCCATTTTCTGCATTTTATTTTTCAATAATGGCTGCAAGCGCAAACACTGTTGGCCACGTTACCGTTTGGCGATATTCGCCGCCAACGTCGTTGCTATTATCGCCGGCCAACACTTCTGCCAACGATGAGGTCATGAGCTCAACGCTGACGATGTTGAACAGCCCTTCTAGGTCGCCCTCTGTGTCGCCTAGGCCACCATCTTCATCGTCTCCCCAACCAGCCGCAATTTCGGACACAGACACAACGCTTACATCACCAAGAGCCAAGATGTTCGCTTTGTGAATAACTCGGCCACTCCGTGTCCATCCTCGTCATCGGCAACTCGCAATGTCTCAACAGCGACCCCTCTTGAAAGTCCTCTTTCAAGCTTCTCCTCCCCTCACCATGCCTCGATAAATTTCCCTTTGTCTACCCCTTCCCGGGTATCGTTTGATCAAGATCTCGCCTCTCAACATGGCATACCAACGGTTCTTCCACAGCCACCGAATACAGCACCTCGTCGTAACACTCAGTCAAAACCAGCGCCTTCACCGCTCTCTCAATTCGAGATCCTACAGCGCAATTATCTAGCTATGTTAAACCAACAACCATCATCATCTAATTCGACCGCCGACTCTGCCTCACACATGCAGCCACTAACGGTCACCCCTGCCGACCTGCTGGCAACAGCAGGCGACGACTTTAGCGAAGAGCTAGGTGATTGGGAATGGCTGTTTTTCGATGACGACTGGCTCACTGACTTATTATCATCCCCAGGCTCCTCGCCCATCTTCAAGGATCTCGATGAATTCCCGTCGGTGAGCTTCCTCACGGGAGCGGGCACATCGCCGCTCCTCGACACTCCTTACAGCGACACCTTGGACTCGTTTGAAGCATCGCCGTATGACACTCCTCTTGACGCCTTCCTTACAACTCCCATTTTCCAGGACGGCGATGCTCCCCTAATATCGGATGCGGATGAGCCAATGTTCCGCTCGTACGAAGAACTTTTAGCGATGCCTGCACCGCCGCCTCCTCCGGCGAAGGCTCCGCAGCTCCCGGATTTGGAAAAGCTCTATACCATGTCGCCTACCTCGCCGGCTGTCGACTTCATTAATCCCGCTTCCGTATATCCCTCTCCCCTTCTCCCCGCTGAGCAGTCCGTCCCGCCACCGCCATCTTCTACCCCTGCCGCCGCTACCACTCGGCCGACGAAGCCTACTCCTCGCAAGTCGTCTGCAACGGGCACTCGTAAAAACATCTCCCCCGAGACCATGGTTCCCCTTGACGCTCCTACGCAACCGCGGCGCTATATCATCCCCTCTGCGACGTCAAGGAAAGAAGTTCCTGCGACGTTTGCTAGGAAGCGTTCGCGGTCGGCGGCCCTTGGGGATGAGGAGGACGAGCTTGAACCTCCACCCCCAGATGCTACGGACCGTCAGTTGATCGAGTACAAGCGTCGGCAAAACACCCTGGCAGCGCGGAAGAGCAGGAAGCGGAAGCTCGAGCACCAGCAGCAACTCGAGGACAAGGTCGAGACACTGACGCTCGAGGTGGAGCAATGGAGAACAAAGGCGGAGATCTATCAGAGCATCCTGCAGAGCCACAACATTCCATTTCAGTCATGAGCCAGCCCAGCCATACCCCGTTCCCATATTTTTTTCTCCAGGACTCCCAACATCGACTCTCCACATTATCGAGTCGTATGAAGTCTTCGATGCTCGTTGTATTATGTTTTTCGTCATCATTCCCAAATCCCCCACCCACTTGATAAGAGCATCGTCGTACCCCCTTCCCCCCAGTGTAGTAGTGATCTTAGTAGTAGTTGTGATTTACCTGCCTCGTATTTTCATTTTTTTACGTTCCTTATCTTGAATAAAAGTTGCTCCAGTCGTCGTACTGTTATCCCTCTATATGCATATAATGATATAAATGTGATATGTGAAGTTGAAGAAATGATTAGCGTATACCAGCGTTTTGAATCATGAAATAATCAATCCTCCGAGGTGGAGAACGGTGCGTATCGTTCCATGCATGAAAACTAATCCTTCGGGAGCTGTGCAACCTCGCAAGAACACAGTGGTCCCATTCGAGACACGTTTCTTAAGAGGTACTTTCATGATGCAGAAACAAATCTTCCTTGAGCGCCCCGGCGACCCGTGCACAAGAACTTGTTCTTCCTGGCTTCAATCCTCGACCGAGCCCGAGCCCGTTCGATATCCGATAATACATAGTTCCATGGTCAGTAGGGTCATAGAACGGGTGAGGTGAATGGAAGAATGGAGGTCGGCGGTGAATTTTAATTAGTGCCTGCCCTAAATTACCTGTAATCGCCGGATTTACATTTTTCCCCCGCTTTCCTTTCTAATACCAATCGCGCCTATCTATAACTCTGTTTTTCGTCAGCCAAGGACTTCCACTACCCGGAAACAACACGTTCACTATCGTCGATTACACCTGAGGAACCGTCGTCGTCGTTATACCGATATAAATTTTGGACCTATCAGTTCTTACTACTGCAGATTCCGATTGGATCTCTGGCCCTTTTGAATTCGTCATTCAGGGTGCAGTACAGTGGAGCAGATGCCACACGAAACGCAGACGCACCGCTAAATTGGGTCTACTCGAACAATGGAGCATCAACCTTGAGCCCCATTGGTTTAGAAGCGAACGAACGGTATCTCCGTCTTGGACTACACGAGAATGGAGAGCTATTATTGCGCTTGGTAAATTTAGAATACCTCTATTCTTTGGATTAGCTTGAACTGACAGACGCAAATAGGACAATTTTAACTGGGCCGTGTAGCTAAAGATACCACCCCTGTCATGCCGACGGTGCAAGAACGAACTTCCGGAGATCGACTTGAATTCGAAATGAAGGACCCACAAATGATCGACTCCACTCTGGGTGCCTCAGCGGGTAAGTACTCAAACGTTCAGAGTCTTGTTTCATGCATTTTCTGTTGTATCTAACATGTATTCGTACAGCATTATCGATGTTACAAAAAAGTAAGATCCATGGGCGATGAATATTCCAAAACATGATAGATAATTTGTAGCACCCGACGAGCGGGGAACCGACAGAACCAGCATCAAGCAAGAATCCACGGCAACACATGCGTCCCCGTGCGGGTATCCGTCGCGTTTCGAAAGGGAACATATAGGCGCCACCTAGCGTTTTCAGCTTTTTATCCTGCGCGATCTCGCCCACCAATCATCTAACGTACGAAATGAGTGCCTCACCCCAATCCTCGACCCCCGGATCGGCTTCCCCGTCAAGGTTCAGCAGCCCTGCGCTGTCTGACGCGTCTTCCCCTGACTCGTCGCGACCGCCATCCCCACTGCTTCGCCCATTATCCAAGCGCCTCCCAGCAGCAAGCTCGAAACACGGTCTGGCGACGAAGCCACCTCTCGGTTTGAATGCCCTGAGCGGTGCCAGCTTGGGCTTCACGGCTATAAGCTCCAAGAAGGACAATGACGTTCCGCCTCGTACCGCATCCCCAGAACCTCTGGTCCAACCAGAGGAAGAGGCAGTAGCAGACGCCGAAGGACCCGCAGTGACTGATACTGGTAAACCCAAACCTAAGCGGAGGACATCCTCAGTCGCTATGGCCCCGTTTATCACCAAGTTCGAGCCATACGAGCCAGAGGAATACGTCGTGTGCAAGAAAAGCGGGACGAGATCCCCCGCTAGACTCGAGAAGGTGGCTATTGTCGGTTCGGGCAGCTGGGGAACAGCTCTAGCGCGTGTAGCGGCTCTGAACGCGGCTATACAAGAAGGATTTGATCCTGAAGTCAGGATGTGGGTGAGAGAACAGGAGGTGAGCTTGCCCTTTTGTGTCTTGGCGATACATAGTGATGGTTTCCGATAAGATCCATAACGGTAAAAGACTCATCGATATCATAAACGAGGGCTCGCGTCAGAACGAAAAGTACCTCCCCGATGTCGACCTTCCCGAGAACCTCGTCGCGGTGTCTTCCCTTAAAGAGACCGTCAGAGACGCGTCGCTCATCCTATTCGTCGTTCCACACCAATTCTTAGCTGCTGCTCTCAAGGAGCTCAAAGCCCCGGGCGTAGTCAACCCCAAGGCTCGTGCGATCTCCGCGATCAAGGGCGTGGACGTCGTCATCGAGAAGGACGCGACAGGCAAGACTACCAAAGCCGACATCTACACCTTCCCCTCTGTAATCGAGAAAGAACTCGGGATCCCGTGTACCGCTCTTGGAGGCGCCAACATCGCGCTTGACGTAGGACGAGGGGAGTTCTGCGAGACGACGATTGGCGTGCCTTCTGCAAAGGACGCGGCGCTGTGGCATGCGGTATTCGACGGGCCTGCGTTTAGAGTACACCCGATTGAGGACGTTGCTGGGGTGAGTTTGAGCGGGGCGCTGAAGAATATCGTGGCTCTCGCAGCTGGGTTCGTTGACGGGATGGGACTCGGTGGGAATACCAAGGCAGCGATTTTGAGAGTGGGACTGTTGGGGATGGCCATGTTCACGCAGGATTTCTTCCCTGGAAGTTCGTCGTTCACGTTTTCGCATCATTCTGCTGGTGAGTATTGTCATTATCTCTCGAAGTGTGCGAGCTGACTTCGCTGGTGTGTAGGTATGGCTGACCTGATTACGACGTCTTTTGGTGGTCGTAACCGAAAGTGTGCCGAGGCGTTTATCAAGAGCAAGCCGGAGTATGCTCCCGCTGGGACTGTCACCAATGGGAAGGGAAAGACTTTCCTAGAGCTTGAGGAAGAACTTTTGAATGGCCAGAAACTCCAAGGAACGCTAACCGCGCAGGAGGTCTTTGATTTCCTAGAAGCTCGAGGACGGTTGGAGGCGTACCCGCTCTTTGAGAAGGTTTATAGGATTTCATTTGAAGGCATGGACCCGAAGAGACTCTTCGAGGATTTGTGAATGATGCTGGTGTGTGTCTGGTTGTATCTAATTAGGAATATTCTCTGATATGGCGCGTTTGCAGTTACCCATGTCGTACGGCTGTTTCGTATGAATTGAAATTTTGATCGTTGAAACGAACCCACTGAATGTATCGCTATTCGCATTTTCGTATGTATATCAGTTAGAGTATAGAATAGATACTCCGCTTGTTCATATGTAAATTTACCTAGGAATACTCTGTTATCTTAGTCTAGCCGGTATTTTAGCTCTTGGTTTCGAGAGGATGAGCAGTGTTACGACGAATGTTGTCCTCCCCATCGTGGGCATGGCTGCCAAGTAGGAATATGCGTTCTCTACAAGTCAGAAACGTCGCGATCAGCAGGGTTGCACGTTCTGAACATCTGAAGACAAATAGAGTCAGATACCGAAAAGACAGTGCATTCTTGCGGTGTAGCCTCAAAGCGAGTATTCGGAAGCAGTCAACAAGTGGTGATTTACCACTTGTTTACTACTACAGACTCTACCTTATTATGTACTCAATTCGAGATGCTCTCGGCTCTTGAAAGCGGCATTGTATCTGAAAAGTCATAGTCACAGAGAATCACTTGACAGTCAGTGACTTGGGAGGATGAAATCGCCGTGAAGACCTCGAAAGTACTTTTAGATTGGCAGGGAAGGACTGAGGCGTGGGAAATGTGCTCGGCAAAATCCGCCCCTGCATCGCTCCAACTCTTATCGAAGACTGTCATCGATCCATGTACCTCAAATTACCAGAGGCCAGCCCAGGAACAATGCGACCTAGAAATAATTGACGCGCAGCCGGCGTCTCTCTTTCGGGCATTTCTCACTGCTATCTGTTATCCTGTTCGTTTCAGATTCTAAAGGGACGTGCAATTCCATGTGGGCGAGCACGGCCAATGGACGAGATATGGGACCAGCGCCATGATACTGACGTTGATAATCAAATTATGGAACCATGCGGTAAGGTGGATGGGACCGGAATATTGTGGGCATGGTGGGAGCCCATTTTCATTTTGCAGTCTACTGGAAATTTTCTCATGTGTCATCTAAAAAATACCTCAATCTGGAGGAACCAGGGTGTCCCCACAACATGCAGTTGACTCAAAGTACGTGTATCCTGAGCGTCCTTTCTTCCTTACTGACTCGACACGTAGATATTTATCACACGGAAAGGACTTCCGGTTTTGTCTCCGCACGCGTCTATTTTTCGTGAAGTGGAGCCTATGGCAAATCTGGGCATCGCTGTCTTATTGCACCGACCGCAGGACATCAAATCCCTATCAGTTCGGTTCATAAAAGTTGAGACGCTCGCGAAAATTGTGTGAGACGCGGAAATGTCAATTTGCGCGCGCTACTTCTGGTATCTGGGTAGGCATTTATATTATATGAGCGCTTGAATTCTGCTCTTAAGGGCCTTCAGTTTGCCCACAGAGAGCCATCTAAACCTTTCGATAACATGGTATGGCCTGATCTCTTTCAGCGCTCTTAGTGGTTGGCTTTATAACTGATTACTTTTATTCTTTCTCCAGAACCCCTCCATCCCTACTGACTTCGGAGCGATGATTACACCATGCAGCTGTGGCTTAGAAGAGTGAGTTTTTTTCACTAGTAGGCCAAGTCATTCAAAATTGAGCATCGTTTTAGGTGCACTCTGTGTAATGGCCCACAATTGAAACCTCGGTCATCCAAGATTGAGCATCTCTTTAGATGCAGTTGTGATGGCTCAAAAATTAAATCTGGATAGAGGCAAGGAATACCGAATTCGCTATTGAGGATGTAGGCGTCATATTGCTCTTTCTGCAGTAGCACGACGACTAAACTCTGTACAGGATCGAAATATTTGTGACTTGAAAATGATGCTGTATGAATGCGATTGTATGATTGTACGGGAAACCTAGACTGTCTATGCTCCTTTGTGACGACGACTGTATACCGACTGAGCGGGCTGTCGAGCTAACATGGTGTGAATAGAGGTTTGCACTGAGGACGCTTAAACTGTTCCGCGTCAAACACTATCTCCCCTGACGTCAGAGGCGCACATCCTGATTTCGTTCTTAATCATCCCTAATAAGATAATCTCTCATGGACTTATTCACGAGCCTCAAAACGATCTCTCACGTTCATTTTTGTATTGGCCTTCCGGCACCTCCGATGATTGCACGACATTTATAATCACTATTATTCACCAATGGTACATCGTTGGGTCGAGCGTTAAAACGACTGAATGGATTCACGTAAGCTAGAGCGTCTCTTCTACGCCGCTCACTTTCGTTCCTCCAATCCCAGGATTGGAGCCTTATCGTCAATTCCGACGTTACCGGTGCTTTCTCTATGCTGGCCTCCTTCCATTCAATCTCTTGCTATTTCTTATGAACGTTATCGTTCACGAGTGCTGGGTTCTGGTAAACGGGTGCTCTTTTACGTTACTTGGGCGCTTCACACATTGTATAAAAAGCATCTCGTCTCTCCCCAGGAACCATGCTAGCTGTTGAACATGGATGTGAGCATCATTGGCCTACCGCATCTAATCCTAATTTTTGACCAGGTCGCTCTTAGAATACGTCTAACACTGCGCTCGTTAGTTACGCTGCCGAGTATGTTGTTCTTCACTTGCATTATCAGACCCATCAAGACTAACCCTGCTCGCAGGAACAGCTCAGATACTAGCCAGCCCGCTTCGAGCGGTCGGCCCACTCTTCCAACCTCTCAGCCCAGCGAACCCAGAGAAGTTAAAGAGCTATCTTGCGAACTATGTTTGTCTTGCTCCTCTGCAAAATCAATCCGACTGACACTTGTAAAGGACTCGAAGACTCGATTCCCGCTTGATGAGCGATGTTGTATGATGCACATGAAAGACGTTCTACTCCGACCTGACGATATGCCCTTCCTTTTTACGACAATCATATGATCATCGATGACGCTGTAATATGTTCTCAATTTAGCCTTTGTCGATTATCCCTTCGGGGATAACAAATTCTTCCTTATGTGTTCGTTCGCTTGCAATTCATAACGCAAGAAGATACTTCCACGGTACGTTCCATCGGAAGAAGCCAACTGGTTAAACGCTCATCGATCGCATCACCCACAACGGTACAACCTGTGTTTTCACCTTCATTGTTGGTTCAATGCGTCTCGATTTAGTAGAGGTTTACAGAAGTTGCATGATATCGATGGCACAGCGGGAACCAAGCAGGAGCCCGGTAAAGCAAAATGAGGTCTTTTCTCCACTTCGGAAGGTTGATTATATGTATATTGTCACCGGTATTAGCCTCTTTCCGACCATGCTGTAAATGTCTAGAATCCTCCAATCCCAGGGTATTTTTTGGTCAGGTGTCCCCACTTGCTAGCGATTTTAGCGCCTCGCGAATATCGTCCTCCACGAACGAGACTGTTAACAATGCTGTATGACTTATATGTATGTTCAACTGAAGATAATATGACTCCTATAGTTTCTATCTCATCTTCGACATAAGGCACGCGGGACGAAATTGTGCAAGCTGCATGCGCAAGCTCGAGTGAAGAGGAAAGCTGTAGATTATTTCAATTGAGTTGCTCAACAGCAGTACTGATCTGAGGATTTCGTATTTATACCGAGGAACTTTCCTGATATTTTAGACGCCATCTTTGATAAACCTGCATCCTTTCCATCATGCCCAGCGCCGGTCTTCCCAAGAGAAAGCGTCCCCGACCTCCAATAGACGGATTAGCAAACGCCATATCCGCACTAAAGATCGCGAAATCTGTCCCAGTTTACTACGTCCAGAGCATGTGCGAAGGACTCATAGCTATTCTTGAAATAGTCGAGGTCAGCCATCGCCCGTGCGCGCTTATCCCTTCCTAAAAATTAAATACTTAACAGCAAGTCCGCCAAAACGAATCCGACATAGTGCGTTTCGCTAATGCTGCCAGCGAAACCGCAAGGCTCTTGCAAGAAGAGATACACAGCCACACTGGTCTCCCCAGCTCGACTTTTCAGGATGCTTGTGAGAGATTTAACATGTGCGTACTGCGGCGCTACGACGTACCCTCAATCGGGGAGCTCAGTTGAATTCTATGTACTAGGCGAATTTGCGAAACGGTCCATCATCTTGATGATCTGAAGGCTTCTAACGACAGACATACCTTCCTCAAGTATCTGCGAGTGGGTAGGACCAGCGACGCCATTAGCCAGTGGGAAAAGGCTTTGACGGAATTACGGGACAACCTGATCGTAAGTGGACCTCGGGCCGAGAAACCGTTCTTGCCCTTGACCCCCACTACTGAGCAAGAGAACAAGAGGATAAACTTTTCTTGTCGCCTCTCGGGAAGCTTATGACTTCTCTACTATGCACAGTGGACGGGAATGCACCTTGAATTCCCAATCAATCGCGTCCTCTGACTCTTGAACTCTTCCAGTGAAGCAAGCTCATTTTTTATTACCACAGCTCATTTCCACGACGGGTACAAGGATGGATGTTGCGGATATCGTCTCAAAGCAAGAAATAACGCATTCAATAGTGACAGACATTCATCAAACTCTTTCTTCGCACACAAGCTCTATTTCCATGATACCTTACCAACTCAAAGGGATACATGACGCAATTGGATTTTCTGCGAAATATACGAATAGAAAACTTGGTGAACTGAAAATGGAGATCGAGAACCAGAACCGTGTATCTGACGGCCGTGTAAGTACAATTAGACAAGATGGTATCCCTCACTCATTATTCTATCGATACCCAGTTCCGCCATTTCATTGAGGGCGATATTGACATCCGACAGGAACTTGATCCTCACAAGCCAACTTTCGAGAAAAAAAACTATGACAGTGTGTTAAAGACAAGCATTGCTTATGTGGGCGACTCCACGAAAGATAGGACTATCAGAGTGTTTCGTCGTAAAATAGTGAGTCCTCGCTCGTCATTGCTACGTTTTCTCTTTGTCTTTGACAATCTTTCGCAGGAGTGGGATCATGAACTAGACTTGTTGAAACTTGTTCCAAGGTTCGTTGTCCGTAGGGCTCTGTCGTTTAACCTGCTCAGGCTAACCAGACGTCCCAACTTGGTTCAATTGTACGGTGTATGCGACTCTGAGAGCTTTTTGACTCTAATATTTCATCGAAGTAAGTATTTTCGCTATCTGTCGTCGTTCCAATATTGTTAGCTGAGACTTGGCTTTGAAGAGCTGGTTTTTCTGGAGAATTATATAGTTGAAAGGGACCCGCCAGTCATCGAAGAAATCAGGTTGCGGGTCAATGCAGTACGTTCCTAGTCGCACAGCATTCACACCAGATGTGAATGACAGTCTTCATAGATTCGCGATCATCAAGTATGGTCACTGTTCAATACATTTCTCCTTAGCCGACGCCACATTCTAATGTTGGCTTCAGGATGCTCACATATTCCTTGCATCTCATCACGGCTTGACAGTCCAAAGCTATCATGTATGTTTTAAGGTTTCCCTCGAGGCGTTGCTCATTATTATCAGCACGGATTCTATTACGCGGATGAGAATGGCGCGCTTTGCATGGATCGATTTCGACCCGCGTCCGGAGACTCCGCGTGGCTTACTCCCCTTGTGTACAATACAAGTACCCTCTTGTCTTCAGTTCTCGGTCCTGTGGGGATCCAAGATCCCACTCCCAACATCTTTGACTCTCCGATATCGAAGGCGCAACTGCTAGAGTATTATAATCTTATTTTATGGTTGCCCTCGGTCCAATTAGATCTGCGGAAGTCTCAAAGAGGATCTATTGGGATATATAGGCCGCTCGAATGGACCAAGCTGGCTTCATTGCAATTGCTAGATCCGAAATATCTATCACGGACTTGGGCCTTTTGTAAAGATGGCACCAGTTTCGACGAACAAAATATGATCACGGACCCCGATGGGTCTTTAAGGTACGAAAACTGTTTTTGACGCATCTCAGACGCTTGGCTCATTTCTGTCGCAGAATTGCCATCCATACCAACGAACCAAAAACCTTTACTGTGCTCTCTCAATTGACCGATGACTCTTTTCGTACAATATTTTACGCCTTCTTCTCCCAAGCAAGTCATATATCTGAAAAACATGGTTTACACGAGGTCGACACCCTTCTATGTGGGCCTTTTCTCTTCGCCCCATAATAATGTCTCAATAGTTGCCAGATGTCAGTGCCAGTATCCTGCGCCTCCGCTACTCACCCCATGAAGCCTCGTCGCCAGCATACACAAGGAAGAGAAATACGATTTACCTGTTCCTACCGCCCGCCGCAGCATTTGAGAAGTCCTTATCAAGGTCATATTACTTCGCTTTTGATTCCCAAGGCTTCGAGAGAGTGTCTGAATCAGAACTCGAAGTCTATGGCATGACGGTGGAACATTCTGTAGGAGAAAGCGTATTTCCTAATCTCTGTGCGCCGAAGGCGATGATGGCTCGTAGATATCGATTTTTGAGGGACATCCATTGTGAATGTGGCTTCAATCCGTATAGCACACAAGCTGCAGAGTACCTTGAACTGCCGATATTCCAGCTACATGGTTTAGTAGAGTTGGAAAATGTGAAGGCTACACGTAGTGATACCAAAGGTGCGTTATCGAGAATGATTATCTAGGTATCGCTGTTCTCTGACGCCTTCTGTTCCGGTCCTCCCCAGGTCGTGCAGCTTTGAATATTCTAGCCAGAATTATGATCATCCTTATTCTGTTCTCTGTTATGGCCTTCGTGTTGGAAGGTAGCCTAGGAATTACATTTAACAACTCAAATAGCATGGCCCATTCAAGTTCTATCCATCTAGTCGTCGACAGTGGCTTGAGTAGTACTATTGTCTAGTGAACCTGATATTTATTCGTTACATGACTGTAACTTTCTGTCAAAGACACTTTGTGAGCATATACTGACGGATGAGTGATCTCACTGCATTCTGCACTTCGTCCTTGGGCTCATTTTAATGATGTTCGTAAGCTGGCGGAGTCCTTGTTATCCCAATAGCTGTCCTTAGTTGCAATGAGACGTCTATGACTACTGACGGCGTCAAGAGATGCCTACCATAGAAATAAAAGCATTGAACATTGGTCGTGATGAGGAACCTGTTTTTCTTGCCAGGATAGACCAACTCATACGTATTACGTGAGGTCCATAGTGCATTTCGCGCGCGATTTAAATACTCTTCAGATACCGTTTACTGGTTTTCTAAACTCTAATCTGTTCGGAGCTCCGGGGGGTATGAGCAAGGTATAAGTTGTAATCTAGAGGTTAGAGGTTAGAAACCCGGTATGCGGCCCCAATAAGGAACACCGGGGGTTCTGTGCCGCCACATAATGTGTCACAGACCATAGCAGTACCGTGCCGCTGTGATATCCACCAGGTGTCAGCTGGGAACGTCTCACGGGTTTAATACTGCCATAGGGACCGACAAATCCAATCAAAGTAAAATCATTGAGGACCCTAAGGAAGGCAACAAGTCCGGGTCAAGTGTACTACTATGATTAGCTAGCTGATCTCCAGAGTGATTCCGGCGCGACATATATCGCCGTCGCTCGAAAAATCTCCAATCCCTGATGTACGTATTGTGCTAATCTCGGCTCCAACCGGGGAAGCTGCAACAAGCATGCCAAACGGTCATCGAACTCTAACAAATCCCATGCGGCACCAAGGCTCTGAGACAATGTATGCGCGTCAGCGATGAATAAATGACAAAGCTCTACCGGTCCAGAGGCAATAGTACAACGGAGCAGGGCGTGTGCCTCATCCTCAACGGCAATTTTGCAAAATCGACACAACCGCCACTCTCGAGGGGTTTTGGGGCGGTAGCGTTCCCCCCAACGAAGGACCTCGATGGCGAGGATATGCGATGATACAAAAAGACGTGTGAGAGCCTTGCGATGAGCGGGAACCATGGATGTGAGATAAGTACGACGGCTCAGTGATCTCCGACGTGGTTGCAAACCATGTAATCATTATGAGAACATCAAGACGGATGATCTGTGGCCAAAAAACTGCTACACGATGGCGAGAACAAAGACAACAAAAACAGATGACAACCACTGTCCTCAAACCCGAGAACAATGACGATAATCACCGACATCCATCAGGTGGGAATACCGGTTTCTCTGATTCGGGGCGAGTTCAAGCAGCGGTTGGCGTAACCGACAGCCAATGAAGCTCTAAAGCTCAAGGAAAGGAAAACCATGCGTAACAACGCCATTTACCGAGTTCCTTCTAGTGCGGGCAGTCCAAGGAGATAAGGACATCCAGCGTAGAAGAACTCCTCAATGGTAGGAATAGAGAAACAATGAATGTGCCCATGAATATAGGGGCGAGCAAGGGAAGGATACTGCGACATGGAGACTTTGTGAAATATCTCCGTGGTAGCAGTAGACTATTCAGGAACACACTATAGCACAGAAGGTATGGAGAATGGGCGTGCGTCGATGCTTGGAGCAAAGTACATAGAAACGTCGGAGCCCCTATTTCTGCTAGGACATGGCCCACATAGTTCGTGCAATTTGCGCGCCATCCAGCAAGGTCTTACTGAGGTATGTGCGATAACGCCAGATAGACTGAGAAGCGGCAGAATACTTGCGGTTGAGAGGGAGCGGCATTACCCGGACACAGCCACCACCCATTGTCTTCGAGTGGCGTTGAAATGCTTGTTGTATCGAAATACTTCTTCCCGCAATAGTAAGTGCCCCATGATATCCTGAATGACTGGAACCTGAAACCGTTGACTGTAGCTCGAATTGAAAAACCACGTCTGCATCCCGACGAGCCGAATCAATCTCCCAGTCATGACGTGAGTAAAATTCGTCTTTTTAAAAGTGTGTACGTCAGGGTATGCTCAATGCAAGCATTAAGTCACGCTACAGAAGAGCTTAGACTCCTATTGGAAAAAATGGGGCTCGCTCATGGTAGCTTGAGCACCATCGCATCAGAATCGCATCTAGGAACCCGAGGCCGGCTCACCAAAAATGATATTCGTTTCATCAAAGCGAACACTGAGGCCCTTGAAAAAGAGCAGTCAATTGTTGACGATTGTATTCTAAAAATCCAGTCCCTTCTACCGCAACTTCGCTGTCGACATGCCAAAAACCGCACTGCCATCGACTTCCAAAAAGCTCTTCTCGTTCCGTTGCCCCGACAATCGAAGGAAGAAAAGGATTTCCTCTCGCGTATCCCGTACGAGTTATCCCCACTATCCACTGTTCCATTCGAAGTCATGAGTCACATCCTGGTGCTTGCGGCCACAAGCATCGACTTGTCAACGGAGTCGGATTGCCTAGATACGACGAGTAACACAGCGTGGATCTTGGGCCAAGTCTGCAGAGTCTGGCGCGCCATTGTCTTGTCTACGCCATCGCTTTGGAGCCTAGTGGTCCTCAACGACGAACCAAATTACTTTACCCTCTGGGAAGAGCTTGTTCTCCACAAGTATCTCCGCAGATCGAAGGAACAGCTTCTGCAAGTCGTTGTTCATGGCATGTACGTCGATACTGCACTGCGGTCGGCGCTCCAGGGGCTATGTCCTCACACTCACCGCTGGGGTTCCGTGGACTGGACAACCAATTCCTCGAGTCTGAGATTCTTTTCGAACATTTTCAGGCAGTCGGCCTACTTCCCTTTCTTGAAGTCGCTTAGTCTCACTGTCGAAGGTTCGGATTACTATGACGTAGAACACGTCACAAGCGATGCGCCTAGCCGTCTGGCGGCATTCCACGCTCCAGTCGAGCAACTCATCGAAATGTTCTGGGAGGCTCCTCAATTACAGGACGTTTTATTGCAGGGCATCGGTATCACCGAAATTACTTTCCCCCTAGCGCGGTTAAGGACCTTTCAAGGAGATATTTACTTTCCCCAGGAACTTGCGCGACTATTTTCTCAAGCTCCCGAGCTGACCCAGGCGACACTGTGGATCAAATTTCGAGAGAACCACAGTTTCACTGATGATCCCGTGGCCCATTTGAGCCTTTGCCGTCTATCCTTGTACACAGACGTGGAGTGTTTGCAGTGCCTTCACCTTCCGGCTTTGCAGCATCTCCTAGTGGAGCAATTGGTATCCTACAAAGATGGTATTTTGGGTATCGAACAATTCATCTCACATTCGCAGTGTCAACTGCAGACACTCTACCTGAACGTTCCTCCGCTCTCCTTTTCACTTCTCACCTCTATCCTCGAGAAGTGCGCTTCAACACTAACGGCTTTATCTGTTCGCATTGATAAAAAGATGGCGGATGATCTATATCAGGCCCTTACCTACAATTCTGTCTCCTGTCTTGCACCACACTTGACAGAACTCTTCATTCATGACGACACGTACGGAAACGACCCAGTGCAACCTTCTTTGAAGGCATTCGAGTACAGTACTGCGGCGCTCCTCAATATGTTATCTTCTAGGAGACGCCTTGGATCAGAAACCGCGCTTCTGAAGTCCCTGACGTTGACTGCTCCTCATTCTCCCCAACCAAAAAAGTTGCTGAAAGTCATGAGGAAATTTGAAAGAGAGGGGTTGTCGATAAAATTCCATGGTTGTGCATGGATGATGTCGCTCGAAATGTGACACGCCAGAAATAGAGAGTGCCATTGAGAAGGGAGTTTTGTGATCAAAAGGAAATATGGGTTCTCCGTTACTATCGATATACAGAACACCACCGTCGAGCATACTGATAATGTCGACGACGTACTGTACCCGACAAATAAAGAGCGTGCATGAATCATCCGTGGAGAGGATAGGAAGTAGAAGTAGGTGGACAAAAATGAATACTGAGCCGTACTGGCACGGTACAGGGAGCAGCTTCGTCAGACAACGGGTGATGATGCCCTTGACCACGAGAGGGACGAAGAGTACACGTGCATCCATCCAACGAATATTCTGGTGAGAAGCTGTGCCCTAGGAATCTCCTGAGAAACATTGTCATGGATCATCGCTCGGTGCAACCGGTATACGAATGGCGAGAAAAAGCAGCGAAGGCGAGAACAGCAGAGCGCTGATCCTAGGAGCTAAGGGGCGCCCCGCGTGCACAACAACCGGTTTACTTTTCCAACATACCAAGTCACTGGAGGCAGACATGATCTCCCTCGGATTGTGTACTAGAGATAGCGGGATGTGAAAAGGCGGTGGCCCATAAATACATCAATTGAGCCCCGGTGGAAGATGCGAACGAGGATCGGCGCCGACAAGGCTCGGAGGCTTCGAGGCCGTATCAGCACCCTCGCCGAGCCCCGGCTCCGGTAGAAAACATGCGCGAATGTAGGACGTTTGTGTCCGAGCAGCTTCTCTAGAATCTCGAGGAAAGGGCTGATGTGTCCCTCGGGAGTGGCTGCCGATGAGCTACAAAGCAGCTAACCTCTCCGAACGGACTGCTGGACATTGATGCCAAGGAGTACAGCGTTTGTAGCAGGGAAAGACGTAAAAGGTAACCAGAGCAAGGATATGGGTGCACAGAGAAAAGGAGCGGATTGGGGGACGCTTTGGATCTAAGTGACGCAGTATAACTTGCAGGCTTAACGGCAATGTTGCGTCTGACAGACAGAAACCAAACCCCACGACGCTGATGGATTTCCTAGCGTGGGTCTCTGTGACGAGTAGAATTACTATGGATGCGGTGAATACTGCCGGTATAAAGCTGGGCCGCGTCCACGCCTGTTGTACGATCCAATAAGAACTTGAAGTGTCTTACGGAGCAGTCAGATAAATTTATGAAGTACGAGAAGAAAAGTAGCTTACAATATGTATCCCTTCATAATACGTAGACGAATAGTTTCATTGTCAAAAAGCGCTTGAAATCGGCCACTGAGTCTCGCACAAGTTCGTGAAAAGCGGCGGGACATCTTTAGTCTGTGAAAGATAGCTTCCTTGTCAAGTTCGCCTAGTCCTGCTATATGCATGTTTGAAAAATCTCACCATCTAAGCTGACGGGAAAGATGATTCGAGTTCAAAAATAGTCGGCATCAGATTTACAAGGGGAAGCCGTGAACACCTCGTCGCGAAAGGAAGTCGCCTTGTTTGATACCCCCAACAGAGTTCATAGCGATCAAAATTCTTTGGAAGAGGAGGCCAGACAGGACCAAAAAATGGCAGAATGGCGCGCAAGAAAATATGGGAAGAACGTGGTGGGTCAACCAAAAGAGTCCTAAAACAACGTCATCAACAGGACGAATGATTCATAATAGCATGGCTCAAACATCTATGTTGGGCAGTTTCTCTGCGCTTTAGCGATTTCAGACAGGAGTCTAGCACGTTCTTTCAGTAACGATACGGTACGCCGATGCTCGTCACCATAGTCAGCGTCGTAAAGCGCCTATACATGGCTGTCAATAACATATAACGCGACCATAGACAAGGAAAACTCACACTCTGGTTACTGCTAGAGTGTGATTGCATGCTCCAGTGGGCTCCGCTTGATTCAAACGATTCGACTTCCCAGTCCTGGTCCACAGGCTCAATCGTGCCCGTATGTCTCACGGGCACTCTAACAGGTGTCTTCCAGTCTTGCCCCTCGTGGAATAGAGACAATGAAAGTGCCAAAGGTGAGGGTACCTCGTGAATGCATCTCGGAGACGTACGCCGCGAGAGTTCTGGCGTGGCAGCAGAGTTGCTGATACTCGTGTTGGACTCTGCGACAGACGCGCCCGTCGGAAGAAGAGAGCTTGCACGAGTCGTCGTGGTCATCGTCGACGGGCTATGCGCATCTCTCTCTGTCTGTATGAGTCCTGCCCGTCGTCCAACCCAACATAACGCCTCGGCGACGAGCGTAACCTCAGCGTACTCTCCAGCCGCCAGCTTCCTCGGGTCAACACCGCTCAGGCCCATGTCATCGTTCTTGAGAATATCGGTTTCTAAGACACCTAGAAAGATCTTCATGCATTGCACTCGAGCATTGAGAGCTTCATCGCGCTGAGCAGAAGATTTCGACACCGCTGACTGGCGTATAGTGGGAGAAAGCGGAAGCCGTTCGGATAGAAAACATTCTAGGATAGCAAGGAGAAGTGAAGGGGTAAGGTCTGTAGGAGATTGGATGGGAATTGGAATTCGAAGGGCGGTGAGTAGCTCGTTCAGTTGGTTCACCAGGTTCATGTTATTCAAACTCCGATTTGTAACTCCGCTATCCCAATCAAGCCTGACGTCCTTTCAAGCTTGACTACGTCTACGAATATTCCATGTACATCTTAATCTATCTCCAGTGGTTCCTATGTTTTCGCTAATATTTTTCGGGGCTCGTATCTCGTTTTCCTTCCTATCTGAATCTGATTTCCCCAACTTCTCGGACTGTCCACCGAATCGCACTCTTGTTCTGTCTCTTGCTTCTTAGTGGCGCGCGAAAATGGAGACTCATCGATACCAACAAGACAACACTTCCTTGGAATTCTAGGCAGTTGTGGTCCGAACAAATCATCCCCGACCTTTAGAATTTTCTTGGTAGGAACACCTTGGTAATACGTGAACATAACGTCCTTCATGAGTCATATCATGGCCCCTTCGGTCTCCCTCTGGTTCCGGGTGTATCTCAAGGGCATCGAAATGCCCTGGCCGTGCATACGTTGTCGGTGGACTAGTTTTTCGATCCCCGTGGTCGTCGCATCGGGAAACGTCCTATCTCAGGCTCCCTGCGTGGTAACAGCGGTCCATTCTTCCTTCATCTGTTTCCCGAACAGCATTACTTTCCAGCCACAGAATACATTCTGTAGCAGAGCTTCACATGTGTGTACTCCACTTCGCCACTCTACGTGGATCCTCTAACTACGGACTTCGAAGTCTCGGTTCTCTTCGCACAATTTGATGACCCTGCATGTCTCTATCCAATGGTTTCATCTTCATCACTGAAAGCTCTTTGCCTGTTCGGACACTGGGCGAAGTTGGTCGTCGCATGGGATAGAAGAGTTCTCTTCGCAATGTCGCGCCAGCTCTTGTGGACATAGATCCAGAACAACTTTCTCTTTGTCTTGATTGGTCACAGATACCTTCAGGTATATTTTCGACACAATCCATGTCGCGTTCATGAGGGCTCCCATCTGATTTCATTTCGCCAGTCCGTTAAACCTCATCTATCTAAGCGCGAAGAACTATGGAACTGTTGAAAGACCCATCTACATCTATACATAGATCCTTGGGCTTTGAAATAATCAGAGGTACGCGAAAGACTCAATCAAATTGTCTCTGAGTGTATGTTCAACCTCAGGGGAAATCCCCCTTTGATCGATGTGATCCCCGTTCGTCGATTTTCTCCGAAGCGAAAAACAGTTTTGTCTACCCCTTCATTGATGCATGCTCTTCCGACAAAACGTCGTTCTTGCGAATCCAAGTAGAAAAGATGGAAAACCCGGAGATGATATGCATGATACGCCTTAGGTCCACTTCAACGCGACGACACGGACATCGCAGAGACCAGCGTTGCAGTGATCACATTTCTTTCAAAGCAAGCCAGGGGATGTCAATATGGGGCGGGAAAAACATGACTGTATTACGGCCCTACGGGGTCGATAAATGTACTGAAGAAATATCAGTACAAATCTGACAGTCAAATATGTTGCCGCAATGTTCTGGGCCTTATCTCTAAATCATTGACCTCGGATCTGACTTTGGATCATTGTGCGTTGTGCTGCAACACTGAACTTGTTCGGCATTCGGATCGGCACCCGAGAACCCCGGGCTACTAGGACTGGAAGGACGGCTTGACAAGACTCGCCTAGACAAGTCAATGTGGAAAGAGATTAATTAACTGGCGCTCGGGTCCAAATAGCTAAAGGGTCGCGTTGACGCGGATCCCTCATATCATTTGCAAGGACTAGAACAGCGGTCCTGAGATCCACCGTTCTCCAAGATGGAGGTGGAGATTAGTGCTCGGGTAAGAGCACTGAGAGATGCAGGCTACAAATCTCATATCTTCCACCCTTAATAAATCGTGGTGTTTTGCCGGAGCTAGAGACAACTTGAACATAGTAGGAGATCGGATCCAAACTCTCCAAGTCATCAAACATCCCGGAAGAATAAATACACTACTACTACGACCGTCATGAATAGCAGTCGTAAGTACCGGTAACTTCTACCAAGCAATGCCGCGGCTATACCGTATAAGAGACCATTTCCAGCACTGGCCTATGACGCACAGAATTTTCAGCCGCTAGTAGCTCCAGATTCTTCTGATTCTCATGATCGAAGGATGCCCGAAAACTAATGGAAAACTTCCGTTCCTCGTGGCATACCGATGTGCTTCAATCAGAGCCTTTCAGGTTTCCAATTGCGCCCATTCCTTTGATGATGAATTGGGGCTGCACCTGTACATCTGTCATACTGAAGAAGGATCACTACATGGACTTGGTCTAATGTCCGATCAGAGCATACCGATTCTTGTACCATGAGGTGGCTTGGTTATGGGGCTCTCATGCAGATAGACGAGCTTTGAGGTCAGGATCTGATTGGCAAGGTCTGATTACCAAATAATTTTTGCGTTGGCATTTGAGCCTAGAGCTTAGAAGGAGGACCTTGATGGTGTAATTCGGGATGCTTGCCGCCGTGGATAACGGAATACATTTTAATACACACTGGCGGCACCGGTTCCGTAAGTTCCATACCTATGTGCCTTATCAGGCGGCAGTTGTCCAGACGATTTCCTCTGATGGCGACGGATGGAGCCGACGGTGATGATTGTGCTCGCAGTAACAGAGCTGCGGGGTACAACATGAATTAGTACTATGGTACATTTTTTGCCGAAAATACGCGACTGTAACTACGAACGTCACCACAAAATACAGAATATCTCAAGATTACACAGCTACACCATTATAGGAAACTCTGCGAATGGCAGCAATTGAGCATCGCACGAATCGGCGTACAAAAAGGAAGCTCACTTTGGAGGATAGTGATAAGAGTTGAATGGGAATTCGTTGTCCAGATCCTTCAGCAACGGTCATGCTACCGAAAACGACGAGCGTATGAGAAAAAATACCTTTGAATTCGGACTGACAGGACTATTGTCCCATTGACCCGCGTCTATGGGGGCCATACTTGGCATCCGTGTACCAAGATGGAACATATTGGTGTTGTTGCTGGTTGTTCCCTGCTTATCAGTCCCTTTCCCTCTCACGATACGTCGAGTGTTCAACCTGCGCGCGACCGCCGGTAAGTTTCGATGAAAGAAGGTAATAAACTTTAAGCGCACGTTGCCATGAAGGATATGGCGTAAACTGCAAGGGTCGTCAGGCTCATGATCATAATATGGTTTCATTACTCACGTTTGCTCAGGATGAAGAAACATGCGACGAAAACTAAATTGGTGGGCATGATGTTATACTAACCAAATGATCAGACGCGATGTGCTAAACGTGTGGGCGCACTTACAAGAATCAACGTCGATAGGCTGACGGCGCTGTAGAACTGGGATTAGCTTCATTGAGTTTCTATGCTCGGCATTATGCCCACCTAGTCAAAGCGCCGGTATTGATTGCATATAGGACAAGACTATTGACCAATGAATCCGATCTACGCAGCAGTGAGTACGAGATACTGCGAAAAGTAGTTTACACACTTATGATATCCTGTCCTCAGCTTGTTCAGGAAATAACATAGCGACATGGCAGTGGCCAGATCAGTTAGAACCCCAACGCCCAGAGAGGTAGATCCCAGAGCCTATAACCGAGCATGAGAATAGGCATGAGTGTGGACAAAAAATCCACTGACACGAAGATGGACAACCTCGAAGACTCCACTCAATTCAAATCTAAAAGAGCGTCGGACACCGATCGTGCAAGAGTCAAGTATCAGCTTACGCTTTTACGGTGAAAGCTGAGTCACTGAGTTAGAAATTTTATGTTGAAAGCGAACAACGAGCTCACTTATGGCCAAGCCTCCATAGACACCGATAAGAATCAGTATGCTACCGCGTAATGACTGATATTTTGGGGTGACATACCCAGCTGGCCATATGTTAATAATAACTAGAGAAAGGGGCCATCAGTCACATAAGGAACCAAAAGGATTAATCAATTTGAAAACTCACGATGATGCCGGTGATAAACTTATTGCGTTCACTGACTGTCGTCGGAGTGTGAGTCTCCTTGGGGTTTTAGGCCGAAACAGACTGCCACTCACATCTCCACACTCGCAACGCGAAGGATCTATACCAGAATGTCAGCATGCGACGAATGCGGATCGAGTGCTACGAACGTTTTTACTATGCATCCAACGATGGCCTGGCTCAGGTATCATGAGGAAGTGAAGGGATGATGAGTATATGCAACTCACCCCAATAGTCTGCTGCAGCTTTGAAGAAGAATCACTAGACTGATGGGGTTCCAACTGGTCGCACTCACAATGAATGACCTATATGCCAGACAATGTGAGCTAGTGAGCAGAGCAATGATGTCCGATGACGCACCAAGTCACAGTTCCCCGAACCAAGGCCAACACATTCGCAAAATTCGAGATAGTGTAGTAATACACCACGTGCCCGATAAAAGTCTGATCGATAGTTTCAAGGAGTCTACGAGGTTAAAGGTATGAATAAGAAGTGGTATGAATATGTTAAAAAGAACGCGTACAAAATGAGCAAAACCTGTAGGACTCTATTTCAGCGGAGGGGAAACGTGAAAGAGAATCAGAGATACGCACCAGCCCTTTGTAGACAGGTCTATCAAAGGGATATCTCGAGAAATATCTGAAAACTTGTGTGACAAGGATTCCGTAGACACAGCAAGCTACCGCGAAGCCTATGAGTACTGCGCCTAACGTGCTGTTGATGTTCAAATCCGTCGGAAGCGACGCCATGGTAGGCGAGAGGTGACCCACAGAAGCACAGGGAAAGGGCAAGGGTCGTTCTGGAAACCAGGCCTAATTATGTAGGAGGACTGCCGATCCGAACCTGGCAATCTGCGCTATAGCACATGCATTCCAGGGAGACTCGTGGACCATAGTTATATTCTGCCCTATCCTTCGATTGCTACGGAAAATCAAGTGATCCAAATGAAATCGGGGACCGCTTGGCATCTCGATTGATGTTGAATGGGTTCCTGTGCCCAACATAGCATTTGGTTTGATGGCTGGAAAATATTTCAGTAGAAGTCCAATGAAAACGGCACAACGTAGGATTCATGTACTTGGGGGCAGTGTGTGAACGAGAAGGCCTGCCGTGAATGTTGAGCGCTGAGCGTTCCACGGTTGATGAGCCCTGAGTACGGTACGGTGCCTGATTATTGCCGGTCCCGCATTGGCGTGGTGTGAAAATATAAGAAAAGCTCATTTGCATGAACGCCGGACATGGTATGCATGTGGCACTCCTTCCGATACATCTGGGGTAGCTATAAAGATAGCATTTTTACACTGGAAAAGGCTACAAGATGTCCGTAAAATACACACATATTACATTCTAAAGCATGCTCTTCCCGGGCCATCATGTGTATGCGGTCAGGATCCGTCACCGCATTGAAGATAAGATAAAAGCCTGCAAATCCCGGTCAGTTTGCAGTTATGTGACCCTGGCTCGGAGGCGGAGACATTGGTATTGGCAACTACGAGATCCAAATCAAAAACTGGCTTCCATAGGGGAACGGATTGTCATACCTCTTGAGCATGAGTAGCTTGAGTGCTCAGTGGTTCGTCGGCATCTGACATTACGGAAACTTCTTGATGTATTCCGATAGACAATTGAGTCTGCACACAGGATCGATTAAACGTTTGTCAAAAAGTAACATAAGAAGAACCTTTTGCGTTTGCGTTTGCGACCTGAGCGTCTGAGGATGAACCATGTAGAATGCATTGCCGAATAGATGAGCTGTGGGGCTTGCAGTTCCAATTTCTCTGTCTGTTCCGCGTCCTCTCACGATATGTCGAGTGTTTAAGGTGCACATGAAAGAAATGGCATATACTAGAATTAAAACAAGAGTCAATACAAAAGCGACCAAGTAAAATATAGCTCACATTTGCTCAAAACAAAATAGAAGGCCATAAACACGAAGTTCGTAGGATACAAGTCGTACTGTCCATGCGGTCAGGACGGTTCTGGCTGATTCCTATTTCCTGCACTCACTAGTATCAAGGTCGTGATGCTGACGGTGCTATGAATATGTTCGGATCAGCTTCCGTCACGCGACGAATTTCTCCCACCAACCTTGTAAGAACACCTGTGTTGATGGCATAGACTGTGAGTCTGTTGACAACAGAGTCCGAACTGGATGATTGGCTCAATATGAGCATTCCATCAGCGCAGGACGTAGCATGGCTCACCTCTTGTAACCCGTTCTTAGCCTCCGCAGGAACAAGGATAAGGAAAGTGCAATGATGATGTCAGTCAGGGCACCAGCGCCCAGCGAAAGTGAAGCCAAAGTCTGGGGGTGCAGATTTAGAATCGCTACGGCATTCAGAACAGGCAAGCGCTGACCCTCAAGTTTGATATGTACGCCAATTTATTCAGCTGAAAACTTATTGAGATCACATGTTAGAACTAGGACGATTCTAAGAAAAGAACAAAATCTTACCCTCGAACGGCATATGCTTTTTTGATTAGGCGGTTAGCTAGTCTCTTTCAACGGTTCCGAAATTAGAGAGGTACCTATGGCAAGCCCTGCTCGGAACTCGGCGTCAGAATTCAGTATGGGCACAGGGGAATCCTTCTGAAGCGTACCGAGTTGTCCATATGTCAAGAAGAGCTGTATTAAGAAATGAATGTCAGGCGACTGTGGATATCACATACAATGATGCCTTACAATTAAGCATGTAATAGGAAGGTTATGACCACTGACTGGGGGTCTCGTTAAGGTGTATCCCGAGAAGACAGGATAAGACTCTCACATAGCCATACACGCATGGCAAAGCATCTGAACAACAGGTCAGTATAGATTTTATGATTGAGAGCACATGCCATCGTACGTTTTAACAATAGTACCCACTAAGGCCTATTGAAAAGACGTTGATACTTCAGAAGACCAACAACGGTTAACTGATACGTACACCCAAAACCAATTGAAGCTGTCGAATAGTCTTTCTGAGTCATCGTCACCAGACAGGGTATTGCTTACAATAAGCGTCCATATCACGTCTCCAAACAACATAACTTGCGGTGACATATAATTTCTAGTGGAGTTCGGTCAGTCGAGAGTCATGATGCAAGCTTGCTACCACGCACGTTATTGTATAATAATACACGCAGTGCCCAATAAACGCCTGATCGACAATTTCTAAACACCTGCACCCGGGGAATCAACGGATCGGCATGTTATCGCGAAAATCACCTGCATACCAAATTGCCGCCACCTGTCCACGAGCAAAATTAACAGTTTATAGCTTCGGAAGAGGGAAGTGGTCGCACGAGAAGTTTATACGCGGGTAGATCAGATGGATACCGTCGAAAGTACGAAAAACCCTGCACACATAGCGCTCCGATTAGTGCACAAGACACACCGAACCCAATGAGCGCCGCGCCAAGGGTAGAATCGACACGGATAGGACTGGACATGCTGAGGTGGAGGGAAGGAAGGGAAGGTATCGGAGGGAAGGACGGGGTGCTGGCGACCAACCACAGGTTGCAAAGAATCAGACTGCTTATGGAAGTCGCTATATATGCTCTGCCAAGGGCCGTGGTATCAGGGTCCGGGAACTATTAAATGCATTTCATACGGATCGATTTCGAGAATCTTTCGGTGACGTCCTCGATGGTAATTAATCCGCGTATCACAATGTTTTCGGGGCGTCGGTCATTAAGTAGCGAGGGCTGAAGCGCTTAGTTTCAGAGTCTTGTATACTGTAGCATATACGTGAGTCATCGTCACCGCAAATTTACCAGTTGGGAGGACGATACGTCAAACGGATCTGACGGGCAGTGACCCAAGTATGTACCACAACCAGATTTACAGTTCTGGTATGATGCGAAATGATGCGTGGACCGGGTACAAAGAAACGCCTCCGGCTCGTGGGACCTCCACGCACACCACACCAATGAAGAGCAGAAATCTGACAAAAATGAATAGAAGCAAGGGCATATCGGGGGAAAGTCACAGATTCTCCTCCTTCTAGCCCGGAATAATTGACTTCTGGAGTCGATAATATATCCGTTAGGCCTGGATATATAATCTTAAGTTGAGAAAACATAGGACCACATGGTGTGTATCACCGCACTGAATCCGCTTTACGAGAAAATATGTTTGAGTTGCCCGAGCGGTGGGCTCATGAAACAGCGGAAAATAAATCTGGTCATTACGCTTTGCGGTTAGGGTCAGTTGACACGCATCCAAGACCAGCTGTGTGCGCAAAGCCCTCCCCAGGTGAAATGTTCTGGGACACGAATTAACTATGGGAATCTGTGAACAGATGACAACTGAATACAGCGACTCACGAAAAATCTACGTGTTCTCGTCGTAAGCTGATGATGAGGCACCCACTCTGACCCCGCACTTTGAAGGGCACTGGAAAAAAAACAGGACACGGCACAGAATCTTGACGCCACTAAATCGAATGATCTGAGTGCGGGAATCTTAAGCCGAAGGGCGCACGGTAACAGTAACAAGAGTGCATTGAGTATTTGCAGGAGTATCTGTCGTGGCGTCGTCAGATCAGAGCGGAAGAAACAGAGTAGGGGAAGCAACGTACCTAACATATACCCTATTGTTTCTTCGTATTCTTCTTGGCGACACTTTTATCGCTCCTCATTCGTGTCGACTTCGTAGAGCTCGTTTTGCGGGATGAAGCGGACGATGGTTTCTTTCGCGTCCTATCACGATCTTTGCTGTGCACCTTCACTCCCTCCTTACTCAAAGCGAGTCTCGCCTTTTTCTTTGCCAAGCGTCGAGCGACTCGGTCTGCATCAGTGGACTTGACGTGTTTGCGGGCCTCTTTGGTGAGATGAGCGAGTCTGTCGCCTAATGAAGGATCGCCGGCGGGTATTGACGGCTGGACTAGGGTCTTAGTTCCCGCGGGCACCGAACTAGTGGGGCGCTGTCCTCCTGGGAGTGTCTTGCAGCGTTGCACACGCAATTTGCGTTTGGCGAACTTAAGTTTCCCTTCTTCCAACGCGAGAACCTCATCGACGCATTGTCGGTCCTGGGAAGCCAATAAGATATCCACGCCAATAAATGATGAAAAAGAGGCACTCACGGTAAATTGAACGTAAGCGAACCCTTTTCCAAGCTGTGTTTCCTTGTCTCGAACAATTCTAACCCTGGTCACCCACGTCAGCGATTTCTTTACATCTCCATCCTGATCGTCATCCCCAGTTGGCGGTCCACGTTCTTCTGTGACAAGCGTTTCGAAAAACACTCTAAGATCTTCTTCTTTACTCCCAAAATCCAGATTACCGACAAAAACTGACGACTTGGGATCACCGTCAACCGAGTCGCCTTGACCTTGTGTGCCCGTTCTTCCAATGAGGTCCACGCGAAGAACACGGTCCATGAAGGTCGAGCCATTGCATACGTCCGCTGCTAAGCGCGCCGCTTCATATGGGTCAAGCGTAGGAGGCAAAGGAGGCAGGTTAGATGGTCTGTTTTCCGGAGGAATGGGGTGCGCGAAAACGATATAAGCATTCGTGAGGTCGGCGGAGGAGTGGAAATCGTGATTGATGAAAGCAATGCGTTTCTTTTGGCTCGGTGTAAGGAATTTCTTCTCGTCATTTTTGGTAGAGTCGTCTTCATTGTTGTCTTTCCATGACGAAGCGCGATCTTTGCCATGTTCTCTAGTTTTCTTTGCCTTCCCCGGCGCCTTCGCCTTTTTCTCCGAGGTATCATCTTCAGGAAGTTTAGACGTGGGAGTCTGAAAAGCAATGGAACGAAAACGAGTTGATTCAACTTTTCCATTAGGAACCAGACCAATAATATGCCGATGTAGCTGTTTAAGTGCAGACTGTGCGTAACGATGAGAACTAGTCGGCATCGAGAGAAGACTTGCAACGCACCTTTTTTGAGCAACTTCGATAGATAAATTTCCAACGAAGATCGTGCGTAAATCCCGTTGCTCCTGTGTCTCGTCAGAAGGCACGAATTTGCGCTTCTGACTGGAACGACCAGTAAAAGTAGCGCTCTGTGCTACCGATTCATGAACGAGTTTCGAGGGATCTTCGTCTGGCTCGGATTCACCGCCGTTCTCAATTTGAACCTCTTTCGACTTCGCGTAGGTATCCTCCAGCTCGTCGTCGTTGTCGGTACTGATTTTTGGGTGTTTCATAGTCTTTTGAGTTTTTATTGGCTTGGGCACCTTGCCTTGCTTCGCGGACGCTGACGAAGTAGACTTGGATCGCTTAGCTGCAATAGCAGATTCTTGTTCATGTTTACGTTTCTTCGAGGCCACCTCCGCCGTATTACTATGCGACGGCCCAGATATGGGTTTGGTAGCCTGCTAAGGGTGTAAGGACAGATGTCGCAGTCACAGAAGAGTGCTTACATTGGATTGGAATAGGGCATCGAGTTCCGTGTCAATGGGCTTGTTGCCGGAAGAGAGAAGTAAAGAATCCAAAGTCATGGTGAAAATACAGAAGCCGGGTTGGACAGACGGCGGCAGTAGTTCTAAGCAGTGGGTCTACCCTTGTTGGCCATACCTGACTCGAATTTTCCACTTTGAGCATGGGCGTTTAGCGCAGTGGTAGCGCGCATGCTTTGCAAGCGTTTGATTACGTAATGGCCCAATTGTAGGTGAGTTTTTTCCTCAATCATGAATCCATAGAAATTCAGTGACACATCCATTATACAGTTTGTATGGTCCCATTTGGATTAGACTGTATTGAGGTTTTTTAGTGCACCTTTTCGAATATCCATATAGCTGGTGTTTCTCGTCGCAAATTTTGGTATGAAATTGTAATACCTGTGTCTAGGACCCCTACAGCGTGGGCACATAGCGCAGTGGTAGCGCGTATGCTTTGCACGGGTTTCAATGTATAAGGTCGTGGGTTCAAATCCCACTGTGTCCACGTGACTTTTTCTCTGGACTTGGTTTGTCGGATTCCCAGTGTCAATGAAGCACCACAGTGACTGCACTAATTATCGTCACAAATTTTGGGATGAGATGGGTGCTATATGCCTTTGCTTTGCTCTGCTCTCCTACAGTTAATGCTAATAGTAATAACCTTGCGTGCATGGGCCACGTGACTTTCACATGACGACATTGCCTATGGTAGCAGGCTTTCTACCATCGACCACCAACATCTGTTCCGCGCATCTCGCTCTGCTAGGCTCTCAAGGCAAGTGTACATTTTCGTAGTGAAAGACATAACCAGCCGTACTAATTGGCCTGTTGTTCCAGATGGCACCTCATGATAATGCATCCGCTGACAAGGAAAACACGGAAGCAGCTACAAGCCCCCACCCCTCGGTTGCTACGCATGCAGCGCGCGCTAAAAAGGTCCATGTTATTTCCTCTGACTCTGAGGACAGTACGGTAGCAGAAAATGGTCCTAGACGTGTCCGGCGCAAAGGAACCTCACCCAAGAAGAAATCCAAGAAGAAGACGGTAGCGCCTCCATCTGACTACGAGAATGACGAACCCTCTCCAAAAAAGACGAAGCGCAAGGTAAAGGCTTCTGCCGCCTCGACATCTGTGGATCCTCCAGCGCCTCCCCCTTCCAAGAATCCTCCGAAAGTGATCACCAAGCCTGCAGCAGACTTGGCCACTAAGGCGATGGCACAGCTTGCTATCAATCTTTCGATTGACTCAGCGAGGAAGGAATCAGATCTACGGAAGCGTGCTGAGGCTGAACAGCAGACGGCCCAGTACCAGGCAGTCGCCCTGGAGAGAGCCGTTGTCTACGCTGAAAGGCGCCTCCAAGCGTTACAGATAGCAAAAGATTTGAACCTTGGTACGCAATTTTGGCGCATATATGCTGCCGTTCTAACATGTTCGCCTTTTCAGATCCAAAGCTTGTCGGTATGTCACCTTTTTGTACATCTAGGCGTTAATAGACCTCGCAGCAGGTCTTCCTGCCGACCCCCTCACTATCTCTCCACCCAACGATACGACCGGCAAGAATTCAGCTCCCGCAGCAGTCAGTACATCCCATACTACTCCACCTGTTCGTCCTGCACCCACCTCCACTATGCCATCCGCTTATTCTGGACCTAGCGGAAGTCTATCGGCATCTACTTCGTCATCGATAGGACCACAGACACCAGTAGTTGTTCCAACGTCATACTCGGCAGGCTTCGGTACCTTTACGCCAGTCACACCATTTGGAGCGCAAGGAGCATTTGCCCCTTCTTTTTCGAATATTCCCTTCGCTGGATTTCCAGCGACTCCGTTTGCTCAGTCAGCGTCTTTTGCTCAGCCGCATCCCTTTGTGCAAGGACTTGCAGTTCCGAGTGCTCCCGTTCCAGGACCCGAAGTCACCATGAGCGATGGCTAGATGCCCTAGCACTTGCACGTATAGAAACTCGATAGACATCATAACGCTTTTTTTCCCTTTGTAATCCCAGCCAACGGACGTCGCACAGATTCACTTGTAATTATAGCTTACAGACCTTTCCACCATACAATATTGCATGTAGACCCTGGCATTCCATACACCGATGTAAATTCATACGCGAACAATGTGTATTACGATGATGACGATACATGGTCCTTTGCAGTAGCAAGGAAGTCTGTTAAAAGCTCAATTCCTTCGGATGGGAAGGTTTCTGGGAGCTGCATTCGAATATAAGCCATCGTTGGATATCACTGATAAGAGAAGCAAGCTTACATGGTCTGACAAGATAGATTCAAACGTGGATAACACTTCGTCGGTCACGATCAGTTCCTTCTTTCCCTTGCTCCGTCGGTTCGTGGTCGAGGATGAATTAATAGCCTTGGTGTTGTCGTCAACATCGCTTTCGTCTTCATCGTCACTACCAGCGTCGTCTTGCCATTCGATCAACTTGTTGTACTCTTCGAGCATAATACGATGAGCAAGGAACTGAGGACAATCCACGCTAACCATGTGCTGATGAACAACATCTATGTCTGTGTATCTGAATAGAAAATCGTCATTATCCAATATCTTCTGCCAGCGCGTTATAACACTGACTCAAATCCACCACATGGACAACGGTATTGCAGAAGCTCGTTGGAGTCTGGGTTCCAATGAGCCACCATCTTTAGCTCAAGCTCACGCCACGGGCAATGCAGACGATCCCTAAATACAGTCAGGAGCACTGCTGACAACCGCAACAGGAAGACCTACAGGTGGCGTTTTAGCTTCTCACGATGCGTGAAGCTGACATTTCGCTGCTCTGCTGTTCGGTGGACATACTCTACGCAACGTTTGCATTTCCAGCGTTTTGTTTCCGAATCCTGCGAGGTTACGGTTTTAGCATGAGGTGAATAGACTGAAAAACAGGCATACTTTGCATTCCCGAAGTTCTCGTTCTTGCAAGACAGGCTCGAGAAGTGCAGCAATGAATCGTTCACGAACGAGAGTAACAGGTAGCTCGACAAGATCCTTCTCATCATCCTCGTCAATGTTGGTAGCAGCTGGTTGGAAATTACTAGCATTCGTCTCTTGTTCCAGGAGAGAATCAGCGGTATAAGATGAAGGGTCGACAAGGTGTAAAAGCTTGTGCAGACTACAATTGGCACGGTATTTGGGGTCACCGTACTGGCCAAAATCGACATCTGTATCTAGCGAGGCCTCGTCTTTATCCACAGAATCAACATTTGCGGTGTCTACAGCACATATCAGTTTTTGGGTGCATGCGTTATTAGGAGAAATACCAACCATAGACTATTGGCTTGGCAAAGTCACAAACTTCACGAAGTTTGACTAAAGCTTCATCTGCCTCCTCCGTAGAACCTTCGGCTGTGCCTTCAAGAAAATCAACCGTACGGGTCTTGATAGTAGCCTCTGTATATTTCCGTCCATACTTCTTACGGAGTGCGTAGTACTCATCGCTCTTCTCTTTGGTCAAGTCTCGAGCCTAAAGCCATATGAGCGGCATGCAGTAGAAGAAAGAAAGAATCGTCATACAGCATCAAGATCATCCTGGGTCATTCCCTCTGCGAGCTCGAAGAACTTGTATTTGGCTGAAGGGCGGGCACCCGTGGCGATATCGTAAAGCCTCCCAATAGTTTCTGGACGTGGATTATATAATTTATATTTGCGAGCACGTGGTGTGAAAACGGCGTAATAGGATTCCCAAGCTTCATCAAGAGCTTGCTTAGCAGCAACAACACAGTCGACAGTCTGAAAGACTGATAGTGTCCAAAAGCTGATAAAGAAACAAGTAAAAACGCACCATCAGATAAGCATCCTTGTCCTGCTTTGAACTCTTACGGCGCGCCTGCTAGTTATCTAGTTCAGCATGATAAAGAGACCGGGACAGAAGAACATACCTCAGGTTCCTTACCACGCCGAATAACTGCCTGAACAGCGGCGGAGATATAGTCTTGCTGATTAATAGGCACCTAATGTGACAATGAGTATTATATTATGCAAAAAAACTACTAGACTAGCGTACTGAGATACCGTCAACCTCGTTGTTGCGAAGAAGAACAACATCGTAATTCTCTACGTCACGAGAATAGTGTTCCCGAAAGCAGCCGTCTTGAACGTGCTTGAGGATATCACGAGCGATACGGGCTGACAGCATCATGCCGTATGTGTCGCCAGCCTCTCGGCGCAATGCATAGCCTCCTGCCATCGGCAATTCAGCAGCCGTTAAAAGGCCGCCAATCGACTCGGATATCCCTCCAGATGAGCATGCTTGATAGGGGATGATAAACTCTCGTCCGCCCGGCTTTGCTGCGGGAAAGCTAGAAAACAATAATGTGTCAGCAAGAGTAAGGGATGCAGTCGCACATTACATACACGGGATACCCACTCATTGCGGGATCGAGCGGGTACTCCAATCCTTTGAACGCAAACATTTCACCAAGCGTCTGCAAAACATTAGTCTTGGGGCGGGTAGGAACCAAAAACAAGCCTACCTTGAATTTAGTTTCGAAAGCCTCAATGGCAAAGAGATATGCCATCATCCAGCTGGCGACACAAAAGCTTATATTATGTGCCTTGGTTACTGAATTGAGAAAGAATCGTTGCTCGATTCCGAGAGCTTTGTTATTGCCCTTGTAGTTTTTGAAGTGCACGGCGATGGTAAAGTTCATGTCGCCTCGACGGTAGACTCAGAGGTTTCCCAGTTTAAGGTACTAAAGGTACACGATAAACCACGTGAAAGCTTGAAAAAAGGGAAGGGACAACTCACAAACCCAAGATCGCGGTATTCTCGGCACATGGGCCCAAGGGTAGACGGTCTTGTGGTCATGTAGAAGGGGAAAAGTATCTTGACAAAGTATGAGAAACATTAGAGAAGCAGAGAAAAGGCGACGTACCCTCATCATTGTGTTTATCTTTACGAGCCTGGTTGATCGACTCTTCATCGCGGTGTCGATGACAAGTTGAATCTCCAGACGTCCAAAGAACCACCTTTTATCAAAGTGGCGATCGAGCTTGAGGTGAAATATGACTAGGTGACACATGAGAAAAAGATAGCGATTGAACAAACAACAAACTTACGACTTTGGACCTGATCTTTAAGCTTCTGGAAAAGGTTATACTTGGTAAGCAGTTGGAGCCCGCATTTTTTCTTGGTAACGGGATCTGTCGTGTATCGCAGAACAAGATGAAGGAAGAGGTTCATGAAACAAACAAGGGTACGAGACTTGATTACTTTCTTGTCTGTAGCTCGGGGCTTGGTAGTATGTGCCTATTGACATGATGAGAAAGAGATGTCGACGAGAAAAAGGTGACTTGCAAGGAAAAACATAAACTTTGGACCAGCGATAGCGACAACGGCTGGGTCCCAAGCATTCTCAGCAGGAACATTAGGAAGAACACGGTGGATAAAGTCGACCCAGGAGCCTTCCATCTGCAGTCGAGCATCCCTTGTCGACGGACTCTCGCTGGAGGTGACATCTTCGTTGAATTTGTCGCACTGTTCCATGAGCTCCTTGAAGACTTGGTCCAAGTCGACGTCCTTCCCATCAGCTATCTCTCGCAGCATAGAATCGACGCGAAGCTTCCAACGTTCGGTTGCAGCTTCGGACTCTGCAGGATTGAAAGAGACGTCGGGGACAGCGACAGGAATGTTATCGATCGAGAGGGGGATGTAGGGGGTGTCGATAGCATGAATATTCAAGTCAGGAGGTGGTGGGGGAGGCTGGTCATCGTCATCAGGTTCGGGGACGAGTGTCTCCTGCACAAAATAGCTGGGAGGCCCTTTGGCAGGGATAAAGGCAGGCGCTGGAGGGGGCTTCATTGCGGTAGTAGGGATAGGACTCTGAGACGTGCAGCTTTTAAGGTCGCGAAAAAGGAAGCACTGTCAAAAGCAGGTGATTATGCTTGAGGGCCGTCCGGTTCATCCTTGCCATGGAACACTCACCTGGGACCCAATTACGCACTCAACTCCAGCAGGTTGAAGCTTCGCTCGCCGCTTTACCCCCCATCCCACCCGATGCAAGCCCTGGAACGATTAAAAAGCGCGACGATCTGTTGGAAGACATTGAAGGGAAGCTTGTGGGATGTGCAGAATCCGTGGGGCAACACCGCCGCCGACGAGCTGAACGTCATGGTGGTGGGGCTGATGAGGGTGCTGGTGCTGGTGCTGGTGCTGGTGCTGGTACTGGTGCTGGAGATGGCGGTGGACAGCCGCGTGTGCTCACTAATGAGGATAAGCGCGTCCAGGCGATATTTGCGTGCTTTGACCAGCCAGCGCTGAAAGCAAAGGACTTTAGAGCGGCCTTGCTTTCATTTCCTGGGGTCGGGCATCGAGATCAACGTGAGGAAGAAGCTTTCAAGCGCCTCGTGCGTGGATATGAAGACCAAAGTCAGCAGTGGGTGCGACTCTTTTTCCTTCCTACCGATAGTAGCGGCTGATTAAGTAATAGAGAGCTGAATTGGAATCCGTTGTAATCACCCGTAATCCATGGGATGGGGTGTGCGATAAGGCAACTGAGAACAATGCGATCGAAGACATGCACAAGCGGATGGAGGCGATAAACAATGCAAGCCGTCACTATAGCCAGCTAATGTGTGTCTGACAAGTCTCTTTCTACAGTTCCTGGAGTCGCAGAGCAGCGTGATGAGCAGCGAGTCCTTGCTTGAGTACGTCATCCGCACCATTGAGATGTTCAAATTCTTGGCAATCTGGGAAGAGACGGGCGATGGCTCTCGTGCATGGAAAACCGAGTTCATTGAGAAACAATGCTGGAAGAAGCATCCAGAGCAATATGCTCGTTGGGAGAGTGCAGATGGCGAGGCAAAGGAGAAGGAAGAAAAGGCTGTAAAGACGATACTCGGCAAATTTCGGAAAGACCACTCTCGTATGATGACATCGAAGAAACAGCTCCTCAAGCTGTACAGACACGTATGTTTTCTTTTATGTAGTCGCAATTCAATCTTAACTGTCACGCAGTTTGGCGCGGTGATTTTGATGGACCGCACCTGGGACTGGAACGATGGAGGCGTACAACGCAAACGAAGCATGTCATTTGACAGACTTCTTGACCGCATCTGCGAAGAGTTACCCAAGGTTAATGGGGTAGCACGACCGGCACTGAGGTACGAGATGGGTGCGAGCTCACTTGGTGATGTCGTCACTATTTTCAGTACAGCCAAGGTTGCTCAGCACATTCAAGACTTTTTAGACGAGTATCCCCCAATCCGGTATGAGTAGTTCAGCCCAAAATTTGCGACGAAATTATTATGTACTGTGATAGAATGAAACCACTGCTTCATGAGTCTGATATATCCGGTACAGAAATAGCACGCAATGGGTACCATAGTGCCGATATCCAACGACAAGTTGTATAGAATGGCCAGACGGACATCCCCGCACCACTTTTCAAATATCAGAACTGTACAGTAGCATGGGGTCCATGCGCTGGTAGCCTGATGACGGATATAATCAGTGTCGGGGACAAGAGATTATGGATTTCATACCGTAGTGAGCAGTGCATGGGTGGGGAATGCCGAAACTGAGTCGACGGTGGTAACAAAGGTGACAAGGCAAGACGAATCGTCGCTATACGGTTAGACAATGCATAGCATCACTCGCCTGAGACATGTCACACTGATTCCTGCTCCACCGTTCCGTTCCGTGCAGTTGGATCACATACGCAGCTGCTTTGACGCTCTTTTCCGATCCAGATTCCGGATACATGTGCCGACCATGGTGCAACTGTGCCGTACAATGACTGTCGAGAGGCGTCGTTGACATCGCCAAAGGTTGCAAGATTATCGGAAAGAAGATGGGCATGAATGCTAATCTGCAGCTTTTCATTAGCGTCAGGGATGGTCACGCGCCTGGGTATACCGCTGTGATCAAACATAATAGGTCCAATGAACACAGACCATATGAGTCATATTAGCCTAGGCTGAGTGTGGACTAGTATGCTTGGGCTTCCTGAAAATCATTGTCGTCCTCATTGTTGTACTGGTTACCATTCAGTTTGAGCGATCTCGAATCCCCAGAGTTGGATGCGGCATCTTATGGTGCCAGGAGCGAAGCGATGACATGTGGAGCGTTGGTGGCGTCATGGTGTGATGTCATTTGCATTTGAGCAACAATGCCCTTTGTGACCGGTCACTTTGACCCCCCAGGGGATTGAACCCCTCGCGGAAGGAAAGGTCCAGGGTTCAATCCCCTGAACGTCCATATTTTTCGTTGTCTTTATCAATATATTTGTACGAAGTCGAAGTTCAACAGCGTAAATTCGAACCCACCAGTATCGACATGCTGTTTTTCTGAGCGGGAAGGACATAGGCATAATCTGGTTTATTTCAGAAAGAACTTTGATTGCTGTTGCATGAACTGAAGTACCCTCTCTTCCCTCTGGCTTTCTAACATTCTAATAGGATAGTACAAAAGTCTCTTCAACAATAGAACTCACATGGAGTCGATATTGGCCGTGAAATGCCTCACTATATACCGTTCCCTTTTAGGACGGTACTGACGCGGCGCTTAGTCCCAGCTCTCTTAAATACATTAAAGGTGAAAAGCTCTGTCAATGTGGTAATCATTTAACAATTGAGAGGAAGAAGTACAACTTAGGGCTATACGATTATACAACTGTCGCGATACATTCCGTGTATCATTAACGTCAAAATTCTAGGGAGTCAACATAAACGGTAAAGCAACATCCTGGGTTCCCAATTCTCCCGAAGGCAATTGCGCGGGAGTTTCGTACGCCCCATAATTAATATCAGGCTAGAGCAACAGGCTCACGGGGAACTGACTTGCAGGTTTGACTCCATCTATTCACTAAAGTATGTCCGACGTTAGTCACTGTAGTAATTAACACTTCCTCCTCCCCTTATCCGCGCCTCCTTGTGCAGGTTCTTCCGTGTTAGTATAATGGGTGTTGCTGATCTCGCTACGGCTGGTCCATCGGATGTTTTGTCATCTGTTCATAGCTCAACGCTATTAGATCGTCTGGTGGCTCCCTTTGGGATCCCACGAGAGAAGGCAGATGTATATGGCCGGGATGATTCCTGTCGAGGAATATACATATAAGAAGTAGGATCAAAATATCGTATACGATTAATTACCTGGATTGCGGAAGAAAATATCAGATCCGAAACAAACTCAGGAAGGAAGTTGGAGGTGTCGCGTCCCCGCACTTAAGTTGTTGCCCAGCGCGATCGCTCAGCTTCTTCCCGTGGATAAGCTTTCTTGACCCTTGCGAGTGACTCCTCGGCGACTCCATCGTTACATTGTTTGAATATGTCATCGCCTGGTCAGTTCCAAATATTTTCTTGACAGTTTGAATTCTGTTCGTACTATTGCATGGTTCACATGGTTCTGAATGATCTCCAAAAACATCATGCACCCCGAGACATTCGCAACGATAGAAGTGTGATTCATGGAGTTCCTTGCTGCTTGATCTTTACGTAGCTCGGAGGAGGGGATCGACTTCCGTCAATTTGAAGGCCGACACGGCTGAGACTGCCATTGAAATCCTGCGATCTTGGACCGGAGATTCTGAGTACCGGAGGTGAGCGTGAATATCGAGTGAAGAAGGACAGATGTTCTTTTCCTTACTTTGTACTTGTCCATGCATTTAATGTCGACGAATTGAATAAAAGGCCTGAAATTTGGTGTCTGAACCCGACGTACACGGTGAAGTCGAAGAGTAAGAATGCGTAGGGGGGTTGGCTGTTTGTTGCTTCAAATGACCTCTGACATAAGGGGTTACCGACACCATGTCGCAAGGTAGGAGGAAAGGTGATGGTGATTAGGCCATCGGAAGAACGGTAGTTATCACTTGAAACTTGGACATCAACGCATCAAACATTAAACTTTTTGAACACCGGCCGGAAAATGACGAAAACGATTCAGAGGATTTCTCCTAAAGTAGAAATATAGTATCACGTGTACTTATACTGCACTCTTTTGTCGGGAAGTCATCCCAAAACGTTACATCTTTCCTTCCCCTTTGATGGCTCAGAATTCGAAGTCTAGCTGCCCAGCCATGAAGCAACCTTATCGAGCAGATCGAGTCCAACACAGCATTGGAGAACCAAAGATGTAAACTTCCTGTGTTCCACAATCTGCCTGTCAATGGGACTTGACATCTTTGTTCGTGTTCAACTCAACTACTATCTGATATCTTGACTAAGAACGAGTCATCAGCAATGCTAGGCGATGACACGAAAGACAGCACTTGATGATGCGAATCAAGCAGAGATTTGTAATATTCTCTCCTGTACCCTTGACGCTGAGCTTTTTCTATTATCCTCCGCGTCTGGCGGTAATTATATGAACATTCGAATATTCGTACCCGCTTGATCTTATATCCGCAGTGAGCATAATTCGGAACGATCACCGTGTGCGGTCTGTTCAACCGCTGATGTTTTATCGGACGGTGTCGGACCCGAGACCCCCTTACTTGCGTATATCCTGGCCCAAGAGCATCCGGTATTGCGTTTTTTTTTTTTTCATTTGAGTCATTTGGTGACTGACTGAATTGCTTATCCTTCTCTAGATCGATCAACGCTGTGATTGAATGTCCATTATACTCGGTCACTTTAGCTATGAAGTTCCTAACAGATGGCGGGGACGGATCAATTAGCTGTATTTGGAGCGCGTTTTACACTGGAATAGTCCCTGTCCCGTGGTGCTGTTGTAAGTATATAAATATGACGGGCTCAATGAATATAGCCTCAGCTCAACAACCCCGCCATGTTCCCTCTCTTACTCTCTGTGATGGCTACCAGCCATGTAATGGCAACGACGACAATGCCTTATCAGGAACCTTGGTCCATTGGCGGTCACAGTGTATGGAACTCCTTAAACGCGTCCGTCGACGGTCGCCTCATTCCAGGCGCTCCCATTGCGCAACCTTGTGTCGACGACCCCACGTCAGCACTGTGTTCAGAGATACAACACGGATATCTAGATGAAGGTACGCGTCGATATCTGTTACAAAACGAACATCGTGTTCATCATGATGGTCATTGTCTTAGTTTTTCGTTCAAACCGACCAGGCGGTTTCACCAACGCGCAATGGGAGAGTTGTCAGGCCACTGGTCAACAGTGCCTTCTCGACTATCGGAATACGACTATGACCAGTCCAATAGGGGCACCAAATAAATGTCAAATGGGCAGCGTGTCAAATTATTATGTGAGTGCCTGTAATGTTGACGAGCGGTTGTTCCTGAACAGTCGCGGCCCTAGCTTGATGTACGATCCGCGAAAGACGTCTCAGTTGCTTTTGAATTCTCAAAAGCATACAAAGTTCCGCTTGTCGTAAAGAATACCGGAGTGAGTCACTCGGTCTTTTCGGCATCGTACCGATGACTCATAATTGTTCAGCACGATTACAAGGGTCGAAGTAGTGCACCCAACTCTCTTGGAATCTGGGTACGTCTTGGTGCCAAGTCTACGTACTGAAGCTCATTCGATAAACCTTCCAGACACATAATCTCAAAGATGTATGTGGTGCTACGCGTTGAAACCAACGCAGTCGTTTTGAACATTCATCTAGATATCGTATAATCATCGTTTCGTCCCTGAAGGCTGTAAGCATCCACCGTCAGCACGACCAGCGGTGACACTCGGGGTTAGTTGCGTTTACATAACCATCTCAACCCTATAATTGATCAACTGATCATCATGATAGGCTGGCGTTCAATGGTACGAGGCCTATGCCTTCGCGGAAGCTAACAACATCACCATCGTTGGAGGTAGGTCTAGATCATCCCGGAATAACCGCATGTCCTTAATGTCCGTAGGCACAGACAGATCCGTGGGCGCCTCCGGTGGTTGGTTAATGGTTCGAATCTACTATCCTTCAACGTCACTCGGAGTTTCACGGCTTTCTAGGGCGGCGGTCACAGCATGCTTTCAAACACAATGGGACTAGGTGTTGATCGAGTGGTATGCGTCATCCCTCCGTCCCGATCACTATCCCTGATCCATCAACCTCTGCTTCCGTAGCTTCAGTTCAAGGTCGTCACCCCGGATGGTCGATACAGGATTGCCAACGCGTGTCAAAATCAGGACCTCTTCTACGCACTCCGTGGAGGTGAGCACTCACGGCTTTCGCTTTACCGTTGATCGTATATAATATCTCCGGCGATAGGTGGTGGCGGGACATTCGGCGTAGTACTCGAAAGCACGGTGTTGGCATCCCCACCGGTGAAACTAGAGACGGTCATCGTATCATTCGACTCGGCAGCTAATGCAACTCTCACCGAAGAACTATGGACTATCATGGCCGAGAATTCAGTACGTTGGGCCAAGGAAGGCTGGGGTGGTATCTCAAACAAGGGAGTTGCTATTTACATCAACCCGCGCCTCGACGCCCGTGCAGCCGCTCAGTCCATGACTCCGCTGATCAATTTTGGTCAGCGGTTAGTCGCTCAGAACGTTACCGGTGCGAAGACGCTGGTGACGACCTTCCCAACTTGGTCGTCGTTCTTTACCACCTTTTCTAGCCAATATGTAGCGGTACGATTCCTCTTCGTTATTTCAGTATTTGGTTTCTTACTCTTTTGAATTCCCTAGCGCGTCGGAATACCACTAGCGCTGGCTTCCCGACTAATAAACGAATCAAACTTTGAAACACCGTCGAGCCAAAAAGAACTGGTGTCTGCACTTACCGCCGCGAACAATGCTACGGGATCAGTAATAATACTTATTTCGGCACCTTCGTCTTATCCGGGTGATGGACACACCAGCGTAACTGAAGCTTGGAGAGACAGCTTGTTTCACGTTACGCTGGTCTCATCGTGGAATTGGGATACATCGATGAAAGACAAGAAGGGCCATTATACCCTGGCCAGTCAAGCGATTGACCATCTACGAAAAATCACTCCCGATGCAGCATATGTGGTACGTTTATATGCCAAGCGTTTGTATGTTGAGGCTAAAATGTGGCGCCCACAGAACGAGGCTGATGTATACGAGCCAAATCATGAAGGTCAGTTGCTCCTCAGCTAGCATCCATGCGAAAGACTAATCTATGTTGTATTCAGTTGCCTTTTGGGGGTCTAATTACGACAGACTCTTAGCTATAAAGCACAAATAGTACGTTCCCATCTACTGTTTCTCGATGTTTGTCTCTTATATCATATTTTAGTGACCCAGATAGGCTGCTAGAATGCTGGCAATGCGGTACGTCCTCTCCCTTTTTGTAGCTTTCAGATCACTGATTTCCTTCCGCGGCTAGTGGGTTGGACACCAGCATCTCCCGTGTACAAGTGCTATTTGTAGCCATCTCCCTTGTCGACGAGGCTTTAACTCTAATTGGTTCATTTACACTATATATAAGGCATACTTAATTTGTATCGAATACTGGACAACAAACTATCATTTCAAGATCATCACATCCAGGAGTAAGATGAGCTTCAAATTGGCTGTGGTCTTGGTGTATCTGTCCATCGTTTGACGCTATACGATCAAACGCAATCTTGGCAAAAATCATTCCGCAGGACGTCACTCGGATCATTGGCGGCCTTGCCAAGATGACATTAGTCTTGATACCCCAATACTTGTCAAAGTAAGGTTTCGACTCTTCGAGACCTTGAGACCCTGGTACTGTAAGCCTCTGCGAGATTCGACGTGAAGTCTCTTAGGGGCTATTCAGAGAGCAAACTTCTTAACTCCCACCTTCATTATGTAGTGCACTTCTTGATGTTGGTTACCATATGACTGCGCTTACGTTGGAACAATAAAATTGAGCCGATTCAGCGAGAATGATTCACTGAAGCTAGTTTTATTACGAGGTACATATTCAATCCGTGCAGTATCCAACTCCAATGTCCTCTCGAAGATGACCACGGACCGTTGGCCTGTACAGCATTGCACCAATCCTTTAAATAACGTCGGCTTGCTTGCATAGCCGGTCCCTGATGATCGCCCCTTATGGCACGCGGTTGCCACGTCTAAGTCCTTACTTTTCTTTCTTTTTCCTTTTTTTCGTGGGTCGGAGACCCTTCCCTTCGTTATTCGCCGTTCAGCCAGCGCAGGCGCTCTTTTCATGTACTCTCTCTTTTCGCTATGCTGGCTTTTGATCACCCCCGTGTCATTCGCTGCGGTGATACCTGGCCGCGTGGAGTTCCTACCACAGGACGTGACGAACATTCCTGGTGGATTCGACCTGCCAATTTTAAGAAGCAGAAGAGGCACAGTTGGTAAACGGGGTGATATCAGTGGGTCTGTTGGGCTGGGTGACAATTCCGACCTGTGAGTAATTCTGTTTGTATCCGGAAGCTTAATGATACTGAATGGTGAACCTGCTTGTGCCAGGTTATACACTGTTCCTATCGAGCTTGGGGATGATGCTACTGCTGTACACCTTGGTGAGGACGCCCCGACCCCCCCATACGCGTCGTCGATCACAGAAGCTTATTCATTTTCAATTTGCTATTATAGACACAGGATCCAGTGATCTCTGGGTAATCACCGACGCCTGTACTGGCGGGACGTGTGCATCTGTAACCACAGCACGTTACGATTCCTCAACGTTAAACTTGACTGGTGCTCAGGTCACCATGAATTACGGCGACTCTACCACTGGAACGTCGGCATCTGGACCTATAGCTTTTGAAACGGCCACAATTGCTGGCATTTCTATAACTGGACAAACTTTTGTCGCCGTCAACACCACTACGAACCCCACCGTCAAATATGGTGCAGCTGGCATCTTTGGCTTGGGCTTTCCTAGTGGAAGCAAGGTCCAGGAAGCCGTCGTGGAGAATACCTTTGGTAGCGTTGCAACTACCGATGACTTCGTGCTGGCGACGTCTGATGATGGACCGTTACTATCTCGCATTGCCATGACAAATTCTTTGCAGGCGCCTATGTTCTCTATTTCTCTCCAACGAGATACTATTGACATTGGTGGTGGGGATGGCACGCTTACTGTTGGCAAGCTGCCCGATGGCATTGATAACTCGTCCTTGACCTGGGTACCTGTAAGACTATATTCTGCTAGCGAAGGAGGGCTCAGACCACCTTCGTTTGCTCCAGACGAGGTAGGTCTAACTTGTTGAAGCTTCGTTGTCTCCCCTAATCTGGTCGCTTTTAGGTGTATCCTTTGTAAGTTCGGTGTTACCCTCGCTAGTTTGAACTCATCCTCTTCCAGCCGCTGGGAAGTAGATATAGATGGTGTCTATCTAGATGGTCAAAAGATTGCTGACTCCACCATAGCGGCTACCGATGGTGTCGACGGCACTCGTGTATCCGCCTTGATCGATACAGTCCGTACTTCTAGTTATTAACCGCAGCATCACCTTTGATTCTAACGACAGGGAAACTCTCTTCTTCGTGGACCCTCGGACGTCGTCAAGAACATTCTTTCAACTGTGTCGTCTTCATATGACGCATCGGATGCCAACTCTCAAGCAGTCATACCCTGCGCAACAGCTCATACACTATCATTTCAGATCGGCGGCAAGGTATCTTTTTTTTTCGGTGTTATGAGAAGGTTGCAGTATGTTCAATGCAACGACAGATGTTCCCCATAGATCCTAGGGACTTTATCGGAGACCTGAGCTCTGGTGATGCTACCAACTGCGTCGCGGACAACCTCGTCTCCACTGACCCGCCAGGTCTGGGATCACTCTATCGCTGGAGCTTGGGAGATCCGTTCTTTAAATCGTATGGGTGTTGCTGACCACAGGTGTTTCTGACCTGACTAATATCTCGGGCTTTAGGAATCTCGTAGCGTTCCACTATGGGAACCTCACCCATCCCTCGGTCGATCCACCACGCGTGGGCATCCTCTCAATGGTCCCAGACAACGCTGATAGCCTGCTACAACAAGCAGTTCAGGATGCAGAAGCTAATGGCGGGAACTTTGAATGTACGTTTTTCCTTTCGAGTCTTCTAAACTTTCTTCATCTTGCGTTTGATACTAGCTACGATAGAATTGGCGCCTACCGCTGAGGCCGCAACTGCGAGCCAAGTGACGGTTAGCCTTGGGGAGTCAGCCACGGGGACGCTGGTATCGGCGTCAGGTATTGCTTCTGTTGCGGCGACTGGGACAAACACAGCATCATCTTCGGATAACAGCAGTGATGCGTCAACTAAGCAGGACAATGCCGCAATGGTCATCGGAAAGGATAGTAGAGAGTGCTTGTTCATACTGGTTACAGTGGCTATTGTTTTGCTGTTTTAATACGGACAACGCGATATATTCAGGACATAGTATGTGAAACCCACAGACCGAGGAGTATCATCCCCCCACCAGGGAAGTTCGCTTAGGAACTTGGAGCCGTTCTGTTGCATATAACATTATGATGTAGTTTATAGTATTCTAAGAACCGGACCAGTCGGTTCTGCATACTGAATAGGCTCCTTCTGACAATTATCCCAGAAGATTTCCTTCACGACAGCTTTCTTCATCCGATCGCTAATCCCGAAGCAAACATCCCGGATTCCCGGTGTTCCTGCCACTCTGACATCAAAGTCATCCTCAGCCTGGTAAAAATCCATGCGCTGTTCACACCCTCTGCACCATACCCACCCATATCCCATGGAATTAGTGTGTATCCAGCTCTCAGCCTCGAGAAGTCGTCTCCTAGTATCCGGGTCTAAGGGCGGCCGGCAACAAGAAGATCGTCACGTGTTTGAGCCGCTGGTGCCGAGTCAAGTAATGCCGTCTCTTTCGGCCTCTTTCGGCTTTTGATAAGTTCTAAGACATTTGTACGCGTCTCTCGTTTTTCGCTTCCAATTTTTTTTGGGTCTTCCGGCCTCATTTTTTCGACATCATACTGCGTCACTGACGTACGACTCTCAAGGCATTTTGGAATGACTCGGAGGTCGCACTACAAAGATGGGTATTATGAACACCATTTTCGTCTAAATCTCCCGGACGCGGCACGTTGAAGTTCCGACAACGTGCAGGCTGGGTCAATCAAGGAATACGTTTCGGGTGGGTGAGGTTGCGAGAACATTGGAACGAAGCTTGCGGCCATCTTCCAAGAGGGAATATCATCGATCATCACTGAAATGTAGGCATTTTACATTACAAATGGAAGCTGGAAAACGGAGAAGAATGACGATGTTATATTTTTTTAAGGGGGATACACTAGCAGAGGTACGTCTTGTTTCGTGTCGTCGCGTCACTGCAGACCACTGATCAAGAACCACTTTCCTAGTTGTCCCTGCATCTCATCAAGCAGCCACGCCCGGCCTTGATCTGTGAATTGGGTCGTAAGCGCTGTTCCACATATATGTTCTCGCTTTGTTGCTTACAAGTTGCTCGATAGTGAGTATCGCTGCTGAGAAAGGGTAGACTCGTTGCATCCTGTGCCCGAGCCAGAGCATCTTTTACTATATTATCTTCAAGCATGTGTTCACAAATCCATGAAGCCGACCCTTTTTCCCAGATTTTCTCGTTGAAAGATATGGTTGCGCATCCGAAATTGAAACCGACGAAAACCTTACTATGCGCAACGGTTCATGCGCCACTATTTCAGATCGGTTGCAAGGTATCGTATCTACTATATGTTTCTTCGGGTTGTTCTCAGGGTCGCAGGGTTGCGGTATACTCAATATATATTCAATATGCGAACTATCAAATCTCGTGCCCTTCAAACTTGTAGTGCGGCCTTTCTATTCGTTACGAGAGAACGACAAACAAGCGCCTCGTGAGAATTCGAGCCCAGGCCCTCACGTGGTTCGGGTTCGTTGGTGTAGGCGCTTGCCCACTCTTGTCCAGCATCCGCTGTTCCCTCATAACTGAACTTTTGACGCCCAACACAAATTTGTTCCTCGCTGTGAAAAGTCGCCACGATCGCATTGAAACAGGTACGTTCCTACGCGAGGCGACTAGTCTTTTGTTTCTTTGCTAATTGAAGTTGTGTCAGTGTTATCGATGCCTCCCAAACGCCGGATTTTGGTTGCGTTTGAGACTGACCATATCGACAAGCGAAGGAAATTTATAGTAAGCTTCAAGTAGGTTTGATTTCGAAATTGGTCCCCTGAACTGTTGCAGGTTCAGATTGGTGCAGACGCCTCGAACGAAGACTTGATCCAGGAAATAGCGAGCTACGTTAACATCGAGGATCCTTCTAACATTGTCCTTGAATTACCCGGAGGTTTTGAGCTTCGTAGGCAAGAGTGAGGTTTAATCCTTAACGTTTACGCATTACGCAACTGACCTGTATGTTGGAAGCGGAGTCGACTGCATTGAAGATGGTGAATTTGTGACCGCGAGATACCATTTGCAACATCCAGCACAGATTGACTCGAAACCATCCGAAGCTTTGACCTCTTCTGTACCGGAAGTCCCAGCCATAGAACCTGGACGGTTCAGGCTGCGCCTGGTCACCGCTAAAAGCGCCCGTGATTATGCTCGACAGACGCCGAAAGATCAACAAGAGAACCCAAATGGTGTGCACTGTTTCGAAGGTCAAGCAATAAGCGGTAATACTACGCTCGTGCGCGAACTTTTACCTCTCTTTATTCAAAGTCTGACGTTTCAGTAAGAGCTCCCTAAGGACTGAAGCCTGTCGCGTCTTAGGCTGGGGGGAATACGAGGAAGACAACGAATGTCAACACGAACCTGAAAGCGCCTGCAGTTGCGTCATTGCCTCAGAGATAGAGCAATACGGTTTAGCTTCGACGTTACATTGTCGGTTTACAACAAATGGAAGCCTTTGCAAGCATGAGGCGTGTCCCTATTCACACGTTTCGGTTTCTGGTTAGTCTTTTTCTTTTATTTGCAAAGATCTAAAGACATAAGCTGACATGTGTTATATTTAGGCCACCTTGCCGCTGACGAACCACCGCACTGCAGTATCTGTGGAGAATTTTTAGGCAAGCCTTCGTTCCGTGTCAGTACGCTTGCTCGTAACTTCAACTTGCTCAGGATTTCCTTGTCCGGATTGTATGAAGTTTGCTGCTGAAAATAATATAGAACCCGGCGAGGCTGTGTTTTGTCCCCTGGTACAGGTAAGACTATATTTTCATCGACGAGCTCAGTGTTCTAAAACTCTCATAGAATGTAGGATGCGAACATCTGCATCATCACCACTGCTTGCGAGGAATGAGCAGTCCAGGCTGCCCTTCCGGCTGTTCAGCTGAAAGATACCCCAGAGAGCCAACTATCTTCGACACATCTGAACGGCACATCGTCATTGCTTATGATGGCGATCGAATTGAAAGAATACCAATTCCACTCACCGCTGGCACAATTGATTCAGTGATTCAGTTGCCCACCAACGATATCGTCGCACTCGTGGAGAACTTTCTCTCCCAGAAAGACTACGAGCGTTCTGGATTGTCAATCAGGATACATTCTCGTAATCCAGTCACTGAGTAAGTAGTTTTTTCCTCGGCCTTAATTATCCTGCATTAACGTTTGTATACTAGGTGCACCCCTCTGACCCGCTCCACACTTGTTAGTGTTTGCTCGTCTTCAAAGCATACTACCCAGAATCATCGGCGTTTTGACCTTTTCTGTCATAAGACTTACTTTAACCGGGCATCAGAGTCAACGGGGCACTTTTTTATAGACCTGCATACCTCCCAGTCACCAATTCTTGCTTGCGGGTGCGCTCGTCTGAGTGAGCTCTTCCCACCTACCAACGAGGAGATTTCTCTCTATGCTGTGAAACGGCACCGACAGCCTGACAATACTCAGAATGTCGGCAATAAAGGCGTCGCATCAAAGCAAGGCATGTATCTGAGCGACATGTCGTATCAGCCTTGCACTGTACAGACACCTCGAGGAATGTCTGCCTTCCTTGCGTCGTTGTATAGGCTCTGCGCGTTAGTTGCAGACAAGGGAAGTGCTGCAGAGAGAAGGATCATCTCTTCTCTCTACACAATTACTAGATTTCCCCCTGCTGCTCGTGCTCGTGAGTACAACCATCAAGTTAGAATCATTTGCACGGGGACTAAATTTTCATAGTGGCCGTTCTTCTTCATAACAAGAACCCTCTTCCGGAGGAACGGGCGGCGCTATCAGAGGCCATTTTCCATGCACTTCGCGATTTCATACCGGCTGGCATTCAAGGTCCTGTACAGATCAGTACCAATCCAGGGCGATTTTTCGAAGCAGTGAGTACATTCCTCGTGTTGCACTGAGGAAACTGCCGACTTACAGACGCGGTAAAAATTAGGCTCGCATTCTTCTCGGTCATATCCTAACAATGGGAGAAGTGACTGACTCAAACTTGGCGAATCCCGTAGTGGAGGATATCTCTCTCGTCTGCAGTGTGTCACAGAAGCGACTTGTGGACCCGGTTTTACTGGGCACAGAACACGTCAATAGAGATATCGGTGCTCTCCGGCGGATCGGCGGAGAGCTACATCGGCCTTCTCACAGAACAGCTGTGCCAGCGGTAATGGACATGGATGATTCCACCAAACTAGTACTCAATCAGCTCCTTTCTCACTCCAAGTTGCTTGAGTCTTCCTCGAAACTCGTGTTCTTTCCGAACAGAGTTGATCCTCCTTCGTCATCCTCTGTCTACAGTCTTGACAGTTTGGGGCGGGACTTCCACAGTGCCATTAAACGGGTGAATGAGACGGACCTCGTCACCAGGGGACCACTGGATCTGAAAGCGGCGAACGTGATTCCCTTACAAATTGTGCTGGATGAAGTGGTACGTTATAGTCACGCTCTTCCATTGGGTTCAATAAGTGCGATCACTATCTGCAGGGCTTCCTCGCAGTGTTCACCGGTCGTGGTTGCGGAACGACACGAGACGTTAACTTTTTTAGGCCTTCGTATGTTGTCCAACTATTATGGTTTTCTGGACAATACTCACTGTGCGACATTTCGACAGACATGGGGGTGACACTGAGGTGGATGTCAATGATGTTAGCCATGCTCTACAAAAAGTCATTGCGGAGAGGCAAGCAGAAAATACGTGGCAGATTGACAGCTTTGACGGTCTTTCTGGAACCAACCGACCCCCAGATGAGGCAAGAGCCCTTATGCAAAGATTTAAAGTCATTTACTCACCTTCACTCTGGTCATATGCAGGCAATAATGTTATGCCTTGACCTCAGCAATTCTATGAATGAGCGCTCGGGCGTCAGTCGTCTTAGCAAACAGTCTGAAGGACCCTCGAACAGACTTGCCTATGATCCTAATGTTGAAGCACAGAAGGTGATTGACGAAATTGCCTCAGGCGTTTCTGATAATGTCATCTTAGAAAATGGTCGGTTGTGTCATTTACGCCTTCATTCCCTAGACTAATGCCGCCCGGACTCCGGATAGCCAAACAATTCTTGAATAGCCAGGGCTACGAATGTCGACATGCGTGGTCCTCGTACCTCAAAAAACCTCGGAATAACGAGGTCAGATCATTCTTCTATAGCATTAGGTGGTACGGGAGCGAGGACAGATATGATCTACTCAACAATCTTAGGTTGATTGCAAGTCGAGAAGCGCTGAGATATCATGAAATTCTGGAATCAAGGCCGGATCTAAGGGATGAGATGGTCAATGTGCGTTTCAGTATCGAGTTTTCATAATTCTGTCCGCTAATGATCACGTTTAGCTTGCCCATTTTGCCTTCGCCTGCTCCCATCATAAGAATCAAATTCTGGAACTGCTCCGCAACCCTATAAAAGTCGAATCGACTGGCTTTGGTCCTTTTGACGTGCCGATACGACTCCTTGATCCCAAGTACGCTCTCACCCCGAATTTTGATGAGCATGCTGACCATAATTCTCAGAACTGGAGATCTTCTATGCAACCCGAAGAATCCTCTAAATGCTCCTAATGAAGGAATACTTGTCAACAGCGATTCCTGTGATTACTTCGAGCAGTGTCAAAATTGGCCCTTGGGCTATTATGAACCATTTGAATCTGTGTTGGGTGCTTATACGGAACTAAAAACTTGGGTGGGTTCTCGCGTCTCCTATTGAAGGACGTAATTTTAATTTGTTGTAGGTATCTGCGGGCGACCTCTTATCGCCACTGAACGACGATGATGGGGAGTTCGTGCCCATCACTTGCAAGCACAAGGGGAAACAGATGACGTGGTACCTTCCCCTCACCACTACCATACGAACTCTATATGCAATCTGCAACCGATTCACAGAGGCAGCCTACTGCTCCTTCGCCATCAAGCGCTCACGTTTTTTTGTTAAATTAAGCGATTTGCGCATCAGTATGACCACACTCTCGAGGGGTGGAATTATTGAGCTTGTGCAGACTGTTCCGCACAACCGCGCAAGAATTACGGCTGAGGTCTCATTACAAGGCAGCCATGTCGATCTTCTTTTGCCACGCAATGCTTCTGCTCTCTGCGTTCTCAGCTATCTTCACCAACTCAATGAACTCCCTATGTCGCAAATGAGACTTTGGTGAGTTGGGGGAATCGTGTTCAAAATTCCTTTGAAATTCGAGTTAATTTGAACCACAGGGATAACCTTACCGATACTGGAGATGGTATGAGGAGGGGATTTATGTTCGACTACCTCGACGACTGTCCCAGACGCTTCCGTCAGAACCGAACTGAGCCTCACAAGTTTGAGATTATGACGTGGAGCTGGAGACTCACGGCCGAGCGCAGAGCAAAAGAGGAGAGTAAACATCTCACGCGACTGCACGTATTGAAAGAGCTCGTCAATCATCTGCTGAATCGAGCCGTGAGTTTGATCTATTTACGTCGATCTTTTAGTAACACCCCAATCTAGGGATCCTTCGACACCTCGGTCTCGCTTGTCCTTGGACTTATTACATGTGAGCATTACCATGCAGGTTTTCGTTTCCGGACAGGCATTTGATGTATGGCATTCTTCTTCTTATCCAGTTTCCGACACAGTTAGCATCAAACAGGAACTGACACCGATTTTCGAGAATTTCCGACGCCAGCTAGAAGATGTGAATGCCAAAGGAGATACAAGCTTATATGACGCGCTTAACACCGCAAGAAGCACGTTGGTAAATTATCGCAAGGATTTACCTGGCCTCCGAAAGCGAATTATAGTTGTTTCTGATGGTGACTATTGTATACTGCTTCGGGAATCAATTCTAAACCGTTTATTCTATCATTACCGTTGCTCTTGGTGTCGAGTCGCTGTTAAAGGAAAACCGGTACCTATGAATTACTATATTGGGCAGGTGAAAAAAAGTTCGATCGATTCTCATTATTTTGTAGAAACCCGGTAATAATAGGTGATGACAATAAATCTATCTCTTCCGCCAGAGACGTAGCCATTGCCCTACAAAAGGATCAAGTGGTTGTAGATTCCGTTCAAGTTGGTACATACAGCAATGCTACTCTCCACGCTATATCAGTCGCCACCAATGGTTATCGATTTGCACCACAGACATCACTTAGCGACGCTCTCAGCATCTTTGTGCGCCATTCCTCTCTCCGTCGCCAGAAGCGAAAAACTAATGTCTATAATAGGACCTTGAGACGATGCTTTCCTCCATAGAGAGACCACCAAAGCCCGCACCCCCTCAGATACATGGTATCTGGGAATGGAATATACTCAGGAACACCTCACTGTACCCCATAGACGTGGTCACCATTGACCGCTTTCCCAAACGGGCCGACCATTCAAAGCTAAACGAGAATGTTCAACCGGCCTCAAAGTCTGTGCAGGCAGGTTCCAGCCAGAATGACCGTCAGAAGAGAATCATGCGCGAGGTAGTTTTCTTCCCTTCACAAGTTCATCTGATTTCGTCATGCGTTTTACAGTTGAGGGACATTGTGCGAGACCCTCATACGAATATCGATGTTTACGTGAACGAAAGCGATGTCTCGTTCTTCAAGCTCATACTCGAGGTTTGTTTCGGCGTTGTTGCACTCGGGCTGTCACGCATTTTTTGGATACAAAGTACCAAAGGATACCGAAAACTGCGTATACGCTGGTGGAACATTCCTTTTGACATGTGAGTAAGTTACATTACCCTCGAAAGGTTACGCATTGACGAACGGTTATCAGCTTACCGGAATTCTATCCTCGCGATCCACCCAACATTCGGTTTGTGACATTCATCCTACACCCAAATGTGTGTCATTATCCACTCCCGTTCATTTTCACTGCTAATCGGGGCCGCGGTGTAGATCTCGAAGCAAGGCAAAGTCTGTATTGCTGAGCTAGGTCGTCTTTGGTCGTCGGATATCAGCCTCAAGGATACGTTGAGCCTAGTGTACGGCCTCCTTCTGACGCCTGATCTAGAGAACCCTGTAGAAATGCAAGCATCGTTAACGTATTGTGCGTTGATTGCATTTTTGAAAATCGAACATAAGCCTTATTAGCCTTATTACAGATGAAGATGGCGGATCGTTCGCTCTACACGCTGCTAATGCAGTTCGAGATCACGCGTCCAAGACGCGGCAGGCGTGGAAGGAAGAATTGTCGAACGAAGTCGAAGATGACGGTGGCGTTGATGATCTATACTGAGACGAATAACTATTTTCTGGACTCGGTCTTGTAGAAAATATGGATTCTTTACGGACTCCATGTATTGTTTATGTATAACTACGATAACGATATTACTTGTCCTACATATGCGCCATTTTTGGCTTTTCCCTTCTTTAACTAGGATCTCTATCATGCTCTACCACTGCTCTGGCAATATATAGTGATTCGTCCTCTGTCCTCGGGCTGAAGACCCATACAGATCTGGTGATAAGCTCAGTGTTGCTAAGTGAAAGGAAGGAAATGAATAAGTGCAATCAGTTACTACTGTAGGCTGTCTGGAGTTGGCAAGAGGTGTGGGCGGTGGGAGGATCTAGACCGACTTGTGAGGGGTCCTCAGAGTCGGGATCCCGTCGCGAAGTTTCAAGTTTAGAGCCTAGAGAGCGGAAGGGCATAGGCGGGTGGGTCAATAAAGAGGCAAGAGAGGTAAATGCCATTGAATGAGCAGAAAAAAGACACTGATGACGCGTCCCTTCTCCATATCTTCTACCTTAGCTTGTCCTCCGATAGGCCCTCTGCTCGTGCCTCATTACAGGCTTATTTCGGCGATGAAAAGACAAGACCTTACTTCCATTTCACGCCACAGAGCTCTTTGGTCAGAACGATTAGAAAAGCTCGCTCAAACAAATTTCCTCTGAAGGGAATAGATTGCACCAATAAATTACCATACACCCCAATAAAATACTCCCTATGCATACGCATGCATCAGACCCGGATTCGGTTTGAACACTGGTAGTGGATGTGCCTAAAATACGTCCGTCAGCCTCCCATACATAGGCACAAACGCAACGCAAGAGACACACCTGTGTATTGAAAACATAATCTGATCAACGATGAGCTAAACTAATCTTCCCATAGTAAGTATGATATCAATTAACTCACCTTTCAGCGGAAGCACACTATCATCCGAGAACGTCAGATACAAATACTTCAACGTCTCGCTCTACCGCCCCAAAGTCAACGAGCCATACACCCTATATCAACCATATACGCACCAGGAAAAACGTCTCCTGCTTATCTTCCAGAGACACAGGGACAGTGTCGACATCTCGGACGGTTGCATACCCTCCATTCTTCAAACGACAGTGTTTCTGAATAGCAGAGAAAATATCCCAGGCGTATTTTCTATACCGGCTATCATGCGTGAGGCGCCAGGCGATGAAGAGGGATTCGGCGGTGTCAGGCCTTTTGGGGAGGGTCAGCCACCGAGAACTGAATGAAGGGACGTTATCTCTACCGCAGCATGTATCTAGCATCGTAAGATGCTGGTCCTCCTTTCCTGCGATGCGCGCGCTCTTTAGATGGCTAACACACTGCACAAAAGGAAGGCTTACTTTGAGCCTTTGATGTACCAATCCCGTTCCGGATGGCCCTTACCCGCGTCTGCCTCATCCATCTTGAACATCACGATTTCGGGAGCTAGACCACTGCAATACGAGGTCATGACTCTATCATTCTGTTGCGTGTTGCACGGAACTTACGTCTCTGTATTATGTGTCTCCATGCACGTCTCTAGTAGCTCCAGCCCTAGATACCAATCACGCTGGGCGTTGATGGGCATTTGTTCGACTTTTGGTGGGATTGTGACCCGGTTTCTCGTAATCCCTGACGTTACGGCGCCAAGCATAAGCGTACCGGGGAAAAAGCAGACTAGGTGGTCTTGTTTCGGTATTACCTTGGGGTTCCTACAATTGATATTAACTTGAGATCCCGACTTGGTCGAAACGCGGGAGAACGTACAGTAGTGAACCCGGGTGTAGCTCTGCGATGAAAACCATCTTCTGTCGATAGGTTCTTTGCTCCATTCGGATGTGAATGCTTCGCACCGACTTTTCGTACATCTAGACTCATGGTAAGATATTTGCGCTATCTACAGAGACGACTGACATACCTCACGATATAGCCATTCCGTTCGGTTCTGGAGGGGACATAATAAACACTATGTCCAAAAGTATGAAGGCAAGCTTACGGTCTGTAGGAATTGTTTTCTACCCAGAGTCAGTCACACGAGCCGTCCAAAGGGAGTGGATGGGCTCACAGTAAATACTCGTAGTAAGAATCGCCTCTAGAACCGAGACGTATATCCGAGGTCACAAACAATCCTTTGGTATGCCTGTCACCCATTAGCTTCGATAAAACGCGCGTTCTAATATCTCTTACTTCATCAGAATCGGTGCCAGATGTGTCAAACCCTCCGCCTTGTCCAAAAGGTCATGTATCACATGCATGACTTTTTCCGACTTGCGCCAGAAATCCGGCCGCTGAGCCAGCTGAGCCAGATACCGAAATTCGAGCTGCAACGTCGCAGCTTCGGCTGTGCTGATGATTTCAGGTGCTGCAGAATCTGGGATACCCACCCGACGAGCAAGGTTGACAGATGGAAGGGGTAAACCTGAGTTGGTGTCAAAAGCGGGTAATAGGCGGTCTGCGAGCTCGATAGCACGAAGAACGTAGAGCTTATCTTGAGTGAGTGTAAACGCTGAAAGAAGACCGCCTAGGACACGGATCGTAGTCTGCGAGAATCGTCTTAGTACATAAAAAATTAAGTACGAACGGGATCTTACCTCGAATGTACTGAACAACCCCTCCTTATCAAATGAGAGGCTCTGCTCTACCCACCGTCGCGCCCGAGCATACTCGTCATTCAGACCCATGATATACATCGTGTCGATGGAGTCGACAAGTAGTGTACCCCATGCCTCCGTCCACCGAGAAATTTGAGCCCTTGTGTGTGAGCGGGTGGTACTCATCTGCTCCCATTGCGTCTCTTTCTGTCGTGTATGTCAATAACAGCTGAGTATATGCTATCGAGAACGATACCATATGCATGCCATGCGTGCTGGAAGAAAAAAGGTCTATTAGGAGACAATAACGACGAAGTAATGCAACACACCTTGAAAGCCTCGACAATCTCAGCTCTCTTCCCTGCCGCCGCGTCTGGCTTCAGGTACGCTTCCTCGTTGTATGTATTCAAGCTCCATCGATCCTGTGAGCTGCGCCACTAAACAATGTTCTGTTAGCACTCATCCCAGCTCCTACGAACACGCTCACATTCCCAAGGAGAAGGAGGAGTCCACAAATACACGCTAACGGTAAAAACCGAATGAACTTGCGAGAGACTGGCATATTTGAGGACAACTAAGCAAAGACATTTTCTCTCCGTGAACGATAGGAGCGACTCAAGGGGCACGACGTACCTTTTTCGCCAGCCCGCTACCCACGAACTGCGGCGGAATGGAAAAGTTTATTACTGATTCCTCCGAGCTGTCGCACGACCGCCGACGTTCGCACAGTAATAAATATCGACAGAACGAGAAAGTGAAGAGAAAAGGAGAGCGGGAGGAGAAGAAATAATATTCCGGGATCCCGACATGATCAAGGTCCAGGCAAAGGAGTAGTTTCCGAATTTGGTCGCAGGCGGTTGACCTGACTGACACACAAGGACCCACAACATCCAGGAACGGGACCTTGGCACAAAATTCACGAAAAGGCCAGATACCGCAAAGCCCTGAATTATTCGGTAGCATCAATCTCTCAATTTTGACAGCTGAAAGTGGGCGCTGATCCGAAAACATAAGAAATGCACCCCGACCTAGCCGAGGAATCCCAGAATACGAGCTTTTAAAATACTTATACGAAGCAGTAAATAAATATAACACCATTAGTACCCTCTATGCGAAGCAAATAACTGGTGTAGATATCCAAAAAATTCGTCAAAAAAAATCATCAAGACTCCGTCCGATGCTTCAAAGAAGGTACCGGCGGCGCCGTCACAGGCGCAGTAAAGAACCCCTCTGCAGTAATCCCAATCGCTTCCACCCCCCGCCCCAGCAGTTTTCCTATTCGTCCCTCTCCCAACCGAAATCGACCCCTTCCGCCCGCCCACCCGATTCCCGCTCTCGATGCTTATCATCGACCGAGCCTTGGTCGTCACCGTTTGGTACCCACCACCACCGCCGCCACCATCAGGCATCGACTTCACCTTCCCCGAACTTCCCGACAACGTACTCCGATGTCGCGGCTTGAATGTGCTTCCATTCCACGCACTCGGTGGACCCGATATCGACGGATTTGGATGGTGTCCATGAGCTGGTCCTATAGGCATCACCAGCATCTCATCGTCAATGCTATCCTCCTCGTCGTCATTCTGCAGCACATGTACAGGCGCCTTTGGGCTTGACAGAAGCGAACTCGCCCCAGACGATCCACGGCTGTCTTCTTGCGGCAGCCGTAGCGGTAATGCCTCTGTCCGGTCCCTCACCTCGTCAAAGATCTCATAGTATCGCTGTATACACAACTTAATTACCATTCCTAATGTCGTCTTGGACTCGGCCAACACAGCAGGATTGGACTGAACCGAGGACTGGAAAACCGCCGGTCCGCCAGGGATCGTACACATCATAACATCTTTGACAGGGTTGGTACCCGAAACCAAGTTCGGGGTGAGCACGACAGCAAGGTTGTGGGCGTCCATTCGGTTCGAAGCAGAACGTAGAGAGACCTCATGCATCAAGTCTGTGTGGACCATCAGAAGGGGAGAATGGTGTCAAACAACGAGGTCACTCACGGAGAACGTGGCTGAGAAGAATGTACGCGCATGGAGGTAATTCAGGTAGGAGGGTCTCGCGAATGAAAGATACAGCAGCCATGTCAGCAGGGTCGCTAGAAGGGATAGGGCATCGCCGTATCGTGGGGTATAAAGTTTCCGGGAATATTGGCTCGGGAAGGTCCCGAAGGTATTTTTTCAGTAGGACAGCAGCGAGGTGAGGGTCTCCAAATGTTTCCAGAGACACGACGTTTCCTACAAACTGTTTAGTAACCGTTGCAGCGACAAGACGACAAACCTACCACGATCATAGGCCTCTTGCGCAGCTCGCAGAAGCGCTGACGATGGGGACCGCCGGAAGAGTCCTTCCTCTTCCATTCCAGTATCACGTAAAAACTGTATGGAATCCTTAACCACTCTTGGGATACCCCCATTCTCACCCTCATACCCCATCAGGTCCTCTAAAGGTACACCAAAGATACTTGACACGGCCGGCGTTGGCAGAGTTATCCTCCTTTCCCGTTTAGAGTTTTCCTGGTATACTGCGGGCGGTATGTCAATTTGTGTAATAGGTATTTGGGCCGCGAGCGCAGAGAGCGTGTCAACATAAGCAATCTTGTGAAAGAATTTGGGACTGATGATTGCTCCAGCGAGAGAGAAAAGCACTAGAGAGAACTGTGAGCACTAGCCGATGTTAGGAAACCAATGCACGCACTCTTCGAAAAGAAGGAAGAATGCACGATGAAGAGTCGCTTCAAGTTCTTCCTATACTTGCGACTCAAACTACGATATGCCTTCCAAACCCAGTTCCATCCCGGTGTGTACTTTCCACCTGCTGCGAAGAATACGACAGTATAGTCGGCCTCAACTGCGGTAGCATTAGGGAAGTCAATAAAGATATAATGGCAACAGTATACACACCGTAGAGATTCAAATATGACAGTATTCGGCTGCGGACCGTCAGCAGAACGAAAATCTCAGGGGTATTAAGCAACGCACGACAAGAGCAGATCGTAATTGACGCCTCGCGGATCTGGGAGGGCCGAAGCATTCAGCACGACCCTAAGGACGATTAATGAGATATTCTAACGACATGTAGCGTGGTGATAAACCAACATTGGCCGTGTTCTGCACCAAACTCCGATGAGAGAGAACATCCGAGAATTAAGCGACGACACTCACTCGAAATCGACCCCGGCTTGGAATATAAGCTTCGCCATCACGTCCTGCATATTTGCATGCTGCTCCTGGACATATGGAGACTCCGTCCGTTTATTCCAGGGAGCACTGACATTGAAGAAACTCTTCCGTTTGGGTGACCGTAAAGGCGTGTCCTGACCATGAGGAGCTGACGGTGCAGACGGTGCTATCGATAATACTGCAAGTCTCTGCTTCAGAGAGAGAGAACTGGGAGGCATGAAGGGTCGTCGTCGTCGTAGACGGTGAGCAGGAGGTCGCAACGGATGGGAGTCTGGGATAGAGAGGAAGCAGGCACGTGATATGGCCCCTATAACTTCAAACTCCGTCTAAACAGGGATAAAGAGCGCGTCGTCGCGACTTTCTTTTAACCTTCCAGTACTTCGGCGAGCAGTGCGAAAATTTTCAATTCACATACCAGGTTCCTGTCCTACTACTGTTATTTGCTTAGCTTACGTTGCACCTATTAAAGAGGGGCCCGACACTGTTGAAGCTATGCCAATCTATCACTTCCTACCCCGTCGTGTTTTCCGCGACCTGTATGTATTTTATGCTAACCGGATGGATTTTCCTCACTCTTTACGCGTTAATATTCCAGTCCTCCTGAAGTATACGCCCTGATTTTGTCATACCTTTCTCCTTTGGATGTTATCTGTTTCGGAAGGGTTGACCGAAAGAGGAAGACCATCGTCGAATCCTATTTCTGGAGTGAATTCATACAACTCATGGTTTCGTACTTCTCCGAACCGGAACTCTTGGAGTTTCGCCTGATCCAAGCAAAGACTGGAACCCTCATCTCCGGATCCACTGTTCTACAATTCTTAGAACGGACGACATATCCCGATTCAGATCTTGACATCTACACTCCTTTCATGTACGCCAGGGAGGTCGGAGAGTTTTTTCTCAGAATTGGCTATCAATTTTGTCCCCGGGAGAGTCAGATAAAGCCCTTTCACGAGATCGCGGAAGATATCAACCAGAGGGTTGTTGAACAAGAAGTCTACAACCTTCGCGGGATAATGCAAGTCTACGACTTAGATCGCAACGGGAAGAAGATTCAATTAATGTCAGCGCTCAACTCTCCAATGGACATTATTTTGGCGTACCACTGCAGTAAGTGAAACTCTAATTCGCCCTTCCTGCTGTATACTAATGAAGGTTTTTTTCCAGCCACGGTTATGAACATCATCACTGCCACCCACACCTATTCCCTCTACCCCAGAGGCACATTCCACCAAAGACGGGGCCTCATCATTCGCACCGACGGTTCTGCCCAAGATGCAGGACGTCAAAAGTACATCGATCGTGGCTGGGAACTCTTCTCCGAAGTGACCGTGTTTGAAGTCACAAGTCCTCTTTCGGAATTTCAGGCCAACTCTCTTAGATGGGTCGGCGATCGGAGGTGCCTCTCAGTCAAGCTTTCTCCTATAGAACTGCCTTTTATATCTTACCCCATCATGGCCAACTCCTGGCGGCTCACCTACGGCTGGAACTGTACGGTTAAGGTCGAATACTCCAACGTCGAAGCCGAGCGTTTCAAGTTCTGCGTATCCCAGGGTTGGAAGCTTTGTCAGGTCTTACACAAGCTCAAGGATTTCTGGAAAGCTGTGAAGAGGTACGAGGTGCCGCAATCTTGTCAACTTGTACTGATGTGTTTTCAGCGAGGACGTTGCTTTCGCTGCTATTGCGGAACGATATTACAAGCGCTGCGCTTCAGTCAGCTCGACTGATGCTGCGCTAGAATGGCTTGCGCCCAATATTTCTCTAGAAATGTTGGAAGATACTTTTGAAGGATCCCATGATCCTTAGACGAAGCTCGTAACCTGGGAAACAATGACCGAGAATTTCACATATAGTATGCGTTCATTTATCTTGGTTTACTTACTGCAGCTAACTCAGCTCGAGGCCATTCGCGGTCCTAGAGTAATTGATTTCATATGTACAATTATTGTTACGACTATTGCAGTATATACCACCATAGCTTGACTGACAAATAATCTTGGGTCGTTATCATCTAGACTTCATTGCCGAGGTTGAGCTCGGGTGGAACAACTTGAAGGAACTTCTTTTGCGCTGCATAGCCTACTGAAATGATGTCTTCATTCTCCACCGCCTATAAAAATGAATTCAATGGTCACAGCGGGGTCGACGCCTGATGGAATTCAGAAAGGAAAACTAAGGATACATCCTACGGTATACATTGAGAATGCGACTATGGGGACTGGTAACAGAAATGAATACGGGTGCAAAGAAAGCAGGGAAAACGTAAATCCAGAAAACAAAGGGAGACAGTGGTTTATGCGTATACTAAATCAAATACGTCGAACGAAAGCAAAGAAACCACTCAAAGTATGGGAAAATGGCTTATGAAGCTCGCCATAAGCGCGATTCAACGCAAGAAACGCTGCTTCATATCCTTGATAATGCCACGGGTTGAACGTTACGAGAATACCGAGTATATGGTGTTCGACTCACCAACGGCCAAAGACTGGAGAACTAGTACATCAATCGGTCAGCGGTCGGAAGAACGTAGCAGAGCAGAATGCTGACTCACTTGAGGGTGCTGAACAATCTTTGGAAGGTTCTGCTCCTCCTTCTTCCTTCGTTGCTCTACACTTTTGGCGTAGACCTTGACAGTAGCGCTAAAGAAGCTTCAGCAATGACACCGGCAAAGAAAGTGAGAAGTGCGAACTCAATCGATACGTTGAGCTCCTCTAAGGTGGGTTCGGGATTGGCTTCTGTTTTTATATCAGGGAAACCATGTAAACGGAAGACTTTGAAAATGCTCACCCATTGCTGACATTATCGCCTGTTGAAGCAGATGGTGGGTGAGGAAGGTCAATGTGAAAAATGTGAAATAGGCTTACTCTAGTCAGCGACCCTCCCTTCTTTCCTCCCCATGCTATTTCCTCGTCTCTGCATGCAGAGATGCACACCTACATAGAAAACAAGAGTCACCGAGAGATATCACGTCTAACATGATTGGGTGCCCTACGACATATCCTTGTCCTTTGCGCTTCCGAACCAAGCAAAACCCTTTGCAATCCTTGATATATGGGTCCAAATGTGAGGCAGTTATCAGCTTATTGACTGCACGGGGGCCGAGGAGGCCCAAATTCACAGCGGCATCGGAGACGACTGGGTAGATGGGAAGGTTAGCTGGTCCAAAGAGTGAACGCGCGGACCGATGACAAACTGTATCTGTACAAATGGCGGACTAAAGCCCAAAATTAAAGATGTTACGTAGACGCGAGAAGAAATGCATACCAGTCTTTGTCCATGACGTGCAATCATTGCAGCGGTAGTGGCAGAGGTCTGGGGGGAAAGTGCCATAAATAGGGTAGTATGGGAATAGGAAAGGGTCTTGCCATACCAAGAACGGTGCCGCTGTGGCAGCAGTCGAAAACAGCCTGTAAAATATCCGGAGTTAATCACGCAAGGCCGGCCGATGGAGTAGGAGACGTCGGGCGCAACGAATACTTACAGTAAGTTTAGAGCCAGCAGCAGCCAGAGGCATGACCAGGATTTCCTTGAGGACGTCGTCAATGATCATCTTGTCCTCAATAAATCCCTTGGGACCGACGGCGTCACAAGGAACGATGTCTGTAAAAATTCCTGATTCAGTAAAAGCAGTGGCCTGATGAACCAATGATTTTTGCCCACGTTCATCTTTCTTGTCGGCTTCAGTGCTGTCGAAGTTGGGCTTTTGATGTCCGTGGCCTCCGTCTGAAGGATTTAAAATAGTCTTCGACCAAATGAAACGAGGGACTAACAGAAAATAAAATGTATGTCACCAGGGGAAGCACCTTGGACAAAACGATGAATTTCTCTCTCCTAGCAAAGAACGGTGAGCAGATTCCTTATTTGGAGCCAATTTTTGGTATGGACGTACGATGTTTACTTTGGTAGGCCAAAGGTCGCGGGGAGTCTTAAGAGCGTCGGTCATGACAACGATGTCGCCCTTGTCAAAATACATAGTGCCTGAAAAGGGAGCCTTAGAACGCATTATATATGTATCCGGCGGGAGCGTACCTATGAGGAGGTCACGAAATTTATCAACATCCGTATGGGTGCCCTCCATCTGGTCTTCCTTCCCCGACGCAAACTCTTCCAGAGTGTAGCTCACACCGATGAGGAGGGCCTTTCGGGTCACATCGTTACGGCAGGAGATGTTGGCGGAGGGCGGCGGCGAAGGACCGAAGGGACGTAGACGGCCAGCTCCAGAAATCATGTAGTGGTCCAGGCGGGGTGGCTGGGGAGGAAATAGATGGATGGTGGTGGATAGAAGAAGAGGCGATGTTCTGACCCTTTCCCAATACTTAACAGCGAGAAGAGTGTCGGCGTAGACCGCGCCGTCCTAAGAGGAGGCGTTGGTGACGATTGTCACTCGTTTACACCGGCGGACGGCGTAGCAACCACCGGAACTTCCACATGGAGTAGCGTACAGCTCGGCGGCCAGTGTCAGTCCAACATGGGGAGCATAGTGGGGACAAGACATAGGTGAGGATCTCCAAAGGAAGGATGGATAGAGGGGAAGAGATGAAGAGAGATGTTTAGGCGCTGAACGTACGATGGGGTTCCATCAGCAATGCCACGATGTGGGACGTCACCGAGGCTTCAATAGTTCCTGCCATCAGGGTACAACTAGGTATACGACTCGTGGCCGGAGCTCTCTCACAATAGTGTGTAGTTCTATCACCGAAAATAAGTCCCATATCAATCCGGGTAGCGTGATACAGAAAGTTACAGATGCCTGTCGCACTAGCGCTCACGATTATAATAGAGAACCCGCGATGATCAGATCGTCCACCCCAAAATTTCACAGCCTAAAGTTGAAGTGTTAACTAGCGGAAGGAAAGTACTCTTGTCAAAAGCGAAAGAATTACCCGAGGAATATATCGAGTATGCCTGGTGGACTGACAAAGAGTCTTGTAGAGATAGAAACGTAGAAATATTGTTGATTCATTTACCCAAGTCAGAGACACATTTGACCTTCATCAGACATGAAAAAAAAGTCCTCGTACACAGACACCAGGACATCAGATTCTCCCGACACAGACCAGTACTCTGAGTAACTTGAACTAGCCAAATGCAAGTAGAACGGTCTCAGCTTCCGAATCGGCGAGTCGGACCGCTAACGGGAGATTTCCTTCTGAAAAAGAATCAACATGCAATAGGATCCGGTGAGCTCCAGTTCTTGAACAAGTTTTCTGGCCCTTTCCTAGGACCCTTTACATGATCCCGGAGCTGGAAGGGTCCGCTAACACAGGAAATTATAAAAGGATCATGGACGTTGATGGGACGCATCACCGTGTAAAAGCGTGTAAAGCGGCGAATGATGACGTAAGTTGCCATCGCTTTCATGGCGTTCTGGGTAGTAACCATTATCCGCCAATTACCTTTTACAGCTTACCCGCCTCTTGACCACACCCAAATTCAAAACGGCTTTTCTGCGGTGCGCAATAAAAAGTGATTATGTCGGCTGCGTGATGCAACCGTACTTAGTAGAATAGAAACAGAATATGTTATTGGACTTACCGCAGTATTCCCCCACCCCTAATTCGCACTGCTCACGAGGTATCCGTACTTACTTCAAGATGCTGGCACCTCGTATAAGGAACCTGATGTGGCTTGCGAGTGACAGCCGTAACAGGTACTATCTTCGCAATGATCCGAGCGAATGTCCAGGGACTCAGAAGACAGTGTCACAGTAATAGACGCCTTCGTTTACTACAGTCAGAATTTGGATTGATGAGAACATTCAACATAGAAACATACTATAAGTCCTAAGTAAATAGACTAAGGATACATATTGAAGACATCAGATCGTGATAGGGTATCTTATGGAACATGCGTGAAGTATACAAACAATGCAAGCGAACGAGACGAATAGTAGGACAACTAAAAATGCGTGTAGTAGCAGAAAGCAGGTGACAAACGAAAATCGGAAAACAAGCGCGAAAAGTAAAATAAGCCAAAGCGAGGAAACAAAGCGGAGCGGAGATAATGCAAAGCAGTTCGAAGACATAAAATTGAGCAAAGTACGGATGCAATGAAGGAAGATCGACGTGTCGTAAATTGATCACCTAATTTAACACAGAAAACGCTGCTTCATGTCCTTGAACATAAAGATTAACAGCATCAAACCTGAGGGTATGAAGTTCAACTTACCAAAGGCCAAAGGCTAGAGAACTACGATCAAATGAGTGGAAGAACGCGACAGAGCAAAGGGGTGACTCACTTGGGGATGCTGAGCAATCTTGGAAGGGTACTCCTCCTTGTCCTCCTTCTGCTTCTTCTTCTTCTTCCAATTCTCTGATATCGCATTGGAATAGACTTTGACTCTAGCCCTATAAAGGGTTCAGTGCTGCTATAGGGCCCGGATCAGAGGATAGAAACCAACCCAATGAATATATTCAGGTCCTTAAGCGTCGGATGGGGGTCGTGACCTGTGAACTATTTCAAAAACAGAGCAGATACCCTGGGAGAAACTACGAACCCAGTGCTAGGACCAAAGCCTTAGGAAATGCGTGCTCAATATCATTAGAAGTCAAGAGCCGTGAGAGGTCTTACCTTAGTTAGCGACCCTCCTTTCTTACCGCCCCAAGCAGATTCCTCGTCCTGGCAAGCCGAGATGCAGACCTAGCAAGTCATGTTGAATAGCGACACAACAGTATAATTGGAAATTGACGTACAACGTATCCGGAACCTCTGCGCTTTGGAAGTAAACAAAAGCCGCCGCAGTCCGTAAGACACGGGTCCCAGTTTGAGGCGACACCGGGAGCGAACGAGTTGAGTGTGCAAGGGACGATCATGCTCAAGTTGACAGATGTATTTGAGAAGACTAGGCAAACGGGGCCATCAGTTAATAGAAGGTGCGACGATTGGGTGGCGAGACGAACTGTGTCTGTATACACGGAGAGCTAAGGGGATGTAGTCAGAAAGGTGTTTTCATATGGGCGGGAGAACGTACCAGCCCTCTTCCAGGCTGTGATATCGTTGCAGCGATAGTGTGAGAGATCTAGGTGTATTTATGGTGAGCACCAACATGAAAGGATGGTCGGGGGATGAACTATACCGAGAACCGTCCCGCTATGACAGCAATCGAAGACCGCCTGTGCAGTAGATAAATTAATCGCTGGAGTAAACGATGAGCAGAAATCTCACAGTAAGCTTCGCATCCGCGGCTGCGAGTGGCAGGACTAGTATATTCTTGAGCAGGTCGTCGATGATCATTTTACCCTCGATGAAGTCACCATCAGGATCGACAGCGTCACACGGCACAATGTCTAGGGAAAGCATTCCAGTAAAATCGGCACGGTTTCACAGCTGCGGTACATACGTTCGTCACGCTTATCCATTTCCCGGCTACTGGGGTTGTAGATCTGGTAGCCATGCCCAGCGTCTGGATGTAATTAAATGACGCCAGTCTTAACCAAGCGGAACAAACGACGACGCACAGAATAGAAAACAGATATCGCCAGACGAGGTCCCATTCACGAAAGTACTGATCGCTTTTTCCTAACATGAGGAAATGAGTAAGTACAATCTCCGGAAGGTGATGTTACCATCCTTACAATGTTAGCCTTGGTAGGCCATAGATGGTGGGGAGTATCAGGACCATCAGTCAGCACAGTAACGTTCTCCTTTTTGAAATTCAGCGGGCCTGTAAAAGGATTACGCCGGATGAAAAGTATGAGATCATAGGCAGGCCCATACCTGTGAGAATGTTATATATTTGTTTCACGTCGGTGAGGGCACCCTCCACTTGGTAGTCCAGCTTCAATCTATATTCTTCCAAAGTATAACTGACTCCGATGAGGAGGGCCTTTCGAACTACAGGCGTAGCCTTGATACGTCTGCGGTCGGGGCGGCAGGCAGCAGAGAAAGATGATTGAAATGCAGAATTCAATGCTCGTGAACGACGGAAACCGAGGTACATAGGAAAAAGTCGTCCAAATTGAAAGCCGAATAGAAAGATGATGGGTTGACGATGGTGGGAGCAGAACTAGAGCGAGGAATCGGGGGCGCGGGTTTTGTTTCTGTTAACAGCTAACAGCGAACCCGTGTGGAAAGAGGCGGAGGCGGCACCGCGGTAAGGAGAGCGGAGGAGGAGGGGGGGGAGCTGGAAGAAGGTGCAGATCCTCCCGGTATGGGTAAGCGCATAGCATCTCGGATGAGGAGCTGTAAGTGCCTGAGCAAACATAGAGATAAGTGGCCGGGTTGGGGGAGCAGGACATCGAAAAAGCTTTCCAGACAATCGTCAAGAGGAAAAGAAAGGTCGAAGAGAGAGGAGAGATGTGGAAGATTGAGTGGACCATTTATTTCATCAGTTCCGCGAAGCAAGGGGCAAATTCCTCCCACAGTGTCACGACCGCATGACTAGGACAACGGTTACAACAGAAGTTAGTTCTATCGGTGAAAACGAAAATCCTTTTGAACGTGGATGAACATCCACGCAAAGCTCCGTGCTCTTCCTTTACCCAGGGTTGGAAGACCCTGAGGAGGTGCGGGTCTGCAAAATTGTACTAGCTTGCGGCAATGATGAGGATGTATTTCGAACATTCTACGTTACCAGACTAACAGCGTTCCCTAGTTTTCCGTAGAAGAGACACCAAAAAGCAGGGGGACCACATGCCGGCCCCGATTTGGCCTGGATTGTATAGTTAATCCGCAAAACGTGGTCCACTTACCTGCAAAGAGTATATGTACGATCACTGATCAGACACCGCCAACAGTTCTATAATGATGTTAGTCCAGAAAAGAAAGATGTTTCACGGGGCTGAACTGGTCAGCTCCATGGTTTCGCTGAGCCGTCCATTTTTCAACTCTGCCGATTGTACCGAACGTAGCGAGTGATCACACCAAATGGATGGAAACGAGACTAACAACTCAGTTGAATCTGGTTGCCTCAGCATTTTGGTCGACTGCGCAGACCGACTTCACATCAGTCCATGAATGCGGCTAGTAAAAGCAAATTGAGAAGACATGAAATTGAGGAAGGAAAGACTAGAGCTACACAGATCGTGGTAATGAACAGGTATCTTGAGAAGATTATGCGAGGTATCAGACTATGCGAGACAAGGTAAGCAATCAGGGGGGAAAAGTTATGAACGAGCATAGGACAGAAGACGAATTTAGTGGAAAGCAAGAACGCGAAACGTAATAATGTAAAAGATGTTGAGCCAAAGCGGAGAAAGAAAGCAGATCGAGAGCAAGTAGATAGCTGGTAAAATGGGAAGGGGACGAAACGGTGGGGTATACATGTCTGTCATAAGACAACATCGTTCAAAGCATAAAGTTCTGGTTCATATCCTTGAACGTGACAGTGGCTCAGCAGGGACTCGGAAATCGGACATAAGAAGTCTACTCACCAAAGGCCAAAGGCTGGATATCTATGGACCCGTCAAAGAGAGCAGCTGAGAGAGTCAATAGCCGACTGACCTGGAGACGTTGAACCATCTTTGAGGGGTCAGCCTTCTGCTGCTTCCTCCTCCTCTTTTCCGCATTCTTGGAGCGGATCGTTACTTCGGTGCTAGGAAGGACATTAGCACAAATACTGTTCAAGTCAGAAAAGAGATCCCTACTGCAAGAAGACATTTAGTTCCTTGAGTGTGAGTTTTGGATTGTGCTCTGGGACGATTTAGAAACGACGGTTTATTGTCAAAGAAAACTCACCTAGTGCCTGAATGAATGCCTTGACATAACGGCGTTTAGTGTTCTTGGTTCACGATCAACATTTCTGAGAAATCTCACCCTAGTCAGCGCCCCTCCCCTGGTGCCGCCCCAAGCCTGTTCCCCGTCCCTGCAGGCAGAAATGCACACCTAGGGAGACGTTGTAGGTCGTTTAGTCAATGTTGCGACAAGATCCAAATGACGTACCACGTATCCTGGACCCTTGCGCTTCGAGAGCGAGCAAAACCCTTTGCAGTCCTCTATGTGCGGGTCCAAGTATATCGAAGCCGCAGACCTAAACATGTTGATGGTGAAGGGAACCATCAGGGTCAAGTTCACAGAGGGCGTGGAAAAGACTAGGGATGAATGTCAGCGGAAGGTACCACTTCCCGTCGTATTACGAACCATGTCTGTATATACGACGGGCTGTGGTCTACTCGTCAGAAACCGTTGAAAATGGATAACAAAGCAAAACGTACCGTTGCTTGTCCAAGATGTGCAATCGTTGCAACGGTAATGCGAAAGATCTGGAAGAATCTCTTGTCAGTAGAAGTGAAATAGAGATGAGCACGAAGCGTATCGTACCGAGGACTGTGCCACTGTGACAGCAATCAAAAACAGCCTTTAGGTGGATTAGATCCGGCAGATATCGAAGATAGTGGGACAGAACTCACCGTCAAATTCGCGTCTGCAGCTGCTAGGGGCATCACCAATGTATTCTTGAGAAAATCATCGATAATCATCTTTTCCGCGATGAAGTCAGGACCGACAGCGTCACAAGGAACAATGTCTAGAAAACAAGATCCGTCAAATTGTGGTTGAATATACTGGTACACCTACGCTCATCGCGTTTGTCATCTTCACGGCTGTTATCGTTGTGTATTTGGTGTCCGTGGCCAGCGTCTACATGACGTCAAGCGTTGGTCCGAGGAGATAGGGAAAGTGACTTACAGAAAAGAAAACGAATGTCGCCAGCCTTGACTCCGTCGACGAAGTCTTGAATTGCTGTCTCCTAGAGCAGAATAAACATCAGGCATCAATACTTAGGACGATACGACTAGACATACAATATTCGTCTTCGTAGGCCATTGATCGCGAGGAACGCCGGGGAAGTCGGTCAGGACGGTGATATCTTCCTTCTTGAACTCGAATCTGTCTGATGGAGGTTTAGACAGCATGCGGGCGGGGGGGAATATCAGCATACCTTCAAGGAGGGTACGTATTCCATCGACATCCCTCTGAAGGCCTTGCGGGAGCTGAAGTTCAGGATTCGAACGATATTCTTCTTGGACGTAGCTGATGCCAATGAGGAGGGCCTTTCGTTGGACTTTGCGACCGAAAAAGGGCTGGTAGAGGTCGGTTAATGAATGGCTCGGTGAGGAAGCCAATGAGCGTATCAGTCGGGAGCCGAAGATCATCAAGGTACTACTACGTCCAGATGGGAAGTGGACGAAGAGGAATAGGGAAATAATGGAGGATGGACGGCGAGTCGACGCTGGACCGTGCTCGATGCTTAACAGCCAAAGTGTCTCCGCGTGACAAGAGTCTGCAAAGTCGGTGGCTTGTAGGAAGGGGTCCGACGGTACCGAAGCTCTTCGCTGAATGCGGCGAGGAGCCGTATCTTTCGGCGCACAGCCGCGCTCGGCGACAGCAGGGGGCTTCCCCGTGTAGCAAAACGGTTAAGTGATCGAGTCTGAAGACACAGAACCATTGGAACAACAATGATGAGGATGGGGGGAAAGGAAGACAGATGAGAGAGAGAGGAGAAGGGAGTAGACGCAGATGTTTGGTCCCGGGGGATCTATCATCAGTTCTGCGAAGTAAGGAACCAAGGCCTCCTGCCAGGGCACCTACAAACCTCATGGCCAAGGGACTTGCTACTAGAAAAACTGATTCTATCGTAAAGAACAAAGCCATATGGAACCATGAAAGGTGACATAATATCTGCCGTACTCACGGTGTTAAGATCCCTTTCAATTCAGATGGCATGCCGCGAAGGATCCTACATGTTTACGGTACAACCTGTATGGGATTCAGTCAGGTCTGATTGGAAATTGAGCATTTGAAAATGTTTTGGGGAACTTTACGAAGAGCTTTCCGGGGGGGGGGGGGGGGGCAATATCTCAAGAAGCATCGCTGGAACAAGAACGATATCCAGCACCCTTGGACCCTGGTTGGCTGGTGGCGATAGCAAGGCGGTCATCCTGCCCGTAAAGATTAAATCTAACAATAGTACCAGTTATAACAGATGCCGAAAGCATGATTGGATCCTGCAACGACTGATAAATGTTCAGGTTCCCCAGGTTTTTTGCAAGGCGGTCAACTTACCATCCATGGGATGCCTGTGACACCTAGCTATTTTGCGCATATACCCCAATGTGGGGGGGTATTCAATTCCAACGGCATCTTATTCAAGTCGCGTCCTGGACGGTCCCGGTGTTAGTCCAGTGACGGTCCACGTCGGAGAAAGCGTCGCATCACGTGCTACTTCGTTCCGAACTTCCGAACTACGATCATCCAAACTTCGCGCCTGGACCACAATCTTTTCCCCTCCCTGTTTTCTCAAAGCCCCCTCCTTCTTTTCTTCTGATGTCCCCTAACTCTTGGTGACCGATTGTGCTTGGTCTATCTTTTCTTTTTTTTCGAAAATTTCGAGGAGCTTACATATGCTGTGACTCGGATCAAGGGCTTACATGTTACAGCTGTATTTCGGGGTGCTGCATAATGGTTTATTGGACATCTTCCTGCGATCCGCTATAGTTGCGTGAGTTCTCGTTAGCTTTTCACATCTTCGTGAATAAAATTGTTAATTATGTCCGTAGGCAGATGTATATTCTTCTACCTTGGAACGGACTTGTAGCAATGCGTCGAGTGGAACGGTGCTCGTATTTTAATTGGGGATTTGGGTCACGAACGGCTTGTCTCGCTGAACCGACGATGTTCCACGTATTTAGGGGATCCACCGGGCAGTGGTATTGTGAGATGCAGCTCATCAATGTGGGCGCTTACGCTGACCAGGCACAAATTCAGCTCCTTTATTACGCCCAACGGGTTCTGCTTGTATGTTTCTGGCTGATCTTGATAGAAGTCACACGAAGTGAGCCTTTGATTGAGTTCTTTTTTTGATACGATTATTGATGGCATAGATAGTAGTTCTTCTCGTGGACAAGGAATGGTTCGCTGTACTCTGAAGATACCGCGCCGGTGTCATTCAAAATGTTCCGCAAAGAAAGGCGCGTCGTCTTGATGCATCTTATGTCAACCCTGATTTGCCAACTTTTTGGGGCTACTTATCGTGCTTAAATAAACTCCGGGTCCGCAATTTACACACGTGTTAATCATATGCTGTGACTCGCTCGGACCTATATTACTGCGACTCTACATCGATCTTCCATACCCCACTATGGAACCCACAGGAGAGACGCAGCTCGCATCCATTGATGCTTACCTCGTCGGACGCGTCAACCTTGCAGTGACCGCTGAAGCGTTGACACAGTGGGCGCGCGACCCTAAGCACTTTGGTGACGATGCGGAAGGCAGGCTATGGGATCTGTGGAGTGCGATCAACGATAGGGCAGAGAGGACGAAGAGCAGCGATGACATCTTGCATAGCAAACTCGTCGAGCTCGTCGATGCGATCAAGCATCAGGAATCTCCGACGAACGATGCTGGAGAGAAATCGAAGTGCTGGGGGTTGACGTTGTGGGAGGACTTGCCCATTTTTGGTGCGAACATGAGGGAGTGCTGGAATTGTGCGTCTTTTGTCTTTGGTATTAGAGAGCTACTGATTTTTGTATATGCCTAGTTTTCGATGCGAAGGAGGATGCGGAGAGAGCGTCGAAACGTGAACGATGGGTCAATCTCAATGCGTTCGTCGCCAGGTTAACTGCGGCTCGTGTCAGTGACTTTGAACTGTATGCCATCTGGCAGCTGAGAGACGCGCTGGAAGAACCGACCGAAGAAAGTGAGAATGGGGGGGAAATGATTGACAAGAGCTTGGACGCCAAAATTCCAGCTGCCGTCCAGTGGATCCTTTACTGTGGGGAACTTATATACACAAGCGAGCGGGAATTCGAGACTGGACCTAGTGTTGGAGATCCTGCGAAGGGCGGCGAGCTGTGGAAGGGTGACAAGAGAGGCTTCTGTCAGGAAAGATGGCACTTTTGGAAGAAAAGATTCGCAGAGCTACAACACTACGAGGGGCTTTTGCCAGAGACGAGGTTACTGGCTAGTAAAGCGGTTCAAGTGATGGAGGGTATCGAGAAAAAGTAACATCCTCGATATTTGCCTGTCTTTAAATAATCATGTTCAATATTCTTAAATAAACTTAATCTATTATGTAATTGTTCTCCATCTTCCCAACCACGACGAAGAATCCATCCCGCGACCTGTAGCTCCGGTGCTGTCAGTATGGCTCTACGAAGACAATGTAGGGCCTGTAGATGAAATGAAATGGAGAATTCATCTAGAATCTAGGTGCGTTCACCGATGTATCATTTGGAAACAGAAATTTAACCACACCGCTAACAGAGAGCTGGCATTCCATTGAAAACGAGGAAAACCGAAGGCAGGTGACGAAACCTTGCCGTTGACTCCTCCGTGGACTCGTCTTGAAGCATCTGGCCTCGCGGTGCGGTATTTCTGAAGAAAATTCGGGGCGCCCCCCTTTCCAATTCTGAGGATATCCGCTCGCATGGTACGTCGACGACGACCTGTGTATACATACAAATTTCTAAAGTGTTTGACCAGGTTTGAAAATAGCAGACACCTTTGACAATGAATTAGATCATCAGGATGGCTGTTACCAGCTCAATTCTTCCCTCAAAATCTTTCTCGTCAAAGGCAGGGAACACCGACGTCGCTTGTCTATCGAGGGGTACCCATCACAGTCTCTTCTCTCTTGTCATATACCTACTTCCCCGGCCTTCCTCTCCCTTCAGACAAGAATCACCGAAGGACGACTCGAATCGCTACCGTCCCCCAGAGAAAACACAACCAGTACTGTCGTTCAGGCCATCCTGCAGGAATATTCCGTATGGATTGAACGAACCACGGATCCTGTAACGAAATCAGGGCAGTATTTCCTTACGCAGTAGCGCAGGATTCGTTATCTATCTCTCTAAAGATGATCGTGGGACCCGTGTACTTCATCTACCCCCCATCATGACTGTTGATAGTCAGTATGGACGCCTCACACGGTTAGAAAAGTTGAGACTGTTCGTGGTTCTGACATCCTTGGGTAGGTTCGTACTGGTTCATCGACTTGTGCCCCTCCTCACGCTTCCTATCAAGTCTTCTATCTCTGCGGGCAATCTCTCACTCTATTGTTTTCCTTCCGGCGATGCAAGGCTCTCAAGGTCGTCTTGGCGCTTTCAGCAGGTCGATATCTCATGGATTACTTGAGTTTACGTCAGCTCCAGTACTTGTCGCCGAGAAATTTGGAACAGTACCTTGGATGGGCGAAAGAGCGAGGGGTTCCGACTAAAGTCGAGGAACTTCCAGAAAAAGGCGCCAGTCTAATGTGGATTAGCACACATCAAACCGACAACGTTATCTTCTACTGCCATGGTAGGTCATCTTTGGGATTTGCGGGAAACGTATACTTATCGCAACCTTCACTTGTAGGTGGCGGATATGTCCTGCCCAGTTCTCCTGGCACGTTTGACTTTTGTCTATATGTGCAGCGGCAACTAGAGGCAGAAGGTGTCCACGTAAATATCGCTCTTTTGACCTACAGTACGCAAACGCTCCTCCGTCTCTCGTCCTTCTAATCTTCTCCCTTGACAGATCTCATTCCGGACGTCAAGTTCCCTGATCCATTACGTGAAGCAATATCCGCGATCCATCACCTTCTGAACTGCGGTATCAAATCCGAGAACATCATTCTTATGGGAGAATCTGCGGGTGGGAACCTCGTCCTGCAAATTCTTTCACACATGTTACATCCTTTATCCTCTGTCGACCCATTGTCATCGTCCCTCCGCTTCCGGGGTGCATGCCTTATGTCACCATGGGTCTCCCCCAGCGGTGACGTTTGTGCCGACGAGGCCCAGGCGAACGATCCCAAGGACGATGTCAGTGTCCGTACGCTCTGTGAATGGGGACAGCTAGTCGTCAAGGATGTCCCGCATACCCCGGAGGATATGGCTTGTGTCGAGCCTGCGGGTGCACCCAAAGGGTGGTTTAAGGACGTGGAGGCGGTGGTTGGAAGGGTGCTTATGCTTTCGGGCGAGGTAGAGTGTATGGCTGGCGCACATCGCTTCTTTTATGAGGAGCACTTGAAAGACTACCATCGAGATGTTAGGATGGTTGTTCAGCCAGGGGGCGTGCATGATGGTATATTAGCGGATTTTATAGTAGGGAAAGAGCCGTCGGAGGGGATGACACCTGTGATCATAGAGTGGCTGGCTGAAGCTTTCCGTCGTGAGATGTAATTCTCGGTACGTCTCTGCTATATTAATAGTGGATATCATCTCACACTGAAATTGTTGTTTTCAGGATACGCATCTTTTGCATCAGTGCCCTAGAGCAATCGTATACGCGCATGCTTAGGGTGATGCTCGACTGCGCTTCTGCGTATATGTATATCATCGGTCCTTGTCAGATACCGCTACATAGAGTAGTATATTTTATCAAAGAGGTCCTACCGTTGTTTTGACGCCAATGACGTGCTACTGCATCCGAGGGAATCAAAAGCGCCATTCACTGAGTTATTCTAGACATATTGAATGAGGCTAGCTTTGACGACAGAGGTGGCACTCTAATGGTGGTGGCGTTTCAGTGGGACCACGAGTAGTATAAACGTTCAGGTGGGGTATCAGACGTACCGTAAACAACTTCAACTCCGTAAGTAGATGCTCCATTGGCATAATCCTTTGATTTTCTTTCCATTCTTTCCATTCATACGTAGTGGATGAAAAACGATAAAATAGATGTATGTATGGCTATCGGGATATGTAGGCCATATATTGTATTTTTTAACCATCGTAAGCTACTCTCTTTACTGCATCAGTCAACGTCCGATATTTAATTACTCGACCAACACCGCGAACTGTTCGAATGAAAATCAAGCACTATGAAAATGAAATTCAGCCGCTAGCAAATCAATGAACTGGCGTCCAAGCAAGTGACCGAATATACTTACAGCAACGAAAGCGAAACATCACCATGCACCCTCGCCTTGATTGAAATATCCACGGCGAGATTGAGATCCAGTCTGAGTTTTAAGGTGTTCTTCCCGCCGCCAGAGTGCTGATTTCCCAGACCACCTGTTACTCCCTTCACAGCTCCCCCCAAACCTGAGAGGCTTTCCCCACCACCATCTCCCAAGTTTTGGTCGTTGTTACCTCGACGATGGTTGCGACGGCGGATCCTGCGTTGAGGAACAGGCGATGGAGAACGGGAAGATTCAGATGCGGCGTCGAATTCGAATTCACTGGGCTGGGCCATGGTAAGGATGAGCCCAGTACTAGTTGGTACAGGAGAACGATGCGGGACTGCTCAGAAGGGTGGAATCTTTTAAGAATCGAAGGAGGTGGAGCAAGGCGTCATGTTGATGTCAGAAAAACCTTCGCATGGAGAGTTGGTACGCCTTCGAATTGCTTGGGATCCATAGTCTCTCTCGATGACGTCTTGATATTCTAAAATCAATAGTCAACGCGATAGTGGATAAATATACTTACGCGAGACAGGGTCAGAACAGATAATTGCAAAGTATGTTCCATTATGTGGCTAGAAGATAGATACCAGCACCCGAGATCTGAGACCTAAACGAGCGTCACTGCCGAGCCCTATTAAATGTCTTTGAAGAGCAGTTATTAGCTGGCAAGAATCGTCTACATTCGAGAATAGCCGCCACTGAGAAGGTGGCGGTGACACCGTCAGACGGCCATTGGTTCTATCCTTCGACAGCCACGAGATTTGCTTCTTACCACGCGACCACGGTCCGCCCTGAGCAACATATGCTGATGGTACCTTTGTAAGTGAAATACGATCAAGGAGGCTGATCGCAGAGAGGAGGTACACATTCAATATTGTGACTTGGACGCGCCGGCATCAGCCCTTAGCGTCAGACGGATGCCCGTGTATGAAACCCTGGCGAAGTGACCTACCCTTGAGGAACCTTTCTCTACTTGAGTAGTGACCGTGCCAGGCGTAAGAGCAGATCAAGTGCGATCGGGCTACTATGTATACGATGTAAATCAGGTTCCTTCAGGCTTGGACAAAGGAGTTGAAGGGTGACCAGTGACAAGTGATAGCCGGCAGGGAAACTGTCGGGTAAACATTTCTGGACCCGGAAGGTAGGATAGGAAGAGATAAATGAGTGCCATCGTGGCTCACTAACAGAGTCAGGAATTGAATTAATTGCTCGAAATATAGGCAAAAAGGGACATTTTTCCACAGCTGCAATTAATTGGTAAGGGAGAGCAACATTTTGAATAGCACCGGGTTCTCAAGTGACGCTAGGAATAGAGGCTCGTTAGTGATATCCCAGCGGGAACGAAGATAGGAAGCAACAGCACAGCCACATACCGCGGCAAATTGAAATTCACCTCGGCTTCTCCATTTTTGGAATCTGACTCCGCTTGCCTCCCACAGCCTCCCACCAACGCCGACTCTGAATCCCTCTCACCCTGTGGCTTATATTTTGCTGTCTGTTTTCTCCGCATGGCTTATTTGGATCTCCTATGTTCTCTTAATTCAGAATCTAGTCAGGAGGCTGAAAGTCTGCTCGAGTCTGACGGGCTCAAAATTTGCATCACCCTTTGAGTACCATTTAAAATTTTCTCTTCGCTGCTTTGATGGCAGATATTTATGGTATACTAAAGCTGAGGTGCTGAAGCTGCAGGCCAAAATGTACTAGAATGTACTCCTATGGCTTGACCAATTCTTCACAGGAGGTCGATCAAGGACCGACTTTGCTCCGTACTTCAGGGCCCCCCCTATGCAACAAATAACTTATAATGCAGTTCGTGAGGCTTGATCTTTCTTTGCTTTGGTCCAACTCTCTTCTGTACGAATTCATTCCCTTATCCTCGGCAGAAATGACTAACCCGGCCGAAGTCGCGTAAGCACTCTTTTCTTCTCGTCAGACGGTCTGACGATTTATTTCAGCCACGGGCCAATGCTCATAGGCCTAATGATCAATACCACGCTGTTTGGAGTAGCAATAGCGCAGGTGTATATCTACATGACGACGTATCAAAAGTGCGTCCTCTACTCTTTCGCATATACTAAGATCTAACGGGGATATCAATCTATTTAGAAGGGACAGGCTGTGGATGAAAGCCTTCGTACGTTATTCAATGTCCATGGTCGATTATTTGCTAACTAGTGGCGTTCAGGTTGTCTTCTTATTCCTGACCAACTTAATCAATTCTATCCTTCTCATGGCGTACGTATACATCGCGCTGATCAAACATTTTGGTCTGTACCGTGCACATTGTTCCTGCATAAACCATCGCTAATGGAGGGGCCCATAGATGACGTTCCTTACCTGTCCAACGCAACCTGGCGTGAGTTCTCGGCAATAGCGAATAATGTACCAGCAGAACTCATTTATCCATAGTTTTCGCCACCGACCCTGCCTTGACGGGCATCATCGCTGGCGCTGTACAGCTATTCTTCGCGTGGCGCGTGAAAGTTCTCACATCGAACTGGTATCTCGGCTCTCTCGTTGCTGTCCTAGCCCTAGCTGGGACCGGCGCCTCCATCGCAGCCGCCGTTGAGTCCGTGGCCGTCGGTACTTTCACAAAGTTCCAAGAATTCCAGTCGGTTGTGATCGTATGGCTCGTCTCTGCGTGCGTGGGGGATTTCACCATCACTGCTATCTTGGTGTGGTATCTGAGAAAGCACAAAACGGGTTTCCAAGGCTCGGATGAATTGGTCGATAGGATTATCAGAGCGACGGTCCAAACCGGATTGATCACAAGTATCATAGCCATCATTGATTTGATTGTCTACTTGGTCGATCCGTCGGGCTTGTGAGTGCACTATCGTTATTATGCGATCTTTTTTGATAACGTTCGTCCAGGCATATATTGTTCAACTTAATGCTCGGGAAACTGTACACTAACACGCTCATGAGCTCGCTCAACTCTCGTTCTGGATGGTCGTACTCGAACTCGAACCAGGACTCTCATTCACAAAGTGGGCTAGTTAGCACGTCGGGCGTCATTGGGTCCGGGTCCAGAGGAAGGAAAGGGACCGGAACCATTACGCGTCCTGAGGTCTTCGTACATGTTGAACAGCACGAGCTGGGGGATCTGCGCCCGCAGGGAATTGTGACGCCGAGGTTCGTCATCGATGATATGAACAAGGGGCAGGATGTGGGAGATGAGAATTCGCTGAAGAGAAGGGAGGAAGAGTCCGAGGTCTGGGATGACGGTGCGAAGAAGAACGATGCGATTGTATAGTTCCTTGGTGTTTAATTTATCGGTAAAATAGTACCTTCGTTAGTTCATATTCAATGAATATAAGATCGCAGAGAAATACGATGCGGTCAAAGATGGGTATTGTAGGCGCGGCTTCAATTTCTTTCCTTTTGCAAGACATTAACGGTACCAGGCCGTTGTAGTCTAGAAGGTAATATTGTACCATTTCGACCGGGGGAAGCCAGGAGCTCACAGTTTCGAAAAATGGCCTGCAGAAAAATGCGGAAGAAATCGGAAAAATAGAAAGATAACTCCGTCGGTTTTTGGTGACCAAATCTCACCTGTCTAATTCCTATCTGATCTGCTACGCAGAGCATCGGGCCCTGAAGGTCGTCTGTAACTTGCTAGTCAGTTTCAAGTAACAGTAAAATTGAGTGTTGAAACGTTGACGCGTCAGAAGTGCTGGAGATAACATTCGAATGCGGTTCATACAGTATGATGGCTCATGTCGGGCCAAAATGCGACGTCAATCAAGTCGCGTCGCGTCATTAATCTTGATTGGGATAGCGGAGTTACAATTCGGAGTTTGAATAACATGGACCTGGTGAACCAACTGAACGAGCTACTCGCCACTCTTCGAATTCCAATTCCCATCCAATCTCCTACAGACCTTACTCCTTCACTTCTCCTTGCAATCCTAGAATGTTTTCTATCCGAACGGCTCCCGCTTTCTCCCAGTATACGCCAGGCAGCGGTGTCGAAATCTTCTGCTCGGCGCGATGAAGCTCTCAATGCTCGAGTGCAATGCATGAAGATCTTTCTAGGCGTCTTAGAAACCGATATTCTCAAGAACGATGACATGGGCCTGAGCGGCGTCGACCCGAGGGAGCTGGCGGCTGGAGAGTACGCTGAGGTTACGCTCGTCGCGGAGGCCCTCTGTTGGATTGGACGGCGGGCAGGACTCATACAAGCAGAGAGAGACGCGCATAGCCCGTCGACGATGACAACGATGACTCTTTCAAGCTCCCTTTTCTCAACTGGCGCATCTGTCGTAGAGTCCAACACGAGTATCAGCAACTCTGCTGCCTCGCCAGAACTCTCGCAGCGTACGTCTCCGAGATGCATTCACGAGGTACCCTCACCTTTGGCACTTTCACTGTCTCTATTCCACGAGGAACAAGACTGGGAGACACCTGTTAGAATGCCCGTGAGACGTACCGGCATGATTGAGCCTGTGGACCAGGACTGGGAAGTCGAATCGTTTGAATCAAGTGGAGCCCACTCGAGCATGCAATCACACTCGAGAAGCAACCAGAGTGTGAGTTTCCCTATCCATGGTCGCGTTATGTGTTATTGACAGCCATGTAAAGGCGCTCTACGACACTGACTACGGTGACGAGCATCGGCGTACCGTATCGTTACTGAAAGGGCGTGGTAGACTCTTGTCTGAAATTGCCAAAGCGCAGAGGAAAGGCCTAACATAGAGGTTCGAGCCATGCTATTATGAATCATTCGTCTGTTGATGACGTTGCTTTAGGACTCTTTTGGTTGATTGACCGCCTCCATCATGATATTCCCATATTATCTTGATTCTTTTCGTCTCTGCTTCATTTTTTCTTGTTTGCCATTTTTGGTTCCCAACTGGCTCCTCTCAGAAATTTTTGATAGCTTGAGTGCATCAAACAGGACGACCGCGACGAGATACTTCACGGCCATGTAAATCTGGTGCCGACCAACTTGGATCGTATTTCCTCGTCAGTTTAGATGGTGAGATTTCTCTTAAATTACATAAAGCATGACTAGACTAACTTGACAAGAAAGCTACCTTTCACACACTAAAAACGTCCCACGGCCTCTCATGGACTTGTGTAAAATTCTGCGACCGATTTCAACCATTTTTTGACGATGACATGCCATTCGTCTACTGTTTAGCGATACCCGTTGTGAGCTTCTTTTCTTCTGGCGCTTCATGAGTTTGTCTGACTGCTCCATAAGATACTTCAAGTTCTTACTGGATCGTGCGGAAGGCATGATCCCGGTCCTGCTCTAATGTTCACCGCATCCGTGGTAATTCTACTTGGTACCAAGGCCTGCGCCGGGAGATCCGTCTTTTCCGCAGTGAGATTTTTGTTTTGCTGCATAGACCAGACGCAGCACCGTCGTTAAGCCTGCAAGTTCTACCGTCAATTGGATCCAAGCACGCTCCTTCCCTCTATCCTCACCTTTTCTCTCTATGCACCCATATCCTTGCTCTGGCTACCTTCTGCGTCTTCCCCTGCTACAAACACCATTCCCCTTCGGAGAGCTTAGCTGCTCATCGGCAGCCAGCTGAATTTCCGAGGGATATTCCAGCCTTTTCCTTGAGATTATACGGGAGCCGGGCGAGGGAGCTGATAGCGGCCCGACGCTTCTGAATGTACTACCCTCTCAGCGTACACTTTTCGTTCCTCCCGTGATTAAAGAGTTTAGTTCAATAAAGCACCTGCCTGTACCGAGCAAGGAACCAAGTATTCCCTTCTGCCAACAGCACCGGTGGTTCATCAATATCACGCATCATGTCGTCACGGGGGGTGTGGAGCGGACGAGTAAGATCGACCAAAGTCGTGATGGACGATGCAAAGATTCCCACGAATTTCTTAGTGAGGGTGGTTCTTAATCAGCATGTTGGCTGATGTACACAGTAAACGAGTTACCTATATTCGTAGGACTCGGAACTCTTCGGCTTTGCTCTTACATATAATGTCTATTTTCAGAATACTAGCCTAACGGTACTACGACAATGAATCACTGTTCACTCAAGCATTGTTCCAAAACTTGTTATCCCGTCGGCGAGGGCAAACTATCATGTCACCAAGAGGATCCGCGATGGCGCTCCAGCTTTTTGGATCCATTTCCGGGACGCTAGATTCGGTGGAGATATCGTACATTTCGAGGAGCATAATCAACCACAGCTTCATGGTATATTGGGCTAGAAATCTTCCCTTGCACTGTAATGTCTCAGATAGAATTTCGGTGGCAGACAATAACCTCACAATGTGCTCCCCACTTCCCCAAGTGAGAGTATTCGGCGCCCTCCCTCCTGCTAAAAACCGATCAACTTTATAGGTCGCAGCGTCGGGATAGACGGAATCATCGACGTGAATCGCCCTGGTATCACCGAACACATAATCACCCCGCCGAATTACGAAGGAAGAATTCCCCGAAGTGATGTTTGTGTCGAACTCGACCTCTCTCAGCGAGCTAGACAGTCCGGCCATCCGAAGACTTTCTTTGATGGCCGAGTCGGTGAGCGGAAATTCCGGAAGTAGAGAAGTCTCCTCCATTAATGCATCCAGACTTCCTCCGTATCTTTTCGTGATCGTCTCGTGAATTTCAGCACGCAGACATTCTAACGCAGTGCGATCTTGCAAAATGAATGCGACCGTCCAAAACATAGAGCGATGCAGGTTGGTATGAAGGGACCAGTGCAGTCCCAGCAGGCAGGCAGCTTGATCTCTAATGGATAGGGACCCGCTACGGACCGAATTCAGCGTATGCGATAGTGCTTCTCCTTCGAAATCTTTGTCATCGCCTTTATCTCTGTCTTGAATATATGACATGAAGATATCTAGAAGTCTATCACGCGCGCGGATCCCTGATCTCGCAGTAAAGGACAGAGGACCCATCAGGGTTAATAAGGCAGCATCGAGAGTATGATAGTCGGTGTAGGTATTAAGAGGAAAGGAAGGTCCAAAGAACGCGATGGTGAGTGGCTCATATATCGTGTAAGCGATGAGTTCTGAAAGAGTAAAAGAGCGTGTCATATTTTCAAGATTCTGGAAACGAACGTGTAGCCTGCGATGAAATGGGTGCTTCATGTCTTTCGCTATAACCCTCTTCGAAAAGAGGTAGTCTAGCGACGGAAGAAAATGACCATGGAGCGGAGCATCAAGCTCATCAAGAGCGCAATGGATTCCCAACGCAAGGAAAATCCGAGCATGGACCTTCTTGGCACCCAGGGATTTACTTCGGTTCGCGAACATTGCTTTCAACAAAGTCCTTTCGGATATGACGACTATGTTCTGCGTGCCCACGCTAAACCTGTAAAAATATCCATAGAGCTTCCTGTTACAGACCAGACATTGTTATTCCTGGCCTCGATGTATAACATTTGTTTTACCTGCATTCCTGAAGCCAAGAGGGTCGCCTGGAAAAGAATGCAAACCCCGAAAACCGGTTTACGAGGGGTAAGCAGCTGTGAACGACAGGGATATCCTTGGGGGCTTGAAGTCGACATACAATATCGACGCAGAGAATGAAAATGAGGGTAATAGAAACGTTGATCAAAAGAGTGTGGTTTAGCATGGCAGCGTACGCAGGAGATAGTGTGGGGGCCAGAGTGTCGGGATTCGGAATAGGTATTAAAAAAAAGGATTGTGACGGCCTTGACTGTGGGAGTGGATCACCGAGCGCCTAAAAGTTCTGAATTGATTATTCTTGAACGTCATGTTCTTGAAAACTTCTCATACTATATATTTAGAGCAATCGGTCCCGGTGAGATAGCTAGGGCGCTGACATTGGTACTCACTTGACTATGGCTAGACCTACAGGCTAATAAATCGTTGCCAGATGAAGATCAATGATCAACATAGTGTAGGTTACCAACATCATCTTTTGCATACAACATCATACGGGTCCTTAATGTGACCACTTAAGCTTAAATTTCAGTCTAGAAACGGAGGAGCCGGGATTAAAAAGAACGCCCTGAATGTACTTATGGCAGTTCAAAAACCGCGAGAAGAATCCCTTTAGTAAGTTTTTAACTTCTCGACCACCACTAGCACTTTAAAGAATATCCTCAGGTTTTCAGTCTATCATCGGTGCGTGGCATTCGAACTACAAGCTAGTATCCTTTACCGTTGGACCCCCCCCCCTGTCTCTCATGATCTTGATCCTGTGGACCGTGGCAGTTTCGTCGCTTCCCGTCGCTTCCAAGTCCTCTCTGTCGCCTTTGTTTCGTGTCATCCGTTGCTAAATTATAAATTATAAATAGACCTCCCTAAGTCGTTATAGTAATACATCTCGGATGCACTTGTTACTACTACATTTGGACTCAAAACACCATGTAGTGATGACATTCATGCTCGTTCGTCTCATAAATAAGGTCATGATGCTGTAGATGGATTATGGATGTCAGCCTTCTACGGAACCTCGGTAGACCGTAACAGGACGTGAAGGAACAAGTAGCCGGAGGCCTTCTACGCGAAGATGCACTCGTGCGGCGAAATTCGCATCCAGGGAACACACAATGCTGAGTTGAAAAGTGAGCTTATGACCTTGATAAATAATAGAAGCGCGCACGTCAATAGAGAGAGAAAAGAGGTCGCCTAACAGAAATAGTAGAATGAGACTCGGAGCGTTCGATGTACCGAAGCTTACCTCTATTGTAACAGAACACACCAGAAGTAACAGCCATAGCACTATAAATAACTGTCAGATTGATGCCGAAAAGAAGGATTGTTACTGCGTACTGCAGACTGCCTGATACGACGGTCAGAGGGTAAACTGAGGCTTTATGATGCGACTTACCACGTAGATACAGCCGCCGTCACACTTCAGCGAATTTAAGAGTTCATTTTCGGAACGACGCGGCCTTTCCAGGGCATTGTATATGGTCATAAAGATCACGAGGACATAGAAGAGCAACTGGAAAATATCAGAATACATATGCTTCGGATGTTTCTTCAAGGGAAATGGACCCACCAAGACACCTAATGAGCAAGCTACTGTCGTAGGTATTCTTTCAATGGCACAAAGGTTCGGGGATTCGGCTACGGGTAAACGTTAGCGATTCGGAATGGTTATGATAGACAAGACATTTGCCTCCAGTCTTCAAGTAGCTCAACACCGACATGGTTGAGAGAATTGTTAAAGTTGTTATACAAATACCGAATGCAATGAGTAACATGTTGCAAACACACTGCCTGTGATCCCAAAGGCGATAGACGCGCATCATGATGTAGACTGCAGTCGTGTGGTCAGTAAAGAATTAAGGAAAACGGACCACCATATAACCTACATTGCGAAATACTAGCAATGATAACAGCAGATATGTTAGTAAGCCAAACTACGGCCTGGCAGCTGTGCATGTGTTGTGAGTGACTTTTGTCAACGAAAACGGCAGGTAAGCATACTTCGGGACATGACACAAACATCAGGTTACTATGAACGCAAGATGAATCGTCATGTACCGACCTCGCTATCGGCAGATTGTGCTAGTTTAGTGGTCACTAGATTTCCAGGTGAGTAAATCATCATCCCAGGGATATAAAGTGTGTTTACGGACCATAAAGACGGTATATCAATACTGCTTCCGTAAAGTAGCGATTCAGTATGTAGATAACTTTTGTAAGAGTGCGCTCGTTCGGAGGACCCCACATTGTTGCTACTTCTTCACCAAATGTCAGGCAATGGTCCCATAGCATCAAAACCATCGCTGCAACTGCATGGTTATCGGTTAGTATAAGTACTAATGTGAGTCACTGAGGAACGTACCAGGTGTATATGTTGCAAATAATATTCGGTTAACTGGAATGGAGATTATAGACATTGAATAATACGAGGATGTGGAGTAACTGAGGGATTAATGAACTCATGGTCGTTAGTTATACAGATCTCTGAAACTTGGTACGTAAAAAACCCGCCTCTGTGATGAATAGAGATGATGAAACAAAGGAGGGTATGTCGCAAGACCGCTGAGAAGCAACCTCTGTGGCAATACTTTGGATGATCAAGAAGACAAGGAGACCCTGAGACCTTTGATTAGAACGCAATGCAGATGGATGCCGTCGGAGGGAGCATCGATAGTCATATTGTCGAACTAAATAAAGATCTGCGGATATGCTTGGTATCGTCTCTATTTGATTCTGAGCCTGAAAATAGAGATCCATAGACGCTAACTGAGAATGGGGATTGGGTAACAAAAGCAGGGCGGTGTTGATCGACAGAATCATGTTTTCAGGTTTGAACCGCCTTTCACATACGACTTGATAGGCATCTTTTCTAGAGCGTGCTCAAGGCGGAAGAAAAGCGCCTAATCAGTGCAGCTGACGATTCATCCACGAAGCAACAGAATCGAAGCAAAAGTGTAGCCAGAGGGAAAGAACCGATACACAGTCAGAGGAACATTTGCAAGACCCAACAAGGAGTTCTCGTTCATCCGTTGTTAGCTGTGCTGAGCACTTATCTTCAGTCTAATAGTTGTCCGGGAGAAAAGGGATCCAATCACTATGAAATCAAGGCGAGCATCATTTTAGTCAAATTATTGATATCAATCCTCCCAATTGCAAGCGCTTGGATTAAATAGATCTCGGGCACAGCAGGAAACACGAGCGAAACAGATGCAAAATGAGAATGGAAACGTGCCTTTTCTGGACAGAGCGATTGCCCAAGCCCTTGGATCTTAGGTTCGACTCCAAGCGTTATAGTATCTCCCGTGACTCAGAAGACAGATCCGAGTTGAGCCTGAAGGGAACGTATTACTCCCGAGTGCCGCCAACATGAGAGTGGCCTATGTGGATCCTGACATTGCTGAGCTGCAAACACTTTTGATAAGCTCCCCTTCCGAGGTCGAGAATGAGTGCTGTAACTCGGGTTCAACTCGGATACAAAGAATGACCGCGGGAAAGTTTATTTGGGGAATCACGGGGTTTTTTTCCAACCGCCTCGCTTCACAATTTCAATGAATGGCTATTCTCTTCGTTTACTGCAAATGAGGCATTTTGCCCCACAAGTATCGACGTGAGGCACGAACGGCTCGAAACTTGTGATTGGCCAAGTTAAGCGCAGAGAAGAACGAGCATCATTGCTCTTTGCCCCATTGTTTGGCTAGGCACTGCCTGCCAAGCAACACGATCTCTTTGGGCCATTCTGCGCTCGTGTATTTTCACTCGCTCCTTCTTCCAAGTTGCTTCGTCGGCTCTCCTCGCTCTCTCTCTTTGACCGACCCGCCTACTCCCTTCTGTGTTTGGGTTGTGCCTGGTTTGACGCGGCAGCTACGTTTCTCAGCTGTCCGGGTTCCCGGTATCCTGAACACCTGAGATTTCAGCTTCTACCACTACGCAAGTCTGAGCTTCCGGCTTCCCTTTCCCCCGGTACAACTTTTCATTGCCGGTCCTTCCTCCGCTCGACTAGCTCATACCTCGAAGCCGATTTCTCTCACCCCCAACCCAAGAAATCAATGATTTCTTGTCTCTTACACTCAGATTACATTGTTATTATCTCTTTTCTATTATACATTTCTCGTGTCCCTTCCGCAGCTTAACTTGGCTCTTGCTGAAGGTATTGTTCTTGGTGCATCCGCTGACTTATGCTGTCCCTAAGGGACTGGAAGGTCGAGTATGGTATATGGCAAGAGGAAGATGGAAGATGCGCGGTTGAGAGGTATCGGCTTTGGAATAGACACTTGGCTGTTGCAGATCGAAAGGCGTGCATAGTCTCGAATACGCCAACTTCATGCTGCCGAGATGGTCATTTTACTTCAGTCGACGTAGATACTCATTCGTAGTTCCAATAACGAACAACACAGCCATTCTTTATCGAGGTGGTCCATTAAGACTTCTGGGGAACATCAATCAACCCAGGTAGGATCAACGGACCATCGTGGCCTAGGGACATATTTACCTCCCTCCAACCCCTCCGCCTCCATCCTCAGCTTGACCGTCCTGTGAACCTTAAGGCCTTCTTGGTACTGTCTAGGTATACGTCGAGGTCGACCTCTGTTCATCCTAAACATGACAATGTGAATTCCAACGCGATTCCTGAAACAAAGGGACACCTACGTGATCGCCTTCGCCCACGTATTATCCCCTTTCTGGTATCGCAGTTTGGTAGGAATAAGTTCAAGGATCCACCAGCCCGGAGCTATCTTTAGCTCGTCGTATATGGGACATAGTGCGTCGAGGATGTCTGCCTCTTCCTCAGTGGTGGCGTAGATTGGCTTCGTAACAACATCCATGGCTGGTCGAGGGTGAACGGTGGGATGCAACGATGCCGGTTCCATCCCCAGCTGCTTCAGCAACTCGCGGTGGAAGATAATTCCCGTATTGACGAGAAAACATTGCCGAATCATCCATCTCAGCGGTATTCGGGCGAGGTTATGCCGAACTTCATTGGCTACGGCGCCTCCTCCGACATCTGAACGATACGAAATTAGCCTTGACGAGGCGCCGTATAGGAGTGGAAAACGAACCGCAGTGGCACCCAGCGAACCACACCTCCTCCACGTCTGTCGGTGTATCGGCATGCACATGATCGTACTCCGACTCGCGTTCCCTGAGTGATTTCGCACGACACTTGTTGTGGGATCTAGGCATCTCGCCTCTCTGCAATCCTAATTTATGTTGCGCGGAGCATGTGCGGTGCCAAAATGCCGGTATGAATCGCACTCGGTGCTCATCAAGAGCGAGAGCATGACGGAAATGCTTGACATGGACGTTGGACGTAGTGAAAGGAAGACGGCGAGGGAATATGCCTACGGAACCCACGGTGTCCCTGAGCAAGCCAATTACTATATGGAAGAACCGAAAGAGTATAGTACATACCAAACACCGAGGAAATAAATGTCGACATCAATGGAGAAGGCTTTTTTGAATGCGGCGCTTTGCTTCCATCCCTTTTCGTCATCTCGGGAATACATCTTGTAAGCGAACGGGACCTGCTGATAATTCGCCCTAGGCAGTAATCCGACCTAAAATATCTGAGTTGTTGGCACATGAGACCGCAACGAAACCACCTTGTGAACCCTGTTTTGTCAAGAGTCAGCCTCAAAAGTTAAGATGATTCTTAGGATACGCACATTCCAGCCAACGCGCGCGCGGTCTAAATATATAGCCAGTTACGTATCAGCAGCATCAATGTCATCACCTACATATGCCCCGCGGGAGAAACTGAGGTTGGGTAAGCATAGAATAAGAATGTTTCAGAGTGCATCATACACGCACCCAAATATACAGATCTTATCCCCGGCTTCATCTGAAAGCGAGTGTTAGATCACCAGTCTGATACTGTGAGGTGAAGACTGACAATTCTGCATCAGAAACTCGTATCCAGCTAAAGCGATAGGTTAGACACAGAGACGAGAATTTGAGGAAATAGCATACACATAACATGTGCGTTGAGATGAATCCCGATCATACTATCAATGACCTTGGTAATCTTCGCAGTAATGGGCGAAGCCACCTCGGGAATCGCATAGGTTCCAATACCTGACTACATCCGCGTTAGCTGAGTAAAATGGCAGCCAATACCACGGACCTGGTAGTACACCAACTGCTCCGTGGGATCATCTTTCTTCAGTGTAGAAAAGAAATTCACGACATTGGAGTTCTAGCGATGGGCATAGTCAGTAGCACGGCCAATCTGAGTAGTTCTTGGCGCACATCGCTGTCAAATTGGTCACCTTAACACGACATCAGTAACAATTTTCGATGAAAATATCTACAGCCTCCGTACCGGTCCCATCAAAACACAAAACCAGGGTCCTATCGGAATGAGTTGGTGGTATAACCTCTTCAAACGAGCCTTCAAGGTAGATAGTCTGGCCAATGCTGAGTTTCGTTGCTGAAGTGGACTGCGACATGATGATCCCAGAGTGAAAAACGGACAGCTGCCATACATAGGATCATTTCAGGAATAACTTTGCTGCGGATGATGATACGGTTGATTTGGGCCGTGATACCCATATAATTGTGACGACACCCCCTGCAGTGCCGGGAAAGCTGAAGGAACAGGCATTATGCGTATGCACGCGACATGGGTGAGCGAACGAAAGAAGGCAGCAGCACGCAGGGACCTCTACAGCCAAATATGCATCAACAACTACTGTTTATTGACGCCGGCTCTTCGGACCGGGAAAGGTTCGAACATTTGCCTACTTTTCAGTCCTTAGCAGCATACTCACGTATTTGGGGCAATATCTTCACAGAAAGACTGTTATGATATTTGACTTCAAGATGCTTTACTTGCCTCACCACTTACCTTCCAGCATCATCCAACCGAACAACTCTAATCCTCGCGCTAGTCTTTGAATCTACGGCTTTCCCGTGCGTTCAAATTCTCATCTCGACTATGCAATCTAAAATTGAAACCAGAATTATCTCTCCTCTTTATTCTACCGTAAAACACCGCAGCACGATGCTTTGCTCTTCTTCCTTTCTCTTCCAGTCATTATAATCGTACGTCTGCTTCGTAAACCTTGGATTCGGCGACCATCTTCCTTTATCTGTTTCTCTTTCTGACACATTCCTGCTGCAGCTTCCACTTTATCTCCGTACGCTTAAGGTTCCCTTTGTTCAACTGGCATAAAGGAACAACGGGACTTTCCGGAATAATATAAAGGCAAGCAAGTCAAAGAAATAACTCTTCCTTTTAACCATCCCCCTTCTCACCAGTTGTTCCATCTCTTCGTCAAACAGTGGGTATTATGTGTTCTTGTCTCACGTTCCAAGACAGCTGATTATTCCGGTACAGAAACATGGCACCAGCTTCGAAAAAGACAAAGATCTACACGCTCTCCAAAGCAGGGATTGATATTTCGCTATTCAACGACCTTATCCAGAGCAACGATGCACCTCTGGATGAGGAGCTAAGGATTCTGCGTCAAATCGCTGACGATGTCCAACGCATCACCTCTCCCATGCGCCGCATCCCTGTTGAAATCAAAAGAATGATCTTCATCGTCTGTATGGAAACATCCCGAAGTTCCTCCGACTCTGAATCCTTAACACTCGCGGACTTCCATGGGTGTTGACCCATGTCTGCAGGCAGTGGCGCAACATCGCAGAAGATGCGCATGAGCTTTGGTCGGGCATCACGCTCGATTTCAACAAGGAAAGCGGCCTCACAGACGATCAGCGTATCCATCATAGCCTCTTCCTCCTCAACCTCCGCATAGTTCGTGCCCAACACATTAATCGAAAGACGGGCAACGCCCATAACCTCTTTGTCACGATCAAAAGTTCCACCGACATTTCTTCCAATCCACTGTTTCAAATGATCTTGCAGACCACCGTGTACTGGAAGAGCCTTGTGATCTCTCTCCCAATGTCTACTTTTTCGGCTTGGTCTGCTTCGAAGCCTTCTTTTCCTCGTTTGGAGAGACTCAACGCGGATCTGGATAGGCATGACAACGTTATGCTGTTAGGGCACCAATTCACAGATGTCTTTGAGGTAACTCCGAAGCTCACGCAAGTCACGAACTCCAGCTTTAAGCTCACATTCCATTCTGACACCGTGATCCCTGCTTGGTACTCCACTCTCTCGACATACAAATGCACCATCTGTCTTAAAGCTATCGACGAACTTCGCCACCTACCCAATATCCAAACACTATCCCTTTCCTGTTACAGTTCCACCGACGTCGTGCCGGTCACCCTTCCCAAGGTATCTTACCTTCGATTAACTACTGTTATGAAAGAAGAAGTCGCCCATTTCATCGCTACATATAAGCAGCTTTACCTACCTGGACTCAAGCACATCGAGCTACTATTTCCCTTCTTTGATATAACGTTCCTCAGAGACACCATCGAATTACCGAGTAGGCCCATCTCCTCGATATCGCTCTCACCCATCTCAAACACCGTCACACGCCTCGGAATCGCGGAGTACAAAGGTAAATCTCCGGAAGGGAGTCAGCTACTCCCCAGGCTACGTCTCCCCTCCTTCCCAACCTCGAGACCATCAAAATCGCTTCGTACGGTACCCCTGATAAAGACGTTCTCGTTGATTTTGTTCAGTCTCGTCGTCAGAATAGCGAAGGGGTCGTACAGTTGAAAGAATTGGAGATGCATTGCAACCTGAATTTCTCTGAAATAGAGGGTGATCTTGCGACACGATGGAATGCGCTTTCCGGCGCGAATGGGTTTATCGTCGGGATTTCTGGCACCTGCCAATATCGGGTAAGTTTCTCTATGCCACTTAGAATTGCTCGTTGATAACTGTTGAACAAAACTTCGGTTTCGACTACTTGAGACAGCAAGGTACAATTATTATCTAACCACTCGTTGTTTTCTTGCCTGTCCTTTGTGTGAATATTTTCCCTGAGATACATCCTTTTTACGTTAATCAGTTCACCGTTTCCAGTTAGATACTGTATCTATAATATGATCACCAGTTGTCCTACCTACATTTATTTAGTCCTGTAAAATTGTCTTCAGAAGGAGGGAAAGAAGTTGATTTATTAGTCGGCGCATCAAAGACATGCCTATGCAATACCAATGACGTCCTCGAGCTGTATACGGGTTCTGTCTCTGCTGCCACCGCCTCTGGCCCAGCTATTAAGTTAATATTCATGCCAGTTTATAAGAGAGATAGATACGAGGAAATTGTAGTCCAAATACAATAACAACGGTCCATCTTCATGACAACTGTATGCACGCACCCCACTAATTTTTTCTCCCAAATTAACTGTCGAGTGCTTCACGACTCAATTCTCGCATAAATGTATATAAGCTATTGAGGCAGCTAGATAAACAAACACGCAAGAACAATGCATATCCAAGGCTATAACGAAAAGACAACCTGCTCATAGTTTCAACTCCTCAGGCGACGGGCGTTGGTGGCGCATTCTCCTACATTATTGGAAAGCGGTTATGTATGGGCTACTTATATAGAGTTCATGAGACAAACCTCTGCCAGACCGTTCACTTTACTGCGATTCGATTTGATGGTAATCGTTTTTGAATTCCATTTGAAGTCAGATTGGGGGGGAATCTGAAGAGTTAGAGCACCCCGCAACTTGGAATCATCAGGGGGAGAGTCACGTTCAAGTTGTTCGATGGGACCAATGTCTACTGCTTTCGTAGCTACAATAATTTTGACGAAGCAGACATCTGAATCTTGGCCATCTGGGACATCGAAGACTACTGGATTCATGGCGGTTCGTCCATAACCAAGAGTGAGTGTAGAGCCGCTTGTGAGACATGCATCGATGGACCCTTCTTCTTTGATCTGGCTCTTCTGCGGTTGATAACAAGCCTCTGAGTGACACACGAAGAAGTCAGTTTCGATAAAAAGCATGCCGAATAAACCTACTGATTGAAAGTGTGGAGGCATCAAAGTATAAGAGATAGGCATACAGACCGCTGCCACCGCCGTTGTCACAGACCGTGAACCCATAAGGAACTCGGTCATTCTGGTGCACAGAAGTGTCTACGGTTAACACTTTTTGGAGTTCGACATCTTCCACTGTGCTCAGTACAACACCGTCATTAAACATCCGAGTCTCCTCGTCATCCCACCGTAGTTTGTTCATTTCGATGGTGACTGGATCTGCGGTGGAAATCGGACTTTCTATAATCAGGCGAGAGGTGAAATGCGCATAGCGATTGATAAATTCTCGGATGGTTGGCATGTTATGGACTGATAATGGAGGGTAACGAGGAAAATACGAGGAGAACTTGCTCCTTGCACTGACTCTTTTCCCTTGGTCAAAGGAAACGATGTTGGCTTCCACTGTCAAGTAGATATCCGCATCGTCTGGTTTATCGGCGCGAATGACACTAGCCGTGAGTCTGGATTGAGGACTGTCATTACAAATCCTGTCCAGGACGGCCGAGTCGTCACAATAGGTATGAAGTGGTTCAGAAGCTTTCCGTAAACGAGCGTACCAGAACTGCCGCTTGTTACTAGAGTTAAAGACGACAGACTCGGAAGGAGTAAGCAGAAGGCGGGAGAGGGATTTTTTTACTTCTTCCACCTTCAAAGTTGCTCTGGGGTCCTTCGAATCCGGGTAGGACCAATCCGATTCAAATATTTCGAAGGTTGAACCCTTCGTAATGCCATGGAAGGACCCGGCATATAAAACAAGATCGGACGGCCAAGGACTTCCTTTGTAACAAAGAATCATAGAGCTACCAGCGGGGTCTTTCCGACTGTCAAATATGAATCGATGGACATGCTTCCCATCCAAGTGTGGTGTCTGGCTGGTTCATTCACAGGGTTCAGCTTAGAAAAGTATAAGTCAATTCTGGACTCACTTATTATCTGGCATACGAAGACCCTTCATCAATGAGTCGTAGGTCGGCGGAGGATCGCCTGAGGCCAATTCTCTCAGTGCACTGAGTAAAGTAGTCGTGAAGATGCCTTTCTTGTCTTTCTCCCGTGCAGCCTGGTTGTGTCCACAGGCAGCCAGTAGAATGTGCGATCCCCAAAATGAACTTGAAAAACCTGCTGTGCCTCGGTCCTGGTCTGATATGATCTGAGGTCCACGTAAGTAGATATCGTTGTCGCAAGTCGGCGACAGGTCTTGGGTGTCTCCAAAGCTTCGGATGCGCGACCCTGGATCGTCGCCTCCACGATTCATCCCAGCAGCATGGCAACAGTCGAGTATCAAAGTCTGAAAAAACATCAGCGAAATGCGCGCGCTTTAGTAGGATCCGCAACTTACAATGTTGTTACCTTTCGCGTTTGATAGATCTAGGAGGAGGCGGCTAACTGTTCGATCGGGGATCCCTTCAATCTTTTTTCCATCTTTGTCCAGTGGGAGATTGATATCGGCAGGACACAGCATCTCGACATTTCCGTTGGGAGTCTCCCAGTTTTCCCACGTGCGTGGTTTGTGAGCTACAGCCCCATGCCCGGCGAAATATATAATGATCGCTGCCTCGCCTGGGATGATCTTCTCGTTTCGCTCAAGATTCCTAAAATTTTCGATGATGGCTGATCGCGTTGCCTGCTCATCGCGAAGGAAAGTGATATTGGCCTCTGGGACCTTCCGCTCCTGCAAGAGATAACTCCTAAAGTTTTTGGCGTCGGCAACGGCACCCTGTAAATTTTCGTTTGGTGACCATTCATATTTATTGATACCGATAACTAGCGCGAAAGTCTGGCGCATCTCCCTACAAGTTCAGAACGTTCACAATTAACTATCATGAAGTTTCAATAGGTCATGTTCTTACGAATTATGAGTGTTTCCACCTATGGGTGCTTGTGCCGCTTGTTCTTCCTTCATATTCGAACCTGTAAAGATATGATGCATAAAATAAGACAATAAAAAGAGGCTGTCTTACCATTGTTACCCAGCTCGGGTGGAGGGAGTATCTGTCTGCATATTGATAGTCAGCCAATGAAATTTCGAAGGCTCGTATCCTTACACAGCAGGGGTATTTCCGTCTATAGATACGCGTTCCGTATACCCTTCCAACATGCGTGCTTCTGCCAATAAGTCACGGGGGTGTGTCGGTCTGCATCCTGCGATCAGCTAGGAAGTCTCGAAAATCGTACTCCTTAGTACTCACGAGTCGTCCTTGCTATTCGTCTGTCCCATGTTGAAAGGATTTACGCGTGAGGGTCTAGGAGCAAGTGAAAGTTGGAAAAGAACCGAGAGGCTAGTGACAACACATTCTCAAGAGCCGTATATATATTCCTCCAGCATGCATAGAGGTTCCCTTTACGGAAGTGCCGTTAAGCGCGCGCTCGGATTTAGACCTATTCAGATATAGCAAATTTCAGAACATACAGAGACCGAAACATGCCTGCGTGCCCTGCAATTCGCGGAAGAAGTTCTGATGTCTTCGGCCACAAGCCACAAGGTGCTTACGCAAAAGGGCTTGGGGCTTGAGAATGGACCCCTAGGTGGAGAGCACGAAGAACAATTTCCACCGCGTTTCAGTAGATACTAGCTAGTGCGGTAGACTCCAATAAAAATACGAGATTTCAGTGCATTGAATCATAATTATGTCGGACTCGTCACGTACCTATCCTAGATTTTGTAGTCGGCCCATCAGAGGTGATTCGGCTGGGAAATTACTTGCCCTTGTTGTGGTCACGGCGGCATTTTCCCTTGCGGCGCTACAATTTTACAAACATCTGAATGGGTGGATGATTTCAGAAGAGCTGCAGGACGAAGACTGAGTTAATGATGGACAGCATACTTGGAAACGAGGCCAATTGGAAGTGTTGGAATCTGCAACTTCAAGCTTGTGCCGGAAGATTCCTGAACATTCGGGACAATCATTTTGTCACGATACTTGGATATATTTAGTACTTTAGGTAGAATATTCTAGATGCGTTCTGTAGTATATAAGGAGCTCGTCTCGAGCTCTAGTAGCTAACAATTTAGTATTATCTACTTTGCAAGCCTCCCACTGCAATAGTCACAAGAGAAAGTCCTGGCCTGGCCCGCGAACGAAAACCTGTTGAAGGCTCACGATTGCGGTAAGGCAACATGTGAACATCATGCCATTGCTCCGCTTCTTTCATTCAACTATGTTTGTACATGCCATTGCCATCAGAAGAAAGCCAGTTCCATGACCACACCTAGTTGCGGAATCAATGGCGAGTGTTTTACTTATTCGCTTTCTCCCCCACAACTCATGGTTCATATGCATGATCCTTGCTGGTGGACATGAAGCATAGATGCGTGTTGACATCGAGGCGGGTGCTCAAGCGTTCAGCGCTCATCTTTCTACTGTTACATTTGGTGAACGTTGGTGTAGAGGTCGTGGACTCTAAGATTCTGCGTTGTTTATCCGGGGGTAATCGGCCGGTTCCGGACAATAATAACGTTATCCAGGTTGCAGTGCCCCGACGCGTGTTTGTTTTGACTTTTTTTTTCCTCTCGCCGACCATGACCATGATGAGTACCTCTTTGCTCACCATCTACAGGTGTTCGTTGTTGATACGGCGCCCCTTCTGTACTTGCAGCACCCCTTGCAATCCTTCATTATGCATGTTGAGCTAGCCGTCTCGTGCTTTACGGTCTGACGCGCTTCAAGGTACTACTACGATTTCGATGACACTGGACTGATACAGCGTCTTGCATTGGCTAGGCACTGAGTCCGGTAGAAGCCGCATATATACGGATGGGGATCCTTATCATTGAACGGCTACTTCGCTTACGTACGACCAGGTCGTGGTCCTTACATTGGAACTTACATATCCTAGAACACAGTTTTGTTTCGCTGATGAGCCCTAGCGCCGATGTATACAATTCTCCTTCCTGTGGCGTAGGCAGGAACACATTTTTGCGTGCCCGTTGTAGCGCCTTGGGCTCGAGATACGTGCGATGACTTCGTAGTGTCTTCATTGAGGCTGATGATTTTTCCGCGTCGTTCCTTCAAGGGGAATACATTTTATGATGGCCCATACAGTCTATGATATTTAAATACATATTCAATTACATGGAGCGAGGTTCCATCAAAGCACGCCCACTCGCCTCCAGTAATTAACGTACTCTTCGACTTCCTTCCGTCCAACAACACCGGATTCTCTCATTCCCCTTGAATCTTTTCCTCGCTTCTTCCGTCCCAAGCACTACCCCACCACTGGCCATCCGCTCGAAATCTCGTTCCAAAAACCCAATGAGCTTGTTCACCTGCTCGTTACCTCTAACTCGCTCAAGCCACTCTGCGTAACCCACAACTGGTATCCCGAGGATATCCGCCAGATTATCGATAACAGCCGTCCACTCCTGCCGAGCAGGGTTCTCCATGTGGTATATCGGCTTGAATCGGTCGGAAAACAAGAGCTCGACCACGATCTGTCCGGCACGGTTGACGGGCAGCCAAGAGAGCGTTCCCTCTAGCCTAGGAAGGGCTCCAACAGCCTTGCTCGCACCAACCACAACAGGGAAATGCTCGGTCTCATTCCAAGCGCCAGCACCCTCTGCTCCAGTCATCTGTCCAATCCTCACCGAGCTCCCTCGGACTTTCCCTTCAAGTGAGAGCAATAGCTCTTCACACACCCACTTGGCCTCGGGATACCCAAACTCAGCCGTCGATTCCGGCGGGACAGGTTGTTCTGGTACCGGTTGTGAGGGATAACGACCGACAACAGCAATCGACGAGGCGAACAGGACGCGTACGTCCTTCGCTGATGACTTCCGAGCTATCTTGACCAAGTTGACGAGCCCCCGAACATGTCCCTCGAAACTGTCCAAGCCTCGGGAAAAGTTGACCGGCCACGCGTTGTGGATGATGTGTGTTACGTCGTCGACACCATCTAGCTGGCCGTCGACGTCGCCGAGATCGGGAATTTCGAGCATATGGATCTTGTACCAGTCGATGACGCCAGCGCCCTCGTCTTTGCATCTCGGCTTCCTGCCTTTCTCGCCCTCCACGACGGTTAATGCACACAACGCGTTTGACCTCTGGATCTCTAGGCCAATCTCGCAAGGAGGAAACATCCCAAGCTTCCTGTTGATCCAGTGAGCAGGACCACCTTGCTTCCAAGCATTTCAGCACGGTATTTCTCCAACATCTTCCGCATTTTTTCTTCTCTCCCCACCCCTTCAGAAACATACCTACCTGCCCTCACTTCCTCTATTGCCGACACCAACCTCCTCGCCGTCGAATGCCGATACACAAAATCGGTCTCGAGGTCAGCCTTCAACGAACGTCCAATTCTCCTCCGTATCCTTGCAGCCTGCAGCGAGTCCATTCCACACTCAAAGAAGTCTTTCGCTTCGGGAATGTCATACCCCAGGACCTCCTTGAGCACCCGAGCGACCCATACACCCGCATCCGCATCCATAATCGGCTCCTCTTCCTGCTCGGCGTCTTCGTAACTCTTCGCAATTTCCTTCTCCCACTTCTCCCAGCTCGCCTTCCTCGCGATACTTCCCTTATCCGTCCTCACCAGCTCACCGGGGCTAATAAAAATCACCATCTCCTTCTGCACCTTGGCATGCTTGTCAGCCAGCTCGTTTGCTTTGTCGAGGAAAGCCCCAAAGTCTGCTGGCAGTTCGCCCTCAACTTCAACGAGGATGCCACACCCCTCCCTGCCTTGTCCAAATAACAAGACGCCCCGTACTCCAGGGCACTCTCCCAGCGCTTGTTCCATGCCACTTGGGCGGACCTTCTCCCCGTTGGCGAGAACGACGAGGTCATCGCTCCGACCAAGGATACGGTACTGGTTTTCCTTGACTGGGTTACCAACTAGATGGTCTTGCACGACATAGTCCTCCTCCCAGCCTGGTGCCCGACCGCTTAATCGGTACATGCCCTCACCAAGAGGAGTAAACGTCAGCGGGATGTCCTGTCGTGGGATGAGGTAGTGCCAGTCATAGTTGGCAGGGACGTGTTGTATGACAGCGATGGCTCCGATTTCCGTCGCGCCTATTGCAAAGAGTCAAGTCAATGAAGAAGGAAAGATCAAGCAATTACTTACCCCAATGATTGAGAAGTTTAACTCCTCGGTGCACCAGCTCTTCGCCTGTTACTTCCTTCAACGGCGCACCCCCTACTGCGAGCACATCGAGACGTTTCAGCGCGTCGACGCCACCAGGTATCGTAAGGAGGTCTTCGACAACTGAGGGGACGGAGAGCATCAAACCAACGCGATTGAGGATCGAATGTGCCGTTCCATTCAAGTGGCCATTCGATCCGTTCACTTTGACGTCCATTCGTATGCCCGTTCACACAGAGTGCATCCAGAACCTTCAATTGTCCCCTTCCAGTCGGTATCGTGCCAGCACCAGGAAGCACGAAAGGTAGTCCGATACTAAGGGAAAGCATGGGAGCCAACTAATCCAAAGCCCTAAAACATCTCAGTAAACGTGTAACCTTTCGCGGATCGTACGTACATGATATAGAGGCAATGTCGACACGTTCCATCCTAGTGCCTCGACATGTTCGGGCGTCAAAAGATGGTCCTGTCCGTATCCAAGGACGTATCCGTGAGCGTGATAGATGGGTTTCGGAAGGCCTGTTGTTCCAGAAGAATGGAGGATGATGGCAGGTGCGTTCAGTGGTGTTAGATGGGGGATGGGGCGGTAGAGCGATGCTGGGCGCTGACGTTTTTGAGAGGAGTTCCGTGTATGTTGGGGCTTCTATCCATATTGGCGTATCGGGGGCAGGAGAAGGAGTAAGCCGGGATGTGACAGGTGATGTGAGCACGAGTTTGGGGTTGGGCTCTGTTTTGGAGAGGAGGTGGTTGATTGCGACGGGCGTTAGTCGTGCAGAAAGAAGGAGGACCTAGAATCGAGGTGAAGAAAGGAAGAAGATGAGTGAAATGGCGACTCACAGGTACCCCGACTCTCATACCCGCTGCTACCCAAATGAACAACCCCACGTCGCTTCCCATGAGGACCGCAATTCCTCCCTTCTCTTCGCCACTGCCCACTCCATGCTCGACTAGCCATTTGGCCGCCACGTCCACACCGTGTGCGAGATCCCCAAAGGTAATCTTCCTCCCTAGCTCATCACTATCGTGTGATTGAGGATGCAATTGCAGCGCGAACACCCTGTCGCCGTTAAACCGTGCATTGTACTCGATAGCCTGAGGGAGAGTCCTCACACCCTCTGTAACGCGGGGCTCGTATCCGAGATTGAATTTGGGTCGTACAAAAGACATGGGTATCGTTGGACTACTCCACCTCCGAGACGTGTCATTTTAACATTGCGGAAGTGGATGAACAAGCCCATCCACTGACAGTTCCGGGGGCGAGGACGCGCGGATAATCGGACTTTTGGGGGTTTCATCGCTGAGTGGGCTGTATGCTTTTGAAGTGCGGCGGCGGCGTTTGTGGTGGGTTTGATGCGAGCATCTTAAGGTTTGAACATTTGGATCCGCGATGTGAGTTCCATTGTAAGACAAAATGCTATGGCCGTGTGGCGTAATGGCAACGCGTCTGACTACGAAGTGTTATCAGGAGATTACAGGTTCGACCCCTGTCTCGGTCAGTGTTAGGGTATTGCTTTTCTTTTATAGACTACTTAGTTCTCGTAGTCTAGGGCTGAGACGCACATCAGCAGACCCAAGTCCTGCTAGGAGAAGCGGGATATTTTGTCGCTCTTTCCCAACGCTGTTCGTCCGTCGACAACCTTATCGGTCCGAGATGCCGGTATAAGTACTCCGGAATCCAGATCCGTTCCTGTTTTCCTAGTTACTATCATCATAGTGATCATTGCTTGGCGCCCCGTCCGCGCGGTTTCCGCACAATTATTTATGCATGCTACCTCAAGTTCAGATTCACGGTACTGATGAAGGTATCCACATCCTCTACCCATAGGACGGGCCACCTGTCGGCGTTTCCTTGATAGTTCGTTCCCCAGTTCAATCACTTAGTCTGAAAAAGGTGGGGATCGTTCGGTCGTTCAAGGCAAGTAAATCCCTTTCCTCATCTGTGTTAGCTGATCTTAGGGCTTCCTAAAAGACTCCTCAAATCGGAACCGTAATGGTTGTATATACGCTCAACTTATCTGCCGTGCATTCGGTATCATCAGCCTTCTCCTGCATAGCGTGTGGAACATGAAAAGTCGTGGAGCCACTCATAACCGACAGTGTCCACACAGGACGGACAAACTGTGATACGATAGGGAGCAAGTGTGAGGAACAAGGAACTAGTGACAAAACTGGAGGTAGGCGGTTGCGCGAAGCCGCTGAGATGGAGGAACGCCATCCTTGTGTCATCTTACTCCAGTTGGAGCTGTCGCGTCTTCTTGATATACCATCGTTCCGACACGAAGGAATCTATCACCTTGCTTTTGGGCGCCCAAATGACTACGACCTGGTCGCAATTCGTACGAGGCGAGATGAAAACGCCGAGGTCTACATCTCCGTAATGATGGATCAACCAAGTTGTCATCAATCAGTCCTTGGCCGAGACCGTCAACTTTTTCAAGTACGGACCGTCGTCATTGTGTGCGACGATCAGTGATTTCGAAGGTTCCATCTGCCTCTTCCCAAAGTTGATGCTGGACTAATCAGTGAGACAGATGATCTCATCATTGTCCATGCCCACATGCTGTATCTCGCGCTTCCTGGGATATCGGTAGTGGCGGCTTTAGAGGAGAATTACGGCACTTTTACGCCTTGTAACTTAGTTGCTGTCGAAGGAGTTGGTCTCTCGCATGATCTTCAATTCGACGCAGAGGCGATGGTTATGAAAACTTCGCCTGTTAGAATCGTGGGGCTATTCTCAAACGAAGTGAGTGGCAAAAACGGGTTACATCTTTGGCAAATGCGAGATGGGACTAACTACGAAATCCAGTCTTATATACTAGAAATTCCCGCGGAAGTAAACAACACGTAAGTGAATTATACGAGGCCTTGAACGGCGACTGACTGTCAATGTCATGAGAAGCTCGAAATCTCGCGTCGCCTCCTTGCGTTAGTCAATTTTCTTTCCTCATGACTCGCCATGCTCAATTAAATTTATAATTCATTATCTCAGGATCGCATCGTGATCGTTGCATCCATCGCTGGCATGTACAGCTGCTGATCATGCGGCGGAAGATTTTGGTATATCTTGTTACAGCCTTACAAGCGACCATGCTCTATATCTTGACTACCTTACTTTCCCCCAGCTCGCATGAATACAATGACCGCTCTCCTCAAATTTCTCTTCAGCCTCTCTTTTCTCGTTCCTCACCTCTTGGCGCAAAACCATACGCAGTGCGTAGATAACGGATCAGACTGGTATACGGGTGTCACAGGGGAGACGCCGTGTAAGACTGCTTCTACGTCCACTCTTGATTAGAACTGAACGCTTCCTAGGCCGAACATATGAACGGTTACGCAAGATATGCAATAGCAATTGTAGGACTGCTGTTCTTCGTCAGTTCGATTTGTATTAAATTTCTCTCTAGATGTCTTGGGAGCCTTGGGTCCCAGCATTCCTCCCGATACATGCAACGACCAAGTTGGTATGGCTCATCTCTGAAGTTACTAGACCCCGCTCATCTGTTCCGTGACCATAGCCGACTGTTGTTGCAATTCAATCGCGTGGGGGCTTAGTATGCTGTGTCTGACGTGAGTGATCCCCGTTCGCTCCCAGAAAAAGACGACCGAGTCTCATCTTTGCATAGATGCCAGCAAGGAATAGGGTCCAGTGGCAACGGCATCGACGCCGGTGCGTGTGTGCGTTTCACTCAATATGGCTGATCCTCACCTTCAGTACTGGAAGGCGTCGGCGCGTACCAGCTATATCTTATGCATGGAACAAATTCGTTCTGCGCACCAAATACTAACAGATCGTATGTAGTATTCACGTTCACGGCATTATCTATGGGAGGCATCTAATCTGTGATCTCCAGATTGCCGAATGACATACAAGCAGCGGTGTGCAACAATGACATAAAGATCCATAATACTCTCTATGATGTATTTTGGGACACTGGAGCGTGGTATGTTAGAGTTCTATTGCATTTGGTCCGAGGACATAGTCTGAATCTTGCGCTCACAGGTTCTAGTATGTTGTATTGATCTCAAACGTAGTTTCCTCTATTCTGACGTTAAACGGGTAGTACGTTCACTCGGGAATCAATGGAGAAGGCCAACGCTGCTGATGGAAATAATTCCTTCACTCATTGCGCATCAACATATCTGAACGCAACCAGTAGTCTACTATCTCAATCGATGACGTCTTCACAATCGGCCCAGTCGAGCATGACATCTCTTACGGATTCCACCACCACGAGTGCCACCTCAACTTCCACCTCCTCCCAGAGAAACAGCTCATCGAACACACTTGGTGCGGGTGCCATAGCTGGGATAGTGGTTGGAGGTATCATATTAGCAGGAGTAATCACGCTCTTCCTCCTCTGGTCATGCTGGTACCGCCGACGCGGACAACCTGTTATCGAGGACTCGGACACGACGCCCCGTCCCTTTAGTACAGTACATTCCTCGGATCTTTAATTGTCAGACTAACGAAACGGTTTACAGCTCAATCCATGCCCAACAGTACTTCTACCACTGGGCCCAAAAATGGAGGCCCACTGTTCACGAGAAGTCTCGTATCGGGAGAAAGACGGCTCGGGGGGAAACGACAGAGAGAACTACCGCCTGATTATACAGAATAGACTTGGCTGTCGGTCCTTGGGGGGGATTTTTGGTCAGATCCGATGAGCCTGGGATGATGGATGATGGAAGGATGACAAGTCTTGTTCTAGAATTTTGTGCTGGCAATGGCTGTAGACTCTGTACCGTGAGCACGTGCAGATTTCGCAGTTGAGTGTTTGCTTTGATAAATGAGCATTATTGTTTACGTGACACCATAGAAGCAAGACGATGAGTGGGGTGCTAGAACCGCTAATAGATGGTAATCCATTGACGAAACCGAGCTCGACAAATTCAGTTCGGCTTTCAAACTTCCGGCCGGTTCTTTCCCCTTCTTCCTACCATCATCACTTCCCGCCGCCTTACCAACATGTTTTACTGGATTCGTCCTTCCATTCCGTTCTCCCCGGACCACGTACGCTCTCCGCCGCGAGTGCTGCGTTACGAGTCCTGTATACGTCCAGAAATTCAGGTCCATTCAACCCTTCTTCGTTCCTACTGGCATCCATCATCGATGATCACTCGACTGTTCGGCGCCTTATCCGCAGTTTCCTTTACAACTATCTTGGGTTATTATACTTTCTGCTTCGAGCTCGTTTGTATGGTGTTTCGAGGTACGATGAATTCCTTTCTTCGTCCTTAATGACTGATTTTAACATTTCTCAATAGGTCCCGCCCGGCGCGCACTGATGGTGCCTGCACGAGATGTTTACGCTATGATGCCTCTTCTCGCCTACCAATGCTCGGTAATCGCCACGCCCAGCATATGCTCCAAAATTTCCTTCACATTCAGTATCGCCGGCTCTCTTTCATCACATATGAAATGTGAATTGTGGTGGAATTCCTGAATACCGAGAATGCATGGGAAACACACGCGATTCATGCAGGATACTGTTTCGCTTGATGACGACAACCCGACAGAGAGGAATTCGGGGCTGCGGGATATGAGGGATGAAACTGGAGGCGGGAAAGCGATACTAACGTTGGCGCGCCTAGATGGAAGAAGCTTTTTACGCCATCGCTATTTCATCTCACTCCGACTAGCGTTGTCACGTCGCCTTCGACACCAAGGAGTTCATCACCTCGTATTGAACTCAATAAATGGCTGTACGGATCATTTTTTGGAGAGCCGTTGCACCCGAACTCGTATAGGAACGAACATACGATCAAAGCCGTAATTATACCATCTTTGGCTGAGACAGTTAAACTCTCCCAACTCTGGACTGGAGCTATTGCGAGGATCAACTGTTTCGAAGTGTGTATCGCCTCATCTCGAAGCCAATACCGTACTGATCGATGTGATAGATTGACCTTATCATTGGCCATGCCCACGCAGTAGTTAGAGCTTTAGAGGAGAAGCACGGCACTTTGACGCGTTGTAACAAGGTCTACTGTATTTAAGACTGGGGTGATTACCGTCAAAGGGGCTGTTCCGTCTAATAACCTTCAAATCGACGTGGATATGATGGTTGTCTAGGTACGGAAACTTCATGCTCCCTCTCCCCTTGCGTTCGTCCACGTTTCTCTTGTCCTGACTCGCTATCTTCACAATTCTTATTCATTATCTCAGGATCGACTCATGCTTTGCGTCAGCGATCCCTTCTTGTAAAATTGGAACACCTTTGAAGTAATCAGAGGGATCAAGTGCCGTGATCGTTGCATCCATCATCGGCATGTAGGTCACTAATCATGCCGAGGATGATCTTGGTATATCTCGCAACGCACTTCCACTTTCCATCTGTTAACTACCTACCTTCCCCCCAGCTCCCATGAATACAACGACGGCCCCCCTCAAGGTTCTCTTCGGCCTCTCATTTCTTGTTCCTTACCTCTTGGCGCAAGACCATACTCAGTGCGTAGATAGCGGATCAGACTGGTATACGAGTGTCACAGGGGAGACACCATGTAAGACTGCGTCTACGTCTACTCTTGATTAGAACTGAATGCTTCCCAGGCCGGACATATGAACGGTTACGCAAGATATGCAATAGCAATTGTAGGACTGCTGTTCTTCGTCAGTTCGATTTGTGTTAAATTTCTTTCTCCAGATGTCTTGGGGGCCTTGGGTCCCAAGACTCCTCCGGATACATGCGACGACCAAGTTGGTACGGCCTATCTCTGAAGTTACTAGACCCCGCTCATCTGTTCTGCGACCATAGCTGACTGTTGTTGCAATTCAATCGCGTTCGGCCTTAGTATGCTGTGTTTGACGTGAGTGATCTCCGTTTGCTCAAAGAAAAGGGCGGCCGAGTTTCAGCTTTGTATAGATGCCAGCGAGGAATAGGGTCCAGTGGCAACGGCATCGACGCTGGTGCGTATGTGCGTTTTGCTCAATACGGTTGATCCTCACCTTCAATGCCGGAAGGCCGAGGGTACTTATGAACAATATCTTATGCATGGAACAAACTCGTTCTGCACCCCCAATACTAACAAATCGTATGGAATATTCACGTTCGCGGTATTATCTATGGGAGGCATCTAAACTGTGATCTTCAGATTTACGAATGACATACAAACGGCAGTGTGCAACAATGAACTGAAGATCCACGACAATTTCTATGACCGGGTGTTTTGGAGCGATGGATCGTGGTACGCAAGGACTCCGTCATAGTTGGCTAGAAAACATAGTCTAAATCCTACACGCACAGGTTCTAGTACGTTGGATCTATCTTCAACGTAGCTTCCTCCATTCTGACGCCAAACCGGTAGTACGTGGTCCCGCGAATTTATGGAAAAGACCAATGCTGCTGATGCAAATAATTCTTTCACGCATTGCGCATCAACGACCTTAAACGGAACCAGTAGTTCACAGTCTCAGTCGACGTCGATTTCGAAAACGACCACACTTTCCCTGTCGACATTGCTTTCACAGTCGAGCACGGATTCTGCCGCTGCGAGTGCCACTCCAGCTTCCACATCTATACAGAAAGAAAGGTCATCAAAATCTCTGAGTGCGGGGGCTATAGCAGGGATCGTGGTAGGAAGCATCGCAGGAGCAGGAGCGATCACGCTTTCTCTCCTCTGGTTGTGCTGGTACCGCCGACGATATGCTGTTATCGAAGACTCGGAGACCTCGCCACATCCCTTCCCTGTCGGCCACAGTACAGTATACTCCTCAGATCCCTAGTTCTGAGACTAATGAAATAGTTAACAGCTCCATCCGTTCCCGACAATACTTCCACCACTCTACTCCCGTATCGAAGCCCACCGTCCACGAGGAGTCTCGTCCCAGGAGAGAGACGGTTCGGGGAGAAACGACAGAGAGAACTACCGCCTGATTATACCGAATAGACTTGGCTGTCGGTCCTTAGAGAGGATATTTTGGTCGGATCCGATGAGTGGGATGATGGATGATGGAAGGAGTTATCCCAGAATTTTCTGTTGACTATAGATTCTGTACCATGAGCAGGTACAGATTTTGGGAGATTTCGAACTTCTTATGGTACTGACAGGCAGTCGCCCTCAAGTCGCCCTTCGAGTTCTCGTATGGATTTACTAACGTGTTTGCTTATTTCTTCAGGGATTTCTAGTATATAAGGCTGTGAATTTCGTAGTTGGTCCCCATGTCGTGTTTGCCAAAGATGTAACCCATTACTGCCACTCACTTCGTTTTGAGAACGTTCAACGGCCCCACGATTCTAGTAATAGATTTCGCAGTTGAGTGTTTGCTTTGATAGATTAGTATTATGGTTTACATGACACCATAGAAACAAGACGATGAGTAGATTACTAGAACCGCAAACAGATGTTGAACAGATGGTAAAGGCTCATCGACGAAATCGGTCTCGACAAACTCGGCTCGGCTGTCAAACTTCCGGCCGGTCCCTTTTCCCTTCTTCCTACCATCATCATCACTTCTTCCCGCCTAAGCAACGTGTTTTACTGGAGTCGTCCTTCCGCATTGCTAATGAAGAACAAGGCGCTCTGATATTCCGTTCCCCCCGGACCACGTATGCCCTCCACTGTGAGTGCTGTATTACGAGGAGTCCTGTGTATCCCGAAATTCAGATCCATTCCCTTCTTCGTTCCTACTGGCATCATCATCAATGACCACTTTCATTGTTCGACACATTATCCGCGAGTTTCCTCTGCAGCCGCTGTCATAGTTTGAGCTCCTTCAAGCTCATTTGTATGGTGCTGAGTCGTAACTCTTGATAGGATGAACTTGATGGTTCTCCCTCAGTTCAACCACTTAGTTTGGCGGTGATTCGATGGTTTGAGGTAAAGGTAATTCTAACATCATAATCAAACAGTCCTTGGTTGAGACCGTCAAACTTTCCCGACTATGGACTGGAGCCATTGTGTGCGAGGATCAACTGTCTCGAAGTTTGTATTGTCTCTTCTCAAAGTCAACGTCGTACTGATCAACGAGAAAGATTGATCTCATCATTTTCCATGCCCACATACTGTATCTCGTACTTCTCGGGATACCAGTAGTTAGGGCTTTAGAGGAGAAGCACGGCACTTTGACGCCTCGTAGCCAGGAACACTGTATTTGGGACTGCAGTTATTACCTGTAACGATTATTTGGGCATGAAAACTTCATGTCCCTTCTCTCCTTGCGTTCGTCCGCTTCTTTCGTCCTGACTTGCTACCATCGTCACAATTCTTATTCATTAAGTCAGGATCGACCCATGCTTTCCATCGGCAATCCTTTTTCTACAATTGGAGCACCGTTCAGGTCATCAGAGAGATCATATCGTGATTGTTGCATCTATCGCCGGCATGTAGGGCACTGATCATGCCGAAGATGATCTTGGTATATCTTGTAACATACTACCACTTTCCATCTCTTAACCACGTCCGTTCCCCCAGCTCGCATGAATACAATGACCGCTCTCCTTAAATTTCTCTTCAGCTTCTCTTTTCTTGTTCCTCACCTCTTGGCGCAAAACCATACGCAGTGCGTAGATAACGGATCAGACTGGTATACGAGTGTCACAGGGGAGACACCGTGTAAGACTGCTTCTACGTCCACTCTTGATTAGAACTGAACGCTTCCCAGGCCGAACGTATGAACGGTTACGCAAGATATGCAATAGCAATTGTAGGACTACTGTTCTTCGTCAGTTCGAGATGTATCTAATCTCTATCTCTATCTCCAGATGCCGTGGGCGCCTTGAATCCCAAGACTCCTCCGGATACATGCGACGACCAAGTTGGTATGGCGACCCATCTCTGAAGTTACTGGACTACGCTCATCTGTTCCGCGACGACAGCTGACTGTTGTTGCAATTCGATCGCGTTCGGTCTTAGTATGCTGTGTCTGACGTGAGTGATCCCCGTTTGCTTAAAGAATAAGGTGACCGAGTGTCAACTTTGTATAGATGCCAACAAGGTATAGGGTCCAGTGGCAACGGCATCGACGCCGGTGCGTGTGTGTATTTCACTCAATATGGCTGATCATCACCTCCCATACTGGAAGGCGTCGGCGCATATCAGCTATATCTAATGCACGGAACAAACTCGTTCTGCACCCCCAATACTAACAGATCGTATGCAGTATTCATGTTCGTGGCATCATCTATGGGAGGTATCTAATCTGTGATCTTCAGATTCACGAATGACATACAAACAGCGGTGTGCAACAATGACATAAAGATCCATCATACCCTCTATGGCGTATTTTGGGGCGATGGATCATGGTATGTTAGGGTTCCATTGCATTGGTTCGAGGACATAGTCTGAATCTTGCGCTCACAGGTTCTAGTATGTTGTATTGATCTCCAACGTAGTTTCCTCTATTCTGACGTTAAATGGGTAGTACGTTCACTCGGGAATCAATGGAGAAGGCCAACGCTGCTGATGGAAATAACTCCTTCACTCATTGCGCATCGACAACCCTAAACGCAACCAGTAGTCTACCCTCTCAGTCGACGTCGTCTTCAAAATCGACCCTACTTTCCCCGTCGACGTTGCTTGCACAGTCGAGCACGGATTCTGCCGCTGCGAGTGCCACTTCAACTTCCACATCTACACAAAAAGAAAGGTCATCAAAATCTCTCAATGCGGGGGCTATAGCAGGGATCGTGGTAGGAAGTATCGCAGGAGCAGGAGCGATCACGCTTTTTCTCCTCTGGTTGTGCTGGTACCACCGACGACGATATGCTGTTATCGAAAACTCGGAGACGTCTCCCCATCCTTTCCCTGTCAGCCATAGTACAGTATATTCCTCGGATCCTTAATTCTGAGACTAACGAGTTGCGTTTATAGCTTCATCCATGCCCAACGATACTTCCACCACTGTGTTCCGATATGGAAGCTCGCTGCTCATGAGGAGTCTCGGGTCAGCAGGGACACAACTCGGGGGGAAAAGACAGAGAGAACTACCCCCTCCGTATACAGAGTAAAACGGCCTGGAAATCCTTACGGAGGATGTTTTGGTCGGTCCCGGCGAGCCTGAGACGAAGGGGGATGTTGTGCGATATGGATGGATGATAAGTTTTGTTCCAGAATTTCGTATCGGCTGTGGACTGTGTACCATGGGCACATACAGGTTTTGTAGTTGAGTGTCTGCTTCGATAAACAGGCATTGTTGTTTACGCGACTCCATAGGAGCAAGGCCATAAGTACACTAGTAGAACAGCTAATAGATGACAAGTCATTGACACAACCGAGCTCGACAAACTCGGTTCGGCTTTCAAACCTGCGGCTAGCCCCTTTCCCTTCTTCCGATCATCATCACTCCTCGCTGTGTTACCAACATTGAACTCATCTTTCTATGTTGCTGATGAAGAACACGGCGCTCCACGAAACACCATTGTTCTGATCGCGTATTCTCTCCACCGTGAGCGCCGTGTCAGCTAGCCTAGTAGAGTTCGCTTCTGATGCCAGGGTCCATCTCAGATAACAGTGCCCTGATCAATCAGTCCTTGGGCGGAAACCGTCAAGTTCCCGTTGATGCCAACCCTTGACCGTATGTGACCGGTAACATTGAAGCTTTGTTTTGCCTCTTCTCGAGGTAAACATCAGACTTACTGATATCTGAGTCTCGAACAGATGGATCTCAGCCTTGTTCTGTGACATATCCTAGGCTGCAAGTGGTTAGGGAGGGAATCATAGCACCTTGCTCCAATCGGAATGGAATGTTTACCGACGGAGCAGTTCCTTCCTGGGTCCTGCTCCTTTCTATGTCCTTCAAATTGACGCAGATGTGACAGTTGCCTGGACTGTGGATATGAGAACTTCCTGTGTTTCCTCTCTACCTGAGGGGTGCGTCCATCCTTTTTTTTTGGCATGACCACAATTTTCATTCATTGTCTCGGGATAGATACATATTTTATATTAGCAACCCCCTGCTGGAGCATTTTACTTCAAGGAATCGCTTCAGGTTACAAGTAGGGACCGTTAGCTACGTCATTTCTTGGTACCTATCATTTCCCTCTAGTGTCTCATAATTTTATAATTTGAAATTAGGTATGCTCCCGTTTCCGGCTTTTACTTCATCTAGGATTTCTACTGTGCTCTCGTGTCTTCGATACCTACTTGGCATGGGTAGTATGCAACGATCCGTACCACTTTGTCCTCGAGTTCTGGACCCATTACACGGCAGCCTTTTTGTACGGGAATTGTCATGTTTGTGTCGCGTCATGATTGTTGCATCAATCACTGGTCAATATTTCAGGGGAAAGTTTTAGCATAACTCGTTCCTCACCATCACGTCCCATTTCTTCACCGCCTTCCATTCTTCTAGGTCGTATGGATATAATAACTTTACTTCTCAAAATTCTCTTCGGCCTTTCGTTTCTGGTTCCTTCTCTCTTTGCGCAAGACCATACGCAATGTGCAGATAGCGGATCAGACTGGTACACAAATGTCGTTGGAGAGACGCCGTGTAAGATGGCATCTACATCCACTCTCTATTAGAACTGAACTTCTTATCAGGTCGAACATATGAACGGTTACGCCAAATATGTAATAGCAACTGTGGGACTCTGCCATTCTCCACCAGTTCGATCTGATTCAATCTCTCTCCAGATACATTGGGCGCCTTGAATCCCAACACTCCCCCAGACACATGTAACGGCCAAATCGGTATGACTGATATCTGATTTTGAAAGCCCGCTCATCTGTTCCGTGACGATAGCTGACTGTTGTTGTAATTCAATCGCGTTCGGTCTTGGTATGCTGTGTCTGACCTGAGTGATCTCCGTTTGCTACAAGGGTGACCGTCTCTCAACTTCGCACAGATGCCAGCAAGGAAGAGGGAGTAGCCACGGTATCGACGCTGGTGCGTATATGTGTTTCAACTTGGTTAATCCTCATTTTTTCCGGAAGATCCCGGCACATATCAGCAATATCTCATGCATGGATCGGACTCGTTCTGCTCCCCCAATACGAATAAATCGTATGCTTGATTTACGTTCACGGGCAGACTTGATTTACGATCTTCAGGTTGACGAATGACATACAAACGGCAGTGTGCAATAACGAACTGAAGATCCACGATAATTTCTATGATGGACTGTTTTGGAACGATGGATCATGGTATGCCCGAAGTACTGTCTATCATCGTTAGCCCCATTCTAAACTCTATGCCCCCAGGTTTTAGTATGTTAACTCTTATCGTCAGTACAGTCTTCTCCATTCTGATGTTATACCTGTAGTACGTGGACCCGCAAACGAATGGAAACGACCAATGCTTACAATGGAAATAACTCCTTCACGCATTGTGCATCGACAACTGTGAACACATCCAGTGCGTCGACGACCTATTCTACCGCTACGAGTACTTAAAAAATCTACGCCGAAAGAGAGTTCATCTAAACCACTCGGTGCGGGCATCATTACTGGGATTGTGATAGGGAGCATCGCCTTCGGAGGAGCCATCACGGTCTTCCTCCTCTGGTTATCGTACCGTCGGCGACAAGCTGCTACCAAGGACTCGATAACATCGCCCTGTCCCTTTGTCAGCCACAGTACAGTAACCTTTCTTGTATCCTTAATTCGTAGGTTAACAAAATTGGTTCTCAGCTCCATCCATGCTTAACAGTCCCCCGTTAATATGCTTCAAAATGAAAGCCCATTGCTCACTACGAATTTTGAGTCAGCAGAGAGACTGCTCGTGCACAAAGGACAGAGAGAACAACCACCTGTGTATACAGCATAGACTTAGTCTTGCGGTCCTTAAGAGGATGATTTGGCCGGACCAGTGAGCCTGGGACAAAGGGGGAGCTGCACGCGATAAACGGATAAAGACGGTTTTAAAATTGTCACTGTGAGAACTCAAGAGATTTCGTAGTCGAGACTCGAGCGTTCGGTTTTATAAGCAAGTACCATAGATTCCGCAGAAGAAGGACGCGTAGACTACAACAGTCAACATCCGATAATTGACGAAATCAGGCCAGATAAATGCGGCCCGACTTCAAACCTTAGTCAGTCACTTTTCCGTCCTTCTGCCACCATCGTCACTCGCTGCCGCTTCATTATCATGCTTTTTCTGGATTCATCTTTTGCGCTGCTGAAGTCGATTGTGGCTGGTGGACACAGCACTCTCTTCTAACATGAAAATCAGGCAACGGAGCTGAGAGGACGACACGGCACTGGTTGTGATGCGTCTGCTGAAAACAGCATTAATACCACTTCGAATTCAACAACAGGCTGCTCACCAAATCCTGACAACGTCCGAGCCTCTCAATAACATATCGGTGAACGGCAACTGCAGGAGGAAGCATTCGTAGCCAAACCACGTTGTCTTGACATGGTTTTTCTGCTCCGCCTCTGCACCTCACATCGATATCTTCAGTCTTCTTTGATGGCTCCATAACCTCTTCCGTCGTTAGGATCTACGTCGTGGACAGAATCAGAGCCATTGAAGGAAAACATCAAAGATGACCCACATCTAATACATCGTGGTTGCCGTTGTCGCCCGAACATGCACACGCTGTCCTGCGGCTCGCAGATAATAGTCTTTGTGAACCGTCACGGCTCTTACGCACTGGGATGATATTAGACCGTGACGCATGAAACGAAAATGAGCAATGCACCTACCGAACTGGAACTGCCATCAGATGGAAGCCATCGATGCGCTCCTGCAACACCGGACACTCGTCGCGGTCATTGCCATCCTTGACAAACAGATACCCGATATTACCTGGGAAATAGACCTTCCTAACCTCACCCTCCGTGGGCTAGTTGTCTGGAACAGATCACAAGCAGTTCCGACAATCTCCACGTGTCGCGCGAACCACCAACCGAGTACATGCTTGTGTGCGTTGGGGTCCTGATCGAGTGAAGATGCTTAGCGTTCCCAAGTAGAGCGAAGGTGCATAGTGCGCAAAGGTCCGTTTGAATAGCGTGCTTGATGTTAGGGTAGGGATGGCCACGGGGCGTCAGCGTAACATCAAAAAGGCTGGCTAGGCGAGCACCCATCACTGAACCCAGGTAGAATAGTACTCTCTCCAGCGTAGCGATGGCATCTTGATGAAGAAACATGCATGGCCAATCAAGAATCCCAACCTCTGGGTAGGGCAGGTTTATTGAGGAAGAAAGAGGCCAACTATCCAGTGATCAGAGGCGAGATATTAGGAGTAAAAACACGTAGCGTACTGGTACTGATCCATAAACCACACCGGCTTGTCTGCGGTCCAACGCCTTTGGGTTCGCTTGGTTCATTGGTGTTGGGATTTGCAACTTCAAGCTTGTACTAGAAGATTCCCGAAGCTTCGGCTTACTCATTTGTCACGATACTTAGATATATTTAGTACTTTAGGTAGAATATTCTAGATACTTTCCGTAGTATATAAGGAGCTCATTAGGAGCTCTTGTAGCTAACAATTAGGTATTATTCCTACTGCAAGCCTCCCACTGTTAGAGTGCCAACAGTTGGCGATTCGGATGGTGGTCGTTGTAGATAAATCCATACTCATTTATTGAGCTGCTGTCATAGAAAGAAGCGGCACACAAGGCTAAGCCGTACCCTATACTTAGTGGTGGAAGGAATGAGCAAGATGGGTAATGATGACGTAACCAAAAACGTCCGTGCCGTGGTGCCGGCCCTTCTCCATGCTTCACACTTCCCTGTGACCGTTGTTAGCTTCGATTGGGCTTCGACTTGCAGCTTGTCGACGCGTGATAATCATTTAACTTAGACGGACTGATAACCGTCGTAATAATTACACATCTTCCGTTCAACTGCACTGGTTTTTCCATTCCGTCCAACACTGTCACTTCTCAGCTTCCTTCTGACTGTAGGGAATTTTACAAGTCATTCATTGTATTCGGCGATCAATTCCTTCTAGGCAATCATTTTGTATTCAGCCTAAGCACCAGGGCGATTTCTGCGCCACTCCACGTATTCAGGAGTATGTAACACCGGATTGGAGGTGTCACATTGTTGCATTAATCATTCACACATAGTCCGCAGATGTGGTATATCTTGTTACGTGCCATCCTGTTCTGTTTCTCAACTCTCTTGCGTTCTCCTAGCTTGCATGAACACAATAGCCTTTCTTCTCAAAGCTCTCTTCGGTCTCTCATATCTGGTTCTTTATCTCTTTGCACAAGACCATACACAATGCGTGGATAGTGGATCAGACTGGTATACGAGTGTTGTGGGGGAGACACCGTGTACGACTGCTACTACGTCCGAGTTCACTTTCATTGAAACTGATTCCCAGGCCGAACATATGAGCGACTACGCCAGATATGCAATCACAATTGTGAGCTTCCGTTGCTCTTTGTGGCTTCCATATGAATTGAATCTCTCTCCAGATGGCTTGGGTGTCTTGAATCCCACCACTCCTCCGGATACCTGTAACGACCAAATCGGTACGGACGACATCTAATGCAACGAGAACCCGCTCATCTGTTCTGTGACCATAGGCGAATACTGTTGCAATTCAATCGCATTCGGACTTAGTGTGCTATGTCTGACGTGAGTGATTCTCATTTCCTCAAAGAAAAAGGCAACCAAGTCTCGATTTCGCATAGGTGCCAGCAAGGACAACAAGAGAACGGCAATGGTATCGATGGCAGTGCATGTGCGCTCTTCAATCAGCTTGATTAATCTTCATCTCCGAAAGGTCCCGGCACATATCAGCAATATCTCATGCACGGCACAAACTCGTTCTGCTCCCCCAATACTAACAAATCGTACGCTTGATTCACTGTACCATCTGTGGGAAAGGTTTAATTTGTGATCCTCAGGTTTACAAATAACGTACAAACGGCAGTGTGTGACGACGAACTTAAGATCCATGACGATTTCTATGGCCCGGTGTTTTGGAGTGATGGATCGTGGTGCGCCCAAATTCTATCATCATTAGCTCCAGTCTAAATTCTATGCCGACAGGTTTTAGTATGTTGGCTCTTATCTTCAGTATGGTCTCCTCCATTCTGACGTCAAACCGGTAGTACGTGGACCCGCGAACGAATGGAAATGACCAATGTCGCCAGTGGAAATAACTCCTTCACGCATTGTGCATCAACATCTGTGAACACATCCAGTAATCCACACTCTCAGTCGATGTCCTACTCTACCACTATGAGCGCTTCCACATCTATGCCGAAAGAGAGTTCATCGAAACCAGGTACGTCAACAACTGTGAACGCATCCAGTGGGTCGACGACCTACTCAACTGCTATGAGTACTTACTAATCTACGCCGAAAGAGAGTTCATCTAAACCACTTAGTGCGGGCATCATTACTGGGATTGTGATAGGGAGCATCGCCTTCGGAGGAGCCACCACGGTCTTCCTCCTTTGGCTGGTGTCGTACTGCCGGCGACGAGCTGTTACCAAGGACTCGGAAACGTTGCCCCGTCCCTTTGTCCCGCAGTATGGTACTTTTCCTTGTATCCTGAATTCTTAGACTAACGAAACCGGTTTGCAGCTCCATCCGAACCCATTCCCAACAGTGCTCCCATTACTATGCTTCGAGATGAAAACTCACTGCCCACGATGGACCCCGGGTCAGCGGAAGGACAGCTCGGGAGGCAAGATCAGATAGAACCACCACCTGATTATACTGAGTAGTCTTGACTGGCAGCATATAGGAGGGGCATTGTATGCGATGGAAGGATGATGAGGTTTGTTTTAGAAGTTCGTGTCGGCTGTGAAGATTGTACCGTGATATACAGATTTCGGAGTTGAGTATTTGTTTTGATAAACCGGTGTTATTATTATTTATATGGTTCCATAGAAGGAGGAAGACAACCATACTAGAGCAATCAATAGATGATAGTCATTGATGATATCTGACTATACAAACGAGTCGACGCAAGTCGGCTTATAAAAACTCCGACCAGCTCCTTTCCGTCTCCCTACCATCATCATCGCTCCTTGCCGCCTTATCATCGTGTTTTACTCCATGCATCTATGTTGCTGGTTTGAGGAACAAGGCGCTTGATCAAGGAGCCGCACAAATATGAACGCTGTATCAATACTTTGATACATTCCCGGGCCAGATCGCGAAGCCTTAATCAATCAGCGAAGCTAGCTGAGACCATCAGCTTTCCCATAGATGCCAACTACTACCGTGACAGGCGCTATTGTGGGAGGCTGACAACCTGACTGATATCGAGGGTTCGTATTACCCCTTCTCAAAGTTGAGATCAAACTTATACCCAACTCTCAAACAGATCGATATCACGCTTGTCACTGCACGCGTACTGTATTTTGTGCATCTTGAGTATTTGTTATGCGGGGGGTCCTTGGAGGCAGTCCTTGTACGTTTCTAAGAAAGATTGAGCTTTATCTGGAACTTCAAGTTGGTGGTTATCAAGACTTATCCCGTCCATCACCTTTGATTTAACGTGGATGTGAGAATCTCTATGGCTCCTTTTCCTTTCATTTAACTCACTACACATTCCCTGCTCATTCTCCTAGGGCTGAGTCGTGCTTTCATCAGTAACCCTCTTAGCAGAGCATTGGCAGAGCACCTTTTACCAAGTAAGCGGGATATCGCATGATGATCATTGCATCAACCGCAGGGATATTGTTTCAGACTGTACTAATCGTTCCTGGGAAGGTTTGGGTATATCTAGTTACGTGCTGTCATTCCATCTCTTACTTCTCCCCGCAGTTTGGGCATGGATGCGCTAACGTTTCTCCTCGAAATCCTTCTTGTTCTCTCATTTATGGTTCCTTATCTTCTCGCGCAAGACCACACACAATGTAAAGATAGCAGTTCAGACTGGTATACGAGTGTCGTGGGGGAGACGCCATGTAAGTTCATTGTTATGCTATGCCTGTCCTCGTTGGAGTTGAACTTCTACTAGGTAGTACATATGAACGGCTACGCAAGTTATGCAATAGCAACTGTGAGCCCCTTGTTCTCTACAGGCATTCAACTTCCTGAATCGCATTTCGCTGTTCAGATGTCTTGGGTTCCTTGGACCCCAATAATCCTCCGGACACATGTGATGATGAAATTGGTATAATCTATCTCTAAAGCGACGAGCACTTGCTTATCTCTTCTACTATGATAGCCGAATGTTGTTGCAATTCGATCTCGTTCGGTCTTAGTATGTTGTGCCTGACGTGAGCGATTACCCTTTCCCTTCAAAGAAAGACTCAGAGTCGTATAGATGCCAGCAAGGAAGAGGGCCACAAGGCAACGGCATCGACGCTGGTGCGTATATGTGTTTCAACTTGGTTAATCCTCATCTTTATTGGAAGACACCGGCACATATCAGCAATACCTCATGCAACATGGATCGAATTCGTTCTGTAACCCCATTACTAACAAATCGTATGCATTGTTCACACTCGTTGTAAAATTCGTGGGATGGATCTAATTTGCGATCCTCAGATTTACCGATAACATACAAACGGCGGTCTGTAATAATGAACTGAAGATCCATGATGATTTCTACGATGGGGTGTTTTGGAACGATGGGGCGTGGTACGCAAGGACTCCATTATAGTTGGCTGGAAAACATAATCTAATTCCTACACACACAGGTTCTAGTACGTCAGAACGATCTTCTGCATAGGCTCCGCCATGCTAACGTCAATTGGTAGTACGTGGACCCGCGAACGAATGGAAACTACTAATGCTGCTAATGCAAACAACTCATTCACACATTGTACATCAACAACACTGAATGTAACCAGCGTTTCAGAGTCTCAGTCGACTATGACATCGGTCACGGATTCCACTGCCACGAGCGCCTCATCAGCTTCTCCCTCTATGCAAGGTGAGATCTCAAAGTCTCTCAGTGCGGGCGCCATAGCAGGGATCGTGGTTGGGAGTACTGTATTCATAGGACTGATCGCGCTCTGTTTTGTCTGGCTGCTCTTGCACCGCAGGCGACCAGCCGTTATCGAGAACTCCGAGACGCTGTCCCCACCCTTTTTAAGTATGGTACTTCTTCCTGAATCTGCTTTGATGAGGCTAACGAAATGATCCCGCAGCTGAATCCGTGACGGAAGATGCTTCGGTTACTGCTCACCGATATGGAAATTCACTATATACACTGACGAACGAGTCTTCAGAGAGTCAGTATCTGGGAGAAAAAGTAGAGAAGATATGACCACTTGATTATACTGACTCGGAGTAAGGACTATGCTATTCGCTGCGGCATTGATTTTGTAGTAGGTGTTAGGTATAGTTTATTAAATTTGGTGAAAATTTGGCTACTATCACTACTTATGTTGCGGCATCTTATTCATGGTCCACATTGTGATTGAACGCGTGTCAGGGGTACGAGTGTCTCGATTTAGTTACCGGGCCCGGGCGCCAGCTCGCACTTACCATTTGTATGGGCGTAATAGCGTGCAAAAATTCACGTAGGCGCAAGTCACGTTTTTCCGGTCGCAAGTTGGTTATTAGCCCCCAAGTTTGATTGTATCCTTCCGCAAGTTAGTATTTTTTTTTCCCGCAAGTTTGCTGTTAGCTATAGCTTCAGAATAAGTAATGCCTAGGTTGAAATATACAAATCTCTGCCCAGCTGTCAGGGTACCCGACATTGGTTATGAACCATAGCAACGCCAACATTCCGGGAAGGAATACGGTACCTACGGTCCTACGCTGTTCAGCCGGCCATGTCGCAAACCCCTTGAACCCTCTGGAATGTCGTTCTCAGTGCACCCCACTGAGCTCAATCTATCGCTGTCTGGCAGTCTTCCGAGAATTCAAATCTATAGGGGAGTGACTCCGAGTGATGAGTCAGTGGACTGTCTAGACTGAGAGGCTTTGAATCCAGAGATCAAACACCGAAGGGAAATGTATCTGAATCCATCACTTGAAAAAGCGATGGAGAAGTAGGTAAAGCAGATGAATAGGACGCTGAAGGAATTCGGGCCATTACGGCAATAGCGGAACGACTGGTGTCAAGCACCGAAATAATGTCGGCCGGTTCAGCTACCTCTTCCCGCTCTAAACTCACGCCGCCAGATCTTATTCAGAGATCTATGATAACAACTGATGCCGATGTGTATATCACTTTTAGGAAAACACTTGACTTGCGGGGGGAAGCGAACTTGCACACTCAAAAGTAACTTGCGACTGGAAAAAGATAACTTGCGTTTATCCGATTTTTTACACGCTATTACGCCCATACATTTGCCACCACCATCAATCGAACCAGGTGAAGTCTTTGTCACGAAGTAAACCAGATATTCCTTCTTTCATTGTCACCGTCTTATCAAGAAGACATCTCTGCTTCAGAGCGATATCATTCGCGCCTTTCTGGACGTTAAAAACACTTTTTTTCGTCGTTAACTGCTGATTATCACTACTACTTTTATATGCCAATGCTTCCAATGTAGGGGGCATTTTTCCTTCTTCGTTTGACTCGGAAGACGCTTTGCTTAATATTTGTGCAGAACTTCTCATTTGCATCAGCTAGTCGAATTTGACGGAGGTGCAATACCGTCATCTGTCCCATCGTTAGAACTGGGATCCGGCAGCCTCCTGTCCCAGGAAGAAATCCGCAGGTTGATTCAGGAAAATATAGACGCACTCGAAGAAGAAGCTATCAATATCGGGCAGGATATAGACTTCTTTCAATCACTGATCTCTCGTTTTCGTAGACGAGTGGATCAAAATCGTGACATCATCTCGTTTCAAAAGTGTCTCCTCGTCCCTTTACCGCCTCCCTCTGTCAAGGAGATTACCTTCCTAGCCGACACAGCGCCACCTCGGGTACCATATGCATCAGCTCCCATCTCTATTTTACCCGTGGAGATCATTGCCAGGATACTCCAAATTGCCACCGAAGTCGCGTCTAGAAAATCTTCCTACGACATCTTCAATGTAAAGAAATCCGCACCATGGACGTTTTCTCTGGTTTGTCGCGCCTGGCGGACCATAGTATCGTCGACTCCGGCCCTCTGGTGCCGCATAGATATCCTGGGAGATGAATACTCGGACCATTTCCCAAAAGCAAAGCGACGTCTACTCCGGAAGTATCTGCAACGATCCTCACAGCATCCGTTGGATATCACGATGGACATTTCCGTGATGGATAACTTCGAAAGACCACTGAAGTCATTGACACACCACACGCACCACTGGGGTATCCTCGATTTAACAATTACACCACATCGCTTCCGTAGTATGGCATCTTCTATCGGAGTGGCAAGCTTCCCAGTGTTGAAACGGCTGTTTCTATATGTACAAGACGCACGTCTAGTTAATATGTGGGCTGCCCCGTTGCCTGAATTACGGGACGGTCGCTTGGATGATCTCACCCCACCTATTGAACTGTTCCGCGACGCATATCAGTTGGAGGAAGTTATACTTCAAGGGGCTGGATTGTCCGAAGTTTTGCTGCCATTGCGACAGCTGAGGGTTTTCAATGGTGATATTGACCGCCCTTCAGAGGTTTCATGCCTTTTCCGTGGCGCTCACGATCTATATCAGGCTACGCTGAGAGTCAGGTTCGAAAACTGGGACGAGCAGTTGGAACCAGCGTTACACAAGAAACTTCATTGGCTCTTATTGCATACAAATACGGAATGTTTGAAACATTTACGTCTTCCAGCCTTGGAGCATTTGCAGGTGGAGAAAAACCATTACACACCTTGGCGAGACACTCATGTACTGGACACCGACGAGTTCCTATTAAATTCGCAGTGCCAGCTTCGAACACTTTTCCTCGAGGTGCCCGCTCTTCCTTTCGACCATCTCGTATCGATACTGGAAAGATGTTCTCCCACCCTGACGGCATTGTCTTTGTGCGTTCACTCAACCTGGGCATCGCGTTTTTACCGGCAACTAGATTATAACAGGTCGTTCTCATGCCTTGTACCGCATGTGAAGCACCTGTCTATCCGTGATGATTTCTACGTGCAGGGAATTCACCCGCATTATGCAACGGCGCCAGGCACCCACAACGACGAGCTCGTCGATGTAGTTGCCTCACGGAGAAATTCCGAGGCGAATCCAAATGAGGTCGCGCTTCTCAAATCTCTGACATTGTGTACGCCGTACACATTTGGGAAACCGCAGACTGTTATCTGTTCCTTGAATAGGTTTGAAGGATTGGCGGTGAAGCATTATGGATATGCAAAGCCGAAGAGACTGCCATCGCCACCCAATTCACGAAATAATTAACTATCGTACTTCATTTCCTGAATCTCGAAACTTTACTCCCTTAGTACCCTATCCCCATCTCAATTATGACGGCGGTTGAACTGAAAGTTTTTGAGGATGTTTTAGGTGATAAATATGACGGCACTCGATCCTCATCGAAACAATTTCTGGAGGACTGTCGATGAAGTTCTATGGATACGCAAAACGTGACCTAGGAGAAAAAGGAAGAGCGAAGGGTCCGACCAAGCCCGCTTCAGATACGAGCATATCAGAACGTATAGTCTGGTCGGGGTTACTTGAGATGGTCGCCTTGAAATCACCGTCACCAACTTGAAAATAACGGGAAAGTACTCAGCTCGAGAGTGTAGAGTTTCTTCCCCGACATTTCTGTTGACGGAATACACTGAGAGTGAAGCTCAAGAGTCTTCTCGGATAGTCAGCCCAGGTGAAAGGAATCTGTCGCCATTCGACTAATTTCCAGGCCACGACCGTCACCGTCGCATTCACGCATTCAACTTGCGCTAGTCAATCGCTTACCAAAAATGGGTCATATCGCCACGTGCTGTTGCTTAAACTAACTCTCACTGACACTTTGGTGGAGCGAGCTGCTCTATGCCGATTCTAAAGGGTGTCGCATTTTACTTTGTTAAGGTAGAGGGGTGACTATCGAAGCGAAGAATTCTACTCCAGAACTTCCTCGGTTTGGGGTCTCGCTGCGACTCTGGGTTGCGGAAACTTGCAATTTCTTTCTACTGCCAGCACCGCCAGGTTCCTTGAACGCGCCAGACGTGTTTGCTTTTCGCCTCTGATCTGGTTGTTCTGTGCCTGAGTATGCTGTAGATGCTTACTTTGAAGAGACGGGGTCCCGGATCGCTCATGACTGGTTCGGGAGCGTTCTGAATCCTTATCAGCTACAGGCGACGGTATCTATTTTCCTGAAAACTCACGACGCAAAAGATAATTGTCCTTGACACCAGTACCTTAAAAGCCGCTTTTCTTAAACATACTCTTTAGGCGACGGGCACCGGCTGATGGCGTGGGGAGCTCGATACACGTTCAGGGATCTCAGTGTAGGCTATCCGACGAAAACTAGTCTTGTCCAACGGTACTGGTCGCTCATTCTATTACCGCAATTAGACTATTATGCTCTGGTGACCGATACGCTTTCTTTCACTCTAAAAACATTTTATGTATACATTCCTGGAGAGAACGTACTTGTCGAAGTCGATCAGATGTCGGCCGTCTTTCTTCGACGCTCTCGGGCTATCTTCCGAGATGTCCGGGATTCAGCGTTTCATTCTTATACTTCTGAGGTTCTTCTTACCCCCCGGACCCCAGAGCCGACACGCATTTTCACTAACTACGCATTCTTTTCTATTGTCGTTAAAAGATCGTCTCGCACGGATCCTTTGGTACCCATGGGGTGTTTTATCTGTCATCAATCACTCGGTGATGGTGTCGGTTGTCCTTAATAAACAGAGAAGACACAATATCCCACCACATTCCCTTTCTTCCACGCCCACCATGCTGTGGCTACCGCTTCTTTTGGCTGCTACATTTTTTTCTGTATCGAGTCTTGATATTCTTGGCTTCATTAAAGGTGAGGTGCTCTGTGCTTATACATGGCGAAGCGGCTGCTGATTGGAATTGATAGCGCCACGGTTGTACTAAGGGATATAGACCGTTGTTCGACCCGTATTCGTTTCCTGGAAATGCTCTCCCAACAACCTGGTGGAATATAGGCTTTAGGTGGACCTGGCTTTATCGGCGTACCGGTATGTGTGTTGCTTCATCAGCAAGGGTTCATCTCTCTGAAGGACATTATTTAGCACACTTCGAGCATTCTTATGATTTGACTACGATTATACCTGTTTTCGGGAATCCGTATTATGTGGGAGCTTCTGCCGATATTGCCAAGCAGGTCTGGGGCAACGAATTGAAGACGAATCTGGCGAAGCCACAAGACTTCACGACCGAAAGGTGCGGAATAACTGTGAGAATGATATTATTATTGACATGCCTTTCATACAGAATATTTGGAGGTAGCATCGCTTCAGCTCACGGTACCGACTGGAGGAGGCATCGTCGAGCTGTGGCACCTTCGTTCAACACTGCAATGTAAGGAAACGAGAGTTGCGAAGCGCGCTTTGGCTAAGCTCACAACTTTCCATATAGGTACTCCACTGTCATCAAGGAATCAGGAGTGGTGTATCGCGATATGGTCTCCAAGGAAGCATGGGAAGAAAGAAATACCGTTGTAGTGACCGATATGGACAGGATACTCCACAGAGTAAGTTTAGGATTCACGAAATCCTTCAGTTAATTCTAACCGAGAACTAGTTCACGTTAGTTATGATCTATCGTTTGGAATGCCGGTAGAATGGACACGAGGAAACGACCACTCCGAGCTTACTACTTTTGATCGTGAATTTTCTGTTGCTGCTCGAACAATTATCTACCGCCTTATACTTCCCGACTGGGTGTGGAAATTGCCTATCCAAAGGTGAAGATAGCCATTTTCTTTCGCCGGGAACTTGTCACTGAATTATTTTCTGGCTGCCAGCCTTCGTGCTATCATGAAGTCATGGAAAAATGTACTATCTCTCATGACTAGCATCGCCGCTAGAAGAAAGGCAGAATTTTCAGCTGAAAAAGATTTCAGTGACGGTAATATACCGGACCTGTTGACGAAGCTGGTTACTGCAACTGATGGCACGAACAAATACGCGCTGGGACCTGTGGAGGTGGTGAGTTATCTTCCATCTTTTTCCGCGTTTTCAACTTAGTGAAACGTAGACGGCAAATATGATGTCCCTTCTTTTCGCCGGAAACGAAGTGTGTACGTTTTGTCTCTCGATAACAATATTTAATGTCCCAGGACTACGACAGAAACCACGAGCAGCCCCCTACTGTCAACTATCATGCTCCTAGCTCTTCACCCTGATGAGCAGGAGAAGGCGTACCAAGAAATCCTACGCGAAGCCCCGTCCAAGGAAGGCCTTGTGCGTGATAGTTCTCGGTCATCAAGTTCTCAGTATCATATTTCATTTCCTAGAGCTTTGGTATTGTTTCTGATCTCAAGCATCTCTTCGCGTGCTTCAATGAAGCCCATCGACTCGTCCGTGCGTCATCATTAACCTATGCGAATAGTTACAATGAATCTAAGCTGGGATTTTAGCCGTTACAATAAACTTGCCTCGGGTTACTACGGAGGATACACCTATCCACACCTCTCGCCCAGTGGAAAGGGATCATATCCTTCCGAAAGGATCTCGTGTTGTAATTGACATTGTGTTCGTCTGTAAGTTTTCTTGTGTCAATCTCAATACGAAGGTCGCTGATTTCACTGAAAGGACATAATCCGCGCGACTTTCCTGACCCAGAGAAGTAGATCCCTTCGAGGTGGTACGATGTAGCAGAGCATGACTTTCTCATGTTCGGCTTTGGGCCTAGAGCATGTGTATGCAGGAAATTTGCTCAGACTGAGGCCGTCTGTTTTCTTGCACATTTCTTGAGGGACTGGAAGACGGAAGTCGTCCTAGAAGCTGGAGAGACGGCGGCACAAGCATGGGATAGGATTGCTTCAGGTGCTACTCTACGTGGAACCGCGTTTTCGCTGGGGTCTGTGCCGTTCAAATTGGTCGCAAGAGACTCCGAGTCGAGTTAGTAATGTACTAACACGTTTGTCTTTTGTGTATGTAACCATTTGTGATGAAGACAGATTTTTTTGTTTCGTGGATGGCGGTATGATGAACGGATTTTGTTTTTCTTTCCTAAGCGCGAGACGGGTCGATGCCTCAAGTTCGACGTTGGCCGAGGCTCGAAGCGGCGGATCGACGTGGCTGTGCATTTCGCAAACATCTCCAAACTTTTACGACGCGTCAACGCGATTGGTCTGGACTCGGACTTGCTTCCTGCCATCATGGGCGACGATACAGCAAAGCCTGCCTCCTCATCCTTGTCTTCCCAGCAACATAGCATCGCCAACGCGAATGATATCGGCTCACAGCTGTGTCGAGCAGCGACTCCAGGGCCATCCGGTTAGATTACGGTATCCTGTCACTGACAACGATGGGATCATTCATCACGTTTTTTTTTCTTAGGGCCACCGGAACCATCACTAGGGACGCCCTCTGTTCCTGTATTCAACCAGAATGACGCTGGTAAGCGCGCTGAACCTGCATTTTCTTCAAAGCTAATTATTTGCTACTAGTCGCGTCGCATACAAGCACCCCGTTGAAGTCTTCACAGAAAGGAGTTTCAGCGACTCCGACGACTGCGAGACCGTTTCCCATGTCGCCGCCTTCCCAGTCCGTTATGTTGGAGCCAGACGAGCTCGAAGTGCCCCCTACTGTTGACGACGACGACGATGACCTACCATCAGTATCGCAGCTGTCGCAGCTGGTGGCAAGCACACGGCCTGGTTTCACCAAGGACGAAACTCCGGTACGTACATTCATTACTTGGTGCAATTCGCGTGCTGATTCCCTCTACAGGAACCATTCATCTCTGCTCCCTTTGCCTCCACGCCCAAACGCTCTCAATCCCAGAGGTCGCCCATCAAAGTTCCACTGAAACCTTCGCCTGAAATAATTTCTATCTCATCTTCCCCTGCTAGTCCTCCCAAAAGTCTTAGCCAGACCAACAAGCCAGGATCCCAGAAGCGCAAACAAGACGATGGCGATCGTAGTATTACTGCTTCTGAGCAATCTGCGAAGAAGCAGAAAGTCAAAGCTGCTAGGCGCCCGACTACGTATAAACACCAGGTTCACTGGGAGTTGGACGGAAATGTCGTGATTAGGATCAAGAAGACGCTTTTCAGACTGCATCGGAGCGTAGTGAGGCATAGCGAATGGTTGTCTAAGCGGTTCGAGGCGGAGCCGAACGGTTTTGAGGGTAAAGATCCGATATATAATGTCGAAGAGGAAGATGGGGTCGCGGTGGAAGACTTTGAGGTTCTCTTGGACGCGATGGATGACGCTATGTATGTCCTCTTGCCTTTCCTCTGTTCGTCGCTGACAGCTCCCTAGCACCTACTTCTATAACCCTCCTGACTTTTTCACTGTCGCTTCTATCTATCGCGCCTCCAATGCACTCTCCTTCCCTCGCTTCCGAGACTGGGCGACACGATACCTCGAAGAAATGTGGCCTTCCTCCCTGTCTAAAGTAACCATTAATCCAATCAGCCATGCTTCCGCCGCCGTCATACTTGCGCGCGAATGCGGCCTCAAGAGTATCCGCAAACGAGCGTTGTACGAACTCGTGCGCCTCGCTGGGTTCGGCCAAGACGATTCAGACGACGAGCCAGACGAACCTAGGTCCAGGAGATCCCGCGCTACGATCTCTTCATCCGACTACAGGCATCTGGTTCGCGCTCGGGAGATGCTCACCTCCGCATGGACCACCCGGATTGCTACTGCCACTTTTGGCATCGAGGGTAGGTGTGTCTTCGGGAATCTGAGGTGTACGGCTACGAATGTGAGCTTGGTTGCCTCGAGGCACCAGGAGATGGTCGGTTCGTCGGGGTTGTTCGAAATGTATTTGAGGGACCCGATTTGTGGGACTCAGGCGCTGATGGAGTTGGATTGGGCCAAGGTGGGGTATTGCAAAGCCTGTGTGGATCAGAGGATTGTGGTGTGGACGAAGGCGAGGGAGAGGATGTGGGAGGATTTGGATATTTGGTTGGGGCTGGATAAGTGCTGATGCGGGTGGGCAATAAGAGGTAATGAACCTTTAGGTTTAAATATGGTGCATGCACGTTTAGATTCTTGTTATATTGCCATGGTACGATACTTGTAGGTAATTAACAACTTTGTGGACGTTATGCAGTGCATAAATGTATAAATAAATCTCAGTATCAGACTTTTCAAGTCCCTCTTAGCTCAGTTGGTAGAGCGCGTCACTAGTAGGTGCTATGACGAGGTCAGTCGTTCAAGTCGGCTAGAGGGAATTGTATTTCCAACGAAACTTCAACCTTTGTAGAATGTATTTTTTTTCAATCGTTCATCTGAGATCTCAACAGATTCATATTGTACAATGTATATATTGAGCCCTGAATATGCATCCAGCACACTGCGACACCGTTTTTGCCGCACGGCGGCCTCATATGATTCATGACCTCTTAGATGAGCCATGGTTTCAAATGAGTGCATCCTGATTCCTCTCATACTGTTTATAATTTTTACTTTATGCCTTCTTGCGGGTCAGTCATTGAGCCAACGAAATAGATTAGACGCAGCAGGTCTCTCTACTTATCGTCTTTGGTCCACAAACTCTATATGGCCCAAGGGAATCTTCCCACGTCGCAACTTGATTCTGACTTAAATGATTCAAGTGACGTCTCAAAGTTCTGTGAATCACAGCTTGACGGGAAGCGAAGTTTGTGGTCTTGGCATTCACACCCTCTGACAGCGTCTAAATTTTTATAAGTACATGTATACCTGGAGATCTGGTATTTATATGCGCCCCTTCTTTTGACGGTGTTGATTAGCGCCGATTCCGTTACGCGTCCTCTCCCTCGAGGCATCCTCCGTTATTGCGTCTGGATTCGGACAGCGATGAATTCGGAAAGAAGGCAACGCCACAGCGGTCCGGACTCCGAGCTCGGTACATCGTCCGCGGACAAGCTGACCTCGCTGAACAGGGACGGTTGCGGGAACATTCCTGAACCCTGTGTCGACGTGCAGCGCCCAAAGGTTACTGAATAGCCTGAGGCTACCTGAATGATGGAGCAGTGACGCCACAGAGCAAGACCAGAGAATGGCTAGATTGAGGCTAGATTGCATATATGTTGTTTATCTGCAGAAAAAAGAGGTCCAGGTCCTTCATGAGTGGCTAGAAAGAAAGTGGTGTCACTGATAACTTGAACTCTACTCTTTTTTTCTTCCTCGACGAGGACAATACAGATAGGACCCGCCTCGGTACAAAGTGGACGTTGGTCACCAGACCCACGTCAGCGTCATTTGACTCCACCTCGGATAACACGTGAAATTACCCATTTCATAATCGACTCGTTTATATTACCAGGTCTTGTCTTGCCCTCACATCCATTCCTCCAACAACAATAATGCTGAGACCACGTCCACAACCAATCCCCCTTCCCTTCCACTTTGAGCCAGACAATAACAACGGCCGCTATTATGAAGACGATGATGGTCGGTTTCTTTTCCCCCACTCCTTGCTGCTACCCACGCTGACGAACGATGCCCCGTCCTCGCCCATCGCCCCTTTTCATTCTCCCGTCTATAGATGAGACGCCTGAATACCGCTTGAATCTTGGTGCAGAAACTCCGGGAGAGATGACGCCTTCGATATCCTCATACCCCTTCGCGTGGGAGAGGACGGGCTCGAGGACCCCCGTACGAAGACGGTCCATATCCAGCTTGCGGAGGAGCAGCAGGACGAGGAAGGATGCCGTAGACAGGGACTGTGGCATTTGGTATGTTGCCAGATCATGATATTTCTCGCTCCAATATCTAACCCAGTTCACTAGCTTCGAAAGCGCTGTAGTCCCCTGTCGAACCCTGTGCTGTTCAAAACTGTTTTGCCTAGAGCACATTGCTGATGTACGTGGCCTACTAGTTGCTGTCTACTTTCTGCTCATCCCAAGGCTAGTGGCTACACGGTTCACGCTCCGACGGACGTTGCCCATCATGCAAAACCCGTTGTACCCTCAAAAAAGATACCATTCTCCTCCCCGTACCCCATCTACACTCTCCTATACCCCCGACACCCCCTCCAAGTCTTCGTCTCCGACCTAGAAGCCCGTCGACATCCGAATCTGAGACCTCGGATGCGGGATCGGAGCAGAGCGAGGACTCCGATGCCGACCACGGCTACCAGACTGACACCCTTGATCTTTCGGGGACCAAGGTTGCCAGCAAGATTTTAAGCATCGTCGGATTGACGCTCGTTTTCTATGTTTTGTTGACTTGACCTCTCTACACCCCACTCCTATAATTTCCTTTCCAGCATCATTTTCTCACTTTTTCTCACTAGCCGTGGCATCTTTTCAACCTTCTAATGTTGTTTTGGTATACGTCTGTCATTTGTTGCATCATGTAATACTACCAAGGGATTGAATGAACACATGTACGAATACAACATGACCTCTCGGAACATCATCTTCGCAAGGTCACTGGCGAGGGTGAATTGCATTTGCACCTATCACCGCCGACCATGAGGAAAACACCGTCAGCTGGTCTGCTGGCACAGACATAGATATCGAGAAGCACGACAACGTTAATCAGAGCAGCAGACCGAGAGATGGTGATGGAGCCAAGCATACCATCATCACATGTCCAAATGCTGCAAAGACTGTATATAGCACCTCCGCCCGAAAGCAACGACCCACCGAGGGTTACAAGATGAAAAGAAGGCGGGACAGGACGTTCGTAAAGTTTCAGGCGTTAACGGAGACGAGAATAACGAGACCCAATTGAAAAGCGCGCAGCTAGCTGATAAGGGAGAAGATCAGAAGCAGGGACCTGGGTAGTTTTCGCGTACAAGATCTTTTTTCATCAACACACATGATGGTCGATCAGTTCACAGTTCCGTCGTACGCAAAAATCCGGCAGGCAATTGCTCGGAAGGAAGTACTTTGGAGAAACTGGGGAATCGGACTCGGGTTCAGATTCGGATAGACGGGTTGGGCATACATAGAACTAGGACTAGTACTAGTTTGATCGTGGATGTGGATGCATATATCCACTTTTTCTCGTTGATGAGTGACGTGTACGCGCAAAGAGGATATTTTTAGTGCAGTGTAATGCTGCGACTTTTTTTCCAAGTGGGAGTGCATGTGAAAGGAGAGAGCATTTTTTGTCCGAGAATAAAGAGAATCGATGATTGTGTCTCTGGATTTCGCTCAAGTAAAGGGAAGAGCTAAATGCAGATGAATACACCGTATATTGGAGAAATCGGGGACTCGGACTCGGACTCGGATAGGCAAGTTAGGCTTGGGTATGTACATGCATAGAACCAGTTTAGTCTTGTGGATGTGGATGTATATATCCACATTTGTTCGTTGATGTAACGGGCCGGTAGCTGTGAGTGACGTGTACGCGCATACGCATGAGGACATTTTTAGTCCAGTGTAATGCTGCGACTCTTTTGAAGCGGAAGAGCAAGTTGCGTGTCCGGGAAGAGTTAATTTATAAGCAAAATATTGTCAGCGTTTTGAAGGAGAGAGATAAGTGCAGATCTGCCAGATGAGTACACATACAATCCGAATATAGGAAGTGAGCGCATGTTCTCGTGTCTGTTGGCCCTATTGGAGAGGGTTTGAGAGATAACGGATCTTTGCAGAGAGGTGCATGGGAACGAACAAGGCCCGAGGTATAGCTTCAGAATTGGGTGAAAGATTCAAATGGAGCCAGTCGAGAGCTTGTTTCGATCCAGCATAGGACTGAATAGGACGAACTGATTAGCGAGTGGCCTATATGCAAGCGGGTAAGAAGGAGAGTAACGAAGAAGAGACACCATGAAAGGCTCAGTATAAAGTAACATGAGTTTGGTGAGCCTGGGTGCCGCGCTATAATATGTAGATGGTTAGAACAAGACTGAAAATCGGATGCCAAGGAACCCGGGCATGCTAGTTGTGTTTAAGTGAAAGCATTTGGTAAGATACGAAGTGGCGAGAATTTGAAATGAAGAGCGCGACCATCACGTGTAAATCACGTGCTAGTGAACGCACCCGACGTTAAATAATAAATTTAAACTCCAGTCACTTCCAAACATCAGTACTCCGCTTCTTAGCTTCCCTACCACTTTTGTGCACTAGCCAGTGATATATGGATTTCCTGCACTGTACCCTGAAAACAAGCTCTCGACGAACGGCGCTACAACGCCAACTTGAAAAGGATTGATTCTCACCTTATCCCCGTATAAAAACTTTGGGAGGACCTTCACGCCGATAGCTACGTGCTTATCCCTATCAAAGCCTTTAAAAACGACCGGACCAAATTCACAAACGTCTCACAGCTGCATATGTCTGCAATCTACGTACCGCTCCTTTGATCACTTCGAACATGCCCAAATACTGGACTCAAGGATAACGAGACAACCATGAACTTGAATTTTCTTAGACTAGAAGACTTTGCGGCCTCTGGCACCTCTCCACCTTCGCTTATATGTTCCAGTACACCCTGCCATGCTCAACACGCGTCCACATTTCCAGTCCTTCGTGTTAGAATTGCGGAGTCTCTCTCAAAGGAAGTGAGTGGTAAAATGGATTACATACTGTGACGTAGGGACTAACTACGAAATTTACAGCCTTATATACTGCGAAATCCCCGCGGAAAGGAACAAACACATGAATGAATCCATACGAGAAAGCGACTGTCAGTGACTTAGACGCTCTAAATCTCATAATTCGATGCATCAGGTATTGAGCTTCAACATATGGCCGGGGTCAGCCGATTCTCTTCGAAAGTCAATGTCAACCTCCAGGAATATAGCTCAAGAACTTTTGCTTTCGTATTATAGTAGCCCGCTAGTATCTATCGTGTACTGCCCGTATCATGGAAACCTCCGTGCTGGTTCCAATCTGGTCAACTATCTAGAAACACGATGCTGGGGATATCACAATAGTGATTGATGCCGCGGTGCATTGAGGCACAGCTAGACGCTCTCGGGATACCTCCTCGTTGGTGGCGTTGAGCACGAGCATGATTTCAGCCGTCGAAGAGATGTGTGGGGGAAGACTTCCGGCGCTTTACGGCTCGCCGTTCGGTATGGCTTCGAGTTTCTTTATTCAGGTTATGAGCCAGAGCCAGATCTGTGCAGTCAATCGACGGTTACAAAAATCAATTATAAGATTCAACAGACTAGATGAGGTCTTTGTGGGGTAGCGTTGATGAATATATACCACATCAAGTGGATAACAACGTTGAAACGGGTATATATCTCACAATTGTAGATAAGGCTGATCAGAAAGCCGAAGTTGCGTGTGAAATATACATCTGTAAATGACCAGAGCTGAGACAAACAACACGGTCATCCATCAAGCAGCGTTGACAGTATATTGATAAAAATCATTGTCGTAAAATAAGTAGTTCTCATTTTCTGGCATAGGTCGGTACAAATTCAAGAATTCAAGACAGTATCATAGTGTTTCAAGTCTGTATTCATATCAGTTGTATCACTCGAAGGAAAGCAACGCGACACTTGCCATTAGTCGGTTTCGTTTCGGGTCTTTTGACAACGGCTACCTAAAGACGGCTAATCCTTAGAGATTGGCTTCGGCGTCTCAGAGGTGCCTCCGTTCGGGCCATTGCAGTTGCACCTACATGTTGTCATCTTACCACGAAAATGGCGCAAGCAGAAAGTAACATACGAGCTGCTGCAGTTGCAATAGCTGGCGGGGACAAAATCGGTGGTGTTCTAGATAGGTCGTGGGTTAGACGCATGAGAGTAGTCGATGAGATCAAGGCGTACCAACATATTAGAATGGTGGGGTGTTGGCCTCGAAAAAATGCCTAGGTGGACTATTTATCTGTACATGCTAAGCGCGCTAATGGAACGTAATTGTCCACCTGGACAGTGAGACACGGAATATAGCACTCACCGGGACTAAAGCGTTGAGGCAGATGAATACAGAAGAGACGCCTGTGAGGACGTGCTTCATGTCAAGTTCCCGGAACTTATTATCCGGCATGCTGCACTTGGGAGTTTCGAGCTGATAATAAACGGCTTTGGATTGGAGAGACCAGACGTGCAATACAGATGAGGCGCCTATTGATATTGTTTTCATCTTTGATGAAAACCTCATTACTGAAGGAGCGGACGAGCGAATACAGAACAGACGCCCCCGAGTACGTCATTCATTTCCGTGAACAGCGAAGTACACTGTACCTGCGAACAGTGGGAGCTGATGGAAAACTGTGCTGGGATTGGGTGGTCAGATAAATCTATACAGAACAGACGCCCCAAAGTGCAGGTGTGATTCACCAAGGTTTACATGCTTGATCCTGGAATATGGTACTCGTAGACCATACATTCCACAAGAATAGAGAAACTCGCGGGCCGCAGTCGATTACAGAAGAGCGCTACGCGCGTCAAGGTTTGAAGCTCAAAACAGACATACGAGGAATCGCGTTGGTATTGAAAAATACCGACCTGGCTGAGCTAGTAGCCGCCATAAACTGTGGACATAGACAAGATGACACTTCGAGAAATGATTGAGAGACTGAATGGTTGATTACAAGGGAAGAGAAACCGGAAGAGCCAGGGTTTCAATACCACCGGGCTACACACGTACGCGGGATCAATCGGCGAGTTCTGCTTGACGCCTGGAAATTTAGCTGCCCAGGTGACAACCTAATCATAGTTTATTTAGTACTTCAAGCCCAATAAACTGGGAATGAAGATGAACGAACACACCTCATTGCCTTTGCCTAAATACAAGCACCAGCCTTATCGCCTAACCTTACTGTGTCATTTCGTTCTGTGTATCCCATCTGAGGTGAGAAGTGAGGCAAAGACAACAGTTCTTCTCCGGGCTATGTAGTGGTCCTAGCATAGCTACAGCTCAAACTGCTAACATCCACGCTAGAGCCGTAGGCGAGATAATCCAGGGTTTCATGGATCTCCATGAGAATTTATTTCAGTGGCGGTGGCGAGGAATATATCCAAAAACATACAACTCTGTCACGTCCGTTTTCTGCGTGGACCAATGTACGGTAACTCCAACTATGACTTGCATATGGAATCGAACACAGTGTGTCCGTCAAACCCTCAGCGGCATTTGCCGACTCGGAGCGACCACCAACCACCATCTCTTTTCTGTTCCACCTCAAACCACTGTTTGCTGGTACTTCTCATTACTTTATGTATGACATACTATCTAACCTGAGCTTAGTATCGATAGCGGTTGGGTTCGAGGATTTCTGGAGGAAATTTGCCAGGTCATGACTAAACGTAGGTCTACTACGGGTGTGTGTTTATTCTAGTGCGTGTTTAAGTGCTGTTATGTGTCTAGCGTTTCTAAAATACCTCTAGTATATGCCTGTGTTGTTCTGTGCTATCCAGCGCAAAGTCGGTACGAGGGGCATCTCGAGGATATCAAACCCAACGCAAGTCTTTCGTGATCCCGAACGCTTGCCCCTTTCTCTTCCCATCCTTTCCCCATTTTTCTTCTAGAAAATTCGTCATATACTCGTAGATCCCTTTCGTGCCTCCCCATCGGCTCATCGAGTGATCACTATCGGCGTGTCAAGTCGAGTCTGATATCATATCACGACGGAACGCACCTATCAGGAAACGTCATGAATCTGGCGCTTTTTATACCCTCGGCGGCGAGCATTGACTGTAGACGCATAGAATTCCCGACATGCACATTATCGTCGGCGCTCCCATGTGCTAAGAGATAATCCACTCCATGCCATCCCTTAACGTTCGATATCGAGGCATTCGCGTAGCCTTCCGGGTTAGATGATAGCTCGTTCATGAAACGCTCCGTCCAGATGGAACCTAGCGACGTTCAAACTTATGAATAAAGCGAGGGATTAGACTTACTGTATAACCGCCAATCCGTCACAGGCTACAAATCCCAAGCTATCAGTATCACAAAGTTTTTTCAAGCAAAGAGACCGTACAGCAATGGACATCGCCAATGTGTGTACTCCAGCATTCGCTTCTATGACTTTAGCACTCAAGAAACCCCCATAGGACTTGCGTCAATCAGCATTGCATCACTAGATAGTCGATTGGCTCACCCATCCACAAATTCCGATTCTTCTCGGATCAACATACTTCTTCATCGCCCATATCTTTGCAGCTGCAATCTGATCCTCTGTTTCCCACCGCCCCAAACGCCCTTTAACCACGTTTCTCATTGCCCTTCCCTTTGCACCTGTGCCTCGTCCATCTACAATGACTACCACATACCTCATTGTGCACGCTAGATACTCATTCCAGCCTCTCTCGAACTTCTTATGCACCGACTGACTATCGGGACCACCATAAACGTGAAAAAGAACGGCATACTTTGTTTCTCCGGACTCGTCCATGTTCGGTGGCCGGAATTCTTTGACGTTCATTTCTAAACGGATGTCATAAAGAAAATAAAGTACGATACGAGAAGGAATATGCGAACCATAGCCATCAACCTCGATCTTCGAGTGCAGAACTGTTGGTGCCTCGTAGAGCCTTATTACATTCTTCAGGTCGTCGTTTTGCTCTGTCACAAAGCCAAACCCTGCATGCGAAGAATGAGCGAGCGAAACGACATAGAATAGCGGCAGCCACACACCAGTCTCATCCGATTTGACGATTTTCTGCCATGGAACATCTGGACCATGGTACTTCAGCAAGTACCACCCAGCCTTTGGTGAGAAATCTGCAGAATAATGTGCCGGAGTGGTCGTATCGGTCAATGCCTTGATCTTACCGCCACTCTGTCGGTTGGTCGGTAAAGATACACTATAGACATTTCTGTCTGTACTCGAAGGAGATGTGGCTGTGAAGAAGCTAAACATTCCGGAAATTTCATCCAGTTAGACGGGAAAGAATGACACAAAGAGACACGGCGTACACAACACCACGTTTAACATCGACACCGTTAATTCCGTCCATGACTTCCCATTCGCCTCCTGTTAACCACACCGGCTCTGACGCATTCGCAGGGTCAAACAGCGCAATGTGGTTCCATCCGTCTTTGTTAGGAACTATGTCCAGATATGCTGATCCACTCGAATCTATCGACCAATCTGATGGTAGGCGATAGGCATCCTGGGACTGGTCCTCAAATGAGCATGGCGTGAAGCTTGAAGGTTTACGTGGTTGGAAACATACCGACTTGATCCATCCGTTGTCTCCCTCCTCGCCGCCCCTCCCCAGTTTTCTCACAATTTGACCTTCCATTTGTGATCCCTCTGTCAAGTCAAATAGCACTACCCTTCCCTCATCCGCACTCCTATTAACGAATTTCACCAACAGCATCTCTTCTCCGACCCAAGCCACCTCTTGCACCACGCCGCTGCCTTCCGAAACTAGATCCAACTCTTGGCTTAGCCTTGTTGCGGCATCCCAGACCCATAGCTGCACCCGTGGATTTGGAAAACCCGGCTTGGGATAGTGAATTCCAACTTGCTTAGGGTATGGCAACGAGGCCGTCGGGTCTTCCGTAGGATTGTTCACCGGGAATGTATAGACGGGTACATCTGTCTCGTCGAACGACAAATACGCGAGCTTTGACGATGTAGGTGACCACCACAAAGCATGGCCTGAGGAAAATATCGCCTCTTCGTATGCCCAGTCCGGGATACCGTTGAATAATGTTGTAGAGCCTGTCGATGTCAGGCGGACGGGGGTGGTCTCGGCTCTATGAAGCAGTAATTGAGTTGACCAGACATAGATGGCAAAGGCCCAAGGGACGTACCCAGGAGAAGGAAGAATATACACGTCATTTGACTTGACAAATGCTATGGAGTGTCCTGTCGGCGACCACGTTGCATAGGAGGTTTGGGGATCGGTATGGTCGGGAGGTACCAGTGGCCAGGTGGAGTTATCATCGCGGGAATGGATGTAGTAATTTCCAAGACTTGATCTGCGCCCTCGCTAACTCAAGGCCATTAGGTTAACCATTGGTCCAGTATGAGTGAAACGCACCTTTCGATAATCCGTTTGGATCAGCAGATACTTCATGTCGGAGGACAAGCGTATGCCATAGAAAGCGAGCTTCTCTTGCCCGAATTCCTTTGTATGTCGTCAGTCGATCCGCAAGAGAGCCCTCGTCACGTACATCTCTTATGCTCTTCAGTCGAACCAATGCAGTACTCGCGTTCGTATTCAGATCAACTGCTTTGATTTCCCCTTGATCCAATATCAAGAACACGCCGTCGTCTGTGTTTGGCGGAAACAGGGCCAGGAGAGGGTAAATGGTAAGCGTTTGACATTAGTCTTGTTTGATATACGTATACATACCTTCTTGATCAGACGCCCAGGAGTACCAACTCCATTGGTTTACCACGGCAAACGTGCCGTCGAAGATGTTATCGAGAGAAGGTTTACGAAGCGGCTCAATTATATTGGTGTCGTCACCTCCATCTATAGCTGTCGAACTATATATTTGAAGAGCAGCGACGTACGCGTTGTTGTTCCTCAGCCTTATGAGCCTGAGCAGGACCACGATCGTGATAATTGCAAGGATGCACTGTAAGAGGAGGGGATGGTGGTGGTCTGCATATAACTCGGAGTACGAAATCTTTCTGTTCTCTCTCTCCTCCGAAGAGTTGGATTCTAAAAGCGCAATACCGTTACTGAATTGATGTAGTCGTTTAGCGCCGTCATCACCTACTAGGTTCTTGTTGTGATAGCCGCTCTTGGGGTGTCGACATCTTCCTACTAGCCGGCCGTCCGGATCTCTATTGAGAGTCAGTTGCCGCACGGTCCTGTTTCTATTGACTCTCGTTGCACGGCGATGGAGTCACTGAGGATCTAGGACGTAGGATAGCGGAGAGGTCGGTCAAGGCAGCGATGGCTGCGGTACCGCTCCGTCCGTGTCCGGCCAGCTTATTGTGTTTAACGGATTTAAATGGAAAGGTGTAACGGCTTAACATTGCCGTCTCGTAGCCCTACTATTTCCCTATCGTCGCGCGACGTACTTTATAATCCCTCACAAAGTACGATGTACTGCTGAGACTGATGCCAAGTTAGAGGAGGCAAAGAGAACGGTTAAGCAGGTAGCTCGATGAAGGAGATATCCATTTCAACGACATAAAACTTGTAGCATACCAGATGAGTAGGCCCGATGTCAGGGTGCAGGCGAGGAGCACCAAATATCCACACACTTCCGTGAATGCTTGCAGAAATGCGAGGCACATTGCCATGGATGTGCTATCCGTCGCTTTTGAGGCGGGGAATGCCTCGTGTCTTCCACCTGAGAGTTTTGATAATCATACTTCAGTCACGCCCATTTCCCCCTCAGTCAAAAGCATCGTTTCCATCCAGCATAGTATTATTCAATCGTGTTGCAACGTACATATCTCCCCTGGGGAGACCAAGAAGGATTGTTTATCGCTATATGACCGACAGCGCCCTCAAACACTCCGTCAATGGCAAGCCGAAGAAACGGCATAACGGAAACACCCTCTTCCATCGCCCAAAGAACAACAGCAACCGTACTGGAGAAAAGGGTCCTTATGAGCAGTCCTTACTTATCATCAGGCAAAACAGCTTACTTTTCTCCATGGTAATCCAGTATCCCTTCCTGTACAGGGAACTTACTCTGCGGCCTACAAACAATTTTAATCAAAAAAGAATTAGCGTTCTAGATAGATACACGTACCCAAGATTGCCGACTCTCTTTCCCATCATCCATCCATTCACAAATAGATACACCCGATACGGTTGGCCAAGAGGCTCGTCGAATACAAACGAGATAGGCACGTCATAGCCTGCCGGCATATCCAGCTCAAACGTCGTCACAAAGAACCCAACTCCGGCTGCCGAGTCTGGCAGGCCACTGGAAAGAGCCCTGAACTCCCACGACGACGTGTCAAACCCGGGAAGGTGCCACCCCACCCGTTCTCCGAAAAGGCCTCCCTCATTGAAAATTCCACGGACTTTATCGGGGAAGCTGCAGAAGGAAACTACTCGTTAGACAGATATAGCAGCGAAGGCAATAGAGCGTACTTGGTATATCCTCCAATTTTTCCCTGAACTTTCCAGTCTGAAAAAGTGCCGTTGTTCAGCTGAAAGCCCCGGATGCCACGTGGTCCTTTCGAACTGTCGGGGTTGGCTAACGATGGACGTCAGTAGATTATAGAATCAAACGGGAAAGCAGCTTACAACCCTCGGTCTCATTCAAGCCCATATTGTCCTGTGTAGCATCGACGTGAGTGACGAAACCGAGAAACGAGTGGAAGCGCCGACCTGAACAATCGTAATAACGTTATCTTGACCAGGAATAAGTGACCCTTCAGGAAACACAAAGACATCGTCCGTCTCTTCCAAGATGTTGAGATTGTTCGTCGAACTGGGGGAACCGAAACTTGAGCGGGACCAAGGAAAATGAAAGGCAGAATCACGCACTTCCCGTAGGATGTATTCAAGAACACATCATTGAGCCAGACACTCGCGGCAAAGGCTATCAATGCTTCGTCAGCGGTAATCATCTATCACCAAGAAATGATCAACCTTCTCCTCCATTGATCGACAGATTCACGCTCTTTTCTGCACTGCTTGCAATAAAATGGCCTCTCCACAAGACAATATTCTCACAACTATACCAAGGCGAGATGTCAGACCAAAGAGTTTCGGGAGGGAGGAGGAAAAGCAACATACAATCCATAATCACAACCATACAGCACCCTACCATCACCATAGTACGGCTTGAGAGGGATATTGGTTGACGTATGGTTCGCCACAGCCCATGTCCCCATCATCGAAATGTCGTCCAATCTCGGGTAAGCTATCTTTATACTTCCAGCCCTTCAGTTCCGGCACTTTAATACCATTAAAAGATGTCCCGAGCTCCAGGCGCCCGACAAATCCGCCGACGGACGTCAAGCCCGCTGCAGCAATGGCATCACCAGAAATAAGCTCCCCGTTCCAGCTGATACACCGGATGTTCCTAGGCGCGATGACTGTCAATCTTGCGCCTTCACTGAGATCGCCTCTCAAAGTCAACTCTGTTCCCGTTATACTCGCCGAGCGGACCAGATACGGACCTCCAACGAGAATGGACGTGTTGGTGCCAAGACCCCAAAAGTTCCTCAGAGGATCGGCTTCGTCGCCTGCGATGACTGGAGACCAAAAAGTCGCTGCCGTCTCTGTATCACCGAAGAGCACAAGCTGCGTGTCAGAATCATACAGGGTCACCAGCCCTTCGATTCCAGGAAGGAAGGAAAGGATGGTAGCTCCTTTGGACCTCGATTCACTGGACACGAATGGTGACCTCAGGTGCAGCGGATTGGGGAATCCCGGTAAAGATAGATGGCCGCTTCATGTCCCTGGGATGAGTCACCGTATAGGAATAGAACGTCGCGGTCATCAATAACACCGGCAAAGAATATTTGCGCCGTGGAATATTGAACTTTTGATGAGCCGAAAGTGTAATCAGTGACGATGACCTTTGATTGACGTCCTCCAAGTGTTATTGCGGATGCGACTTGGGGTATCTGCAGTTCTCCTTCAACGGTCGCCACCGTCAGTTTGAAGTTGGTATTGGCGCTGCAAAAGGATCAATTAATGCCAAGGCCTGGAAAGGGTAAACGAACGTCGAAGAAGAGTCATTGTGCCTAGCGATGTAGAAACCCGCTTTTGTATCAGGGTTGACTAGCAACGTTATAAACACATCTGGAGACGTGGATATGTCAAGGCCGGTAGATGTATCAGCCACGCGATCAGTCTTGTAGAAGCTTGGCGAGCTCCTTATGAAGAAGCTCTGTAGCTTCAGCTCGTCGTATTTGGATGTCAGTGTTCGGTCCTCACTGATCTGAAAACTAATTAGCGAAAGAAGATCTTCGCATTTCTAGGGACGCCTACAGCCGAACCATAGTCATATGAAGTATAGACCTTGGATCAAAACATATGTTATGATGGAGTCGACATGAGAGCTGACAGAAATACCCCACTGTGAGAAATTGATCAGAATGATAATCGCTCCGAGGAAGAAGACCACTACTCACGGGAATGGGATGGCTCCCCATGATGTGCCACTACGAAGATCATGTCAGGCTCAAATCTATAAGTCGAACGGAAGAGGCAGCATACCCATATAGCATGTAATAGTTGATCAATTTTGCGTTGCTAGCCCACAGTTGGCGATTGAAGACCGACATGAAATCCGGCCCGGTAAGGACAGCACACGGACCAGTATCCTATCCTGGGGCTAAACTTCACAACATCGGTACAGGGACAAAAGCAATTACCGGGCGCAGAAGGACCCCACGCATCGTAGGACCCTGCTTGAAACTCTGTGCTTCTTGAGCGAAGAGGACAGCCTTCAGAAACAGGAAGACATACCGGGAATATACCATGGCTGAGACGGATTGACTGACATGTGGATAATCGTGATAAGTTTGAGGAACTGGGTTCCAGACTAAGGGATTCGAACAATCAAACCTCTGTGGATACCCGTCCAATCCATAAAGGTCCACAGCACCCTGGGAGAAGGACGTTACTTGCAGAGAGTACACATAGCTGGCGTGTACGTACAGTGCCATTTATAAAATTCGAACGTGGTCCAGGATCGTTGTATGTCAGAGGTACGACAATGGGTGAATTATGATACACCGCTTTGAGGTCCTCAAAATATTCACCGCCGAGCCATTGCTCATATTCATTATCTATAAGGGTATTAGCAGGAGAGATTCTATATATCGTTACCTGGCTTACCAAGCTGTATAGCTACAAACAGTCATTAAGAGGCAGAACAAGTGGCGTCAATCGTAAATGAAGTACTGACCGATTATAGGTCCACCTTGAGTGATCTGGTATGGGGCTGATTCTTCAATAATACCTTTGATATATCCGGTCCATGCATCTTTCCAATTCGGTCGCATTAGTTCGCAGCACTCCAGACTACTTCCTGACGTGGCCCAATGAGCTATTCCGCCTGCCGTCGTTTCAGCGTTGATGTACTATGTCGGTTGTGAGCATTAAGGCATCTGTTGGGAGCCACAAATCCCTCGGCCCCGAAAAGTAGACCGGAAGATGCCCCCACCGTTCATAGTGCCAGAAATGGGACACGACGAAGACATCTCCCGGTTTACATTTCGAAAACGAATGACGCGTGAACGTTAAGAGGATTACGCACAGGTCCTTGAGGCATATTAGTCAAACGATACGTATATATCCAGCAACGTACCAGGACGAAGTACAACCCAGAGCCCTGCCTCGAGTGCTGCCTCGTAAAATGGCTTTAACGCGCGCCAGTCATCAAAGTCCAATACATCTCGGGATGGATTGATGATCCCCATATGGGTGTACAGGCTGACGGCATTCAAGCCTGCTGCCTTGAACTTTTGCATGATGTCTGGCCAGAGAGAAGGTACAGGGAGCCGAAACGTATGGAATTCACCGGAGCTATGTTGACGCGTCAAGAAACGAACAAAGGTGAAAGAAAGCGGCGCACTGAAGGAACACTCTTTGCCCTCTCAGCAATAGACTGTGCTTATCATATGCGACCTGTTCTGTCTTCCATTTCTGCGCCTCAATGTCGTGGGTGACATCCTTGAGAAAGGCCGGACTGCTACAGGTAGCCTGGGGTGCCGTGACTCTGCTTGGCGAAAGAAGACATCGCTGGGCGCCGAAAATGACGACTACGACAATGAATACGAAAAGAAAGAGGTCCGCTGGTGTCCTACGAGTATTGGGAGTACCTCTGCCGGGTGCCCTTCATGATGGTAGGGCAGGAGGTAGTGGTACGTCGCGTACGAACGTCATGGCAGAGAAGGAGAGAAGGCTGATGAGACGGGTTCCTAACACAGCCAAACAAAGCCAGATAAGATCGGTTAGATCCGATGTGGGTCACTCCTGCCGGTTCACTCCAATATAAAGGAGGAACGATGAGCGCTCCATCTTGCCATGATCCTTGGCACAGAGACAATTCACTGCCTTTTCATGACTCTAGACAATCTTCTTGACTTTATATAATCTTGTTCTTATCCCGCCTTTTCTACTTTATCTCTTCCTCTCACGACATGATTCTCTACGCTTTCCTTTGGCTCGCCTCTCGGACGTATGGTGGGCGCACATGTAGCGGCGTGGCATAAAGGTGTGTGACTCGCCGACACCAAAAATATATTCTCTGAATATGAACGCGTCGCCTGCAGGAATGTACTGTTTAAATGGTACCGTGCCAGGTGTCAATAACCAGAACACCGCTGACGCCGTCCAACCCTTGTATCAAGTGAGCAGCGGACTTCTAGTGGATTATTGATACTCACCGCCTTTTCCAGTTAACGAAAGACCAATGGTGGTTTCATCACTATAATGGGGTGCGCTTATCTCTTATCACAGAAAGCTGTTGACCAAGTCTTCTCTAGTGCGACGAATTCCCCCCAGACGAAGGCGACTTTCTAGAACTGTACGCCACCGATTATCGCCCTCTTTTTAATTATACTCAACGATACTTAGACCCGCCAATGGCCAATTCACCGTCGAACTGGCTGTGAACCGCGCCTTCACCACCTTATCCTACAACGGTGCCGGCATAAATGACTTTGGAGACGGACAAGCTCACCCAGAGTTCTACCGGCAACGGACGGAATGCATTTCACAACCCAACAGTAAGTTTTTTCTCGGCATACGGCATCCGCTATCCTCATCGGCGCGTTCCAGTTCACACGCAGAACGAATCAATGGCTGCAGGAACGGCCTTTGCTATATCCTATAACGTCAGTGACCCCTTTTCCGCGATGCTTCAAGACTGACGTCTGACGTTCCACAGTCAGACATTGCGGATGTTACGCCAGAGAATCTTGTCGTATTCACAGTCTTGCAACAGTACGCGCAATTTTCTTGGTGCCCAGTTATTCTTCCTCAAAATTAAATATTCTTTCAGTACTCCTTGGAAACGAGTGGCCACTTATAAGGTACCAAACCTTCCAGCATGTCCACCCGGCGGTTGCATATGTGCTGTAAGTCCCTACCCATTTCTATTATACATCGCACAATCTGACTGATCCATCTCTACAAGTGGGGATGGGTAGGTGCCGTCTGTCGCTCTTCCTTCACAGAATGACTCAGGAACGCCTCTCTACTTCCCATTCAGGTACCCAATGGGTACGTTAACCGTCAAAACTTTTATGCGATGCCCACGAACTGATCATTATCTTCATAGTTGCGGAACACCCAACATGTATATGCAAGGCTTTAAATGTAAAGTTACCGGTAGAACAGGTAATGCCGCTCTAGCAACGGCGAAACCTCCAGTGTGGTGCGAAGGCAGATCGTCCAGTTGCGTATCAGGCGCCAAGCAAATGATATTTTGGCACCAACTCGATGGCAACAATATTGAAGTCAGCGGTTACGATAGCGCGGGCAGTCCAAAGAGTCCTGCTTATAGTACGAAATTAGGCTGGCAGAATGGTTTGTTGTCTCGTTATTGTTGTGGGCAGCTGACTGACGCTCGTGTAGGTGCCCAGACAGATATATTCTTAAGTGCCGGTACTGCAACTTCTTCGGAGTCTGAATCCAGTGGGGCACTCGGCGTGTTCGACGTCCTCCGCAAAGCCATTCACTACATTTGCATATTGTACTTCTTCCCTATCCTCATGTACTAATCTTACACCGGTACGTGCTTCTCCTACTTGCCACCAACGAGTCCTAAAATCGCATAGATTCCCCCTACATTTTTACAGGAGTGGTCGGACATTTCTCAATCTTTGTTATAGATGTGTTCATGTTACATTATATTTTTCTAACGACGCACGGACTCATGTATCTATCTACATCTAACATCACGCTTTCGCTGTACAGGACTGTATCTACTATTTATCTAGCCCCACAAACTGTTTATCAATTTCAATTTCGACACTGGGAGTTGACCCTTGCTAATCCCTGCATGTGCCATGAGGAGCAAGCTGGCGGTCCCAATAATGAACTTTACTCCGCCAGCTTGGACGACATCGAAAATCATTGCCAGCCATTCAGCGCACAGATCGCGTTTGGCCGACCTTTGCCTAGACGCATCATCCCAGGGACTCCCTTCCGCGAACTCCAGCTCGAACGGCAACTTCGCGTCCAGACCACTGTATGTCGTGGCAGCCAATAATCCCGACGTGAAAGCATCCTCATGGAACCCGAAATTGTGGTATCCACCAGCGTAGGTGATCCCACGGGTTCCTTGGATCGTCCTGAGCATTCGCTGAGCGCGAATAGCATTCCCATCTAGGACCGGATGATCGAACGTCCATCTTCCTTGAACAGTGCTAAGCTCAGGCTCAAACGGAGGGTTGATGGAAACTAGCACAGGCCCGTGTTTCTTCTCAGGAATGTGTTGCAAGGTATTCATGTCGACTGTGGAAATTGGGATAGTCGGTGTCAGGGAAGTAAGGAAGAGACAGGAAGCGTACATGTGCTAATAAGAAATCAGTTACTTGGTAACATCGCGAGAAATATAAAGCGCACACTGAGACTTGATCGCTGTTCGCCTTCGTTTGACCATCGGGCGTCGTAGCTGAGAACGTTAAGTAGTTCCAGCATGACTTTGCCAGACGATTCTTCGGAAGCAGCTGTTCGTTAAAGAGTTATGCCATGCGTAACGTAAGTTAGACCGTAAGACGCTTACCCTGGTGTCGGAATGTAGAACAGACTCGTTCTTGTTCCACTTGAACATACCTAGTATCTTCTCCTCTTCGGGTCGAATATCACCGCCTTCCTTGAGAATCGACAGTGCTGTATCGGAATGACAAGCTATAATAACATGGTCATAAACTTCTTCTCGACCATCCGCTGTAGTCAGTACTACATGCCCGCCGGAAGAAGCATTCTTGACCGACTTCACAGGGGTGCAGAGACGTAACCGCGAGGAAGCAAGCTTAGAGAGGATCATTTTGATATACGCCTGGCTAAATTAAGCTTCCGATCAGAAAGAACTAGCAACGGAACCAAGCCCAGGCTAAAACTTGCCTTCCATCTTTGAAAATCAACCATGATGGCTTCCCTGTTAATTGAAGAAGAAAATGATTATGCATAAACTGGATCTGGGGAGGGACGAACGTGGGTTTGGGGCTTCGGAAGCTGTTTAGACAAATTAACTTACTAGGGTCCGCGCTGGGAAATCCAAAACACATGTGCTGGGGGGAGTACTCCAGATAGCTGCTGTCATGGGCTACGAAACAAAAGAAAAGGTCAGTGATAGCCACTGTGAGAGCGAAAACCTCATACGATCAAGTAATTGTCACGGAACGTATCAGAGTACGCCCCTCGCTCCAGGTATTCGCCGATGGAACAGTCGTCACAGTCGTCTATGTTCGTCTTTTTCCATCTGCTTACGAGGCGCCTAGCGGACGCATTAAATCTGAAAATATCGTATAGCATGCGCCAGAGGGTCATGTCGAAGATCCGCCACGGTTGACAGAACAGCGTCGCGAGGCTGTCACTGGCCCATTCGAACGCGCCGTTGTCTCGTGATATGCTGAATGACATCTGTGTTGGAAGGAGATCGATACTGGGGTATAATTTGAGGAACCGCAGAAAGTTGGGGTACGTGTATGGGTTAAAAACAATCTATCATCCAATGTTTAAAATGATTTCTTGGTGTTCGTTGTACAAGGCACGTACAAAGGCACTAGTAGAGTATCAGCCAACTTCGGCAAACAAAGAGAAAGCATGCGTACGTGTCCACGTAGGCTACTTGCTCGCATCCGTCCTGGTCTTTACTGATGAACGGTACAGCGTTGGCATGCCCTCCTGCACGATCATCAGATTCGTACAGGTGCACCTCATGATCACTGTATTCATTCAACGCCTAGTCCACCACTGTTAAAGCAGGAAACCATGAAAAAAGAACCGAAAACCCTACCCAGGTCGCGCTAAGACCAGCTGCACCAGAACCAATAACCGCAACTTTCATGTTGCAAGGTGAGGGTACTCGTAGGGCGAAAAGCGCCGGCTTGAAATGAAAGGTCCATTAGGGATGGACAGCACTGACTTTTAGCTTATGAGTCAAGGCAGTGAAAGACTCCGACTGTAAGTTTTGAGTTTACGGGTACGTGGAGCTATCACACGGCGGCCGTTACCCGCAGTACAGTCTCGTCCAAGTCACCTACTATTCCTAACCTCAAACCTGAGATCCGTGCATCCGTAAGATTTGCCGAACAAAAATCGAGAACAAACGTGAAACTGAGCTAGAAGGATGGTCGATGAGCTACATATGTTACTGCAATTATTATATCACATACAGCGAGCGGCCGCCACTATTTTCTCGTGCTCCTGAGGAGACTGAGGACAGCAAACGTCGCCTCGGCTCCGAGTCAACAGATTCCAGAATAGGGTGATCCTAAGGTTAAGCGTTATGGACAATCAGGGTTGGTTCATGACCTGAGGTGTATCAGGTGTATCAAACTTTCAGCATTTTATTGTAAGTAAACAGGGTAAAAATCATCAGGAGCGAGTACGCACAGTATAAAGGTATGTCATTACATCGAAGTGCGCTCGGATCACCTGTTCGCGAACGGGCAGTACAGACCGACGGATAATCTTCCGACGCTGTGATTTGATCCATCATTAAACTCCGGGCTTCGGCAGCAATCATGCTAGCACCACTTTGGTAAATATCTATAGTACGAGCCAAGGCATACTATGCTACTAGCGAATCAAGCGAAGTGTCGGAGTGGGGCTGCCAGATAACTGTCCAAAAAAAGTAGATGAAAAATCCATGAACGTGGCACAGTGATGCATCAGTTTGTTGACCCCGAAGTGAGTTCAAAACGCAAGTTCAACCACCCCGGCTCGCAGGGACCGTACACCTCGGCGCTTTCGATATCGAGCTAGAATTCTGAGAAGTGAATTGTTCGAAGCTTCAGCTGCATGTGTGTTTCAGAAGGAAACGAAAGCGCCCCACTCTAGGGTTAAAAGCGAAGAGCACGACGGAAGATGCCGGACATTTTGAAGGTCCGGCCGAAATCCCTGTTGCCTCTCACCTTGCTCTTACTAACTCTCGGACACTCTCAAGAGACTCCGAAAAGCGGCTGAAAATTACACCTAAAGACTTCTCTGGAATTCTTTTTTGCTTCTCTTAACACTGATCTCCAGTTTTGCTCGTCCCGAGTTGGTCCCGAGTCTATCTTTCAACCTGAAACATCATCTTCTATTTGTTTTTGTTCTCTCTGGTTTTCCTGTGCCAAAAAATATGTCTTCAAGTGTAGCCCTCGATGATTTTCTGTGCTCGTCCATCACACATTTATATGGCAGCGAAGTTCAAGTTGGCGATGTTGCAATGATTCATGCCGCTATGACTTGCAGTAATCTCTATTCCAATCTTAGCCATAGCCATTTGGGCATAAGCAACGAATACGTACAATCTGATGAAAGAATGATATCAAGACGGTTCAATGAGCATCAACTGGAGAGGTGAGTGCCACGATAGCATAATGATCAGCGCCGTCACTCATTGACAATGTGAACTTCAATATCTAACGCATAGATCCTCATCCACATGCCGCGCAGAGGACGAATGGGGTATCGTACCATTTTTCCCATCTTGTCTCTCAGTTTGGCTCTAGACTAGTCAATGAACTTGGTAAACGGTTTGACGCTCTGAGCGGCGGCGGCGGCATCTAAACGACAAGAGTACATTCAAACACGGAAGCATGCTCTTGCTTCTAGTTCACGGGATCATGATATCTTACTTGAGGTCTCCCGAGAAGGCTGGCGCCACCCTTTTATTTAGCTCAAACAATCGTTCAGTCCGACATCAAAGGAAGTAGGCATGACCGTAGCGGCAATAGCATCCTCACGGGTTTGGGTTCCCTTCATGTGAGGGCTGTAGCTGAAGCTTCAGAAGGCTTTCTGGCGTATTCATACTTGTTACCTTGCACAACGCCGCCACCCTCAAGGTTACGACGACGCCACTAAGGCCCTGTTCCTGAAGAGTCACGATCACGGATGGCGGCCCCAGCCTTCTCGCGCTCCCGAAATCAATTTGGTATCCAACAATTTAAGATCCTGATCGCACCCCGAGAAGGTGCGAGTTCCAGACTAGGAATTTATGTGGATACCTAGTATAGATGCTAATTCAATGGTAAAATTTCAAGCTCGTCGTTGATGCCGGTTATTTCTGAAACCCCGTTGATTTTGCAGGTCGTGTGAACGTTTCATAGGCTAGGGTATTTATTAGACGATTTGCAATTCTTTGCTGAGCAGTACTACTTGCTGTACATCCTCATTCCTCAGTATGAAGAACGTCGCTCTCTCGTTTGGCCTCCTCGTTGCACTGATCTCGTCGGCTTCCGCCTTCACGATCACCTTCAGAAACAACTGCTGGTTACAGTAAGCCATGTCAAGGACGATCCCGAACAACTACTAACAGGATCTTGTACAGCCGTCTGGCCCGCTGTTGGGAAGGCCCCGAACGGTGTTCCCCGACACCTCTGTTTCTTTCGGGACGACTTTGGCGCCAGGGGCATCCGCTAGCTTTGGTGTCGACGATCACCAACTCGTACGTTTACCACAATCATATTATCACTCGGCGCCACTAACCGCTGGCGCGTCAGGGTATTCGTGCTTGGGGACGTACAGGCTGCAACTCTAACGGCGCAAACTGTGCTACTGGTGGATGCAACGGCGGTAAGCTCATCGCTGTTTACCTTCTGAGTTCTTTTTGGACTAAATGTTGACTCCCCCAGGCTTGGTATGCACCGACGCTGGTATTACCTCCGGTGTGATCCTCTCAGAGTATGGATACGCAAACTTTGGAGCACAATACGGCGGGGAGAGAACCTCCTGGGATTTGAGTCGCGTCGATTCGGCCATCAACATTAATACGAGGTTGTCCAGCTCGGATGGAACTACCGTGACGTGCACTACGAGTTCATGCCCCGATAATCAGGCGTACTCCTACGCCACGGATTATGCTGCTGACCGTAACTCTGCTCTCGGTCAGACGTACACCCACACTTTCTGCCCTTAATTTGTAACGGTAAGCATTCTCGTTTTTCGGTTTCTTCATCGTCGTGAACTCACGCTGTCCCACTGACAGGAGTTGCGATGGAAGAAACAGGCATGGCAACATATGGACCATCTAGTCCGAATACCCTTGTCTTCCTTTGCTTCCGAAAGCATAGTTAGTTTATGATGATATCCATCAATAACAATATATCAAGTGATTCTATCAAATCATCAACGTCCCTAAGCAATTACCGTACAAAAAGCTATGCAGTGCGATCAATTTTAATCCTGAATATAAAACATTGAGAGCAGTCCGAAGAAAGAAAAGGAAGATAAGAGGCAATGCTAAGAACTCAGAAATCGAACTGGATGCCGAAAAGGCCGAGCAACCACAGCCAATAACCAAGGACCAGCCCCAGTAGCCTCCCAACAACATATCTAATCCCATAACCCTGCAAAAAGCGAAAGAACTGTGCCGTCCACTCCACAGTCCAATCCTTCGGTCTAACCTTTTTCACAGAGGTATCCCAGACGCTCCCGTCCACAAACTCCAGCTCAAATGGCAGCTGTACACCCATATCTCGGACTGCGACGAGCCCGGACGTGAACCCGTCTTCATGGAAGCCGAAGTTCAAATAGGCGCCGGCATACGTTATACCCCGAGTCCCTTGGATGGATGACATCAGAGTCTGCGCGCGGATGGCATCTCCATCGAGAATTGGATGGTCGTATTTCCATCGTCCGCGGACAGTGGTGGGGTTAGGCTCAAATGGCGGATTGAGCGTTACAAGGACCGGACCAACATTTTTCTTGGATATATGCTGAAGGGCATTCATGCCGTCTGTAAAGTTTTTGGTGAGCGGTGGAATGCCAGGTACTTATGAGGCACGCGTACACGTTCTGAAGGACATTATTAGTGACTAAATACCGCATACTAGACGATCAGCTTACAGGGACACTTGGTCAACGTTGGCTTTTCGTTCTCCATGCCGGTCAACGGTAGAGTACGTTAAATAGTTCCAGCAGGACCAGGCAATGTTACTCCTAGGCATTAGCTGGAGGGACGTGAGTGAACGGATTGATGGCAAGGTCCGACATGACGTACTTTAGGATCTGAATGCAGGATAGCTTCGTTCTTGTTCCATTTGAACATCCCTAAGATCTCTTCTTCCTTCGCCTGGATACTACGCCCAGCTTTGAGAATCGAAAGCACAGCATCAGAGTGACAGGCCATGACGACGCGATCATATGAATCCTTTCTGCCATCTTCAGTCGTTAATATAATTCCGGATTCTGTGCTAATTGATTTGACTTCCGAAGAGAGATGTAATTGTGACGAGGGAAGCTTTGACAGAATAGCGTTTACATAGGCGTGGCTGAAAGGGTTTTAGATGGTGGAAAGAACTAAAGCGGGATGTGCTCACCTTCCATCTTTGAAGGTTAGCCAGGACGGCTTTCCCGTGAGCTGAAGGAGGTGATGGTTATGCATAAATTGGATCTATTGAAGGACATAAGCGCGTCGAACATAATGTGAGAGTAGCAGGAAGTCACATACCAAAGTTCGAGCGGGAAAATCAAGAGCACATTTATCCGGTGGCGTACTCCATATAGCAGCGGTCATGGGCTACGTGAAATTCCATCGGTCAATCGTCCAGGCCGTTCTCCCAGGGCGCAAGTAAGGAGGCTCACGATCAAGTAGTTGTCGCGAAAGGCATCAGAGTACGACTCCCACTCTAGGTATTCTCCAATAGAATAGTCCTCCCATGCCTCAGCGTTCTGCTTATTCCACATTGACACAAGCCGTCTTGCATTGACATTGAATCGTAGTATGTCGTATATCATTCGCCACATATTCCGGTCCAGGACTCGCCAAGGCTGGCAAAACAGCGTGGCAAGGTTATTTCCGGCCCATTCAAACTTCCCGCTGTCCCGAGTCACACTGAATGTCATCTCCGTCGGAAGGATTTCCACCGAAGGATGCAGCTTGAGGAATCGCAGAAAGTTGGGGTACGTAGACGGGTTGAGAACGATCTTTTTCGAATTATCAGTGTCTTTTCACAAGAAAAGGTTGAAGACGTGTACAAATCCACTGGAAAGACGCGTAAGATGACGTCCAAATGAGAATTGAAAGTGACGCACGTATCGACCTTCACCGTCCGTCTCGATCCATCCTTGCCTTCGTAGCTGAACGGGACTGTGTTTGCGTGGCCTCCAGGGCGTTTGTCTGCTTCGTATAAATGAACCTCGTGGTCGCTGTACTCATTCAATGCCTGCACGCAGTTAGAGTAAGCCAACAGGAGTTTCCGAAGTAGGAACTTCGTTACCCAGGTGGCCGCAAGACCAGCGACGCCGGAGCCTATGACGGCGACCTTCATAGCGAATCTATCCGTAAGGCCGCAGTAAAGTCTGGCAGCACAAGGAAAGCAAATGGTAAAGGTAGAAGTGCAGGCGGAAGAAATATCAAATTGTCGGGGAATTATTGTATTTGTTGCTGTTATGTACTCACGTTAATGGCACCCACCGTTGCCGCGCCCCTCCATTACGCAGAATGAAAGGTGCAACGCATAAGCATGCGTCGTGAGAAACATTGCTGCAAAAATTCAACATTTTTGGCTTTATCAGCGCGGCATTGGCACGACGAGCACGATTAATGATCGCTTGCAGTTCGGCCACCCGGACCGAAGCGCTTACCTTATGGACACAGCCACCAAGAGCTTCTTTTCCAACCTTCATCCGATATCTCAGGCGATGCCAGTCTTGAAAGGCTATCGAGGAAATACTATGTGCTGTTTTTAACTACTGAAGTGTATGTCTTTCTCTTTGTTTATCTCCCTCCCCAACGGACGATTTTTGACAGACTACGTGAGTATGATTTCGTATTTAGACCATGCATTCAAATGCATTGCCTAACCATGGACCATGGGATGCCATCGGTTAGAATAGTCGTGAAATAATAAAGTCTGCCATCCCATTCTCATCTAACCGTATGATACATCACTGACATGTCCTCCCTAGATTACAGATGTTTCCCTGCATATATTGGTATTCAACTCCTCAAACCCAGATCTCTTTCGTTGGGGACGGACACGTGCTCGAAGAACGCCCAGACTCGACGCGTTTGGCAGGTCACGCTTTCGTCCGGGCAGTTGCCAGTGCTAGATATAAATAGCGCTCCATGTCCCAATGGCACGTCTTTCTGCCCTTCCTTCTCTACCTCCACTATCTCAGCCGCCGTCTTCGGGTATCCGGACTCTTTCCTACCCTTCCATCGCTTTTAAGGCTTCACGTCAAGATAATGGCTCGTCCGGGAGGCATAGGGTAGGGCTCTGCTTTACCGAGAATGGTCAAGGAGTTCTCGAAGACGGTATCAATCCGGGAGCCCTTCGAGCTTGGCCAAAGATGGAATGTATCAGGATATTAGTTCGGAATGGTGTTTCTGTACGAAATAAACGACATTTCACGCGATAATTGATAGATATGTTATCCTGGTGCGTTTCTGTCCATATATATGCGCATATATGCTGATCTATACACTTCGCCAGTGACTATTTCACCTGGCAATATGCCGTCTAGACCTTAATCAAGGCCCGTCTTGGATTGAAGGACAAAGAGCCCTCGACAACATGCACATTCCATTGATGCTCCCGCTCTCTATAAAGCGAAAGCTCCCTTTTGGTACGATCAATTCCCCAGCGCGACTCCTTCCAGATCGTGTGCGTAGTGTTACGTATCCTACGGGTGACCCGTATCTCTCCAGTCACCTAATCCGAGCGTGTAGCTTCGCATGCTACGATATCAGCGATGTCCTCCCCTATCGACCTCGGCAAGACTTGGAGAGCAGTGTCTCCAATCGGCGCTGGTCATCGTTTGCTTCGGATTCAGTGACACGACGGATCGGATCGGAACCTCGTCCCCGACCGACCCACTCGGTGTGTTGTGTTGTCGCATAGTGGAAAGAGGCGGCGTGGCTAATGATAACTATGACCCCAGGGTTCAGGATCTATATTTTCCTTCAACGCGTGCACCTAACTTTAGCGTCGTCACCGGCAGTCGTGTTATGGCTGACTACGGGTCGCTTAGAAGGTCATGTCATCGGATTCGGTCATGAGGACCTACGTACTCCCTGCCAGTCGTATCTGGTGTGAAAGAACAATATCTCGGGCGGTGAACGCGGGATGGCTTATTAACTAGGGCGGCTTGGTTCCACGATGACGAGCAAATGTTGTCGTAACGCAACTCTAGCTTGTTCGGCGTTTGGTGTCATCCATGAAACAGTGAGCCACCACCGCATTACTCGTGAGCCTCACTGAAGTTGCGTCGCAGGATCTTGGACGATTCTCTACGGGGATGTCTGTGTTTACACCGACGTTATCTGGAAGACGGGGAAACCAACAAGTACCCAATTCCTGGAAACGGCGTAATTGCTGCCTCTGCATTCGATGTCAAAGAGTATAGGCGTATCGAGTCTGGCGACCTATCTCCGCGCATGGATGGAGCAAGGTATCAGGTCGCCGATTCAGACAGGAACAAATCGATACCATCAGGGAAAGAAGCGTCACCCTGCGTGAGGAACGAAGTGGACGACATCGGATATTACATCTAAGATCGATCTCAGCTGCAACCTTGCCCTTTTAGCTGTCGCTTCGCCTCCTCTGAACATGAAACCATTATTCCCACCGGGATACGAACTTCGAAGAGCAGACGATAGCCGCGGTAGATTTTTCTAGCGCCAGGTGAGTCGACTGTAGAATCTTTCAAGTTTCCGCACGTGTTCTTATTGATCAGGAGATATGACTGACCAGAATGGCCACCAAGACGGACGCCTTATCACTGCCAGAGGCGTTAAACTCCACTACAACCCAAGACTGTTGAGCTACACCGGATCCTCGTGTCATAACGCAAGCCGTACGGAACCATCGGTATTCCTACCCAAACATTGAAGAAGTACCTGCCAAAGGAAGAGCCTTCTCCCGTTCAGTCCCCTACTAAGCGGCATCACACATTCCATGACCATCTTGGAATCTATCCGATGCATCGGCATGTTTGCCTGCTGCAAGCCTCGGGTCGCTCTCGGCCTTGGGCCCATTGGAAGTTCTGCTCGTGTTCTTTTCTCCGGAAGCACGTTCAGTCTTTCATTATGTATGCTCTTACGATCTTCATCTCGGGGTTTTATGTACCCTGAGGTCCTGGTCCAAATAATCAAATCATGTGCATCTTTCATGATCTGTGGATTGAACTTCGTCAATCTAGATTCTTGTCACGCCTTGAGCCTCCCATTCCTCATCCAATATCGCCATCAAGAAAATATCCTCCCATCCTCCCTGAACCCAATTGACCTTTCTCTTTCGACCTTCCTCAAGGAATCCCCTGCGTATTAATTTTGGTTAGTCCTGAACTTAGACTCCAATTGACAAAAATACTTACACCCTCTTATACAAATCGATAGCGTTCCTATTCCTCTCAAACACCGACAAAGAAACTCTGTGCAACCCCAATTCTCTAAACGAATAATCCACGACAAACCTTGTAACCTCAGTCCCATATCCTTGACCCCAAAACTTGGGCAAAAACATGATACCGAAAGTACCATCGCGATTCTTAGGATTTCCCACCGTCAACGATGTCTGTCCCACGAATTCGCCCGAATCCCGTGCCTCGACCATGAGCCACAGGACATTCTTCTCTGAATCTGCCGCTTTACGGAGGTATTCGGTAAATCTGCTTCCGCGCGGAACGACGTATTCGTTCGTAACCATTGGTTGAACGAGTGGGTCATTCCAGAGATTGAGGAGAGACGCTAAATCGGAGTCTCTGAAGGCGCGTAGATAGAGGCGTTTAGTCGTGAACATCGCGTGGGGTTGATGCTGCGCATGCTGGGATGCCTTTCAAGTTCTTATGACTGGGGGTCTTGAGGTTAGTTCCCCGAAATGGAAACCCATCAATGGTTCAGGGCTAGTCGTGATCTTTATGACTCGACTCTACCATACCAGGGACTGTGCATGGTACTATTGAACTGTGCTCTACTGCTGCTGAGTTCAATGACTCGCACAAGATTGTCCGCAGTAATGGAAGGTTACAAAGACTGCTGTGCTGGAATACCGGAATGGCTTCGAGCTATAGCATGCAATGTAGCATCATTGAAACAGCCGATATGTAACTTACTAAATGACCGGAACGCAAGGGTGAGCAGTGTCTCTTGCATCTTTGTCGATGTAGCTGACTTCGTTTCCATTTTGTTTCTGACAGCAAAAAGGTATTCGTCCTGGTCGGCTATTAGGAAGCGAAGCGCTGAATACCTGGGCTTCCGGTTTTAGAGTGACCTTTGGTTATTCTATGCAGCTCCGTCTTTCCCACACTACGAGGGTATGAGTAACCCGTCTACAACCACCGCACTCTTTGGACCCCAATTACCAACAAATCATGGAATTCCGCATTCCGCTAGGATTCCTAGACGCCCGAAGCTAACGATAGCTTGGCGTTGTCAGTTTTTTTTACGCTTTCGTCCCTCTAACCTGGGGAAAGCGCTGGGCGATGAATTCATACATGCAAGTAGAATTAGGTTCCCTGACAAGATTCTCGGCGGACGCAACAACTCGTGCCTATCGTCCCTTTACAGCTTATTCATGAAGCCCTTTCGTGTCTGACTGCGCATTGACGCCAGCCGCAGAGCTACGGCTTACCAAAAGCACGCTTTAATCTCGTAACAGATCATGACCCCGGTGAATTACGGCTTTAGATCTCATTTTCTGAGGTCGGATCCGACCTAAGGAGCCTTTTTCGCGCTAGTGCCTTAGTACTTTACCCGCCTTCGTAACCAAATTTGTGCCGTCCCCCTTGTGCGTACTACGCCACACTCCGCTGAGGTCTCAAAAAAACCCTCATTCACGGAGCAAAGGCAGCTGCTCAGGTCATCGATAAATCCAGCCGGTATCTTTTTTTGTTGTTGCACAGATGGCTGGATTTAACTTCTCTTAATTTTGGCGACACCTCGTGTTCATTTCGGCTCTGGTGAAAGAAGCTGTTTCACATCGTTGGAGTACTATAGTTGGAGGTATTGCTCCTCTACTTTTGCCTCTTGCTTGACAAATTGTATGCACCGCATTCGCGTGCCAAGTCATTTTACGGAAGACTGCGACTCTAAAACACGTTTGAAATGCCAAGAACACCAGGCGCGCGTACTCGTGAGAGGCGTGTTTTCACTCGAAAAGCGCGATCTACAGGCGCACCTGCGGCAACTTGTGGAAAAGATTTTTAGAACGGACCTTGCTGGGTTATTTTCCCCCTTTTTGTTTATGGGTCTTTGTTCAGATGCCAAGATGTAGTGGTATCGGTACCGCGACGGCACTTAATGGCGACCGGGCCAAGACGAACCTCATTGATGGCAATGATAAGGAAGGATCAGCTGTTATCGGAGAACAACCCAACCCCCACTTAGTGTATAGGTAAAGCGGCGCCCCAGGGGGAATGGTGGGAAAACAGGCTGCAAAAGGTTGTTCACACGCGGTTGAACGGTAGATACAGAGTGCGTAAGTAAAAAAAGTTAATGATGAATGAAGGACTTTTTAATGAAAAAGTGAACACCGTGCCGATACCACCGCTCACTGAGGATTACGGCAGACACTCCAGGGTGAATACTAATACACCGAGGTCCGTTGACAGCCCCCAACAAAAACCCCACATCCACAAGACTTTTTTCTAACTTTTGCCTAGTCGTGTTGGTCGCCTTGGAACTCGGCCCGTTACCAAGTGCCAAGAAGAGCTTCGATCGACGTCAGTTCCAAATTTGCAAAACGCAGCCGGAGCCCACTTTTCCGTCCTGCCGCCATCAACATTCTCGTCGTCGTCTTCGACAACGAGCTCACGCCTTTAGTCATTGCTCGCCATCGTCCAGGTTGAGCCAATTCCGCCTTTAGTTCCCACCCAGCCCCACCCAGCCTCCGGAGTGGTGCACGCGGTTCTACGTCATGGGCTTTTACCCTGTGGGTCCCTCTTTGTCCTCCTCTTTGTTGTCGAGGCTTATCATCCGGTCTAGTTTGAAGTGACGATACCACATGTCATTTATTCATGTCTCGGTGGGTTCATTGTGCTGGTGAGTGACCGTGCAGTGGCTGCAGACCGACTCTAAACCGTGCTGTAGTTTGGCATGTTTTCTTTGTTTCTCCGTGAAAGGGTGTGTATCACGTCTCTACTTTGTTTCGTTACTAACGTCTACGGCAGCTGTATATTGGAGAAGCATGTTGGGCCTTTTTGTTCGGTGTCATTATCGGTGTGTTCAGCTTGATTTTCTGCTGTAGGCGGGTGGCTCAAGCTGTGGGGCAGGTCCATATGGCGCCGGAATATTCGACCCCAGATCCTGGGGAAGCGAAGATTCGACGAATACGGTTACTCTGGAATTTACTAGGGTTGTCCTCGCAATAGGTGTCTTTGCCATAGGGGTGGAGTTGCCCAAAGCATACATGCGACGCCACTGGAAAAGTCTATTCTTCCTTTTAGCACCCGTGATGACATGGGTACGTTCACTTTTATCTTATTTTCTTTGTCTAACAAGACTCTATCTAGGGTTGGTTCGTCTCCGCCGGTCTCATTTACGCCCTAATTCCAGGCCTCAATTTTCTGTCTTCTCTTGCCATAGCCGCCTGTCTCACGCCAACAGACCCCATTCTCGCAGCCGCTGTCGTCGGTGGGAAATATGCCGATAAGCACGTTCCCGCTCATATCCGACATCTCTTGGCAGCAGAAAGTGGTTGCAATGACGGTGCTGCCTTCCCCTTTCTCTACATCGCCCTCTATCTCGTCATTGACGCCCCCAGCACTGGTAAAGCTATCAAAGATTGGTTCCTTCTCCTATGGCTCTGTACGTCATTTCCATTCTTCAGGTCACCTTCTCGACTTCTTACACTAAAGCAGATCAGGTCGTCCTTGGCGTAGTCATTGGTTCCTGCCTCGGCTTCGGCTTCAGGCACCTAATGAAATTTTGCGAACGACACGATCTGATAGATCGACATTCCTATGTTGCCCAGTATGTCTCACTCGCCATGTTCGCCACTGGGGTGACCACTCTTCTCGGCTCAGATGACCTCTTGTCAGCATTTGCCTGCGGCACCGCGTTCGCGTGGGATGGCTTCTTCAACCGACAGACGGAGGAGTCTGTTTTTAGTTCCGTCATCGACTTGCTCTTTAACATTGCCGCGTTTGTCTTTGTAGGCGCATGGATGCCGTTTAAGGATTTCTCTAATGAAGAACTCACCCTCAGCGTGTGGCGCTTGATCGTCATTGCCATTCTCGTCCTCCTTCTCAGAAGGTTACCGGTCATGATCGCGCTGTACAAGTGGATTCCGGATATTAAGACGTTCCGCGAGGCTGTCTTTAGTGGACACTTTGGGCCCATTGGAATTGGTATTCGTTCTCCTTTTTCCTCTTTTTTTTCTTGCCGTTGACGATGGTTTATCAGGTGCCGTATTCATATCGACGCTTGCGGCGGAAGTCTTGCACAATAATCTAGGCGACAACCCTAGCCATCAAAATGAGCTGCTTGTCGACACCATTCAGCCGATTGTCGCATTCATGGTTCTGTGCTCTATCACTATCCACGGTCTCTCGATTCCGTCCTTTTCTCTCGGTCGACGCGTGCATTCCGTATCACGGACATGGTCCCGACACGCCTCGATGCCCGATTGGACGAACCAAGCACGGATGGTGGATAGACGGGAGGATATCGTTGTCAATCGCGATCATGTCGATGAAATGGAACGGGGGGAAATGTCGCCCGAGGAGAAGACAGATGTGGAGAGCTCACCTAGCAGTGGCAGCGCGCCTGCAACGTTGTCACAGAAGGAAGTGGGGCATGAGCATGAGGTCGAGAGGGAGAATGACGCCGTTCAAAATGCCGAAGAGAAGGAGAAGAAAGAGGGCTCCTTGCATATGCCGGAAGGCGAGGAGCCTCCTGATGGCCGGGAGACTCTTTCCGAGTGGCAAGAAGGACCATACAGGATCATTGAACGGCGTGCTGGTCCCGGCGAGGAGGTAAGACTCATCATTATGAATGACTCATCGAGAGGTGACTAAACGCTTGTTTTTCTATAGGTTGAAGTCGAGGTTATCAAGAATGCTGGTCACGAGGAAGGAGAAGAATCTCACATTATCCGCACTACGGGCCACCATGACTCCGTCCGTCATGAAGTCAGGGCTTTGCTCGAGCGGCTGGCAGAGGGACCTCCTAAGGTTGTTCACACCATCGAGCATGAAGTTGCCAAGGCTACGCGAAGGCTGTCTCCTAGTCCTCCACGAAAAGATGGAGAGGAAGAGGAGGAGGGATGGGCATCGGAACATAGTGACGCTGAGGGTGAGGCCTCGACATCTGCTATGGACCGGCGTAAACGGTCAAAATCTCCACGAGTGAAGGCTCCAGTCAAGTCTGGAACGAAGAGGAGACGAGCCTCGATACGACGAGGTCTGGCGGGGCACTTCATGGCGCAGGAAGGCCGAGGGAGGGAGTCCTTAGCGAGTCCGCAACATCTGAGGGTCAACAGCGTGAAGGCGATGGATTCGTCGAGGGAAGCGTCCCCGTCGCGGTCCATCCGTTTCGTAGATGAGGAGCAACAGCGTCATAGTGGTGGAAGTGGGGCTAGCACACCGAGGATGAATGAAGAGGCTGATTCGACGCGGAACAAGGTCACGTTTGGGGACCTGCCGCGACCGAGTAGTAGTGGAAATGCGGGTGTATGATTCCTAGATATCACGAGGACAATTTAGATACCTCTTACTTATGTAGCCTTACAAGGTGTAACTGTATTCGCTATGATGCAATGTCTGTTCGTACTCTATATTACATACTTAGGTTGGGGTACAAGGTGGCGAGGTCAATGGGAATGATAGGCTAATTTCTACGAGTTGATTCCATGTTCCTTCGCCCTTTGGTGATCGGAATACAAGCGTAATTGATTCGACATTGGTCAGGTTGCGCTTGACTTTGATTGTCATACACGTACCTGGGGATAAAACTCAAACCCTTGCCCACGTTCGTCCTGCCCTGAGACTTGGTATGCCGTTCCAGGCCGATGAATCTGAATCGCTGGTGCAGGAGAGCCAAAGCATTCCTGTGAAGGTGATCCTCTGTGGATCATAATATTAGACTCCAATGGGTGGGAGCTAAGATGCTGCAAGACACCACTGTTGACAGGCGTTCGCCATTGCTCATGGATTACGTTCAGTATCAAAGTGACCGTCCAAGATTCAATGCACTGAGGCCGAACGCAGACTATTGGGGAAATTTGAGTGCTTTGGAGATGGCAGATATCTTCTAGGTAGGGCTTTATATCTGCAGGCCATGTCATCAAATAGTAGGAGGTTCCTGTCACAGGTATTGTATGATTGGGGCTCCTCATCCGCATCGTGTTCGCAAGGCCAATGTGGTTGCGAATGAGTGGTTCGAGGATGATGGCCCATTCTGCTGATTCTATCAGCCATGCTCAGCTGCAGAACATGGAGACAGACAAATACTCGAGCAAGAGGTGATGCCGATTTTTGGGTATTCGCGCCTCATCGTGTTCTACGTGAGGGCGGAAAGTAAACACATGGCAGAAAAGTGCAAAAGGAACAGAAAAGTAGCTATTAGAACTGTTCATATGCAAAATTTGATGATATACAGAGTTCGGAGTGAGATAAGTTAAAGTCTGAATGTTCAGAGTTTTAGTGAAGACGTGGCTTCAACAAGTAAATAAAGGCCATGAAGAGGAGCAACATTGGATTCCATGCCATAAGCGGGTTTACACCATTGGACGGGCTAGTAGAAGTCGAGGAAGTCGAGGAGGACGTTGCAGATGCGTTGCTTGACGGAGAAGAATTAGATAACTCTCGGGGAGCATACTCCGATGGAACAGACAAGACAATACTGTCGAAATCTATCCCTCCGTCAGCTTGTGATACTCAAGTAAAGGATAAAGCAAGATCGTACCAAAATACGACTGATTAACCCCAGCCAAATTCTCGATCTTTAGCGAATGTACGGATCCACCAAGATTGGAGGCAAAGAATTTTAAACAAGGTTGTTGCTGCTCGCACGTTTGTCCAAACGCTCCTCCACAGCCAGATGTGCCATTAAATGTCTGGGCAGTCCCGTTGTCGAGATAGACGTTGTACTCTCGATGATCATTCTTCTTGTCGCCAAATACGTAAATGGCCGAGCCTAGTGCAACCGGTACTCTGAGTCAAGGTGGAAGAGAAATTCGGATGAGGACTTACCCTGGAAGTTCAATGAGAACGAGGCCAGGTTCTCATTCGTGTACGTTGAGCCTCCTCCGCTAAAAGCGGGGGAGGTGTTGTTCCCCCATACACCAGTATACGTAATTGACGAGTCCGTCTCTTGGAGGGTCCTGTTTGTGACTGTCGCCCTATTGTGCCAATGTTAATACGACAAAGAATAGCGCATATATGCACACTCACCCTTCGGGTGCAAGCTGTACCGTCATTTGGAGGAAGTCAAATAGAAACCCGTTTCCGCCGCCGTCACTACCCTTGGCTCCGACATTCTTAAGAGTCAACGTGTGATTGGCATACTCCAGAGCGTTGCTTCCATATAGAAGATGTGGTAGTGACGCGTTACTTGACGAATACGCGCTCAAAGTCGTCGTGTTCGAGTCGATGGTGACCTCGTACGATCCGTAATTTGGGCCCGAATTGCCATAGATGTATATTGCCGGCCCTGTAAGTCATCCAGAAAACGCTCGGAAACTTTGAAAAAAGTGAAAATACCAGTAAAATTGAAACTTATTGAAGCATTTATTGTCTCAGTCGCATGGTATGTTCCCATCCACCATTGGCTCGAAGCCGCATTGAAGTCAGAACTTGACGGATCCGGCGTTGTCCATACGGACTGGTCAGGAGAATAGAGCAGGATACTGTCGAAGTCGTCGACACTGATGTTGGCGTTGACGGCGGAGGAGTCCATGGTGACGGTAAGAGGACAAGAAATACGCCAAGCACACACGGCCCCGACAGCCGTTCGAATTCCAAATTGGGCCACCCTTCCGAATGTGGCACTCGCGTCCCGACAAGCGACAGTCATGGCGGTATCTTCAACTGCACGTGAGATCGCTTTCACTGGCCAGTGCACGATGGATGCTGTTCGAGCAAAGATTCCCACTCTAAAGTCTCTTGGAATTTTCTAGTTTATGCTGTCCTATGTGAGACCTATGAGAACTTGCTAGAAATTAGAATCACTCCTAAGATTCGTAGAAGAATGATAACTGCGTGTTGATGATAATAGCAGACTCATATGGCATTGCAAAGGTAATTTCTATTAAATCTGCTAGGACACGGGAGACACGGGTTCAAAAAACGTAATCAGATGAAGGGCCGATCAACGCCCTTTCTCAGCCCTTTCTTGGTCAACAACCGCCATGATGCCACATTGACTCTACCATTTGTGCCTTATCTCTGCATACATGGCTGTTCAAACTCGCTGTACAAGGGGCAATAACATCGAAAGTATGGAAACGGAGACCCTGACCATGGCATTCACGAGATCTCAAGTATTTCCTGGCATCATTCTCTCTGAGAAACAGCATTGTTTCCGGGTACATCATGTCAGCATGGACACCTAGTGGGGATTACAACCGAAGCAGGAGCAGCTGATCATGAATGTGACCAGATGCTTGCTCGTTTTCTCAACAATTGAATCCTTATTACATATGTAACGTCCCATCCGAGTCGAACGTTGGTCTTCCCTCTTCCCAGCCAACAGTTATGTCCTCCCCCAGCCAATATGGACAAATCTCCTTCCGACAAAAGCTCAAGGTGTACTCTTTGGGGACGATTGTGCTACGTATGCCTGTCGTAATCGCGATTTTGTGACCCTGCTTGCTTACTTAGTAAATTCTCAGCTCTTTATTCGCTATGGACAGCAATAACCTATCCATTCTCTCCGACCCTACGAAAGAAGACACTCAAGCTTGCCATCTCCCATGCCCAAACAAGATTTGGTACCGATAACTTTTCTGTCCCCGAGCTGCAGTTCATCGCAGGCCTCGGCGTCGACATCTACAAGTCATGGGCAAAGAAGAGCAAGCTGCCGGTTGATATCGAGGACCTTCCCGAAGAAGGCGCGAGACTGTGTTGGATCGGTCCTAAACGTACGGACAAGGTGATATTCTATTGCCACGGTACGCATCCTTTATCGACAATCCGGAGTTTGTTGCCAAATCAATATAGGTGGCGGGTTCGTTTTACCGTTCTGGGATTCGTTCCTAACCTTCTGGAGGCACGCACAAGTCGAATTGGAAGCCAAGAACGTAAACATCGGGATCGTTCTCATGTCGTACAGTACGTCTTTCCAACCCAACTCGACATATCAACATCTCTGACAAACACCCAAACAGATCTCATTCCACCCGGGAAATTCCCAAGCCAGCTCCGCGAAGCCAAATCTGGGCTCGAGCACCTCTTCAAATCAGGCGTTAAGCCTGAAAACATTCTGCTCGCTGGGGACTCTGCAGGAGGGAACCTCGTACTCCAGATCTTCTCTCACATACTCCACCCTCTCGCTTCCGTTGAGCGCATAAACTTTCCCTCCGAAGCTCCCTCTCACTTCCGAGGCGCGTTCCTCTCATCTCCTTGGGTCTCCCCCAGCGGCGACATCGGAATGGGCCCAGCTAGTAACAACAAAACCGACGTCCTAGCGGCAAGTACATACCAAACGTGGGGCAAAATACCCCTCAAGGACGTCCCCGAGGCGGATCTTCCGTTCATAGAACCAGCCAAAGCGCCAAAGACGTGGTTCTCCGGTATCGAGAAGGTGGTGGAGCACATCCTTGTCACGTCAGGTGGAGCAGAGTGTATCACAGATTCGCATGTGCAGTTCCATGAGGAGTATCTGAAGGAACAGCACCCGGATGTGAAGTTTGTGGTACAGAAGGATGGAGTGCACGATAGTGTTTTGTTTGAGCTCGCTTTGGAGAAACGGCCTGTACAAGAGTTGGCGGGGGTCATCGTGGATTGGGTGGCGGATACGTTTGGGGAGGGTGCTTTGGCGACGTGAGATACTGGGAGGGTTTGTTGCGGAGATATTATTTGGATATTGGAACATTTGTCAATGTATGCTGCTGTTACGGTTGCAGTTGGGTGTCGACGAGCGTTTGAGATCTATGTTGTACGCTTGCTTGGTGACATATATAGGAACTGAATGGTAAGGAAATAATGCACCCTGCGAAACGGAGGTTTGTGTCTTTATCCTTGACGCCCCAGTAGTTCGAGGGGTATGCATTCAAACGAAAATACTCGCTCGATTGGCATTACATGTATCTTATTCACTCGAAGACTGTCTCGTATCTATTCGCACTCGATTAAAGAAGAAATAATGGCTGGTAACCGCCACGGAGGATGACGAAGCCATTTCAGTCCCTCACACGCCCGTCCCAAGCATGCTCTTTCAATGCATGATCGGGAGGGGCTTGTATGGCTCCTCGAGATACTTAACTTCTTCTTCAGTCAGTGCGACCCCGATGGCGCCTAGAACACCATTCTATCACCAGGAGCAATGCACAAAAAATTAGAAGACATACCAATGAGATCTTCAAGGTTGGCCAATGATGTCGTCCCAACAATCGGGGCAGAGATACCTACAACGGTACGTTAACAATTGCAGAGAGTATAAAAACAAAAGATACCGAACCCTCTTTACCCATGGAATACGCAACGGCGACTTGGGCCATCGAAATACCGCGCCTTTTTGCTATCTCTTCGACACTACGATAACTTTAGTTGGTCGAATCACGGTAAAAGGGGGAAAAGATGCACCGTTTGATAATTATTTCGGTAGCATCACCGGCCTTGTAGATTGTTGCCCAACTTGAGAAGATCTGAGCTGGACGTAGGACAGTTTTCACGCTAAATCACTTACAGATCTGTCTCCGTACGCTTGGTCTCTTGCTGGATGGGCCGTGTGAGCATACCTCGAGCAAGAGGAGACCATGGAATGGAGCCGACTCCGAAATGCTATATTGTGCAAATGTCTTGAACAAAAACTCTGAGGAGAAGTATGACAGCCGGACTGTACCTTGAGAGTAGGGAACATCTCACGCTCTTCTTCCCGATAGAGAAGGTTGTGATGATTCTGCATTGATACGAAGGGGGTCAAATTATGTTGAATCGCATAATCTACAGCCAAGTGTCAGTTTGATAGTACTAGAAAAGAAATATCACATACTCTGCATGACATGGACTGATGCGCAAGCACAATAATGAGTATGCAGCAGCAGCAGTGAAATAAGCCTACTGGTAACTCACACTGCCACGCGTAACAAGAAGACATGCCAATATATCTGACATATCCGGCCTTGACGACGTCGTGAAAGGCTTGCATCTAGTTGTATAAGCGTATTATAAGCACCGGCGGCGTAAAAATATTGTACAAAGATCAATTCACCGTTTCAGAAACAGGCGTATCGGGATCGAATCGATGGCCTTCAAACACGGCGTTAGAGAAAAGTCGAATGAGAATAGCAACGGACTGGCACCCACATTGTAGGACATCAATATATTCGAGTTGTAAACGTTTCAAGCTATGCTTGACACTGTCGAAGATGTGCTTCACGCAACCTCAGCGCATTTGTCTCCAGAGAAATGCTTGGCGCGAACGAACCTTTCTGCTGAGACCATGCTGGTTCACGTATCCATTCTTTTCGCTATCAGCGGAGGTCACATATAGTTCTTCAGGCTCTTGCCCGACTGTACAGAAGACCTGGAAAAACTCAGTCGGCGTCGCTTCAATGTGATTGAGCATCTACGTACTTTGGTCATCACGACGATTTCTTCGCGTGCCAAGTTGTGCTGCTTGATCGCCTTTCCGAGTGTGACTTCGGACTGCCCGTTAGAATAAATCTATGAGGAAAAATGAATTAGTCAAGAGGCATTCAGAATTACTGGGATGCTTGCGTTGGCAGTGTCGAAAGTATTGATTCCAGCATCGTAGCTACGAACCAGGTCAATATATTGAATAGAACCGACGAGGGAGTACGAACGCAGCCTTGATATGCTTGATACCTTCTTCCTCCGGTAGCACCCATCCTTGCCAGGCGGGATTGCCGTAGGACATGCATCCTAGGATGATCTTGGATACCTTCAAGCCAGAGTTTCCAAGACGAACTGGAGATAATATCATGAGCACGAGTGTAAAGACGAAAAGAACTTGCACACCATACTGCATAGTAGTGGGACGCATGTTGGAAACGACAGAGGATGGTGTTGTCCAGCTGAGCCCCAAGGATGTTTATATACAACATGGAATTTCCGTGCCGGAGCGACACGACAGTCTACGGCAGAGGGTCACGAATGACATGCAGATACGGCTTGTGGTTTCCGACACTGAAGGACTCATATGGGAGGCTTCTGAGGTCACGTACCGCAGGAAGGGACTCACTTGAGACCAACTTGAAAGTTGAGACCTTTCGATGTTTCGATGTTTCTAAAGGCCAGCCAAGAACTCCCTATTTTTCTCACCTCAACACTTCGCCTGGGCTCTGACAAGCGAATCGTATGACTTGATGACTGACTCGGAGGCTGGGTGATGCACCATAATTTCCGAACGGCACGGTATATAATACCAGAGGAAAACGCATTGCAATTTTCGGCATTGTTTTGGCACGTCCCGTCCCTCATGATCGTGCCGGGCCGACGTAATGGAATGAAATTTGATTTGCAGATTCTTTTTTTTCTTCTTTTTGTTGAGTGTTTGGGATGGCTTCATACACCCTGCTCAGCAGGAACCTTCCGACTAGCAGCATAGTGCGCCAAGGACTCTGTATTCCCGTTAATGAAGCGAGGTTTGCAGCTTCTTCTACACATGGTAAGGTGGGATTGAGTTCTCTTGTGTTGGGCCGATAGGTCACTTGTGATTACTCATCGACCAATAAAGCAGGGCCGAGTACTTCTCTCATACAGGTCTGCTCAAACAAACGACTGGATTGGGAAAATCCTGACATAGGTACAATTGTTCAACGGGCCATCCTGCTGTAATCATCACATCCAATCGACGTTTTCAACGACCTCAAGAACTTCTTTACAGAATGCTCAACGGTCTACTTATACAAGTATTTAATGGCATCCTCTTCAGAGCATTTTTTAAAGTCGTACACCGTCATCATGTAGTCCATCTCATACTATATCGTCGTCCCTACAGTCGCATTTCTTCTTACCTTCATGTTCCGGCGCTTCAAGAGGCGTAGATCTGCGGTACATAGTATTCGTGGACCGTCAAGCCCCTCATTTCTCTTAGGTTTGTTTCACTTCGCGTCGTTTAACTTTTTGCTAATGCTTGTTGACCAGGTCATGAATACCTCCTTCACAATCGTGAACATGTAGGTGACTTGGAGACGAAATGGCGTCAACAGTACGGCGCCGTATACCGCACTAAAGGATGCTTCGCGGTAGGTGTTCAACTTGCCTATCCTTTGTTAACGACCCTAACATTCAATGCAACAAGATATTTTGTCTGTCGGTGACCCTAAGGCACTGCAGTACATTTTCCATTCTTCTGGATATCGATTCCCAAAGACAAGAGACGTCCGTCGCACCATTAAGGCGCTCACGGGAGAAGGCTTAGCTGCTGTGGCAGGTATGTAAACGAGTTCTATGTCATCGTCAAGCCTCCCTGTGTAATTGGAGTTTCAGGTGATATTCATCAACGCCAGCGGAAGATTCCTGGCCCAGCTTTTGCAGCTTCCCAGCTCCGGCTCTTCCTGACAGTCTTCCAAGCGTCAGCCATGAAGGTACGGCAGACGCATCGACTTTAAAATTCTAATGTCTCATTCGAACACCCTAGCTTACCGAGAAGTTAAATGAACGCGCCACGGATGGTGGGGTGGTCAATGTGCTTGAGTGGACGAGCAAGGCTGCGCTGGATATCATAGGCATCAGTACGGTTTTCTCTTACATTCATTGACATTCAGTTCGTTTATAGCACACCCTCTAGCCTCTTTCCGATATCATTTCGATTCGCTCAACAATGGAGAAACCGAGCTCATGATGGCACTCAATAATATCTTGTATGCATCAACCTCTCTATTTGTGGCACATCTTGTATACTCTTTTTGTTTCAATAGTACCGAAGCTGGAATGTGGCCTACATCATTGAAACTTCTGTACTCCGCACTCTGGCGTTTACTCTCCGAATGGTTGCTTTCAGTGCTCGAATGGCTACCCAGTAGAGAGACCAAGCGGGTGAACTGGTTTAGAGATGTTGCAATGAAGGTATCCCGGCCTATATTCGAGAAACAACTGAAAGAAGCGGTCAATGATGTCAATCCTGCTGAGAAGGATGTTGTCAATGTTCTTGGTATGCAGTGTGAATTTCGTCATTGCAACTCTGTCTCATCTTATCTCAGCAATTTCTTATCTAAACGACGATACGAAGAAGAAGATGAATGATATAGAAATCGACTCTCAGCTTGCGTAAGTTGGTTTGGCTCCGCGCAACGCACCTACTTCTATTGACTGACTGAATGTGAATTCGACAGGACTTTTATTATAGCTGGTCATGACACGACCGCAAACACCATGGCTTGGCTTCTTTACGAGCTAAGTCTTTACCCTGAGGATCAAGTGAAAATACGTGCGGAAATTACTCAAATAAAATCGAACACCTCAGGCGCGCTTACCTCCAATGACTATGATTCAATGGTCTGGCTAAATGCGTGTATTAAAGTGAGTTTCCCTTTTATGATACAGCGCCAGCTTCCAAGTGCTAATTCATGTACTAAAATAGGAGGCTCTCCGTCTCCATCCTCTAGTGTATGCCCTGTCTCGTGAATCAGCCCAGGACGACGTTCTGCCCCTCGCGGAGCCTATCACGACTTCGGATGGGAAATTATGCTCACAGATTCCTATTTCCAAGGGACAGGTCATCATGGCTTCTGTATACACTTACAATCGGTATGTGAAACGTTTCTTTGTAGCTGGAGAGTCATTAATTTTATTCGGGGTCGGTTTTAGGCTTCCATCTGTCTGGGGTAACGATGCGGAAGAGTGGAATCCTGGCCGGTTCGTTGACGGTCGGGGCATCAAGCAAACTTCTCTTGGGGTTTATGCGAATCTGTACGGTTTATCCGTTTTATGTGTTTCTCATACTGATATTACTGCGATCGCATGGCAGGATGACCTTCAGTAAGTAATCGTATTTTTCTGTTCACGACCTTTGTTGATGATTGTACTACGATAGGTGCCGGTATTCGTGGATGCATTGGGTGAGTGCCTTCAGCACCACAAGTAAAAGTTCACGCCTGACTATAACCGCTCACTGGCACACATGCAGATGGCGATTTGCGTGAGAACAGATCAGCTTTCCATATTTTCTGAGATCTGATTGTTTTATAGTGTCATGGAACTGCAATCTGTGGTCACAGAGCTCTTGGATAACTTCGAATTTAGTATGCCGAATGGTGCTTCTAAATTGCAGCACGGTCCTGTTGGTGCGGGTTTGACCCCCATAGTTCCTGGAAAGGCAGAGGAAGGTCCACAAATTCCGTTGCGTATAATCGCACTTAATAAGTAGGTCTGTGATCGGGTACTTGGCTATGTCGTCGATGGGACTGTGACTCAGTAGTACTATCTCTGTGAAAGGTAGACACAAATTGTCTGGTATAAATAAATGATTTCTATCTTTCGGATAGACTCTACGATCAGATCCCTTCGCTTCCTCCCTTCATACATTTCAAGCATTATACGATGACAAACATCTTCGGAGGGCTGAACCGTGCCAAGAACAGCAACGGATCCTCAAGTCCAGCGAGGCCTTATTGATATATCAACCTGCGAAGGATCCATAAATTTTGCATACTGACTGAGAATGATATCAACCTGTTTGATTCAGAGAGTCGGACCATCGCACACGCCCTGTCGCGTCTGAGAGTGACGTTGACTAGTATGACGAGGAGGTTCCCTGTAAGGGAATCAAGAACTTAATTCAAACTGAGTGGAAACTCCGGTCAATAGCAACTGCTATCAATAATCGCGACCCACCCAGTATACTTAAGTAACCGGCCAGTAGGACTTCGATGCGAAGCAGGAGCAGCTGATCATAAATGTGACCCAATTCTTTTCTCAACAATTGGCATTCTTGTTACATATGTAACGTCCCATCGATCGTTAGTCTTCCCTCTTCCCAGCCAACAGCTATGTCCTCCCCCGACCAATATGGACAGATATCCTTCCGACAAAAGCTCAAGGTACACTCTTTGACGATGGTTGTGTTGCGTATGCCCCCACTGTCCCAATTTTGTGTTCTTGGTCGCTTATTTAAATTCCCAGCTCTTTATTCCCTGTGGATAGTAATCACTTATCCATTCTCCCCGAATCTACGAAAGAAGACACTCAAGCTTGCCATCTCACATGCTCAAACGAGATTTGCTACCGATAATTTTTCCGTTGCTGAGCTGCAGTTCATTGCAGGCCTCAGCGTCAATATCTACAAGAAGTGGGCTCAGAAGAACAAGCTGCCGGTTGATATCGAGGACCTTCCCGAAGAAGGCGCAAGGCTGTTATGGATTGGTCCCAAACGTACGGACAAGGTGATATTCTATTGCCACGGTATGCAGGCCTTATGACTATGGACATTCTGGGATTTGATGCCAAGTTCAAAGGTGGCGGGTTCGTTTTACCGTTCTGGGATTCGTTCCTAACCTTCTGGAGGCACGCACAAGTCGAATTGGAATCCAAGAACATACACATTGGCATCGCTGTCATGTCATACAGTATGTGTGAACCCGAGGCGTTAACATCTCTGACATTCAAACAGATCTCATCCCACCTGGGAAGTTCCCAAGCCAGCTCCGCGAAGCCAAATCTGGACTCGAGCATCTTTTCAAATCGGGCGTTAAACCTGAAAACATTCTGGTCGCCGGAGACTCGGCAGGAGGGAATCTCGTATTACAGATCTTCTCTCACATTCTTCACCCTCTAGCTTCTGTCGAGCGCATAAACTTGCCCTCTGCAACGCCCTCTCGCTTCCGAGGTGCATTCATTTCGTCTCCTTGGCTCTCTCCCAGTGGCGATATTGGAATGGGCCCAGCTTGCAATAATGAGACTGACATCTTGTCGGCAAATACGATCCGAGCATGGGGCACAATCCCCCTTGAGGGCGTCCCCGAGGCGGATATGGTGTACATAGAGCCATCCAAAGCGCCAAAGACGTGGTTTTCCGGCATCGAGAAGGTGACGGAACGTATCCTTCTCACCTCAGGCGGGGCAGAGTGTGTCACCGACTCGCATGTCCTGTTTTATGAGGAGCATATGAAGGAGCAGCACCCAGATGTGAAGTTTGTCGTGCAGAAGGATGGTGTGCATGATAGCGCTTTGTTTAAGCTTGCATTGGAGAAGAGGCCCGTACAGGAATTGGCGGGAGTGATTGTGGATTGGGTGGGGGATACGTTCGGGGAGGGGAGAGCTGAGAAATGAGAAGATCGGGTGCAGACGTGGTTCCCTCGACGATCGTCTACTTCATGTACTGAACCTTTGTAAATTTGTGTTAGTATAAGATTGATTTTTAAAGTCGCTACACCAGTTCCTTCCGCTCCTACTTGGTAAGGTCGTGGCACAGATAATTTTATACCTAAAGAAAAGTATCAGGGGTCGCTGGATACGAAGAACTGAGGCAGGAAATCAGATCAGAAAATTTACGATCGATTGGCATGACGGCGATGCTCATTTATGATCGAGCAGATATCCAACCGAGACAACGATTGAACTCATACTTCCGAAAAGAACCCTTACCCTCCAGTCAGTGAGCAATCAATCCAGGACCAACGCGCCCAACGACTCTAGAAGCCGCAAAAATAATGGTGAGGCAATACGATTTGAGACCGGATTCGACAAGCGCAACAGAACCGTAGACTACGTAGTCGTGGTGGTCGTATGAATTGGTAGTGAGTTGGAGTCCCGCCGAGACTCCGACTCTGATCGGTCCGATTCTCCGATGTGGCAGTGCCACCTCGAACTCAAATCAAAAAGTTCGACTGCACCGGTTTTATACCACAGGTGAAATTGAGTTTCGCACTGCAGCAAGGCTGATCCCATTTATGTGGCTAATTGCGAACATTATCCCTGACTCTTAGTGAAATGGCGAAGTTTCGGGTCTTTTTGCTGAAAAGGGTTACTATACCGACAGCTTTCATACTGTTTCACCTGGCAGACAGGGAAAACGCCGTGAGTCATTTATTTTCATGCTTCGGGAAGCTGACGGGCTCCCACTCAAATTGTCTGTGCTCTTGCCGTGCCTCAAATCTGCTCTAGGCGCTTGCTTTGTACCACCTCTGCTGGGTTTGACTGCGTCGTTTTCAGACTCCAACGATTTCGGTATTCGATGCACCGCTTCAGTTAGTCGAGTTCGGAAAATGGCGCCTTAAACCCGTAGCTCTTCTGGTCGTGCCCTTGCATGTGGATTTTTTTTCCTTCTTGGCCTACTCATTGATTATTCAACGCCATCATAGCACCGTACGAACTCGAACATTACGTCCTTATTGATCACAGAATGTCTCTCCAGGGCCATAACGCATATTGCTATTACAGCCTGTTGCAACCAGCCTGCTCATAGAGGACCTATTTTTCGTATCCTTGCGCGTACTTGAAGCCCGCTTGGTTGCAATACTGGCCACATAATGGCATCCCATCAAAGCAGTCTGCTTCAATGAGACATTGACATGACGATGAATTTTTCTAGTGGTGTCCTCAGGAGAACGGGTTTGTTGCTACACTGGCATGTGGCGGCATGAATCGGTGATGATTAATGATTATCAGAGCCTTACTCCGCTTCCTTCGACCCTGTCGCACCAAATACGGGAAACTCAGTGCATTCCTCGCTTTCCGAACGCTGCCAATGCGGGATTAGTATGCCCTGGAGATTTAAGATTTCTGCATCTAGGTCGTGGCCATGTATTTTTCGACGTATCATTTCTCATTTCTACCATCAAATTCATTGTCCCAGGGCCTACATTTGGCTATGGTATTCATGACCGGTACTCAACCTGCCACATAACTCAATCTCGAACAATTCTATACGCAGAGGACAAAGTATTGGAAATAGAGAACACACGTGTTGGGAAAGTTTGGGACTTATTTGTATGCTTAAAGACTCTGGTTATGACCCGTAAAAACTATACAGCCGCGTATTCAATGCAGGGCTAAGCGAATGGTTTGTCAGGCAGGCATAATCGTGATACCCGCGAGACTCTGAGAAAGATCCATAGAATCAGGGTGACCGAGCTGACGATCCCCACATTTGAGCTGCCTGCCGTCATACAGAATAGTGCCGTGGCTATTGGTTTCTAAACAAAGGAACGGCGGTACCGCTTATTACACACCGAACGACGATCGGGTTGACCCGACAAAGCCGTCGAAGATGCTTCGAAAGCCTGGAAATGTTGCTTGTATCATGGGGTGTGGTTTGTAGAATATCTTGCGTCAACCAGCACTCTCAATGGCAGACAAATTAAACCCCAGGCTCCGTAGTCGAGAGAAACAACTACCGAGAACGGAGTCCCATTGAGTAATGTTCTGGACCGGAGGCTGCATCAATATGACGTTGTGAATGAACATGCGGAGAGAGACTGAGATGGAGGGGACATCTCCCAATATCAAACCCAGTGTTCGTAACCGTCGTGATGTCTGCGTACCTGAAATTGACCCGTATGATTGTCCTTGGGCGGCCATCTGAGCGCTGAGACTTCGCATCGTCAGTGAAAACGGAGGTATTTCTGATGTGTCTCCAGGACGGAAGTCGCCACGCTTTTCTGTTCAGCATTACCATCGCCCAACAAATCTCCTGCTCTTCATGTCCTGGTGTAGACTAGGATTCAGTGTCCCTGGCTGATGACACGTACACGTACTCACTCGTGCGATTATACTGTGGTAAATAGCCTCCAAAATTGACTAGCGAACAACACCAGCGCCAGGATATAAAGCATCCGGCGACTTTGTAAGGACAACTGAATACCGGATCTACTGAGATCCCGATAGCCGCTGGCCCTGAAGACGCCGGTTTCAATGCTGATCAGTCTGATTCAGTAATGAGGATCGAGTGATGGGGAAAAACGTTGCTCTGCCTTCATGAGAAACAGGGTCCTCAGAAATTGGTGTGAAAGAACGAACCGACTACTGCATGCATGCCGTCAGGATTCATAAAATCCGAAATAGCTCAGGCTTGCTATGATTTCCTTACTGATACAAGACGCCGGCCGTGGCATCGCAAAGTGTGTGGGCGGTAATCTCCAGCTACATACTTTGTGCGTGTGCCAAGGACCTTGGTAAGGCTAAGTGACGGAGTTTACGGGAAACATACGAAAGAGGCTTCCGGTGTCTCGGGGAATTTTAATATCCCGTTCCGGCCTTTACCGGTAAATTTGCGGTTAATTATCTCAAATTCCCCTATTTTTACTTACTCTTTCGATTTAGGAGTGTGCTCGTTCATCGAAATTAAGGATGTTGCCATGGAGCTGGCATCTGCTATGCCAGATGGGGTATAAAAACAGTCTTCCGCTGAACCGGGCCTTCTACACGCCATTTTTTCGTGGTTGCAAACATTACCAAATATATTTTCGGACGACGGACTCTTCACGCGGTTGCCGTTGCAATCTACTGGTGTCTGATCTAAAATTTCCCCTCAAAGTCTTCACATGTGCTCAACAGAGGAAGCGTACATTACCCTGATATCTTTGACAAGGCCCGTTGACAACAAATTTATGATTCATGCTCAGCATCCGTCTCGTGGAATATTTTCGCTATCAGTGAGTCATTGAAGCTGGACTCACGGGCCATGGCATATTGCAAATTTATAGGTAGCTCCTCATACATACATCGCAGGGTAGATCTTTCATTAGAATTTGATTTGGCGCCCGCTACGTTAAAATGAGATCATATTTAGTGAGTTAAGATAAAATGGACGGGCAGAAAATCCTTCAGAACTGTCATCGAGTTCGCCTGCAATGCCTCTTATCATCGTAGCTGCAGTTATCGGCACCGGCAATCTCTCAAGACGTATCACTGAGGTGTGCTGCTATGTTTCATCCATAGATGCTCCGATGATTTATTGACAACTTCACGCCAAAAATGTAGCAACTTCTTGTACGCGGAGCGTATGTCATCGTATTCGCATCTTCACGAGACTCTTCCTCAACTTCGGAGGAGATACCCAGAGGCTCCATCATCGTTCGCTCGGACTATAGGGACAAGCGCAGTCTAATTTCATCATTCACTACCTATGGCGCGGAAATAGTTGTCAGCTGTCTTCATGGTGACGCTCTTGACCTTCAACCCGGGATCGGGGATGCTGCCAAGCAGGCCGGCGTTAAGCTTTTTATTCCTAACGACTTTGGCTTTCCGCTCCCAGGGTATACTCAAAGCACGTCTATAGTCCGAGAAGGTTATGCTCGTGAGTTCTCTCCCCACGCCGCTGTGACCGTGGCTGAACACATTTTTCTCATTGTGCAGAATATATAACTAGAATCGGCCTTCCAACTACAAGAGTATTGGTACTTATCGTAATGGTGTTATTGATATCCGCTGATGTCGATGAAACAACTGCAGGTTGGCATATGTGCTGAGGGAATTCCCTGGCTTGTCGCATCTTCTTCCGCTCCTGGAAAGGTTTCAATTATTGGATCGGGAAACGTTCAGGCGTCCTTCACGTCAATTATTGACATCGCGGGTGTGTGGACTTTCTCCTACCTTTCCTTGAGGCGCCGACACTTTTATGCAGGCTTCATTGGGCATGTGCTAACGTCGTATTCCATCTCACAACTAGCGAATCAGGTCTTCCGATTGGAGGGACAATCGGCGACGCTTCGTGAAATCGCGGCGATGTATGGGAAAGAAGCAATACAGGTCAACTCGCTAGACGATCCAGATGCGACATATATGCAGAAGCAGATAGATTTTGGGCTCGGTCGATGCGGACATGAAGCACACAGCTCAAGGATGTCATCAGAAGAAGCTGACTTGATAATAGCTTCGAAGGCATGGTGGACAGGGCATGTATGGAGAAACATCAGAGATGCCTTACCCGGATTCTGACAAGACTCACGAAATGTTGAATGAGACACATGATACCCGACTCTTACCTGCCTCAATTACCTATATTGTACACCGCTCGTTATGGACTTTTTCTTTTATCCGTACTCGTAAACTTCATCCCGACAGTATATATACCTTGTAGGTATGGCATCCGCATCCTCGGTCGTTTCACCTGTACTGTGCTGACTCAGAGCAGAAACGGATCTAGAAAGATATCCAGAAGACACCTACGGTACGTAGACGTGTAAGTATAAACAACAGAATCAAAAATGACGAACATTCTGGACATAAATATGTAACGCAAGACCCTTTCTCCAGTCCAGCACTGAAAGGCGTGTCAGGTCACCTGGAACTTGAGAAAGGTATTGTCTACCACAAGTAATCGGGTCTATCAGTTAAAAATATTTTCCTGATATACATAAAAACGCACCCTCTCAATCAAATGCCATCACGGCGGCTTCTTTTTTGTTTGCCTAAATCGCGAGGAAAAACACAACTTTCGGGCTGGACGATTTCCTGACAGGACGATGTGTCAAGAGGAATAATCGAGTTGTATAATTCATTTGCACGTCGACGGTATCGCAAGCAATAGTGCCCTCATGATAGTCAGGAGAAGAGCAACGAGCGTGACTGTGACCTCCGACATTCGTGCCTGAGGACCCCGGATAATCCCTACAAAGCTCTGATCCCATATCCCGGATTTTTGGCCATTTTGGACCAAAGGTATGATCCCAATCCCGGATTTTCGACTCATTCAGGCCACCATCTATGATGCATTTTGTCCCGGAAATTCGACAATCTCATGCAAGGTATGGTGCCAAATCCCGGATTTTTGACTGGTCTGGGACGTCGGGTTTAGGATCTAGCCATGCCGAGTTGGCGAGTTGAGCACCGCATGCCGAAGACCAAGCCTGCTTGTGGAAAGTGCATTTTTGGATGAAAATCATTCAAAATAGGAGGGAAAAAGCCTCCGGCACTTCGGCATCTCAACAGAATGTGGGAGGAAAAAATCCAGGTATAGTGCCAAAAACCCCGGAAATTGGCTTCTGGGAGGTCAGGTCTCAGGCAAAACCCGGAAAACAGGGTCGTTTCAAGACTCCAAAAATCCCGGAAAAGGGCATTTTCCGGATCGAAGCTCTATAGGCATTATCCAGGGTCCTCGTGCCTGTTTTAGATCCAGCGGGCTGAGTCAGCAAGTAGGCTTCGACGTTCATATCAACGTTCCTTGCGCATCGGATGTCCAGCTTTTTTCTTTCTCTTACGACTAATCTATTCCACCTCTTATGGTGCGCTATGGCTTCTAATAAGTGTTTCTTGTGATCTGCTTTGCTAGGACCCGTAAATCATTGAATTGTTGATTTATTCTTCCATAGGTCATGAACCATCGGTGTACTAGAAAGTTGTTACAATACCTCAACAAAAATAATTGGTAACTAGACCATAGCCTGTCAGTGCATGAGGATAGGGAAAATAATCCCACCGACATGGGGTCCTGCGGTAACGCATCCAGTTGTGTGTGTATTCTTACGCCTGAACCAATGAGCAGTGATAGCTAGGCAAGGGAAAAATCTAAAAATGACAAGGTCAGATCGAGGCACGTATTCAGAAAGTCAGCTGCTAGAAGATATCGATTTAAATATGGAATATCGCTCTGTCCTAGGCCCTTTAAAGAATAGCTGCCAAGATATGGATATCTAACAGGATGCTAATTGAATTGAATGATGTAAGAATCATAGCAAAGAAAATGGTAAAGATGTGAGTATGACAGTGTACTATTCCATTATGTCATTTAACCGGATCCTGGATACAATGTGTTAGAGACAAGGACAAGGATATCATGGAACAATCAGTCATACTGACCTCCAGAGTAGACCTTGCCGAACATGATTTCCTGAAGCTTATCATATAGAGCCAGCACACCAGCACCAGCAACACTACAGAGAATGTTGGCACCGGCACCTTTGAACAACGACTTGACGCCCTCCTTGGCGACGATCTATAACAGATGGTGAGATGCTGGAAGTGCATTCATGAAGACCGCATACTTGAGAACCAGCGTCAAATGTGGACTTGTAGTTGACACCGGATCTGGAAGTCATCATCATGCGACAACTGCAGACATGTGAACATCTCGGTTCATAGGGGGAAAACAATAGGAACGTACCGGACAGTATCAATAGGGTAGGAAAGGAGACTAGCACCAACAGTGACACCCCAACCAAGACCGAATGAAGTCAGGAAGGAACCCTCAAGAGGACCAACGAGAACAACGGGCTCTGCGAGACATCATAAAGACAATGAACAAGAAGTGATCCATCCACTTACTGAGTGAGTCGTAGCCACCAAAGTAGAGACCATGATAGATGACGATACCAAGGATGGAAGGGAAGAAACCACGATAGAGACCGATAATGCCATCCGAGGACCGCTCCTTGAACTCTGACCATCACCACAAGCTTTTTTCCCACGGTGAAAATTGCCACTCGGACTGGATAGAGGAGGCCCATCTGGCGCTCCGCACTAGCTTACCTTGCTACCTTCACACTCAGATGGACTGAAAACGAAACGGCTCTCTCGTCAACTGGTGTGCTCCCTTAGCGAAGGAGATCAAATCAGCAGACTGGCTGGGCATCATTTGCGTCCGCAATTTGATGAAAAACTACACTGGGGTAGTCCTCCCTTAGCAAAGGAGGTTGATTCAGCAGACTGGCTGTGCTGTCCTGGGCCCGCTTACGACGGCTAACTCATACCCCCCCTTCCCAATAGAGCATGTCTGCTCAAAGATTTGGGTGTGTCCGGGCCGGCTTTTGCCACCTGGCACGGTCTGGTTTCCTTTGGCCGATAAGCCGAGCCTAGCTCATTTGGTTGATGGTCAGAATTAGACGTTAAACTCGCAACGGAGTCCTCCCTTGGCAAAGGAGGTTTGCAGAGGAAGTGTCTGAGCTCCAATGCACTAAATTAAATCTGCCAAATCCCATAAAAGGGTCCCCCCACTTTCGGTTTGGGATAGGCAACTATAATTGTGGGGAATGCTTTTAAAAACCATCCGAGACCAACATGGTCGCAGGACACCCACAGCCTCCTCTGAAGTTCGCTTTGGCAAAGGAAGGTGGTTAGTCATGACATGGTCCGGGTCTGTGGCTGGCATGGCAAGGCAGTGGACTCAGCTTGGATCGCGGATCCGTACGACCTCCAATGGTCAAACGAAGTGCCAGGCTGGGAACGGGAAGCTCTGGGTGCAAATTGGTCCTTCGTACCACATCAGAGTGGGCTGTGGCATGTTAAGTTAGTAGCTTAGCATGGCCCAAGAGGACAAAATCCCCTGCCGGTCTCATCACCTGAAATGGTGTCATCTGAATGACAAAGAGGCTCATGTTGTTTCCTCAGGACACACTGGTAGGCCTTGCAAGAGTGCCTTTTATCTGGGGCGAAGATGACCTGTTGGACAGAATGGTTGGAAAATGCTGGAAGCAGGAGCATTTGGGAGGTATGCAGCTTCATATCACAACCATCATCAGACGGAGGGCAAGCAAGAGTACCAGACCTTGTTGTCAAGGCCCAAGGACAACCAACCCACAGAATACAGGAGAACGAAGAGAAGGGTAACGTATTTCGATCTGCCTTTTTCCCTCCCAAACCGCCTATATCGGCAGTACCAGATAATATCTGCTACCCGCCACCAGCATGGGAGTTCCAGCTGATTACAGATGAACAGATCGAGTGGGCATTCAGAAGAATGAAACCCCTCAAGGCTACTAAGCCGGGCACAGTACCAAACTGTGTGCTCTCCTGATGTGCTGACCTTCTTGCCCCACGTATAGGACCTGTATATCGGGCAACATTTACCCTTAAGGAATACCCTGAAACATTCAGTGCAACAAACACAATTATTCTGCGAAAACCGGGGAAGCCAGACTATGAGGACCCCAATGCCTATCGACCCATTATTCTGTCTGATGGTTGGGGCAGAGGCCTGCATGCAACTATGAACCAGGACCTCGTTGCTTGGTGCGAACTCACGGGACTACTCCCAGACAGGCACTTTGGGGGACGCCCGGGGCGTTGCATGACAGATTCCATTCACCTCCTGATCTCAACTATCAAAGACGCATGGCACAAAGGAGAAGTCGTTACGGTTCTATTCCTTGACGTCAAAGGCGCATTCCCAAGTGTAGACATTGACATGCTCGTGCATGAAATGCTAGCACTGGGCATTCCCGCTCCATACACGGAATGGCTACAGAGGAGACTCGAAGGGCGCAAAACCATCCTTACCTTTGACGATTTCAAATCTATCATCTTTGATATAGCTAACGGCTTAGATCAGGGCGACCCCCTCTCACAGATTCTCTATGTCATCTACAACTCAAGTGTGGTAAAACGGCTCAAGGAGGATGAAGAAGGATACCTATTCATTGACGATAAGGCCATCTTGGTACAAGGGAAAACATTCATAGAGACACACCAGAAGATCAAAGACGTAATGGAGAGAGAAGGGGGTATCCTCAAATGGGCGAAGGAACACAACTGCGAGTATGGGATAGCAAAGTTCCACTGCATCAGTAAGTTAACATCCGTATGGTACGCATGGCACCATGCGAATCATGCAAGCTATACCGTTATACAGGTGCATGACTCTATAAGGTACCTACGTAATTCTATGCACCTTGTATAGCAGATTATACTTAACCATGCAGTTGTGTGCCATGTCTGTTCGGACTGTTCCATGCCGCTACACCACTTAATTTCATATCAATTCCGGGTCTGAATCAGGCAGTGGAAAATTAAAATTCGTTCTATTTAGCATGCAGATAATACAGGGTAGTATAGAATAATAACTAGCATGCAATACACATCACGGTCCTGCCCGTTCACCCATGGGTGAAAATCATCGTCTATACTAGCACCCCACTCTGCGGAGATTAGGCTGGGGCAGACTATGAGGAATTGGGTGAGTGCATGGGTATTGTATACAGGAAAATTAACATGCACCTTCCGGCCATAACGTATGGCGCATGGTGCACTCGAAAATTGTGACGCTGACTGGACCATGCGTAGCATGAATTGCCAAGACAGAACAGCAGATGAGGTCAGGATCAAACTTGTAGAGAATATGCGCACCTCTACATCCGTCATATCTTTCTTGACAAGCTATCGGCACTACCACATTTAATTCAAGACCATACGAAGTCCCAGACCTTCACAAAGTAGTACCAGCATCGTTGGCAAAGGCATTGTTACCGGCCTGCTAGGAAGAGAGAGCCATGGAACAGCGATGGAGCGAGAACGTGCTAGACTAGCATGAGATGTGAAGCTTAGTTTCTCTGAGGAGATCCATGCTAAAAATGACTTACCAAGCTATACAGTGCAACAGTGGAGGTCGACAGAATGGCTGCCTAGGAGCTGTGTGTTAGCAGAAGGAAAAGCCGAGAGGAGGAGGAGGAAGAAAGAGATCAAGTTCTGAACGATCAAATTTCGCAAGTTCAACATGCACGTGATCAGATGACGTGCTTGCAACACGGCCCGGTCCATGCCCAATGACATCACACATATCTGAATTGTTGTTCTTCAGCAGTTCAGTGTCTGAACACCCAGAAATATAAGGACTTCTGCACAAGAAAACCAGTCCCAAGCTAAACTTATATGCAGCCAAGGAGAAATATATTTGGATAGCAGCCATGCAACTATACCACCACTGCATGGTAGTGTGGTCTGCATGGCTAAATTATTTGGGCATGGTGATGCATGGGTATGCATGACTCAAAATCTAATATACAAGCCATGCATACCATGCATACCACACGGAGGTGAACTTACTGATTGGCAGCTTGTTGACTTTACGCCAAAAACACGGGAGATAACTTCCCAACAAGGGAACGGCACCAAGCACCAAGAACCGGATATAGGATCACCAGTCCAGATTGGCCAGCACCTCATAGCACCAAAACCAGTTGCAAAGTTCCTCAGAGTCTACATCGATGCAGGACTGCGGTGGAAGGAGCAAGGCGCAGCTGCCATAAAGAAGGCTGATGACTGGATAATCCAATTCCGACGACTTGCACGCATGAGCTCAGGAGTCACCAGGGAGGGCATGCGGTTAACCTATATTTCCATTGCTATACCACGAATTCTATATGCTGCTGACGTGTTTCTAAACCCACAGAGAAGGATGAAAAAGAAGAGGAAAGATGGGAAAAGTAGCATCCGCACCGTGAACTGTCTGTCCTCCATACAGAGGAAGGCAGCCATTCTAATAACGGGAGGCATGCGCACAACAGCTGCAGATGTCCTGGATATACATGCTAACCTTCTCCCCATGCAAGGACAAGTGGAGGTATATCGCCACCGAGCGCTTGCACGCATGGCATGCCTACCCTCGGGACACCCACTATACAGACCCATACGCTGAGCAGCAAACAGATACGTTAGAAGACATCGATCCCCACTACACGAACTGACAAGAGACTTCGATATCCAACCGGACAGGACAGAGACGATCAAAGCGGTGCGGTTCCCACCACAATGGAGATCAAAAATCAAGATTGAGATAGCGGAATCAATGGAGGAGGCAATGGCAATGGAGAGGATAGACAACAGCAAGGTAAAGGGATATGGAGACGGATCAGGTATAGATGGCGGTATAGGAGCAGCAGCAGTGGTATTTCGCGATGGAAGAAGGGTGAAGACGCTGAGACTGAGAGTAGGATCAGCTCAGAAGCACGAGGTATATGACGGCGAGGGTCTGGCACTGGTCTTATGCACGGAACCACTCCGAAGCATGACAAACGTGCGAAGCGCAACATTCAGCATTGACAACACATCTGCTATTCAGGCAACAACTCTCTCACGACCAGCACCTTCCCATCACATCTTTGATCTATTCCACAAGCGCATTGACATGGTACTAAAGCGGCATCCCAGCATCTCCATCAAGATTCGATGGGTACCTGGACATCAAGGCATAGCAGGCAATGAAGCGGCAGATGAAGAAGCGAAGACAGCAGCCCGAGGCGATGTTAGTGAGCTGCAGAAACTCCCTGCGCCACTACGCAAACCAATCCCCTACAACAAATCATCGCTACTCCGAGTGTTCTACGCGAAGCAGAAACATCACGCTGACAGGGCCTGGAGAAAGTCGCCCCGCTACTCCAGGTTCCGACATATCGACTCAGCAACTGCTCAGCGAGCTGCAAGCAGGTATAGGAAGCTGGCCACTTCCATGCCACGCAAAATTACCAGCATAATGACGCAGTTACGGACTGGACACATCGGGCTCAACCATCATCTCTTCAACATCCAACGAGTCGAATCCCCTGCATGCCCAAAATGCTCCTACCCGAATGAATCTGTCCACCACTACCTCATACGATGCCCAGCGTACCAGAATGAACGAGAAGTGCTACAGAGGTCTATAGGTGTCCGAGGATCAGCAATGACAATCAAGCACATTTTAGCGTGCCGAGAGAACATCCCCCACTTGATCCAGTACCTCAATGACACACGCCGCTTCGAGGCAACATTTGGGACCTTTCCCGACGTTGAAGTAGGTGAAGAAGACAAGGAAGACTAAAGCATACAAAGAGATGGAACCAGCAAGTGCATAACGAAGAAGAGAAGGCGATAGATCTACCGCCTTACCACCCTGATGCCAAGGCAAACGGGAAGGCGGTCGCGATGTGGTTCGCACTGAGCTCAGAGAAGCTCGTTTGTTAACATGCATAGGAATGTAGAACAGAAAAATGGATGAGATATAGATAAGTAGCAATATCCCACCATACACTAGCGTGTAGGATTACGGTACATCACATACCAACAGGATTCAAAAAAAAAAAAAATGCCATCCGAAGCATAAGTCTTTTTGTACACGTCAGCGAGGCCATTGAACTGACGTTCTCCTCCACCTTTAATAGACTTGGTGTCGTTGGCAAGACGAGTGCGAGCGTAGTCCAAAGAGTAGAGGAAGAGGAGGGAGGAGGCACCAGCGGCACTACTGGAAGCGACGTTGCCAGCGAACCACTTCCAGTAGCCTTCGTTCCTCTTGAAACCGAACAAAGACTTGAAGTAATCCTCTGTGGAATGATATGAGAGTCGTGACAACCGAAGGTAAAAGTCCGACAAACTGAAGGCGAAATTCAGAGCCTGGGTAGGGAAGTACCGAATGATGTTGACGGTGTTTCCTCTCCACAGTGCCACGAGGCCTTCGTCAGCATAGGTACGCTTGAAGGCATCGGTAACACCCTTGTAAGGAGTGGAAAGACGACCTTGCTTGATCTGAAAGAGGACAAGACAAGGAGTCATCGGCTAATAAAAGCGAGTGCAAGACGCAAAAGTTACCATTTCATCCTGGTTCTGGACCATTAGCTTAATCCGCTCAATTGGGGCAGCGCTGGTCTTCGAGACAGCCTAGAAAAAATATTGAGAACTCCGTAGAGAAATGAAAGGCAGGAATAGGTGCTTACAGCTAAGACACCGCCCATAAGGAAATCGACTATGGATTGTGACGATGAGGGTACGGCCTAGAAAACAAAGACGACAGCGGCGGACCTGCAAATTCCTTGGGCGTCTTGCCCTTCTTCACGTCAGACATTGTTGGGAATAGGACAAGTGAGAGTAGGGATGAAGCTGGAGTGGCTTCCGTGAAAAATGGAACGAAGGCATTAGCGATGAAAAAAAGCTTTTCAGAATCTCTCGGATTACTTTCATCTCCGCAGCCCGCTTGACTCTGACTACCGCGGTAGAAAATTTGAGATATGCATGTGCTGGCGCCCGACCGCGACGAACATTGCTCAGTAAGATTTCTATTACCTTTGCTAAGATTGGCCTCTAGGCCTCAAGCGGAATCAAGTTGATCACATGATAACCCGAGCGGCAACCAATAAGCATTTGTATGGGATTGTTACCCCCCAACGTCGCCACAATCGCCAAAAACGGCACCGTTAAGGTTGGCAGAATTGCGTGTAGAAGCCGTAAAGGAGTCCTTTTTGACGAAGCGTTCAAATCAGGGATGTACACCGTATCCGTACTACGATGGGTACGTACGGTGGATACGGATACGGGCCCGTACCGTGGCCACCTTTGACGACCCAAAATACGGCCGTATTCATACGGTTAAAATACGGTCATCAAGGGAGTGGCCAGGGATAGCCTAATACCATCGAGGTAAGTACGGATGATCTTAATGAAGCAAATAACACTCACGTCTTGACTCCAGATATTCGTCGTCACTGTAAAACTGTCCGTATACGGACAACGGTACGGATTTGACGTCAACCGTACCGTACCGTGAACAATAATTTTGATACGGTCTACGGCCGCATCCGTAACGGTACAGTGCACATCCCTACAAGTCCCTCCTCCTGTTAATGCGATCTACTTGGTTCTGCTTTCGGCCTATCTTAATTGCGAATATCGGAAAGGTGTACAGATGTGACTTAGCTTGGTCTATAGCAGTGGACAGGAGGTTGTATTGTGACTTTTTACACATTCCATCCGCTGCTACTCCGTTAATGAACTTTCTTCTGCGACTCGCACCATTACCTTGGACCGATCTCCTAGAAGGGTGACCCAGAACGCTGTTCACATACGCGAGCCTTCAATCTTTTAAACATTATACGATAACAAATATCTTCCGTTGAAGGCTAAACCGAGCCAAGAGCAGCACCACGGATCCTCCCAGTCCCACGATACCCTATTAGTACTTCAGCGAACGAAGAATCCATGAAATGCGCACACTAACCGAGAACAATATCAACCTATGAAAGTCCTCAATCGTCTTTGTCCGAATGAACAGCCCACCAATGGGGGTCCCAGTAAGAGCGCCAAAGGACATGAACGCGAACATCATCCCTATCCGTGCGCCCACGCGTTCGATGGGGGATATCTGCGCAACACAGGCCTGCCGAAAGCGGTCAGCGAAATATGACGTACTTTTTGAGGGACGTACGGGGAGGAGAGCGAAGAAAGGGCCAGATGTGAATCCATACAGAGCAGCGAAGGCCACCAAGCTGCCTTCAGTGGAAGAGGTATACCAGACCGCGAGTATAAGAATCGAGGAAATGAGTGTTGCGGTACAGATAACGTTATACCTAACGAGAGGCATTAGAAAGAGTCACTAAGCTATTCAAGAGGCCGGGGCCCGGGATTCAGGTGCGAGGGTTTACGATCGATTGGCATGGCATCGTTACGGCCTTGATTATGATCGACTTCAATCGAAACGACGATCGAGAAGTTCATAGCCAAGCACTTCCCCAATAAACGGGCCCCGAACAAACCCTTACCTTCCCAATCGGTCAGCAATCAATCCCGGACCGACGCGTCCGACGATGGAAGTCGCACAGAGAATGGCGAGGTAATATGATGTTAGACCAGATTCGCCGAACGCGACGGAACCGTAGAGTCCCACGTAAAAGAACGGATTGAAAATGGAGAAGATGGAGATCCACGCACCAACTGCGAGGAGGCTGTATGTTGGGTGTTTGAACGCTCCAAAGTCCAGGAGTCTGGACATCGGAGGGAAAGGCTTCGTGGGGCGCCGAGGGTGGATCGTGATCACCGCAACGATGTAGCAGAAGAGGCAGATAAATCCAATGATACGAATCGTCCAGCCTTTCAAGCAGAGTAAGCCGTTGAGAGTTCTAATGAGCGCAGTATGGAATCTTACCGAAGCCAAATTTGGGAAGAAGGCGGTGCATAAGGATTGGGAAAATAATCCCGCCCACGCTGGGCCCTGCAGTAACGCATCCAGTTGTGTATGCATTCTTACGCCTGAACCAATGAGCAGTGATAGCTAAGCAAGGGAAAAATCTAAAAATAACGAGGTCAGATCAAACATATTCAATACGTCAGCTCCGCCAAGAGATTATCGGGAGATTTATGGCATACGCACCCAAAGGTTGCGCCGACATTGAATAAGACCCCTTGACACAGATATTGCTGCCATATATGCTGAGGCTTGGTGATGGAGAGCATAAAGATAGAAAACACGACGATAATCCCGCTTCCGGGAATAAGAAGATGCGGACCCACAGCGTCGAATACAGCTCCGGAAAACCCGGCGACTGTAGATGCATAAGCCAAGACTTCATATTAAGGGCACCAGGACCACGAACAGATGTATAGAAGAAACACCTGCAAGGCGCCTATCATGGATATAAGGGTAGCCGAGTAGTCCGACAGGTATGTTTCATTGTAGTAGTCCGAGAAGGCGCCGTAGCCGTTTACGAATCTTTAAGGGAGTCAGAATTACAGTTGGTTGGTATTACCCATCAGAGGACAACTTACCCAAAAGTGCATAATCCCACTAACGACGCCCCTAATACAGTCGACCAGGCCTTGAAACCGCCGTCTGTCGGCTCATAGTCGAGCGGATTTTGTTGTGGGGGGACCGACCCTCCCTCTTCGGACTTAATAGTCTTCAGATCAAGATGAGGTGATAAAGTGGATCCTTCGTCATTGACATAAGTCGCTTCCGGCATTGCTGAGATAAAAAAGAGAATGACAGAAGACAGAACTGAAGTTGTGGAAAACCAGCCATTCTCCTGCAGAGATTTGTCAGACGATGGGAAAACCTCGGTAGTAATATTGTAAGTACTTGCCGGCGGTACTTTAAGGGATCCACCTGAAACCGACGTCGGAGTGCCAATTTTGACTTCTCTTGGAACCGATCCACAACATTGCCAGTCATCTGTACTCTGGAAACCTTGTTACAGAATGGCCACGCCTAATTCCGACTTACCATCACTTGTGTCAGTGGGCTACAAAACTATATAGTATGCAATTACTCCCTTCAGCACCCTTCCAAGTCATGGCGTTCTTGTCGTCCACTGAAGCAACCGTCATTCTCATTCTGTCAGCGCTCTACGTGGCGTTCGTCCAGTCACGAAAGACCGGTTCGCGGACGCTCCCTCCTGGTCCATCCAAAATCCCATTCTTTGGGAATTTGTTCCAGGTACCCGTGTTGAGACCATACCCCAAGGTGAGCTGGGGAATCGAACAGTTTTGATGATGTGATAGCTCATCATGTTTTAGTTTAGAGAATGGGCTTTGAAGTACGGTCCCATCTATCACCTTCGTCTCGGACCCCAGGATGTCGTCGTCTTGAACACCGCCGAGGCTGCTGATGAGCTGTTTGTGAATCGCAGTAAATCTTTTTCCAGCCGCTCTCCTCCACATGTAGCACACGATATCATGAGCGCGGGGCAGCGACTGGTGTTTTTGCCTTATGATAGGGAATGGAAGGTATGTGCTGCTCGTCGTCTCGGTATGCCACCTCGTAATTTGTTTCAAGGTCGCGAGAAAAAGTTTGCATTCATCTATCGGGCCCCAGGCGTCCAAAAAGCTGCGGCCATCTCAGCATCTCGAATCATGCGTCCTCCTGAATGATATCCTCTCACACGGCAACTATAGTGTCGAGCAAAAACTCAAGGAAGGACCCGACGGCGTTGTCCCTGAAGAGCACTGGTTCTCTTTGATACGCAGATACGTAAGTTGTTCCCAGCTCCTTCCATTGCTCTCCTTGACTGATGCTGCAAACATAGACAACCAGCATCGTGATGACGGTAACATATGGCAAACGAGCTCACAAGATTTTGAACAACCATCGGCTGTAAGTAGGACGTTCGGTTGCAATGCCCTACGAAGCTTACCCCCCGTACGTAGACACAAAATATACGCGGTCCTGGCCAACTTTACCACGGTCGGACAGCCAGGAAATTACCTGTACGTGTTCATCATGTCAACTTCCGCGTAGCTTCGTAACCCCGGGTATTAGTGCAGATGCCTTTCCCATCCTCCGCAAGCTCCCTGATGTCCTTGCTCCATGGAGAATCAAGGGCCGGGAGATGCATGAATGGTTCGCAAATTGCTTTCCTGTTACTTGCAGAAGTTGACGTTTTTACCAGGGAAATGGAGTTGTGGGGCGGTCTCCTCGATGACATACAAGCCGACATCGACAAGGGCGTCTCCGTTCCCTGCTACGTCGGCACTTACCTCAAACAGCGCGCTGAAAACGGCCATGCCGAAGCTCCGGGATGTGGGCTCACCGAAGATGGTTGGCTCCGTGACAAGCTCCTTGCTTACACTGCCGCAACTGTCCTGGAAGCCGGGTCTGATACGACAGCCAGCACGATGCAGTCATTCATCTTATTCATGCTCAGCCACCCGGCTGTCCTCGAGAAAGTCAGAGCCGAAATCGATAGTGTCGTGGGCCCAGACCGTATGCCGACATTTGACGACGAACCCAATTTGCCGTACTTTGTGGCGTGTATCAAGGAGACGCTGAGGAGGAGGCCGCCGACGATTATGGGTAAGGCAGAATTGTCACGAGTGTTTGAGGTTGGTTAATGACGATGTATGCAGGGATTCCGCACAGCGCGGATGAGGATGAAGTCTACAATGGATACTTTATCCCCAAGGGAGCGACCGTTATCGGAAATGTATGGGCTATTCATATGGACCCTGCACGTTATCCGTAAGTTTCAGTCGGTGTGCTTTTGGGAATGGATGCATAGACTAACCCTTTTGTGTCCTAGCAATCCTACTGCATTTCAACCGGAGCGGTTTTACGTCCCCGGAAAGCCCACTCGCTGGGCAAGCGGACCGGACCAGGACCGTGATCAGTAGGTTCTTGTCGTCTGATTGTATCCTCTCTGCTAACCTCGTTCACAGCTACGTCTTTGGCTGGGGTCGCCGTTTCTGCCAGGGCAGCTACATCGCCGAAGCCTCTCTCTTCATTGTGCTCTCTCGCCTCCTGTGGGGTATCGACTTCCAGGCCCCCATTGATGAGAAGACTGGCAAACCGATTATCCCAGATATGGCGGACGACGAACGCACATTCTCGGATGGATTCGTGAGCATTCCAAAGTTGTATAACATCTCGTTCAAGCCGAGGTCGGAGAAGTGTGAGAGGATCATCAGGAAGGCGTGGGATGAGGCACAAGCGGCTTGGGAGGAGACGGGGATGATGCCGGATGAACGGTAATGGTATTAAACAACACTCGCTGGGCTTACCTTGTATTTTACTGGAAATTTAGATTGCCGGCAAGTTCATAGCATCTAGTTCTACACACCTATTAGAAAATTCCATTCCACTTCAACGTTCAATAGCCAAAGCGTGCTATCCGGTAGAGAATTGCATTCGGCTCGAAGCTTTCAAGGTCCTTGGACCGCTTAGCGCTGAGTTAGGGGCCTCTTCGCATGAAAAAGCAAATTCCGGTTGGCGCCTGTCTATTTTACAAAGGCGTATTAGTGCTGGATAGCTGTGCATATAATGGTGGTAGACAAATGGAATACACGTACTGTGTACGTTCAAGGGTCTTGTCGAGTTGCATGCGCTCCGGGAGAGTCGAAGAATGGCACGGAAAGTTCATATCACGTTTTCGGATGTCAATCCAGCTACCCCAACAAGCGATACAAGAACGGGCGAGGGGAGAGAAGCAGAGATGATGGGGGAAGGGAAGAAAGAAGTGTCGGAACCGGTCTCTGGCAAGTGGGTTCCCTTTATACTCCGGGAGGGCGTGTCAATTCGGTATACGCGCGTCATAGTTAATGGTCGTAGGTGACGCGATGACGCAATGACGAAGGAGGTCAAAAACGACGCGACTGGTTGAGTTGATTGATGGGTGTGGCTGTGCATTTCTCTCTTTTTGGTTGGCCACCAACATCATCCGAGTTATAGCTTATCACTGCTCGTTTCTTCGGACGAAAAACATCTTTACTTCCAACGCACTCTCCGGAGGATTGTTTTTCACCTTTCTGGCTGGATCTAGGAGGTGCGTTGTATGCTTCAATACTATCTAGCGCGTTCACTGATAGTTGCATCTTCTATTAGCACAAATTGCTATCCTCATGCACAACCTCCCTGAAATTTTGGATCGTCTCGTCCAGAAGTATACACCCAACCTCGACTACGAGTTCCCACAATCGTTTTCTTCCTTTTTGAAAACAAATGACCTTCCCACGGGATCCGATGCCAAAGTTTTGGGAGACCTATCCAAAAACGTATCTGACGCGCTCCGCCTCATAACGTCTGACATGGAGTCTCTCATCGATACCCATGCTCAACTGAAGAAAATCAAAGATCACCTTCTGCGTGTCGATGACGACATAAAGACAGCCATGCCTCCCATCGAGTGCCTTCCCGCAGAAATGTTAATACAGATTTTCAAGGAAGCTTCGGAGAATGGCGACGCTTTTGATATGGGATGGGAACCCTTCGTCATTAGTCGCGTATGCCACAAATGGAGAGTCGTTGCAACGGAGAAGTGCCCGGAGATCTGGACCGAATTCCGGCTTGAACGGGATAGATGGGATGATCTGAAAGGCCCCGTCTCACTCCTCTCACTGGTGCTTTCTCGTGGGACCGAACGGTCTCTGGAGTTTACTTTTGATGCATCAGGTGGCAATGATGTATCAGATTGCGAGTCAGAGAAGGACGTGCTTTGGGATGAAGAGGACGAGGACACACCTAGACCGTATCATTATCGCAGGGATGACGGAGTCACAGAGCAACTTCTACAGAATTTGGTTCGCTATTGTCATCGATGGAGCAATGTCTACGTCTCCATTCCGGCTCGTCTTTTCCACCTTCTATCGCCTATTCGGGGAAAGTTGCAGTCTCTCGTCGCCTTCAGCCTCGTTTATGTCACTGATGTTCTCGCCTTACCGTTGTCCGTTCTCACTGAATCACATATCTTGGATGGCGCGCCTCTGTTGGAGACCGTGTCCGTGTCTTGCTACCAAAGCCATGTACCGGTGCTCGTCCCTCAGGGAGTCCCGAATTTAACTTCATATTCGGACAAACGGCAGAGGGTCGGAGACGAGACACTTCACTAGCGCTTTCTCAATATAGTTCGCACTTCGCCTAGTCTGCAGAGCCTTTGTGTCACGCATGGGGGTTCCCTCACCGTCGCTATGCCTCGTATCATTCATCCCTCCATCGCATCGCTCACCGCCGCTGATGGGGCATTCCTTCGCAGTCTCACGTTACCGGGGTTAAAGAACATGGTGTTGTATGGTTCAACATCACGATCCCAGCCTGATATCTACTACGCGGTATCCTCGTTATATAACCTCATCGTACACTCTGCATGCGCTTTATCTTCCCTCAGAATTATCATTAGCAACTGCGCTATCGACCAGAACCTCATCCATATCTTGGAAGCCAGCCCAGACCTCACAAGTCTGGGACTAGAATTCTTGACGTGGCATGGTGATTCTGTACAAACCATACAGACCTTGTTTGGCCGGCTCGGAAGCTTCGAACATGTTTTGATCCCAAAGCTGCAGAGTCTCGCGCTGGTATTGGAAGAGGCTGACTTCCTTGGTACAAACTTTGGGCTTTTTGGTTACCTTTTTGCGTATTTCGTCGAAGATCGGTGGAGGAAGGGGACCCTACGGTCAGTTACAGTTACGATTCCCTGGACAACTTCTTCCCAGCCAGAGTTTCCACTATCTCAAGCCTGTCGGGAAACGTTGATCAAGCTGGAGAATGAAGGAATGGATGTCGAGTTCATCAGCCGGGGAGCATCGCTGCTGTTGTAGTTAATGGCAGCATTCAAAATTCCCGAGGGCGAGAACACAGTTTGCGCTTGCACTGCCAAAGTAGGACAAAATTCTACGTTGTGTTCAAGCTAGCCTTTATCGAGTCAGCTGAACTGCTCCACGCTTCTAAGCCGCCGACCAAACTATGAATGTTGATTTTTCCTTTGTATTTTCTCGCATATGTAAGTTCCCCTCATGTCTAGGACCACCGTCTGTCGTTTTGCTTTCCGGGAAGACGCGGAATCTTTCTTTAAGGTTCATTTTGAAGCCTCTTGGCAGATCGGCGGGATCCGAAAAGTGAGTGAGACATTGTAGGCGCCGTTTGGTGATGACGTTGTCTTCCTTCCTTCCAAACTCCTGTCCTTGAGATTCAATGATGTCCAGCACCAACAAACTTCTGGACGAACTTGTTCAGAAGCACACTTCCAAGCTCTCCTATCAATTTCCGCAATCCTTCGCTTCTCTTCTGAACACCAACGAGCTACCCAAGGTTGCTGACGCCGACGTTTTAGCTGGCCTATCCAAAAACGTGTCTGATGCTCTTCAGTCGGTGACATCTGACATTGAATGTCTCCTCAACACCTATTTCCAACTGCAAACTATCCATCACCACCTCCTACAGGTTGACACCGACTGCAAAAAGGCGATGCCTCCCCCCGTCGCCCGCCTTCCGACGGAAATGTTGATGGAGATTTTCCGAGTCAGCCATGCTGTGTGTGATTCTGATGACGTCCTCAATCTCAGCTGGAGTCCGCACGTTATCAGCCATGTATGTCACCTATGGAGGTCCATCGCGATAGAGAAGTGCCCGGAGATTTGGGCGGATTTCGGGCTCGAGCGAAACCGGTGGGATTTTGTGAAAGATCCCGTGGCTCTGCTTTCCTTGGCGCTTTCCCGCTCTGGTAATAGGCCATTGAAGTTTTTAGTTGACGGGGTCGGTGGAAACGACTGCCGGTTAGTAGGTGTGCTGTCGAGTGAGACAAAGCTACATTGGACGGCACATGAGAACAGGGATGATGGTGTCACTGAAGAGATCCTGCAGGTTTTGGTCGAACACTGTCACCGTTGGAAGGATGTTTATTTTGACATCCCGCTTCGTCTCTTCCACCTGCTATGCCCTATTCGCGGACGGTTACAAGCTCTCGTCGCTTTTTCATACAATGAAACCTCCGATATCAATCCATCGGCACCTATTTCTGTTGAATCCGACATTCTGGACGGCGCACCTGTTCTCGAAACCATAACGGTATCATATTTTCCTAACATCGGGAGCCCGATGGTCATCTTCATTCCACGGATGTGCCCAAAGTTGAATTCATTCACGGACAATCGGAGATGGTGAGACGAGGAGCTTTACCAGCATTTTCTCAATATCGTTCGAGACTTTCCCGATCTCCGCAACTTTACTGTCCTTACGGGTTCCTTCCGAATCGCTGATCCTCGCATCGTCAATCAATCGATCACACAACTCACCGCGAGCAACGGATCCTTTCTTCGCAGTATCACTTTACCCCAATTGAAAGACGTGGACTTGAAAAGTCCTGGTTCTGGTTCCCAAGCAGATATTCATGACACCATTTCGTCATTGTATGACCTTGTTGTCCATTCCGCATGCTCCCTGACATCTCTCAAAATCTCCGGTTGCACTGTCGACGAGTAGTCTGGCCGGGGTCCGGTTCAGGACCTTGTGGACCGGGTCCGAACCCGAACCGGACCTGCAGGTTCAGGTTCGGTCCAGGTCCAGGTCTGGCATAGCCACCTAGGTCCAGGTTCGGGGTTCGACTGAGGTGAAAATTGCGGACCGGGTTCGGACCCGGTCCGAACCTGCTGGACCTCGAACTATTTTCACTGCTGAAAATGGTCCTATCTGCTATGATGTGCAACTATCTCGCTGTCCCAGGATCATCTACATCATCAGAGCACGCTTTCTCACATGCAGGTCACACTGATTCTGACCCTCGTCGATGAAACCTTGATGCAGAGAAGTTTGGTACCATGCAACACTTGAAGAAGGCTTATCACGATGGTCGCATGGCTCCCCAGAATGAAGCTTAGATGGATATTGGGCCTTGATTTGATGATGAGGACTTGGATATTTAGCTAGTTGACAAGTTCTACTTGTATCTACTATCATCCCTTCTATACTCATTGTATACAGCAAAAATTTTGCTGAACCCGGTCCGAACCCGAACCGGACCTGAACCGGACCTCTTGGACCTGAACCTCAGGTCCAGGTCCGAGGTTCGAGGGAGTGGAGAGTGAACCTCGAGGTTCGGGTTCGAGGTTCAGGCAAATGTGCCTGAACCCGGACCGAACCGGACCCCGGCCAGACTATCGACGAGCGCCTCATCTACATCTTGCAGGCCAGTCCTGAAATCACCACCTTGGGCCTCATTTTCTCCGAGTGGCGGGGTGATTCTGTGCAGACAGTCCAGTCCTTGATCGCCCGACTAGGAGAAGAAGAGCCAGCTTTAGTTCCAAACCTGCGGACGTTATCGTTAAAGGTCCGGCCCAATGCTTCCTCTCAGACGTTAATCATGGGACTTCTTGAGTCGAATTTCTTGGATAGCATTGAAAAACGGTGGAGGAAAGGGTCATTGCGTTCAGTCGCTGTCAATATTCCCCCCCCGGCATCAAGCTGACGAGGGGGAGTTTACATTGACTCGTCCTTGCCGTGAAAGACTAGCTGGAATGAAAAAAGAAGGGCTTTGTGTAGACTTTCGCAGAGATTATAGATCACTGCTCCGTTGGTAGCTTGCTGTGGTGCCAGTTTGAACGAGGATGTCTTTCCAAGTCCTGTGTATACAGCTCTCGTACAGTCATTTTCTGCCGGGTATAGTCTGAAATGTTGATCAAGCTGATTCTCCGTTGGAGAGGACTCAGGGATGTAATATCTAGGCAGCGAAAACGGCTGGGGTACATTGACGGACGCACGCTCGGGGAAGAACTTAGAACAGGAGGTCAAAATGACGTCATGAACCTCTATTGACGGCCCGGATGTGTGGCTGTGCACTTTTCCTTCCTTCCTTCCTCCAATGCTCACCGCGACGGACACCTCAATATCCTTGACCGCCGACTCGTCCGATATAATACTACGAGTCGACCTTGACTTGGCACTACCAGACTCGGATACATCCTTCTCCGACCTTGTGTTACCCAGGTCTCAACGAGCCGTCGCAATGAGCTCGCTACTGCTCTCTATCCCACCGGAGATTCTTCCCAAGGCAATACGCTCACTTACTACATGGAGATTGCAAGAGTCACGTTCAGCACTACCCAATACGAAATTACTTGTTCAAATGGCGGAGGCACTTGACAGCACACAGCCGGGACGACGCATCAAATGGATCTCGAGAGAGTATTACAAGGAACTAGAATGGGAGAGAGGACGAGAGGAGAATGCCAGATCGTGTATCACAGGGGTCGACGACACTGCGAACGACGGCCCGCACGATATTGAAAACGTCCAGAAAGGTACCCCTTCTCGTCACGGACTCTTCTCTTCCCAACTCCGTCGAGGCTGTTCAGTGTGCCATATTCCTCAGGCTGGCCTATCAGTCACATCAATACCCACCATCAAACCGGTACCCACAAAAACGATATCCACCACGACGATGCCCCATAAAGCGATACCCACAAAAGTACCGATAACCCCCACTTCAACGGCTAAACTCAACGCCACAGCAAAATCCAAGCGAAGACGCGCTATTGCCGACTCGGAAAACATTCCACCATCGCAAGCTCAAACACAGCCTCGCAGACGCCCTGCAGCGGGAAAGAGTAGGATGCCGGCACCCAGGGTCTTTGGGTTGCACAATGCTTGAAGATCAAGGTGTGCATGTTTACTAGAGACGCGAAAAGCTAACTGTACTCAGACAAGCTATCATTTCAGTCTGATTTCTCGCTCCAAAGGTACGCGCTGGATCTAGTGCGGAGGCGTAAACTGACTATATGCGCCCTAGGTCTTCGTTCCAGCCGTTCGCGATCAATCTCTTTGTCTGTGGGATACCAATATGCTTTTCTTTCAAGTTTTTGCTCTGATTAGCCGGCCTTTCTGCTTTCTCATCTTCTTTCGGCAACATGATTCCTTCCAACCCTCCGTTTTTACGGCATAAACGTGTCTCCTACCTCTGCAGTATCTGTCTCTATATCTTACCCTGCGACACCCCAAAACAAAGTCGTCATGCATTGAAGGTAACGCCCATTTTCTGGATGCTCGGGATCAAAATTGATCGTGCACGTTCCTAGTGCTCCTTTGAGTATATCGATATCTGTCTGTTCTCCTATGCGGCGGCGTTTGATAACGGTGCCTCTATACCTCCCTACGCGACAATGCCTGTTGACGTTCAGGTTCACAGAGCATTGTCACCCCTGGGATCCTTCTGACTTTGGAAACCCTTGTCTGGTCTGTCTTCGGGTCGACGCCCCGATTCTTTTCTGCTTCTTTGCCTTCTTTCCCGACAGGTTTCGTTAATGTGATAAGTGTAACGCTCTGTATCCGTCGCCGTGAAGCGTACCTTCGAGCATGGCGCGCTGATTGTATATGAATTGGCTATTGACGGTTGTGCCATGTACCAATTTGCTACGTTATCCCGTATTGTCACATAGCTGCTGCTCAATGTCAAGGCATCGAGTCTGCAAAACCCCTTAATGACCCTTCCAGATTCGTGACAATCTTGCGCAAGGACGACTGGTCACCCTATTCGCGTATTGGATGTCAAGCAAGTCTCGATTGGGGTAGGCTGAAGTTGGACTGAAGCCAGTCCCTTCTGCTGCACCAGGATTGTACGTAATATGGGGCAGGGCGAGGCTTTTCGAGTTTGATTGCATTTACGCGTCATTAAGGGCTGTCCGCCGTCAGGGGATGGGATAATCCCGAGCAATCAGAACCTCATTTCTCAAACTCACTCAAAACAAACCGCGAATTCAAAAAGTCCGTCTTGTCCACATCCCAGTCTGACAATAAAAAGAAGCCCTACTTAGCCTTATTTAGAAGGGTGACACGGGTGATGGTGCATACCATCAGGAATCATGGTAATGTTGTCTCGCAGGAGCTGCAAGACATGTTTTGACGTCGGTGTATACCGTTCCCAGGCACCTGTCAAGGGCCGTAAGCTCAATCTATTGGGCTATGAAAACACGCTTACTTCCGGGATTCAGATCCCAAATAAAATTGACATAAAAGTCCACCATCTGATTGGCGAACTCATCCTCCACGTCCGCGGGTACGGGCCCGAAAAGCAAGGACAGCTCTGAGCCATGGGATACTTGGAATGAGTCAGTACTCGGTTGGTCACGAGAAAGGAACAATATTGGTACTAACCGCCAAGTTCCGGGTTGTTCCCTGGTATGAACTCTCTGAAGTAATAAGCATACATCAGCTGCAACGCACTCGCGTGTTCAAAGAATAGCCTCCTCGGAGCTAAGAATAACTCGTCTGTAAACCACGCCTCTCCTCTGTCGAAAAGGGAATCCCCAGTGTTGAATGGCGCTCCGAGGGACGAATCATTCGCCGGCCATAGTTGGTGGAGCTCCGTGAAGAGATCTGGGGCGAGAGTACGGTTGAGGTTCACGACCTCGTTCACAAAGTTGTCAAAAGCTGCATCTTGGTCGTTGGCGGAAAGGCCTAGACCGAGTAAGCTCATGCTGAAAGCTGATCCTTCGTTCACCTGAGAAGAGTGAGGAGGAGAAAGAAGACTCGCAGTCCCATGGTATACTACTTACATTTGTACCACCAATATAAGGGAAGTGTAAAAAGTTGCCCCGTTTAATTTTAGCTGATGCTCGCTCTGGGATAAGGCTGCCTGGTGGGCCGACTGAGGGTTCCCATAGCTGTCCATTGAACGCGTTCGCAATCATCGTATTACTGATATTCATCAAGGTCTGGTAAAAGAGAATTGAGTAACATATATATACGCATAGATAAGAAAACTTGGAGTCGGTCACCTCGGAAGGTACTTTCCGCAGACATTCCACGGATCCTAGACCGGCAGCACAGCCCGTCTGTGTGAGCAACACATCGAATGGTCTTCCTGGCTTATCGTATGAGCTCGCATCTGGGGAGTTTTTGCTATAAGAAAGGTTTGAGAATGAGTAGAGTGCAGGGAAATCATATATAGATAGACGTTAACGAACAACGGTCCTGTCGATGAGTCTGCGATTCCAGCCCGGAAGAGGGGAAAAGACTCGGAGGCGGGAAATACAAAATGGGCTTCGACACTCCCGGCACCAGCGGACTGCGGAGGAAGAAGAATCAACCCTCAGCGTGACTCATTTGAAGAAGACTCAGTTCGACGTACCTGTCCCCAAATCGTGACCTGTTCATGTCATACTTGAATGAAATAGAGGTATTATCAAGAATGGGGTCATGAGACTTTCCTTGGACGGATCGCCGCCAAAAGCACGTATATTCTCATGAACGAATATCAAAGCTTGCTGTTGATCCAACAGACCCGCGTTGAGGTCTCCCGGAGGGACGTTGACGCTAGAGAGCTTTCTTGCCTCTCAAGATTTGTCAGTCGTTTTGGCAGAAATGATTGACGTACAAAGCCAAAAGTATTGAGCCGGTAATTCCTGGGTAGAAATAAATGAGCTGCTGGCTCCAAGCGAGTGGCAAGGCTTGGTTACTAACGTAGAGACGAACAAAATAGGTTTTCCGATCTCGATACTTCGGTTCAGAATACCTGTTTACAGTCGGATGCTGAGTATGAGTCATTACGAGTCACCTACGGGTAGGGTCATAACGAGACATTGACGCTGCGCTAGCGGCAGAGTTTCTATGTGTTGCGTAGGTCACAAGGGCAAGTAGACACACACCCACTGGTATATGCTCCGCCCTAAGTACAGGTCATTGAATAATAGCGCAAGCGAAACCGACTCTAGACGTACATGGATCCAAAACAAAACCGGCAGACCCTCCTTACCAGTGTCCACTGCCCCCTTTGGCCTCCAGATCTACTGGTTACGCTTCATCATCCAAAAATGACGGTTGCCACAGAGACAGGAATCACGCACATTGAGATATAGACAATCCTCGCTGATATTGGCGCCAAGATTACTACCGGGAGGTTGGGGACAAGCATTCCCAAAAGTCGTAGCACCGCGCTGGACCCGGGACAAATTCATAGGGACAGGAACCGGAGCTTTGAACCTTAGATCGCCCACCGGCGGAAGGGCGAATGGTATCCCCAGCCAGCGATCCAAGCCATTTATGTTTCGTCCAGTGAAAATTCCAGAAGGGAGTTGGACGTCAAGAGAAGAGCGTGCTGGGCTAGCGGCGAGCAGAACTCCGAGTATCAAGTTTACAATCATGATGGCAGAGCTAGCTATACCATTGAAGAACATTTTTTGAAAGAGAAGTTATATACTGCGGTCGATGGGAAACTTTCAACGCCATGAGAGTGTAGCTCCTCAAATTGGGCAGTGAATCGGTGTTCCTCCAGCAGGCATGGGAACATCAGATATTAATGGCACAAAAGATGAATCAGCTGCATCGAAATAGATTTTCAGAAGGAGTGAAAGTTCCAAGGAGTCAGTAGACATTCTGGTTTCGTGCGATCAGGAGTACAAAAAATATATATAATTTCAAAAAAGTATTGCACGTGATAAGGTAGTTAACGGTAAATTTAAACCCTCCCCCCCTCGAGGAGGGCTCAGTACAAAACCGAAACTTACTCTCCATAGGCTTGGTCCTTGGAAGTTTCGTTACTTTCGTAACTTTCGTGGCAGCCATTGGTAGGGGGGTATTGAACAAAAAACCACCTTTCGGATACGGGGAATCGAACCCCGAGCTGCCGCGAAATCTGCAAGTAAATACAATGAGAGGCGGCAATGTTAGCCGTTACACCATATCCGACCGGGTGAGTGATCTCACCGTAGTACCTCTGCTGCCCTTATACCAGAGAAAACAACCACTAGGAACTTCTCCCCCACGATGCTTTTCTTGCGAAATCGTGTAGAGGACTTCACTTCTGCCTCCAAATCGAGATGTATCCCTTCCCCTTGCAGTGCCTTAGCCTAGGTGCAAGGCACCTACAAACCTAACTTTGACGCTAATAATCTTGGTCATAAACTGTTTCTCGCTGTCAGATCAGATGGCAAAGCCCTACGTTACAGATATTTGCTCGTTCGATGAAAGTACGAGGTTAGTTTTTGGTTCCTTCTTAATGCTACTATACTTCAGCTATTTCCTTAGTTTCCAAACTCAGCTTGCCAATAGAGCCTCGAAATAAATAACACCTCAGTACTATGTGTCGAGGTCCAGTTATTTTTAGTCTAGAACTCCTTTACGCCATTCACGCTGCGCAAACTCCTGTCTATGTCGATCGCGCTTAAATATTTCCCTCTTCCTGTCGAACCCATCAGCCACGGAAAATGCGTCTCTCCCTCTCCCTCCTAGTCCTACCCTCCCTCATTGCCTTTGCTTTCGCCAACCCAGCCCCAGCTCCAACACCCGCCACACACTTCCACCAAGCAAATGCTCGCGACCTGCGTCTCCGCACAAAATACCCGGAATTTTTCCGACGTGATGCAACTCCATCTGGTGGTACGACATGTACGGTGGCCAGGAAACGGTCGCTGCCCACTGCAACTGCCAGTTCAGAGGCTGTTAAGCGCGATGTCAATGCCCCAGTAGAACAGGTCCTCCATCCGGTAGAGATGGCTGCTTTCTTGATTGGCGGAGGGAAGTTTGTGTCGTACGTTGCATGCTTCCTGGAATTCGTTGTTGTTTGCTTATTGACATTCAGAGCCAATGGAACTTCGTATTTTGACGAGCATTTCATGCGTAAGCACGCGAAGGACGCAGCCAAGTTCAAGGCCGAAACACCCAAGTCTTGGCACGACTCTATGGGGGAAAAACTGGCCGCGGTTATCTCGCTGCCAGCGTATAAAATGTGGAGAAGCCAGTGGAAAGACCCCGAGGCTATACTATATATCGCCCCCAGGTACGTGCGGTTTAATGACAGCTAGGGATGAACTGACGTTGAGCGCTATAGTACGGCACTCCGTGCGAAGGATCTGGAGGCCTTGGAGATCGCATTATTGGAAGACCCAACTTTTGAGGAAATATACATTGAGGGTTACAGGGTTACGAGGCGATGGATGGAGGCGGCGGTGGAATATGTCTCCTAAGACGAATTTAACCACAGGAGAAGTCGGGATCATTCAAGTCACTTCACTTGTCTCTTCGCCGATCATACCCTTCGGATCATGAGTGTTCTCCTTCATGGCTATTTACTTCTATATTCCCCACCCGACACCTACTGTACCCGTTCTTCTGTTCAGTGTTTATCCGTTCACGAATTATTGATGACAGTCCAGGTATTTAGTACCGTTTGATTCAAACACTGGTCACGTCTCAAATATCGAAGAGTAGCTGTTGTTGCACGTGTTGCTTGCTTGCTTGACTTCTTTCTATTCGATACTGACTAGTGCTGTAGATTATGACCTTCGCGTTTGATCTAATCAAGCACACTGTCTGGTTGTCTTAACTCTTGGATGTGTACACTAACTCTTAAGCTAATCTCCCATCCTCGTATGTCGACATCTCAGCTATCTCATTTCACAGCTGCGCCAAGGCGCTCTATACTACGTCTTCGTTGTTCTTTCCTTCGCCCACCGCTTCTTAAAGTTTGAGCCCTTGTCGAAATGTATACATTAAGCCAATCCACTAGTCCGAGTTGCCGTAGCAAACATGTAGCCCTTGCTCGCTCGCTTCCTTCCATCGAGAAGCAACTTGAAGATCTTTGAGCACGAGTGGCTCGTCAAGATACAGCTTCTCCAACAATGCATGCGTGCCCCCCGCTCCTTCGTTCGCAACCAGTCTATTGCACCGAGATACAACCATATCCGCAATTAACGCATGTCCGATTGTAAATTCTGAGCCACGCAGATCAAGGACTCGAAGATAAGGCATCGCGTCCTCCTTTCCCCGATGAACGAGCTTCGAGATGGCTATTTTATTGATACCATTAGCGCAGATAGTTAGACAGCTGATATTCGGTATCGCGGAAAGGAAGGCTGATAAGCGTTTGGGATTCTCTGCATGAGATGCGAGACGACATTTGATTTCCAGGGTTTGTAGTCCGGGCCAAGACGCCGCGTCGATGATGGGAAAATTCAACTTGCCGAAGTGATTATAAACGAGAATTAACGTAGACAGAGAAGGAAATTTTGCTTTCGAAAATAAGTCAGCGATACTCGTCTTTGCATAGTCGTTCCCTGCAGCAAGTTTGAGTATCTTGACTCGTGGAAGAACGACTTCTTCCCGTAACCGCTCAGAACCTGCTCTGCAGTTGCTAAAATGAAGGGAAGGTATTTAGGCGCTTTCGAACTGGCGGAGCAGTTCAAAAGTTTGGTCAGAGTGTTGTCCCTCGCACTGGAAATTGACCAAGTTCTTCCAGGGTAAATCGAGGTAAAAGGCGACTCGAGGACATGTTTTGACGTCTACCACAGCTGGTGCAATGCGGAAGGCGTCAATTTTGCAAGGGTGGGAGTCTAGCACGGGGTTATCGATGATGAGTTGTACAAGGGAATTGAGAAATTCTGCGGAGAGAGAAAGAGGAACGAATGAAGCGAAGGGCATCCCGACTCGTAAACGTTCCCATTGGCTCATGCTTGTTAGAAGCATAGGCATGATAGGGTGTTTCGCGATATCTTTATGACTAGATATTCGGAGAGCAAGTTGACTGTGGCAGGCTCTCTGCAGATGTATCCCAAATTTAAACGACAAGGACAGGGCTCTATTCGACGGGTAGGCATAGAAGTTGAGAGATATGGATGACCATAATCGCGGAGTTGACAGGACTATGTGCCTCCATCGGTGGCTAACTTGAGATAACGTCCAAGGCGGATGCTGAGAGTCAAGAGAATCATGGGCAGTAGCGGCTGTAACGAAGTCGTCCCAACCCTTCACGCACCAGAAAAATATCTCGCGAAGAATACCAGCAGAAATGGATCGAATGGGATGGAGTGCAGATTTAACATTATTCAGGTTCTGTGTCGTCCCATTACGCTTGAGAACGAGGGCTTTCAATGTTTCCTGCACTTGAGCGATGTCCTGGTCGAGATCTGACATTCGAGAGGTCCATGCAGAGGCAGTTGCGATGAGTTCCCTACGTTCTACGTCCGATGGTGAATCGTTGGATTGTAGAAGCTTCAGTAGTGCAGCTGAAGGAGGCTCCTGCACTGTCTCGGCTCGCAGGGATACAGAACCGCATGTAGGACAGGTCGACGTCGAGTGGCTTGGATGAATCAAAGGAGTATCGAGAGGGAAATTTTTGTCCATCTGGTAAAGAAAATTACATCACTTTAATCATATGCGAGGAGATGAGATAGCATATCTGTCATAGAATTAATCGCCGTTGCTGAGGGTCGTTAAGAACATGTAAGTTCAAAATCGGAGCTGTAGGATACAGTGTTTGATCAGCCTAATTGTGAGGCACTTTGATAGATATCAATACCTCAGAGTACGAATCTGGATCAATACGGTATGAAATGCCAATAATGATATACAAACCGCCGTCGCTCAAAGCTTTATGGCAACTTGACTTCGAACTGGAAAATGGCAATAACAATTGGTCAAGTTCATTTTCCTGCATATGTCAAACGATCTTACCTGAAGACGAACGGAAATGCGTAGCTCTTCTGCTGGTCGATGACTCTAGCAGTGGGCAGGTGATGGTCGATGGAAGAGTGACGAAAGTGTCACAGATCACATGTATGATGACAGACGCGACTTGTGACATCTCGCGTCCAGCTCCAGTGGCTGTGTTGCTACACATCTCAACTCCCTTTTTCCCGACCCCAAAGCCATCTACCACCTATAACAAGTTATTTCAGCATCAAAAATTTGTCTCGGCCGCTAAATCTTATCCTTAGAAACCACGATCGGTAATTATAAAGGTTGTTCCCTATAGGCGGGCAGCCGTTTCCCCCTACCAATTTCTCGTGGTGGCTGTATGATAATCGAGCTGAATACTTGATATTTTGTAACATGACAATGAAGGAATGATCGTAGAATCATGTTGTAGAGGGTATACCAGCATGAGCTTTTGACATCTTTCCAAATCTCGCATACGTACATGCGACAATAAATATTGATCGGTACCCTCGTCACGATGCTATAACAAATACATTCAGGCCGCCATGGCACAATTTTTCCCATCTCTCCTCATCTCCGACCTCCTCATCCAAATATATCTCCTCGAAGAATGGCCCAGCTTCGTCTTCGTCTTCTGCGCTAAATCGAGCCTCAACCATGTCAGTAATTACACGACCATGGTCGTCAAACTGAAACTGGGCGCCCATTAAAGAGATAGTTTCTAGAAAATGAATCAGTTTAAAGGCTCCATCCTCGACGTCCCCAAGAGCTATAAAAACGTTGGGTGTCATAAACTTCACTGCCAGCTCAAGATGCCTTAGTCTCGGGGTCCACTTCAGCATTTCGATAACTGAATTTTCGTCTAGTGTGGTAGGAGGATCAGATAAGATCTCGAGATCTGTCAACAGAGGGGCGGTATGCTGGTCTATAGCCGGCAAGAAAATGGTCGAATCTTTGTAGATGAGCGTCAACTTTTGCAGAGCAGGTAGACGGAGATGTGATACAAGCTCCGCAATAGAGCCCGGGGTGGATTCCGACGCCGATTCAGTGACACTGAGGTTCTGTAGCAAAGCGTGTCTGATTGTTGAGACTTCAACTTGTTGTTGTAGTTGGGGTGGATAGTTGAGCATCGCGAGGCAAAATTCCTTCGCGTTCTTTGCCCCGTGCCAATTCAGGAGAGAAGCTGCATCGAAAGGTGTTGTGAAGGCATTCAACCGGGAAAGTTTTTCTGAGTCCATCGGTAAGACTAACCACCGCGAGAATGGATGGAGCTCTTGAGAATTCAGATCCAGATTAAGCCGGCAGAGGTTGGGCGCGTGTTGGAATCCATGGACGATACGGGTGGATTCGAGTCCTCCCTCGGAAGAATCCTGGCCAGTCACACGGATATCTAGAAGCTGGAGCAGAGGTAAAGCATGTGATATGTTATTAAATGGGAGGAAGGAACGCAGCGGAGCCGTGACACTCAGATTAGACCATCGTGACGACGTTGGCAAAACCATCGCAAGAAGAGGGTGGAGTGCGATGTCGGCATTAGCATCGATGCAGACCATGAGGGGATGTGTCTTCGTTCGGGCAAGCAGAATGCCGAAGCGGAAGATGCATCCCATGTGGTTCGTGTACTTGTCCATCACCAGGCTAATGGATGACCATAGCCTTGGATTCGCCAGTGTGGTACGTCTCCAACTCGCACAGACCTGGGACAACACCCACGGCGCGTTCTTGACATCAAGTGAGTCAAACTCGCCAGGTGATGCGTAGATCATTTCCTCGATGCGGGTTGGGATGCACGCAGTGAAGATTTTTAGGAGTACATCTTCCGGTAGTCTGCGAATGGGATTCAAGAGTTCTTTGGCATCCACAACGCTTTTGATCTGCCGGGACTGCTCCTCGAGAAGAGCATATAGGGTTTCTCTTGTTGAGGAAATGCGCTGTTGTAAGACTGAGAGGTATTCGGCGCCCTTAAGAGCGACGGTCTTGAGTATTGCACGTTCGGGACCAGTAGGAGCATCGTTGGAAGAGAGTAGCTTTGTGATTCGCGATGGATTAAGACCTTGTGGCATAGGTTTCTCCATGAATGTAAACCCGCAACAAGGACACCTCGGTGCAGTGCGTGGAAGTGGATCCTTGAGACCCGTGTAGGATTCGGTAGAAATTTTTTCTAGTGGTACAATCATGTCTTTGAAAGATTATAAACAGGTCAGCGCGGAAATAGCAGGACAAAATACCTCTACTCACTTTCTGGAGTATACTAAGGTTGAACGTGATTGCTAGAAAGAGAGATAGGCCGGAGGTGGCAGAGAGTGTCGCGAAAAAATATTGTACTTAAACGTAAGCCATCCAAGCTTATAAAGGCCTGGAAGACAGAACAAAGGCTATATAATGGAAGTGGCAAGTCTCTTTGAAATTACAAAAAACTCGCCTTCTTTGGATAATTACTGCTTGGGGCATTTCCACAGTGGTCGTCTTATACGTGATTAGGAAGGCAAAGCTTCATTCAAGAGTGAGAATATACTATGGGCGTTCGGCAAAATACAGAGCAATTACTGATATCGTACGAATCGCCGAGGGAAAGAAACAGACGGACTCTGGCCCGCCTGTCGGGACCGAAGAACCAGGCGTAGAATTTGAAATTAGCTCGACCTTTTGCTATCTGCGATGATAACAAGACTCGGCCTCTGGGTAATTACCTCTTGGTTCAGTGATTCACGGCACTAGTGCACAATGTCGACTCATGATGCATTCGCTGTCTTGACGAACGACCGGACTACGTTTGTAATACTGTCGCATACAGGTCAGTCAAAATGATGGTAAGAATGAAAAGATAACTTACCTTTCTTTCGTAGGAAATTAACTGCTGTAATGCATTATCCTATTGTGTCCTGCAGTATACCTTTTAGAAGGAACTCTACCAACGTAGACGGCCAATTCACCACTTACGTATCCGACTTTCCGCTGCCAGCACGCTCTACAAGCTCATCTTGATCTTCCATCTCCCTTTCATCCAATACTGCTCGATATTCCTCCGTATCTTTGACTCGAGAAATTCCGACCAGTGGTTCTGCATTGCGCAGCTTTCTCAACGTGCTGGAGCATGGTCCCGGAATAAAGCTGTGCTGTATGTCATAATGGGTGAAGAACAGGTGCGTGTTGATATGATCCGTCCTACATACATACCTGGAAACGCTGATTATATGAAAGATATATTTGACACTTCGCCCAAGTCTGGCGAGAGCTGGCTATATGCACGCCCAGGCATTCTTAAGCTTCGAAATCCCCTACTAGACCGTCTTCTGCTTCTCTTTCAAGTCAGTGAGGTCATTGTATGCGTATGCATATACTCACCTTTCCATGGTGATACGGGCTGGAGCTGGTCATATACGACCATATTTTCCGCTTTCACCGCATATAGCATATTATCTGGCCTAAATTGCGGCAGGGTTGTCCTTGTGTGTCGCATCCTGTGAAACCCTGGAACAAGGTCTCTATCGTCGCTTCCGAACCAGAATTACGTGTCTTGAAGGAATTTAACCTCCCTCGTTTTCATTTCAAAGTCTGAGTGAGTATCTGAATTACATCGTTTCCATACATGGGAGCTAAGTATACGTTCGCGCAGCTCCAGTTCTTGTCCCCTCCTTCCTCCCCAGTAACCCTTTCTTGTCTCGACCTCTTGGGAACTACCAGTCAGGGCCGGGACGGCGCCCCGTCCGCTACGCGTCGCCTTGGGGAAATTCCACGATCGGGCCAGCGATCGTCAGCGTGGCGCATTTCATAGGTCTGCATCCGATAATTTCCGATAAGCATCTTCATCTAACCCCGGTTCTCCCCAGATGACCTGTCTGGACATTGCTTCCTCCCTCAACATTTGTACCGCAGATGACACGCGCCAGTCTCGAGGCAGTCCCGACTCGTCGGTATCACATTCCCTTGACAGATGTGCAGTAATTTCCTCACCAGTTGACCACAGCTTTGTTCGTAAACGCGAAATGAACGAAGCCCCTGGCAGATGAATTTGATGCGTCGCGGAACTCGGGGGCAATATTGCCAACGAAACTGTCAGGTCCTGCCAGGGTCCGCCACTTTCTTTCTCATAATGGATGCTTTTGACGATACGCTGTCCGCAGATTTGTCCAACGTGAATCTCGATGAAGTATAATTCTGCGGATATCTCGAATGGCTGAAACATGCTTGCGGATCAACGCGGGCCCGCCTTAGAGGTGTGCTTATGGCTTCGACCTATTAATGCTCGGAGGTTGAGCGGAGGAGATCCTTTACTTTCGTCAAGTTCCATCCTCATTTATGTCCCTCCCTACTTCCTTGTCCTCCTACACGATGGATGTTCTGTGCACTCACAACATATACTTGCCATATGTAAGAACGATTTTTCTGTCTAGTTGGCTCCTTGATTAATTTTCGCGTAGGTAACCGCATCTTCCCTCGCAAAAGTGGACATCCACTCTTGCATAGAAGACCTCACGTCCCATTTCTCCTTGCTACGCGATGCGCCGCCTACTTTGAATAACCTCGCAACACTCCTCGACGAGGCCGTCTTCGGAATCTGGGCGGCTCTCGAGTCGAGTATTTTGGATACCAATTCCCTCCTTGAACTCGCGCGCACAATCGAAAGGTATTGATACCTTCTACCTGTCTTACTCACCTTCTCATTACCAACCGCTTTGATAGAATCAGACAGGCTATATTTATGAACAACACGTTCGCCCGGTCACCTTCAACGTACGCGAATGAGAAGGTGAAGAGCGGGTCCAAGCTCGGGAGCGTTCTTAAACTCCTAGACGCCGCCGAACGGTGGGATGCTCGCTCCAAGAACAACATCTTTGCGTCACAATTCAAGGTCCTGAACAATGTCATCATCAGGCTATGGGTAAGCTTTGAGCTTGACGTCTAACCTCGGGCTGGAAACTCATAGCTCGTGACACAGACTATTTTTGATTCAGCAGTCTTATTGGACTGTATCCCATACCTCGATTACGAACCGCCGCAGAGTAAATCCGAAGACGTTGAGGAAATGTATTGTCACTGAACTCACAATACCCGATGTTGTCCGTGGGCGACCACTCATATCGCCGATCATGATACTTAATGTCCGCAGGAAATAGTCTCGTGAACATGAACCGGTGACAATGATTCGCACTGTTTGATTGGCTTGGGAAGAAGATCAACGCGGCATGGAAAAAAGGACTACATCGGTATGGTGTTTTGATAGCCTATGACTTATCGGTACCGCTTCATAGCGATAATATGTGACAGAGCCTTGAAACGCCCATTGGTGCCATCTTATCACTTCGTCCAATTGTGTACCCCCTTTTTACATTCTATTATTGGAAGTCATCTGTAGACTATACCCTATTTTACCCGGAATTTAGGTCCACTGCATCCTTGTTCTTCCGTGGCTATCGTTCACCCCCGTCCTTACCCGGAGTGCCAAGTTAGGCTAGTAGCGTTTGACAAATAATTCGGAAGCTTTGAGATCCACATCGCACAATTTGTCAGTTAAGATCCGATCTCCTATAAGCAAGTGAAGAGTATTAAGAAATTGAAAAGAAAGCTAGGGAAGTCTTATGCTAGGTGGCCCTTAAGTCTGGGTTGGACTGGATAGTGATTTCAGCCTGCAGTAAAAAAAAATCAAGAAGGGTCGTGCACATATAATACGCGTCGCGACTCACCCCGACTGCAAGCAGGTCAAATTCGACTAGTTGCAGCCACCGGCCCGGAGACGCGACGCGTCCTGATCATGTGTTAGCCGAGTCGGGGGTCCGGACCGCTCTCTTGCCCAAGGGGTTACCGGACCGTCAAGCCGGTACACCCGGTCGGTCGGTCGGTTGCCTTCGAGAGGTCTTAAAAAAAAATTCTATATCAATTTTTTTCTGCACTAATCAGCTCAAAAGTGCCATGAGGAAGCAATAATTGATGAAGAATAAAGATCTCACTGAGGATGTTGGCTGTGTGATTCTGTTAAGCATCTTCTCAGTGATAGAGATGATGAAGGAATAGTCCTGCCAGCTTGCTGATGAGGCGGATTTGGGGATTCCGGCAACGTCTAGACGGGAGAGATCGGTTACTACCGGTAACTGCTTCTAACCGGGTGGCAGTGTGCTTACCAATACCGCATGTTATGCCTTCATTAGGTATGCTATTCCCACGGCGGTCGGTCGGTCGGATCGACCAGGCCTTGAAAAAAATATCGAGTGGATGTAATTATTTGACATCCTCGTAACCCCTTGCTCTTGCCTCTCGCTGTCATCGCACTCTTTCCCGAATCCTTGTCGCAGAGAAGAGGAGGGCCGCTGTCATGGACATGTCTTGGAATCTCTGCTTGTCCACAAGCAACAGAGATGGAACGAACGCTATGCTGCGAAAGTCGGACGAAGAGGACACCTGGAGAGTTCGGTATACCGTAGACGTGGCCTTGATGAGAAAGCATTTGCATCCTGTATGCGTTAGAGAAGATTTAGTTTGACGACCTATCCTACCTATTGGTTAGTCTTCAAACGCACTTAACTCGCAACCTTGTTGGCAAAGGTTAGACGTCAGATTTTTAAGTGGGTGGGAGGTTCAAGCGCTCAGTACGTTTGTAGGTAAGTCAGCGTGTCAGACTTCTTTCTTCGGTTCGTGAAACGTAATGTTACTCACGTATTGCTGCATAATCAAAAGGCTTAATAGAATGTTGTTTCCTCACCTTCTTTGAGTGAAGTTTTTTTTCAGTACATCATCATGATACAATCAACATCCATAAAATGTAGGTGCATTACAGTAGTGAACCCTTACGCCCTTGCACATATATGCTGTCAAAGGCAAGTCAAAGGATAGCCCAACTCCGGCTCGGTATCTATTATAGCCGGCAGCTTCCAAATGCTTACTCGGCCTCCGATCCACCGCCGCCCCAGCAAAATTTCTGCTCCGACACCATGATGCGTTGGCCCCGAGTTGCCATCTAATCTCTTCTCTTCTCCTCGTGCCAATGGGTGCCGCCTTCAGCTCTACCGGGAAAACCAAGATATTCTACGGTTCGTCGCCGCTGGCTGTGACGATACGCACCAAGACGAAGGAGACGGTACGGAGTAATCTCCGGAAAGCTATTGAGGAGCGGTGTCCAACGTTGGCTTTTGGGGAGTTTGTGCCTGCTTGGTGGTTGCGAAAGTGCGTTTTCCGGTTATCAATGTTGTTTTTCGGAACTGATAGGCTGTTTAGTGGGCATCTGCAGCTTATATACTGCGTTACTGGGGATTTTAGCAACATAGATCATGTCGTTTACAAGAGGTGCGTCGGCTTTAGCTTGGTTGCTATAATGTGTCTGACGCGACTGGTAGGACGTATCTGCGCCTTGTTGATGGTGGTACACTGTGAGTATGGTTGTCGTCTTCATCATCTTGAGAAGCTGAAGCGTCGACAGAGGACTCGACTCTACGCCACCAAATCAGGATTCGTTCAAGGGCGATACACCTGTTGTCGTTGTCATGCATGGTCTTACCGGTGGCTCCCACGAATCCTATGTCCGGACTATCCTGGCGACTGCGTGTCTACCGGTAGAGAAGGGTGGACTGGGATACAGAGCAGTTGTTATCAACTTTCGCGGATGTGAGTGTTGTTTCTATCTGGCTTTTCCATTTATTCATATCTTCTAGGTGCTGGCATCCCGTTGACGAGCAATCAATTCTATTCCGCTGGTTACACAGATGATCTGCGCCAGGCTCTTCTGTACATCTCTCAGCAGTACCCCAATGCACCTCTATTGGGTCTAGGATTTTCTTTGGGTGCCAATGTCATTGTGAGGTATCTCGCAGAAGAAAAGGAGCACAGTCGTCTATCGGCTGCATGTGTATTAGCCTGTGTAAGTCCACCATTGTGTGGCGGCTGTTCAGCTCGCTCAAGTGCAAAAGGTCCGGAACTAATGGTACCGAACAAAGCTTATATGCACCTTGACCGGGCTGAACAGTCACCAAATTCATACCCGCTTCTGACTTGCGATACTACAGCCATGGGACCTTAAAAAGAACAATGACGCCATGGAGAGCACTCTTTGGGGCAAATACGTGTACTCCAAAGGCATGGCTAGCAATCTCCTTCGCCTTCTATCCCGGCATACCGCATCTCTATCTCGTCAACCAGAACACTACGTCACCGCGGCAATGCACGCCGCCTTTGCATTAAAGTCCCCCACCCTAGAGCAATTCGACGACAAATTTACGTCCAAGGCAGGCGGAGCCCCACCGGTATTCCCATTCCCGTCGGCGACACACTACTATACATGGGCTTCAAGTCATTATGTGTTACCTGATGTACGCGTACCACTGCTGGCTCTCAACTCTGCAGACGATCCGATTGTGCAGAAGATCCCGGTGGACGTGGATAACCCGAGTGTTGTGCTGGCTGTTACTCCCGGGGGTGGACATCTTGGCTGGTTCGAGATGGGTAAGGAGGGGGTGACGCGGTGGGTAACTAAGCCGGTGATTGAGTGGTTGAGGCTTGTTGCAGAGGATTTGGTGTTGGAGCGGAAGACGAAGGAAGTGTATGTTAGTGAGGATGGGTTCTTCAAGGAGCCTGGACGAGACGATATTGGGTGCAAAGTTATTGATGGAGGTGGATTGGTGGAAGATACTACGGATAATGAATTGATACAGGGACTGTAGCACCTAGATACATAGCATAAACTTCATAAACAATAGATAACAAGTCAAGGCTGTTTCCAAAGCTTTGCTAAAATTGTAGGCATGGTCTCGATCTTCCTCGATAAATGACGCGTTGATCAACGATCGGCTGCCCCAACGTACTAATACCCTTGACGTCCCGGTTCTTCATAGCACTCAGAACCTCTCATTAGGCATCAGTAATGAGCTACTTTCATCTTCCGCATCTTGTGCAATTACACCCTCGGCCCTCCCTCCCTCTTCCGGTTCCGATACGCCTGCTTAAGCAGCATCCACGGCCAGAGAAAGCGTAGCCAGAATGTGGTCTCAAACATGAAGAGATGTCTGGTCATGAAAGCCATCACGACCCATATTGTTAGCAACGTCAGTGCAACCGCTATCTCAAAGAAGTTTAATAGAGTCCCTTTGCTGTCAGGGTTGAACTCCCCGACGTTCATTCCGAAAATGGTCTGGAACAGGGTCGGGTTGGTCAGTGGTGTACGTGCAGGCATATTCTAGAACACATACGGCAACAAACGAAAAGGGTAGAAAGACCATGGTGAGAAAGGCTATTTGTTTCATCTTCACGGTCATAAGTTATCCAGACTAGTCGACCAAAGGATGAGACATACCACTGCACTGTCCTTTGCCGCAGACTCCGTCAATTTTTTAGCATGTTTGTTATCATAGATATTGGCAGTGATGAACACCTAGCAACAAATCCGGTTATCTAGTGCACCTATGCTGATAGATACTCGTTACTTACGAGGCTTATATAATTTTTGATTCGTTCATCCTGCATGCGTCGATTCATCTCTAGCCGGTCGACTTCTGAAAGCAGATTTTGACATTCCTTCTGCAACAGAATCCGACTAAACTCCCTTTCCCATTGGGGTAGGTTGTCCATAGCCGGATTGGGAGTATTGAGTATGAACAAAACGGACTTCCTTAGGTCTTCCAATGAAGAAGTAAAATGTAGGTGATGCGCACGTAGATTGTGCAGTTCGTTCGTAAGGAAGACGCTATGAGGATCCAAGACGTGACCTTCCTAATGCTGAGGTGAGAACCCGCAGCCGGACAGTAATACGAAGATAACGTACTAGCCAACAAATATGTGTATACAAAGCCTCAAAGGCCTCGTCCCAAGAATACACGGCGTGCCAAATGAACATCAGTAGGATAAATGTAGGGTCTTGGGAGGATCTTTGCAGTATGCGTTGCCAATAGACGCTCTGACCTTCTGAACTGTGAGTCAAGGACCGAGAATGCTTATGTCTCAGAGATTACCTGCAAAGAGTATCCGTTCATGAAGGTATTGGGTAGACGTTTCCGTGCCGGCAGACATATTGGCATGGTATGATATGAGGGTATTGCCTTCTACGTTTCGAATGAGATGAATTGCGAGTAGATCGCATACTAAGGTGCAGCGATCGCCTGAGAAAGACAGATAAGAACTAAGGAACGACATGCTAATTGAATGCTCACCGGTCCGCAGGACCAATGGGACCTGGGTATCAATGACTTGCTCGCCTGCTCAAAAGTGTCGCTTAAAAAACAACCGAATCACTGGGGATAATACTCACGGGCGAGAAAGTCCTCGCTAGTTGTTGACGGCGTAGTAGAAGGTGTTGAAGAACGGTCGCTTGCGACGACAGCACCCATGGTTTTGAAAAATCTTAACGTGATAGTGATATCTGCCCATAACCGCTGAGCAAGTATAAAACGGCATAAACTGTGGATGAGCTTACGGTCTCCCGTTCCCGGTTGAACCTCTTCCTGGAAACGAGACGGTATCCATGATAGTAATGATGAGAAGAAGAACGGTTCTATATTGTATCTCAAGATACGCGCCAGTCAGTCAAGCGATTGAATGAATGGGAACCGAGCGCACTTTGTGCCAAGCATTTGCAGCACTGGACCTGACATGTTTTCGACGAACAGCGCTCGGACACGCGTGCCCATCGGCCTCTAATCGGCCTTTAGATGAAACATGCGATCGAGAGTAGGGTACACACCTGGTGGTGAATGAGAAGCTTCCAGAAGTCACCCTTCGTTTGCTCTGTAACCTCATACTTCCCTGAGTCCATGAAATAGCCGCGGTTGTCAACGTCGATGTGATAGATCACGTATGGAATGTCCTGGTTGACTTTATCAATGGCGTGAAGTATCTGGCTACGTCTGACTTGAAAAGGGGTCCAGTTCGGGAAACGTGACTGAGGATAGCCTTTCCAACAGTCATTGCAGTCGACGTGGCTACACAGCTCTGGAATGGGATGCGCCTCTGATCTGAGCTGTTCGTTGTCGACTTCTGTAAACGGGTCAGAGATTCGAAGTTCGAGTTTCAGCGAAGATAACGCACCGTCTTCAGTATTCACCCAGGGCCTTCAACAAGGTCAGTTTGAGGCTAAGAGCAGAAAAGATGGGTGTTTCCTACCATGGAGCAGAGGGTCCTGAGTGCCGGCGGTTGCCTGAGGTGGGAAATCTGGGAACAGACGCGATTGACATTATTCACTGTAGAAAATGGCACGTCCAACGGGATATCACCTAGCGAGATGGTCGTCACAATTCATGGCGCTTCCAGTCCAGTCCTTTTAGAGGAGACTCAGCAGAATGTGTCACGACGACGTTGAGGAGGTTATTCATGTCCTATTTATGTGCCCCCATGACACATGTGCGGGGTGCCAAACATCCTTTCTCAATACCATCCGCAGCACCTACCCTGCCCTGATGGGATCATGCCCTCCCGAAATCCTTCTTCATCGACTGATTGAAAATAAAGAGCTCCTCGAACCGACCGCGCGCTTTGTGCACGACATGTTCGCATTATGGGAATCTGTCCCACTGTATTGACCCTCCAGAATGTTGCTCTATCGCCCCAACCATGTCTTCCCGGAGCATTCGGCGCTTGCAGGGGTCGGTCTATCAAAAGTCCATCCAAGAATACCTAACGAATTGATTTATTAGCTCCCAACAGCCTAGTACTAACCAATTGCTGTCCATTGACACTCCCACTAGTAGCCGCAGCCACCTGCTGACCTGTCTTACTTCTACTAAAGCCCAAAATAGTTCATGCGTGCGCTATCGTGAACTGACCTTAGAATCCTCTATCCCAATTCGAAACTCTCCTCAACTCATATTTTATGTTGGAGTAGCAGTCCCGACTCGGACTCGGAGTACGCTGGGCACGCATACTGAAAAGCCGCTTCAGGTTGTGTATCCTGTTGGTAGGCACTTGAGGATTGCTCATAGCACTTGGCCTTACATTCCTCCCTGAGGTTGAATGGGTAAGTCATGCATATGCATTTCGTTATTAATTCGAGCGCTCACCATGTCAGGGTTGTGAGCCCGGCCATTCCTTACTGAGACCTTGCGCCGATACCAACATCAACACCACATCTGTCACCATGTAAGGTACACTTCTGGTGTTGCTCCTACGAACTATAACGAACACCACATAAGTGTTGTATCCTTGTTGAGCCGGGTGCTCCTCATGTCACTTCTGGATCAAACAGTCTTGCCACCCTGGTGCCTGCTCTGCAAGATAGACGTGCCGTGAGTGTGCCGCGTTATGAATATAGAATTCATAGAGACCCGATGCCGTGTTCCATCTCGAGTATCATTGACTTTTAACTTCGTAACGTGTTCTCCCAATGATTGAGCTTGAGAAACCAAAGCACAGTAAGTACTACTTCATCATTGGCATCTTTCACACTTACCAGAATCGTCGACAAGTGTAGTAGATCCAGCTGTAGATGGAGCGGCCACGCCCAACTGCGAGACATTAGATACAGGATCGGCACCCTGCTCGGCATATAAATGCCCTCGACATCCCGGCTTCCTTCTTTCCCTTTAATACCATCACCTTCGCGCTGCTCATCCTCCTTCAATCGCTCTGTCATGGCCCACTATATCATCTACCGCTTTCAGGCCCGACCAAAGTACCCTTCCAAGTACTTATTGACAGTACTCTTCCGAAAGGACTTTCGAGTCCCTTCCAGTGCATTGTCTCATGGATGGCCATGTTTACCATGTCGAGAAGGCCGCAGCCACCGAGCCCTGCTTGCTTCCCATAGTATGCGCATGAATCCACATCTTACTCAAGAAGGCTAGGTCTGTAGAGGGAGCAAAGCGTTAAACTGATGTCGCCGGTTCACATCGGCGGGTTGGGTATGGCAGGGTTGAGGCGTAAAGTATCCCAGCGGAAGAGAAGGGAAGGGCACCGAGGATGGTACGCGCTTACGTCCTTCAAACGCGCATATATCCAGCTTATCCTTCTCAAAGACGTGTTGTGCTATTCACTCATTCACACTGAAACATGCACTTTCTGGGGGACGGGACGACGACCATCGGAATCAAAGATCGTCTTGTCCTCATCTCACACATGCCCGTCTGAAGGCATACAGATCCAGGAGAAGTTGATACCATTGCCTTCAAGTAGAGGAGGGATGGACTACGAGTCCAGGACAGCGCCAAGTTAAGCTACAGAAAGGACACGAGAATGTAAGAGAGTGAGGCAAGAAATCGTTGATTTCTTGGGTTTGGGGTGAGAGAAAACAGCTTCGAGGTACGAGCTAGTCGAGCGGAGGATGAACCGGCAACGAAAAGTTGTACTGGGGGGAAAGGAAGCCGGAAGCTCAGACTTGCGTAGTGGTAGAAGCTGAAATCTCAGGTGTTCGGGATACCTGGAACCTGGACAGCTGAGAAAAGTAGCTGCCACGTCAAACCAGGCACAACTCAAACACAGAAGGGAGTAGGTAGGTGGGTCAAAGAATGAGAGCGAGGAAGGCTGACGAAGCGATTTGGAAGAAGCAGCAGCGAGTGAAAATACACGAGCGCGGAACAGCTCGAAGAGATCGCGTTGCTTGGCAAACAGCGCTTAGCCAAACAATTGGGGAAGAGCGATCACGCGTTGGGCAAAGGGCATTAATGCTCGTTCTTCTCTAGGCTTAACTTAGCCTATCACAAGTTTTGACGTGAGGCACTGAGCCGTTCGTGCCTCACGTCAAAACTTGTGGGGCACGTTTCCGGCCAATGGTCTCATTTGCGCATCGTTACAAGCGAGGCGCGGACCAGAGCCCCGCTTCGCCGGGATCTTTCGAAACTCCCGCTTAAGAGTTGCTCGGAACAGAAACCTCGATAGTCACACGGACGACATCTTGTTATAAGCGCAGATCCGTGTCACAGAAGTAAAGGAGCATGCTAGTTGTCGACTGGAGGATTATACCATATCTGCCGCACCCATCTCCGTTTCCTAGTCGCAGCCCCGCCAGCGTTACTCGGCCGAGGATCCAGCCAAGAATCGTTGGTATACACCCATCCATCTACAAAAAACCATTCAGCACAAAGGCATGCACCGCAAACGGCAGATACATACTCGAATCCCCGCCCTGCGGAGTCCAGGTCGCATCCACATCCAGCCTCCAATCCTCGGTTTGCACAAAGTACCACCCAGGTTCCAATGTAAATGTTAAATTACTGCTACACAGAGAACCCCGATGAGAAATTATCACAGATAAAAGAAACGAAACGAAACGAACCTAACAGACCCACTTAACCCATCCGGACCCCTCGTCCACGCGCTCCGCTCATCACTCTTCAGATTCTCCTTACTCCAGCTCTTCTCCGTCTCCCCCTGCGCGTCCAAATGGCGCTCATTCTCAAAGATTTCCACCTCGCGCATCTCTGCGGTCCAACACGAGTCTGCGAGGTTGTTGTCGTCGATCAATCGCTGGACAAAAGTTGTTAGGGGAAGTTTGGGGTCTAATCCGAGTTTGGATCGGAGCCAGCGGAGGTTTCTGTCGATGCGGAACAGAAGGAGGAGGGATGATTGGACGTGGGGGTTAGTTAACGCGAGGGGGACTATTCCCAGGGAGAGGCAGATGGCGCGGATGGGGAGGGATGGCAGTGAGACGAGCACGACTCCGGGTATGAGGCTCAGGGTTACGAGGGTGAGGAGGGGAAGAGTAAAGGGAGTTCTGTGGGTTAGATTGAGTACCAGAGGGTGGACGGCATCGTAAGCGTCAGAGCTGCAAAAGGATCATGAATAAAGGGAAGAAGAGGAAGAGGGCAAGACTGACTAGAATCCCATGAGGTTCTGTATGGCTTGTATGTTGGCTTGCCAAGCTACGCTGTCTTCCACTGGGACAGTCGATGTATCAGAGGATGACGACGTGTATTTATATGTAGCCAAGATAACAGCTATGATAGCCACTTGAGGTAGAAGCAGAAGAAGCCGAGGAAAGTAACCTGAGGCAAATTTGTCAGAAAGGAATACACCAAGCTAAGGATAACGCACAAAGAAACGCGTACGCGGCTATCCACGTCGAAGTCATCTTCCATCCTCTCCTCCACATCACAATCTCTTCCACGCGATCCTGCAACCAAAACACAGGCCCAACCTTGGATACGAAACGTCGAAAGTTTGCCGACATTATCGCCAGAGACAACGGGTCCCTGATAGACAACAAAGGCGTTTGGCCCGGTTTCCGTTTCTTTGGTTTCTCCGTGGGCGGATTCGTAGGGACGGAAGACATGAGAACGTTAGGGAGGAAGTTGAGCGCGGCATTTGTAGGTGAGAGTATGCTGGTTGGTTGGGGATGGGGAGTGTCTGTTTGGGGGTGCGGCAGTGACGTTCGGATTGGTGAAGGAGTATGACGAGAACCCGACTTTGATTTGGTGGGTGTAGACTTGATTCGGGTGGCCCAAGGCGGGATGTCGATGTAGTCTATGGATTCCATGTCATGAGGTCATAAAGAAGTCTGTAGTAAGATCAGCTTTTTATGAAGAGTTGCAGGGAGCTTTGGGACGCACTGAATAATGATAATAAACCCGTCTACGCTAGAAGATTCCTGAAGCCTTGAACTTGAGGTCTGACGAGCAAAATGGTGGTGATGGTGTCAGGTTGGAACGGACCGCGGTAGCGTAAAAGGGATGACGCGGTATTTGTCATTGTTAGGATTATCAGGGGTACACTGGTTTTAGAAGGCGGACTTCCTAACGTGGACGGCTTCCATCTGACGACGTGCTGGCAAATACCTGCTTTCTATCAACATCTCCGCACGCTTGATGTCAATACACCATCGCTATATACGAGTCTTCTCGCTATTTAAGTTTTATTCAACCGAAAGAGCTCCATCTTTCCATGATATGAGCTTTCATTTACATGTCTCATATTCTGCATCATTACCACTTAGTACCAGACGGTCGTTCAGGAGACTGCCACAACTACAATACCTTCAGAGTAAGTAACATAGACATGCTTTCCCAGATCTCATACCGTATGCAGTCAAACATGGGCCGTGGCCGGCTTATCATTAACCTTGTTCAGCGAACGATAGTTTGCACTCAACGATATCCCTTTTGCACTACCCTCAGCCATTGTCACTGCTCGGGCGTTACAATTCTCGCCCAAGGACCTCATATAAACAGAAGGCAAGTTAGGGTGCGCTGTCCTATTCCTTTGGGGCTCACCTCGCCTGTAGCTTCAGAGTAATGTCGACCGGCTCGGAACTAGACGAAATTTCTGAGAAGAGCGCTATTTGGACGCGCAAAAGAAGACGGGAAAGAGTTGGAGTAAGGAGAGTTTAAAGAAGCGCCTGGACGAGGGGTTAAGTGAATCTGTCAGGTTTGTTCTTTTTCTTTTTCCCTTTTTATCTGTGATTAGGTTCTCATCGGGGCTCTCTGTGTAGCAGTAATCTAACATTTACATTGGAACCTGGGTGGCACTTTGTGTAAACCGAGGATTGGAGATTGGATGTAGATGCGACGTGGACTCTACAAGGCGGAGATTCGAGTATGTATTTGCCGTTCGCAATACGTGCGCTTTTACCGATTGTTTTTGTAGATGTCTGGATGTATAGCAACGATTAACACTGGCGGGGCTGCGACCAGGAAAGGGAAATGGATGCGACTCGGACGGATGCGGCGCAATCGTCGGGTCGACAGCTAGCGTTCTTCTCCGCTTGAATTTATGCTTTAACTGATCGAGGTTCGTTTTCGGAGAGATCATCCGTGTGGTTTTGTTCCTCGCAACGTGCTCAGCTTCAGCTCTTGAGTGGGATTTATAAAAAATTGCGTGGTTGTGGACCCCGTCTTGCTTGTAAGGAAGCGCGGTTTGCCCGTTAAACCGGTTTTTCTGCGGAAGCACGCTATCACTCATGCTATCTGTGCCCTTTTCGGTTCATAGCGTCTCTCCCTCCTCCACTCGAAGGCCCGAGAGGCTGAACCTTTTGCCAATGCTGACTTCAATCCGTCTTTGTCCTCAACCAAGCCAACAGTTCGGGTTCGGCGATATCCTTTTGCACTAGCCCCCGCTCAGACCTTCAAATCCCCACCCCGGGAACTCGCGCTCGGGAGACGAGTTGGGACGCAATGTCCTATTTTGGGGGGAGGGTTTATCTTCAAAATAATGGTGACAGCCCTCGGAGCTAGATGACTATTTCGTCGCGAGATGCCCTAACAGCGACACGTGCTACCAGATCTTACTCCATCACGAATGAACGAACTTTAGATTCTCTTCCAATGTCCCGCCTACTATGGACCCTGGACTGGCGACGACGACATATCCTTCTTACAGCAACGTGGCCCCACTATGGCAAGAGAAGCACTTGAGGAAACATCCTCAAACGTGCCGAGGCACTCTCAAATCCAGTTCGTGCGCCACCACAAGATAAAACGCGTGTATCCCAAACCACAGCAGAGGGATTCCGGGACGCATCTTCCAATGCTTGGTACCAAGAACTTCGCATCGTGAGTTTTGTCCCATGTCTGCGCTAGCTGGAAATGTACCGCGCTGGGCTGGCAATGGAATACATCACGGAACTGACGTCCAGGGACACCCCACCAGGTTCTAGTGCTAGGCTAACATTCGCCTCTGATTACCTGACTTACAGGCGTTGAAACTCAACTATAAGCCCGATGCCATCTTGCCAGTAATTCACTCTGAAGTAGACGCCGAGTCTGACGTACCTCAAGTTTGTACGCAACTCAAGATGGCCGTCGCTCCTGGCACAGAGGGGGATTTTGGACTGAATCCCTGTTTGGACACCCTTTTCCTTTCAGGCGCTCAGTTTGACTTCGAAAGATCGCGAGTTTATATTAATCACTGATATGGACGTGAGCTAGAAGAGGAAACATTCTTGTAGGCAGTCTATCCAAAAAAGATGAATTCGGTGCGCTGGGACAGACTTGGTGACGAAGGCCTAGTAATTTATGTAGCTATGCGATAACCGTGGGAACCAATAGTACATTTTCTCCATCGAGCAAGTCCTCTTGAAGCTCCTGGTATGCTCCGACTTGTTTCCGAAGGTCCGAGAATGAGGTCAACTTGGGCAACATCCGTGGAATGAAGGTGACCATTGGGCGCTCGACGTCAAAGGAACATGAGACCATTATCCTTTCGAGGAGTGGTGCGCCGTCCAAGATGTCAGCACTGATGGCAAGATCCCATTCGTCAAAGGTTTCTTTGAATTCAAAATCAACAAGGGCTTGTAATTTTCCACGGATAGGAGAAAGCAGGTGGAAGAGTTCGACTGGGATGCTGAAGGAAACGCTTTTCCACAGGTGGGCACTGATCGACCAATATTTGTATGAGCGTATCAGTGAGCTTGTCATCCCATTCCCCATATGCGGACACCTCCTCCATCTCACTTCCGTCGTCCTCAGCAGACCGTAACTCCAATGGCCTATCTCCAGAGTGAGAAAGTGCCAAGGAAAGTAGGGCCAGGGGGTCATTAAGGAAATCCCAGTGGGTCTCAGTCCAGTTAAGATAGAACTCTGTCCAGATAACCGGGCACTTTTCTATAGCGATGGCCCTCCATTGGTGAGATACATGACTGGTGGCATATGGAGTCCAATTCATGTCGAAAATGTCGTAAGAAAATGTGGGTGGTCGAAAATCTCCGTCAATATCTCCACCGGAAGGCGGGCGATTGGTGCAGGAGTCTTCGCCTTGTTGACCAAGTTGAATGGAAAGGAGCGTTGGATGTATGGCGGTTTGGTCCAAAAATAATCGACTACTGGGTAGGGATGGAATGAAGGATTGAAGGGAAGTTCCATTCCTTCTTCGCCAATAACAGTTCCCAAAGTTGGACCAAATTCAAACAAAAAGAATTCTGGCAACTCTGGCGCGAGTTCAGCACCGAAACAGCGGAGGGACCCCAGAACTCACAGCTAGAAAATCAAAGATTTCATCATTGGCACTGGTTCGCTATTCCGTTCAAAGAAGCAAAAGAAAAACCGAAGCAAATTCTAGGACTTGTGAGTTCGAGGCTGGCTTGTTTGAGAGAAGGAGAGGCATGGGTATGAAGTAGAACATGGTCCAAAGGATCTATAGCAAGCTATGAGTGGTAGATGGATGGGAAAGCTGCAGAGAATTGAGCGATGGTCTTTGCCGGCAGCCTAGCACCCTCTAGCACACTGTGCTGCGTGCGCACAGCTCCCAGATGTGAAAACTGTTGAGGAATTAAGGTTGAGAAGCACTGAATAGACACCGAACGGGCGCTTGATGGGCGCTAAACGATCACGAGATGGGCGCAAGAAGTAAAGTTCAATTAAGAAAAATGCCACGTAACTACTGTATGTATGTATTACTGGCGCCGTCCTCATGTGGAAGTGCCGGCCTGATAGGATACCTCAACAAAAACTCTCACCAGTAAAGAGTGCACCATGGAGACGTTTCTCTCTTAAGATAAGCCAGAAGTAGCCATAGTCTCATAGTCAAGCGCACGAGCTGACAGGTGGAGAGTATGGCCGATGGTAGAACACCGTCCTTCCGTATACAGTAAAAGCATCGGATATGGTTTAACGGCTAACATTGCCGCCTCTCACGCGGCAGCTCGGGGTTCGATTCCCCGTATCCGAAATTAAAGATTGGCCTCATATTTCTTATTGGACTCGAGACTCTAGTCTAGAGTCTACTCGCAATTAGGGCTGCGTAGGCTGCGTACTAAACCAGGGAGGGGTAAGATACGGTTTTGTACTGACCCCTCCCTAAAGGGGGTGTTTTGATACGTTATTTTACCTAGAGACGTTCGCACTTTTACCCAGAGAGAATATCGGAGGATACAGTAAGGAGCATGGAAGTGGCGCGCTAGGAATCCAAAAGCAGTCCTTGACTCGAGTAATAACAAGGCACACCGTATACGCTTACCAAAATATACGCGGGTTTCAATGTGACATGTTGGACTGAGAACAACGAAGAAAACACTCAAGACGATAGAAAGAAGGTGATAGGCAGAGCAAGGTCAGAATCCGAAGTATTCATCCTTACAGTACTGCACATCAGTATCCGAAAGGACGGAATGTCAGATTACACGCGTGGAACAACGTCGCCCATCGGTAAAGAGAGTACTTTCTAAAAGATTTGTAACGAATAAGACCAGACGAAGTCAGGAAGTAGAAGGAAGGGTATAATGGATATCGAAATAAAAATATAAAGTAAATAACCATGAAAGTACGAACAAGAATAAACGATCTAAAGTGTATCAGGGGTGTAGATACGAGTGAAGTGACTTGACCGGTCTAGACCTCTCCCACGCTAGAACCCGTCTTAGGCGATAAATTCCACCGCCGCCTCCATCCATCGCCTCGTAACCCTATAGCCTTCAATGTATATCTCCTCAAACGTGGGATCTTCCAGTAACGCCAGCTCCAAGGCCTCTAGATCCTTGGCGCGGATTACCGTACTGTAGCGCTCAACGTCAGCTTCACCCTAGCTGTCATTGAAGCACGCGTACCTGGGAGCGAGATAAAGGATAGCATCGGGGTCCTTCCATTGGTTCCTCCACATTTTATACGCCGGGAGCGAGATATCCAATATGGCTGCCGAGACCTTGTCCCGAAGAGAGTCGTGCCAAGTCTTAGGTGCACCCGCCTTGAACTTTGCAACATCCTTAGCGTGCTTGCGCATGAAATGTTCGTCGAAATAGGAGGTTCCATTCTCACTAAACGTTGATAAGCAAACTAAATGAACCCTAGAGATGAAGCACGTACGACACAAATTTTCCTCCACCAATCAAGAAGGCAGCCATCTCCGGCGGATGGAGGACCTGCTCGGGTGGGACATCGGTAGCATCAGCGGGGAGCGACCGTTTCCTAGTTGCCCCACAGATTATGCCTGACGGGGTCGAGCGTTTGAAGTACTCAGGGTATTTGGCGCGGACGCGTAGGTCGCGAGCATTTACTTGATGGAAAGATGCGCCGGGAACCGGGTCAGGCGCCGAGTAAGCGGCAGCGAAGGCGGCGAGGGAGGGCAACACCAGGAAAGAGAGGGAGAGACGCATCTTCACTGGGGAGGTGGGTTGGGCAGGGAGGAAATATATAAAGACGATCGACAGGATAGGGGATGCATGGCGTAAAGGAGTGACCGATTAGAATATCCGACGGCCAAGCAAAAGCTATGCATTGAGGATATTTATCTCTTGGGCGGAACGGACAGGAGTAATTTGTGAGCTAGAAGAACACCCAAAGTATCACAACAGCAGAAGGGAGTCGATAGCTAGCCTCATCCTTTCGTCGAAGGTGAATGGTGTCTCGACATTAGGACGTCTTCGGCTTAGATGATCTTGACAAGCGGAAAGCAGTTTATGACTGAAAAAAAACATGAGATTATAGTCGTCAATTATTGTGAAACGTGATATTTGCACCTTGCATCTGGACTGGTTCCTGGGCGGCAATCGATTCAGACCCTAGAGGGATGAATGTAAGCGGGGAAGAACGTACATCTGAAGAGGGAAAGATATAGAGCAGGGGCAAAGACGTACAAGATGTGATTTTCGTGTCATTCCATGCGACCATGTCTGGTCTTACTGCACAAGCTATACTGTAGCCCTATCCTTAATGAAGGCACGCCATGAAGGGTGTTAAATATGGGGGTCTGTCTGATCGGGCGGAATGGGAGTATGCTTCTTCGTCCTCGTATCGGCCAAGCTACACAAAGCCCCGCTTGTTGCCATGTCTAGGAAGAGAACCAAAGAAGAGCTGGTGGAAGGATAGGGCGTTCCACAAACATTTCTTAAAAAGCACTGTGTCCGCGATTGGTGATGTAAGCAGTCAATAGCGATGCTGCATGGTCAAGATCTTACCTCCAGTCTGAACCCAAGGTCGTTCTAGAGGACACACCGTCGTCTAAGTCGAACACTGTGTGAGGAGGGCAGCGTCGGCCTATGTCGGCACGGCATACGATATACTTCTAACCCTAAAATTTATTAATAGTATAAGCTAGCAACCTGACGAAAGTAGAAAGCTACATACAGACACCATAGATTTATTTCTGATCCAGTTGCTTTGGTCGTGCGAGGTGCATATTAGGGATCCTCTTGTGCACACGCATGCTGTCACCTGCAGCCATATATGGGCCTGCATCAGTATAACGCGAACCCGACATGTCATTATAAAAATACCAAACATACAGGGTACTGTACGGAGCCAATTACGCTGTTGTTCAGGGCCAGAAGTGAAAAGCCTAGAATTCGGAGGTGGAACTGCCGGTTGCACTATCAGCATGCGGATCGAACATAAATAGAGTTTAAGAGTATACCCACCAATCTCCTTTGGCTAGAGAATTCGCCGTGCTCCTGATGATGCTCATTACGCGAACCCGGTGGACAGACCCCATGGCCACAATGTTCTAAGAACATAACTTGTCCTAAACACTCCGCGGACGACGAGCTAGACGGCAGATGAATTCAGAAAAGAAAGATGGAAGCTTAAATATATGCCGTACCTCTAACGACAGTTATCAAGCACGCATTGAAACCATGCATGTCAATGCATACAATGCGCGCAAACCCAGAGTAAATGAATTTGTGACAAGGTGTGAGTACATGTTCGTGTCTTCCGTACAAGACAGACACACCGCGGGCCAGCATCAGAGCAAACAACGGGTTGAGTGCCACAGCCGCCACCTTTCAGTAATGCGATTCCGTGGGACCGTCTGGTAGAAAGCCTGGGTTAACTTTGCTCCCTTTGATTGAAGAGCCAACAATATAGAGCGCGGTCCCACCGCATGGTGTCTATACCCGAACGACAAATATTGGTCAACATCCTTCCAGCAGACAAAGGCGGTCGATATATGCGCCTGAATTCCACGATAGGACGAATGTTCCTGCCTTCCGGTTCTAGCTCGCCCCAACTTGACAAAACCAGACCTCTGGGAAAAGATAGGCTGAGCTCTACGACTGGCTAGCCCAGCTATCCATCAAGGTCGGATCTTCGACCATCAGAAGGGTTTGGTCAGGACTGGGTATGCCTAGCATACAGCTGTGCCTATCCGAAGATGTTAATGACGACCTTTGACCTAACAGACGTAAACGCACCACGGCATTCCTTTTCGCTGATTCAGACTACAGTTCCAAGAACTGTATAACTCATTCTCGAAGGTAAATGTCGATATATCTTGGCAAGAACCAAGGGTGCAAGGCACCCTTGTCCGCGAGTCACCTATCGTTGTTATTGAGCAATTCGTGACAGTAGTGGGAAAAGACACACCTTGAACATCCACGCCAAAGGCAATTCCTTATCATAGGCTCCTTGGCGTCGGTGTTGTTGAGTCTCAACGGTTCTCGAATCGGTTCAAGGATAGAATTGTTTCCTCTATTAACACTGGGTCTTGGAAACGGCTGGAATGAGCGATATTCAGGCGTGAGAGCAGAATACCCTTACATTACTAGTCACTAGGTACCTCCAAGTGTTATACGATGTAGGAACAGCACGACGGACATGGTGGAAGTAGGAAAAGAAGCGGGAAAGCAGCATTCGATTGCTTGTCGTTGTTTGGCATCAACTAGACGCGTCGCGACGGTGAAGTCACGATTTGTTTTTTCGGCTCAGTTATTCTGAACTTCCCGGAGCTATTGAACGACTTATCTTCATACCAATCATTGAGTCCGGCTTTTAGGACATTGGTTATCAATCCCCCCAGTACCTCCGCAGAATTTGATATCATACCGTTCTGTGAATAAGAAGGTTGAGAACCGACAACTTAATACTGACTGCACGACTGTAGAACTTCGATGGCTTTCGCACTGGCGCCTTGCAAACTCCGTTGAATTCGGGCCGATGGTCGTCTAAGTTTGCCTAGAATCTTTATAAAATTAGCAATGCATCTTACTAGACATCATGCAAGATACTATGGCAGCCGTGGAACAGCTTCTGCCTACTCGCGAGTGTGCTACTTGCTGTCATATATTCTTGCGACCTAGAACCTGCGCAAAAGCCCCTCTCCGCCAGGATGGAAGAGCTCTTAAAATCAAACGTTCCCCCTTTGCATGAGGAACGTTTGGAACTGGCCGAAACTGCGGCTCAATCCTCCCGCTTGGTAGAGGACCTTGAACAGAAGATTGTTCTGGCCCGAGAAATGCTTGACGGTCTTGTTCGCAAACGTGATGTTTTTGCTGAACATTTAAAGAACGCCAAAGCGCTATTACACCCTATTCGTTCTTTATCTGATGACATTCTACGCGAAATTTTCGCCTATTGTGGCAAAGACTGGGACGACTTCTACGCAACCTACACACCTCATGATTCCCTTAATACAACATTGCCACCATGGACGATATCGCAGGTTTCCCGCAAGTGGAGACACGTGGCTGTCTCCACATCGCGCCTATGGTCTTCGATATCCCCCGATTTTCCCTCTTATCAAGCAAATCACGCAAGATCTCTGTCATTTAAACTTGGGCTATGTCTTCAGAGGGCGCCAAGTTGCAACCTTGCTCTCAGGATCGACAGTAAAGTCGACTTATCCGATTCATCCAACCTTCCCGATGTTGCTCATGAGCATATCTCGATGGAAACAGCTACGTATTGATGTCCCTCGCGAGACATTAAAATTTCTTTCTGCGTATGCCGGGTTTCTGGTCTCTCTTTCCACATTGATCATCAGAGGCATTCCAGGAGACACCGAACATCCCTCTCCTATCAATACTTTCCATTTAACCTCTTCCCTCAAGGATGTAGACGTAGATCCTCAAGCCGCAGCTCAATTTCAATTGCCTTGGAAACAGTTGATTCGCCTTGAGAGCCGGGGAGCCCACAGTCTGACGGAGCCTCGCAATCTTGGACAAAGTTCAAGGTGCCGATGCGTCCCTCAGGACCCTTTCATTTACATTCCGCGATTCGAAGATACCTCCATTTCCACGCGACGAATCTGACGTGCCCGTCCTCCTGCCCAACGTTACATTTATTTCAGCAGGAGAAAACGCTCTCGCATCTACATCCGTCGCCCGATTTTTCAAGGGCATAAAAATACCGAGACTTGACCTGATCTTTCTAAATTACAACCACAATGGGCCAGTCGAATTCCCGGCTATACCACCTGATAACCGGATCACGTATTTAAAGGTGTCCTGTAATCTCGCTGCTCAGACGAGAAACACCAAACGTCTCCTAGGATTTCTATCTGTAGCTCAAAGTCTCAGTCATTTGACGCTACACGCGAAGGACATAGGAAAAGCGCTTATCTCGAAACTCGCTTCGGGGAAGTGATCGCCAGGAATATTCTTCCTCGCCTGACAAGGCTCGACTTGCGCCAGTCTACGTACACAGGCTGTAATGTTTGATTGTGGACATGATTGCTTCCCGTATGAAGCGGCAAAAGGAGGACGAAACATTGCTACGGCAACTGGCCTTGACTCTCCGCTTGTTCTAGATGATCCACAAGTGGCTGCAGAACGGAAGAAGTTATGCGAAGAAGGATTGGTGGTTACATATGGGGACTAGAAATGGTGACCAAAAAAAAGGTCGGAGTGTAGTCTCCATTGCAATTTCTCTCTCTTTCGTGTAGTGCGCCTTCGTGTCGATGCGCCTCCTTCGCTTAGCAGTAGTACGTACCTGATACCTACGTAAGTTTGTCCTACTTCAGTGATAATGCACCGAAGAAAACCCGGCATCTGGCCAAGTGGTATGGCTAGCGGATGAATATAGCACCCTTTCTGTTCGGAGCATATTCAATTCTCGCTGTCATTGACATAGACAAATACACTTTATGTTCATACATTCTGCCATTGGTACCCCGACGCCAATTAGGAAGTGAGGCGACGAAGGTGGACATTAGTCATCTGGGGAATCCTGTCATAAATAACCTCTATACTGCCGCTTTCACGTATCGAAGTCGATATCATCATCTTCCAAATATCCTGATTTCGAGCCATCTTAACGGAGGATAGGTTATAGCAGAAAACACAATCGCGAGCTGTGGACGAATATTGTTAGAACAGGTAACATTCAAACATACAGTAAGGACGGGGAAAAAAATTACCTCGCATCCCACGTCCGCATTGCCAGCTATTTTCCCTATCGGACCGGTATACCAAACCTAAAGATGAAATTCATTTCCTGGAGAGAGACGATATCATCTTTCTCACTTCAGACATCCCGATGATGGCCCCCAGAGCACCGAAACATCCTGCGAGTATACCAGCAATTCCAACTGGTAATCTTTCAAGGCAGATGGGTTCTCAACATTCAAAGTATAAACCATATCTGACTAACCTTCCGGGAGTGTCCCAGTCGTCTAGGTTATACCCACCAAGCGACCCAGTTTGCCTCCTAAATATATAGTGCTCTTCGAGTACGCCGAGAATGAAGAATGAGGACCAGTATCCGAGAATTGCTAGAAAATTGGATAGAATCTCAGCGAAATGTTCTCGGCCTGCAACGCCCGCCACTGTGTATATAATCCACCCAACGACAGTCCAACATATGCGAGGTATTTTTCCAAAAGGACGGCCAAGTGCCTGGATAGACAATGCGACGGAGTAAGTGTTCAGTACGTTATTAGCGCTAAATCAAAATGCGTTACTCCAAAATTCAAAGCGAGAAGTCTGATAACCTACATCACAGATAAAGCCAGAACCACGAGCAAAAACTTTCCGAAGCTCTTCCAAGGCATCAGGACCTGGCCGAGAAGACCGCCCAAACTTCCGCTTTCAAAGGATTCGGGATACCCGGCCTTTGTGATGGTCATCAATGCCGCACCAAGAATTTCGGCGAAAGAAGTCGGAATGTAGATCCCGAAAAAGGTGAGAAAAAAAACTTTCGTCGCAGACGTGTTCACTGGAAGCCGGCAATTATAATCAGCCGAGAGGGTCGCCCACTAGAAGCCGTTAATCCCAAGAAGTATTATCCTTCGACGGTAATACTGACACCTGCAGTAGTTCCGAAAACAATTCCACCAAAGCTCAACATACTTGCAGTCAGAGTCCGTCCCGATTCCTCAGAGGATTTCTGTGCTTGAATACCGAAACCTGCATGGCCGCCTAATCCCCAGAGAAAAAACATAACCACGAAAAGTGGAATCCATACATATCTTTCGTAAGTGTGCACCACATTATATCCAATGAAACATGGGATAAGGCTACAAATAGAGACAATGATAACGCCGACGACAAGGGGAAGAGAGCCCGCGTTTACTGATGCGAGAGTTTGACCGCCAAGAATGATGCACGTAACCGCGAATCCAAGTCTACGCGCGGAGAACATGAGCGCGAAAAGCACGAGACAGAATGACAACCTCACAGAGATAGAACATTGAGTACGGAATACACTATTCCCCCAAGGTATCCGGAGCTGAAGCGCACGATTATCATCGTACGAAGCCCAGTTTTTGGCCCCAGAGTTGCTACAAGAGAAGTGAGCACCGCTGATACGAAACCAAAGACCACTATCGCCGCGATCGCATGTCTGTGATAGAAGAGGAATTACGTCAAGAATCTTTGATCCACGGAAACACTCACGGAAATGTCAGGGAAAATATATCTTGCGCAAGAATGCCTACAGAGAGGTTTGAAAGGACAAGATTCACGGAACTGAAGGCATGATACATCAAACATCAAGATCTCAGTGCTTCCGGTGAGATATTTCGCTTACGTCCAAAAGAAAAAGCTAATCATGGCGCGCAAATCAGCATAAGCCGGTGTGATAGCAAAGAATTGGCCTTACATGTTCCAAGTACGTGTTCCATCGCGTTCGTCTTCGAGGACTCGTTCTACTCCCCTCCCTTCGACACCACTCTCAAAAAGCTTTGATAACAGCGGGCCGAAGATTCCCGAACGCTCGATAATAACTCCATCGACTCGGGCTACTTCAGAGGAGACTATGGCCGAAGAGAGTTGTTTTTCTGCCAAGATTCCCGAGTGCTGCAAGTCCTCATGGAGAGAAGACATCTTCCACCCTCGCTATTTGAAAGTTGAGACGATGGAGAGAAAAGGTTATCGTAGTTGAAAGCGTCACAAGCAATCAAAAAAAGAAGACTCTATTAGTAACAGTATGGTCGGAGATAGATAAACAATTTGCACACGAGGAGCGGGCCAACGGTCCAGGATACGAAACGGCAGCCGAAAACAATAGCAGAGCATGGCTTGCAGAGTGAGGAAGGTATTCCTCAGTGCGCTGCCATATCATCGGAGGCAGGAGTCGAAGAGCGTGTCAATTCCACAGGTGACAGCATTACAGGGACTCGCAAGTATCAATGAGTGATGAAGAATATAACTACACACTAGAAGCACAAAAAGTGACAGGCTAATGTGATTAGCCACTGGCCAGTGTTGCGTTAGGAGACATCAAAAACGAATTGACCGAGACAGGGGTCGAACCTGCAATCTCCTGATTACCTTTTCGTAGTCAGACGCGTTGCCATTATGCCACACGGCCAATATAAAATTCTGTCTGGGCAGCTCTTTAAAGTTTTATAGACTTTTTTAGACTTTTGAATTTCAATCAGCGTCATTCTTCTACTTTAACATTGCTCGTCACCTCATACACCCTATCAATATTGGTCTCTTTGGTTCATCAAACTACTCCCCTGTGGCCGGCACTGACAGGCTATAGTATATACCCGGCCGTTCTCGCACTCTCCAGCTGTCTTGTCCATGAATGCCGCTAGAACCTAGTATCCTAGCAACATTCTAATCAATATGGATGTCATATTACTATGAGTAGACAATATCTATCTATCTTGCAACTGTATCTAGATAGGCCGTCTCAGAGGTGTGAGGGCGCCTATCTGGTGCCAGTCAGATTACTCTCGGGATGTGTTGATGTCATTTTGGACAATTGAAGAACTACGTTTTAGGAAGTTAGAACTTCAAAGCCTTCTCCAAATCGTGTCAGCTGGAAAATGACATGTAGGACTCCACGCCCAAAGTATCGATGATTCTTAGTATTAATGATATCGTAGCCAAGCGGCCCAAGCCATATATACTATTCGGGAGGCTACTTATGATACATATTCTTATCCGTAGGCAAGACCGGGTCCGCTTTTTGGGACCCTGATCTGACAACGGCTTCTATTTCAACCGTTATTGCTTGCGCTCTTGACTACAAGGAGAAAGGGTCCGTCAACAACTATATCGGTGCCTGTGATTCTTACAAAGGCCGACTTTTAAGCATCCTGACAAGCAACCATCAATGAATACAACTTAAATGACATCGCTGTATTAAGTACCAAAAGGACAACTCAGTCATTCTGGTAATTAAAGGAAACGTGGGCGAATTATAACAAAGCGGCATATTCAACGTGAGGTGCTACATGGAGATACTCTGGACTCGAAAGGAAAGCTAATATAAACTAGAAACTACAATCTGATAAGCAACGAAGAGAATACACGTACGTAGTAGAGCAGAGTAAAGAAATGCATAACTGATAGCAGAGATCGCAAACCAAGGAATAACAGAGAGGATATTATCGGGAAAATCTATATCAATGAGTCTTCATTAAAGGCGGAAGGGACCGGTTTGTGAGAGAAGGAAGACCCATGCCCACAGACGTGCAGGCTTCAATTAGGTGCTTCCTTAGGTCATCACACTGGTGCTGGTGTTCTAGAGATTGGGAGAAGGGTAAACCTGGTGCATTGCAGTAACAAGGTTACGCCACCTACGTGGGCAGGGCCATAAGGAATTGACAATGTCAAGAGGAATGATGATAGCTTTGGCTAATTCAAGAGCACCATATAAGGACCTATCGTTAGTCCAAAGGCGAAGGCATCTGGAATAATTTGAGTCAGAGCCGTGTATATGACGTATTGAACGAGAATTTTACAATGCAAGTTGATTCGAAAACCAGGTTACTTGAAACGGACGACGCGTCAGCTGATGTCCTTGAGCACCAGTCATACGTTGGATAGACATCGTCACGCGCTTGACAATCTGTTCTTGGTGATAAACTAACAATGCTAAGAAAGGCAGACTCAAACGACGAGGACGAAACTTACTCCATTCGTCAGCTTGTTTCCGGGTGAAAACGGGGCCTCCACTACTTAATCCGTGTAAGCTAAAGCAGAAGAAGATATGAGTTTCATAAAAGGAATAGACACGCACACATTCGAGGATGAAGGGACCAACCTACGCAACGCCTGTGTGATTGCCATTCGAGAACTGAAGGAGAGGAGTCAGTCGACCATGTCTTGGCAAAGAAAAGGACAGTATCCACTTATAGATGTACTCCCGACACATGTACATGACAGCGGTATCGAGATTGCAGACATGCAAATCCAACGAATCCTGGATAGACTGAGTCTCATTCCAAGCTTCGTGCGCATACTCGGCCTTGTCTTCCTCCACGTATGGCTCACGACGTAGTTGATCGCAGAAGCACCACAGAAGCATGCTCCGGCAATAGAGCGCCCAAACGCTCTCTTTCTGCGATTGTGAATCCGCTGATCGATAAGGGGGAGATGTGCGATCGACAGCTTCGCCCGGGAATAGTAGTGCATACTGGATGGAGAAGTAATGTCAGGGAAGTCTCCTTATAGGGTCGCGGGAGAACACATACGTTGGAAGGGCTACTCAAAAAAAGCTTAGGGGGATCACGATCGAAGGCAGCACATTGCAGAGTGTAGTTGGCAACGAGACCGAGAGCACTCCAGCAGACCCTACGGCATTCTTCGTCCCGGATCTCGTTAGTTGACCACGAAGAATCCCATGGTAAGGGATATGACCAGGTATTGAAAGGATCTGGTGGATGGGAGGCATCGGTAGGTATACATGAGCATTTGCGCTCGTGAGGAGAGAAGGCATCAAGGCCGGGTACGAGGACGACAGGGACGCCGCGTTGTGGGAAAAAAGATACATCTGGGTCATTTGTATCGATGGAGGTCAATGCAAGACGGCGAACGATGTTATCCAAAAAGATAAGGGCGCTTTCGACGCGTGTCGGACCGTATTCGGGGTGAACGGAGGTCTCGAACAGTGCTAGTATCTAAAACGGACGAGTTAAGCGGCACGTAGACACGGGCAACGGAAAAGACGTACAAGCGCAGCTTCAGCTAAGGCTGCATCAATCCATTCCGATTCCCATGCGGCCTCCAGAGCGTTCTGCGCCATACTTCGGAGGTAGAGGGCACGGGTTCGGCCTTGAACTGCGTACTCCGTCTCGGAAGACTTCATCAGGGTAGACATAGCTAGGGCAGCTAGGACAAAGGCGGGTTGAATCCGTATACGTTCTTGTGCGTTGAGTAAGGTGTCCACGAAGAGCTTTATGTTGAGGAAGGACAGCCAATATCCTGCATCGGTGAACCTATACCCCGTGTCAGGCGTGAAATTATCAGGAACGTGGCTGTGCTTACAGATATGTCAGGTCGTCAGCGACATCTCGTAGTCTGGAATGCAGGCTGTGACTAAGGCGGCTAACGCGAGAGAGCCGAGGCTTACGGGTAAGTCTTTAGAAAAGTGTCCCACCATACCCGCTGGTCCGACTCAATGGCAGGTGAAGTAGGCGGAGGAAACTTCAGGTGCTCTCGAGTGGGTGAGTGCAGAACGTTCAGATCGAGAGGTCGGGGGAATGAGGGTTTGGGATACGAGGCGGGATCATGCGGGTAGTATCGACGAGAATTAGGTGACTGCTCGGGCTAAGTGTATCAAGTCAGTCGTTTATCAAGCATTAAATGTAATACTAGTATCCACCTTAGTCAAAATTGACTGATCTCCCGGGCCGCGAATATCTATCGGGGAAGGCGTCTGCGTCGAAGTACCTAGTGGTTGGCCCTGCTGACGTTCAGCAGGTCTCGCTGTTGGTGATTGCTTCAGAGGACCACCACCCATACCGTCTTCAGTCGGAGAAATGACGTCTGGTCGATTCGGTGCTGTAGTACGTTTTCTTTTCGGAGGAGGAGGAACTGAACCGTCTGTTGGTCTCTTTTTACAGGATCTTTGACGAGTCCCTGGACGCTTATCAGGTCCTCTACGTTTCGGGACTGCGTCATACTCGCAGACATTTGACCGCCGGACGCAGTTGTTGCAAACGGGCCTTGTAGAGTCGCATCGTATTTTGCGGCCCCGGCTAAAGGGAAAAACAGATAGAGAGGGTCAACATTGCGCAAAATGGCTAAATGAAAGTTGGGAGATGCAAGGGAAGGAGGAAGACTTACCACTGGCGACAAGCTATGACAACGGTAGAGATCTCCCTCCGAGGCTCCCGGACAGGATTAGTAGGGTTGGTTGTTGGAGAAACTTCTACACGTTCTGTTGGCGAAATCGGAGGGCGTCGGTGATCGTCATCGATGGAGACGGATGGAATGCCTCCGCTAGCACGGTGATACGTTGAGTCATGGGTCCCACTAGGCAACCGTCGTTCAGAAGAGCCTTGATATCTATAGTCAGCAACAGAGCCACTGAGGGGGGGCGGAAGTCGTGCAGGCGGAACGTGGTAATCGCCTCGAAGGTGCGTGCGCGGCGAGGCGGAGAACCCGCCATGAAATGCAAGGTCTTCAGATGCGGGGCTCGGCATTTCTAGTGCAGTGTCAATTAACGGAGGTTGTTGCACTAGCGTCGGCAAGTATTCAAATTGGGCGGCGTGAACTCCTTGCTGAATATGAAGTTGATCCTGCTGATACCGGACTTTATTTACGGAAGCAGATGAGAACAGGATTTACGAGGGAAGGAAAGAGTACGATGGCAACAACTTACAATTGTCACCGTTCGCAGGGGGATAGTGAGCTCCGAAAACTGGAGAATGGAGGCCTGACCCATCAGAGCTCGACTGGGGACCATCTTCGTTGGCCATGCCTGGTTGAAAGGGAGAGTAGAGGTCGCCTGTCGAGCTCGCGACCATCGACGATGGGATGGAGATTGGAAAGGTTGAAATGGATTACGCACAGGGTGAAAGTGAAAGCCTGTAATGAGGCTCAAAGCCACGCGATTACACACCACAAGGGTAGCGTCAGTGCCCACGGTGGATAAGGAACGAAAAAAAATTGAACTTCTCACTGGAAGATCAGAAGATCAATACATATGATTGTGCCATTAGATGGCTTGCCAAAGAGAAGAGAACATATCGGATTCCCAACCTTTTTTATACTTTTGATTTCCAAGCAAGTGAGTGAAAAAATGAAATGAGCCCCAAAAAGACGATTGGTGGCCTCTCCGTAGCTGTCACTGCCAAGAAACACGTCCTTCTCTTTGAAAGAGAAACCGGAAATATGTCGGCAAGGCGTACTGGATTTGAGAAAACACGAGAGCCTGCCGTAATTTCGCGTCAAACCTTATCCTGAAAAGGAAGGGTCTACTATTCTAGGCCCCGCTAATATCTCCGGTTGCCGCCGGGCCGACACTTAATGGGCTCCACGTGAGTGAAACGCGAGCGGCGCCTATCAAGGAACGTAGTGACGGCAGCCAAGTTCTCCGTTCGTATGTTTTTGTGTTTTGACTTTTGCCTT